GGACGCACGGAGAGCCGGGAGAGCCGCTTTGGCCTGGATTTTGTTAGTAGTGCATGGTAGATATGATGTAGGTCCCGTACAAAAGCAACTAAGCTGATAAAGTTGATATCAAAGCCTTCCTTCCACTGTTGCGGATCAGCATCGGCGATTTTGCCGATCTGGCCTAGCAGGCCGTGGTTAAGGACCATTCCATCGAGCTGGCCGAAGGTCTTGATGGCTGTGTCGACGGCCTGTTGGGCAAGAGAAAAGTCTGACAGGTCGCCATTCAGGACTGCGACCTGTTTGCTGTATTGCTCCTTGAGCTTTTGGAGGGGTTCGACGCTGCGGGCTACCACCACCACATTGTGGGATTGGGGTGCCGTCAGCAGATACTTGGCCACAGCAAGACCGATGCCTAGAGGGGTTGATGTCAGCATATGGCCATGCACAAAGTTTGAGGGGTGGTACCTCTTGAAGCTCCTGTGACAATGATGGTCTTGGCTGCCATTTTGATGAATGCTAAGGTGGTGTTAGCGATGTGAAGTTTCTCATAGAAAATCAACACTGTGACGAGTGAATGGTAGAAAAGATGCTGAAATTTGAATGATAGCAGCAAGGAGAACGCATAGTGACAGGTTTCGGCATTGCTTTATACGCCGAGAGACGAATTGTTCCATAAACATGCTTGAGCTCTCTCGGGATATATGGATGAACATGACTGAACAGCACTGTAGAGCCAGTAACTTGAGGGTTTGGGATCTCTAGAGAGGTGGTATGACTTACTTCCAAATTTATTTGCAGGCGTCTTTAATGCCGAATATCAATTATGACAAAGAATAATAATATGAAGCTTGACGGGCCGTGGATAGTGGCAGAGCACCAGGAAAGGTTTAGTGCGGGGCTTATTCATCTCGTGGGGCCCCCGCCGACACCGGGATGGTTTCCCTGCGTGGGTAGACGTCATGCTGTACACCTTCTATTGAACGGAGTACACATGCAATGGAACCTATAGGCATATACTTAAGCCATAGTGGAAGTAATGGTTTAGTTTGCAATAGGAAATGCGAGATTGAAGGCATTCCCAGAGTTAGTTTCCCTATGTTATATAGACAACCCGTGGATATATACATTCACGAAGCCGTACGTGATAACAAGTTAGAGATTTCAGAGAAGCTATTCAGAGATCCACTTTTGATAGGAAATACGCCTAAAAGTGCTAACTTTTGCGATAAGCCATTCCCCTACTCCACAGTATTTACAAGGTTGGGACCCTTGGAGTCCCCGGGTACATAGGTCCATACCTGCATGTATCATTATCTAATAATCCATGGAATTTCTCCCCGCTATCCCATCCCACCACTTGTATGCGTTCCCGGGCCGGCGCAAAGGCCAGGCAAGAAAAACCAAAGATTGCCGGGGGATATAAGCTTGAACAGTCCCATCTGCAAGCATTATCCAACCACCGACACATTACCCCGACGATCTGGGTTGATAAGCATTTTAATTCTGCACCTACAACAGCCAGCATGTCGACAATCATCCTTGGAGGAGGTATCATTGGAGCCTCAATTGGGTACTACCTATCTGCCAACCAGCCAAAAGGTGAGATTCACATCGTTGAGCAATCTCCAGAGCTTTTCACTTCGGCCTCGGGATATGCCGCGGGTTTCCTAGCCAGAGATTGGTTCGAGCCATCTCTTGCCCCTCTCGGTGCTATGTCCTTCGACTTGCACCATGAGCTCGCCGCAGCGCATGGCGGAGACAAAAAGTGGGGATTTATGAAAGGAGTAGCATTCAACTTGGATACCGTTGCTCAACGCAAGCGAGGAGGTTCCCGCGGTGACGACTGGTTGCGAACGGGCACTAGTAGAGCAGAAGCGGCGGCTGGGTCCGAGGATACCGCTCCGGTTGAGTTTCCGGAGTGGTTGACGATGCAGAAAGAGGGAGTCCTGGAGAAAATCAGCCACGGTGAAACTGTGGCTCAAGCGTGGGTACCAAATTGAAGCGTTTCGTGAATGATTTGTTAATTGTGTTTAGAGATCCATTGCGGTTGAGCCAATTTCTCATTGACAGCGCTGTCTCCCGAGGCGTTAAGCTTCATAATCCAGCCCAGGCGACCACTGTTGTCGAGGATGTGAACGGCACGATTGTCGCTGTCAAAATCGTGTCTTTGGATTCCATGAAGGAGTCAATCATTCCGTGTACGAACCTTGTTCTGAGCATGGGGCCATGGACACCACAGGTTCTCAGAGACCTGTTCCCCTCCTCTCAGGTATCATTTGATATAACGCCTTTGGCTGGATACTCACTAGTCTTTCGGTCCCCTCGACACACACTGGAGCACGAGAAAAATGTGTACCGTGGAAACAGCCATGCTGTATTCACGACACACCTCCCGTCGTGCGGGTTTAGCCCGGAGATCTTCCTCAGGGAGGGTGGAGAGATTTATATCGCCGGTCTAAACAACCCCTCGATGAAGCTTCCACGTCGCGCCGAGGATACTAGCCAGCTTTTTGATCCCTCCGAGATGCAAAGACTCAAACATGTTGCAGTTCGTCTAATGGGACTTCTTCCCAAGGGTATGAAGGAGGCTACCGAAGACACGGCCAACACAGATGACCTGGAGATAATCCGTGAAGGGCTGTGCTTCCGCCCGGCGGGAAATACTGGCGTTCCCACAATTGGAAGAGTTGGAGACAGCTCTTTGGGAGGAGTGAAAGCAAACCCCAGGGGTGGCGTCTTCATAGCCGCTGGACACGGACCGTGGGGAATCTCTTTGTGCCTGGGAACTGGAAAGGTGGTTTCTGAGATGATTAAAAAGCAAAAGCTTTCAGTGGATGTGAGCGGCTTGGCGGTTCAGGACAAATGTCCTGGTTCTAAGCTGTGAGCATTTGATCTGTGAGAACCTTGGGAAGACCTCCAATGCCCTTCCAGTAAAACAACATAAGTCATTTACTTCTCACCTCGTCATTATTAAGGAAGACTCATCATCTTTGGACTTCGAATTTTAATGTTGTATTGAAGCCAGCTTTTCAAACCAGCGAATGCAAATTCAAATGCTGAAGCACGATGATGAAATATACGCGGCGAAAAAGGTGTAGTTATTCCCATGTAGGTAGAATGGCTATTGTTGCAGCTTTTCTCCTCCCCGGAACCCTAAGTACTGTACGGCCTTCGGCGCACCGCCATAGGGTACATACTCTCAGTTTCGAAATGGGCACGCCGAAACAATTCATTTACAGGACTCGGAAAATAGTTATTCCGACCCGCCCGCGCAGCTCCCCAGGTTTAGTCATCAATTATTCGCGCCACTCGAGCTCTCCAGAAACTTCAGGCATCGGATATCATCCGGCTGTCAAAGCAACTTTGCCCTTCTTTCATTTCTGTCTGCTTCTTCTGCATCTGCGACACAACGCTATTATTTCACTTTCCCTCAAATTCTCCTCAGCCAGCATCAGAGCTTGCCAGTAACCATGGCCAACTATCTTGCATCCATCTTCGGTACCGAGCAGGATAAGGTCAATTGCTCGTTCTACTACAAAATCGGCGCATGTCGACACGGTGACCGCTGCTCTCGCAAGCATGTCAAGCCTTCGTACTCGCAAACCATTCTCATGCCGAACATGTACCAGAACCCGGCCTACGACCCCAAGAACAAGATGAACCCCAGTCAGATGCAGAACCACTTCGACGCCTTCTACGAGGACGTATGGTGTGAGATGTGCAAGTATGGCGAACTTGAAGAGTTGGTCATCTGCGACAACAACAACGATCGTAAGTAATGTTCTCCCTAAAATGTCCCGACTCTCTACTAATATCTGGTCCCGCGACAATAGATCTCATTGGCAACGTCTACGGCCGATTCAAATATGAAGAAGATGCACAAGCAGCATGCGATGCTCTAAACTCCCGTTGGTACGCAGCGCGACCCATATACTGCGAATTATCACCAGTCACCGATTTCCGAGAAGCCTGTTGTCGACTCAATAGCGGTGAAGGATGTGTACGAGGGGGATTCTGCAATTTCATTCACCGGAAGGATCCTTCGCCTGAGCTTGACCGCGAGCTGCGTCTCAGCACCAAGAAGTGGCTCAAGGAGCGCGGCAGAGATCCTCGCAGCGCCAGCCGAAGCCCCAGCCCTGAGCCCACCCGGCGGAGATACTAGTGGTAGCACAACTCGGCTTTTCTCATTGTTGTTTCTCTACATTCGATCCTTTGGCGTTCGGCGATATCAGTCGTTGGTTCGATTCCACTTTCTTTTGCGCAGCGGCGCGTCAGAAGGCATGAGGTTTCGGTCTGCTTTTTACTTTTGCTGATTGGCATTTGCGTTTCATGATATCAGACTTGCGCGATCAATAAAATCCACAGCTAGGCTGCATGTACAAATCTCGTCCAGTAATTTTTTATGCGTAGATGAAGCCGAATCCGGTACGTTGATCAGCACCCACTGAGTGATATCGGTCAAGGAAACTGATTCAAAGGCACAGGATTGGAACTTCTCTCTAGCACTTTGAATTCACGTGTCACTGTCAGAAAATTGCCAACTCCCTCGTTGCATATGTACAGATTACAGATGATTCAACAAAGTCACACGCTCGCAAGCATATAATGATAATTCCATGGATTGTACACCCTCATACCGTGCTCTGTACAGCATAGATGTACCCAGTCAAGTCGGAGGACACTAGGGCTATTCATGGGGTGGATGTCTGACATCTGTTTCCTCAGACAAACACCTTATTCTGGGTCTAAAGAGACTAAATCTGACTAGGAATAGAAACGGTGTTTCCTACATATTTTTCTCCTCGGTTTCTCCAAGGTTATGTAGTAAAAAATAGTATGCCCCAGGAATCAACAAATTTACTAAGCTTCCTTATCGGATGTTCTTATCTTTCTTTCATCTACAGCCACGCGAGCGCGTCTGATCGCGTCAAAGCCAGTGCTCCATTGGCACAAAGGACCTTGAACTGACTGGAACTGGAGACTCTGAGACCTCCACACCAGAAGTCATCGTTGAAAATATGACCGAATACGATGATAGCAATCGTGCCTTTCTCCAGGCGTTCATGGCACGCTCGTGTATGACCTTTGAAGATGCGCAACCCATCCTGGCTGCGATATTAACAGTATCTGGTACTTTACTCCCACTGAAGCCCCGTGTCATGAAAGGTGGTAGTCGCTGACGTTGAATTGTCGAGCAGAGGGGCGAACGGTGGATCCTGATGAGGTCGGGGAAGACCAATTCTCCGAATTTATATCCGCGGCTAACACCGCCGTGTCACCCTTCGATCTCGAAATCAGGAGCTCACTACCTCAAGTCCTCGAATCATCGCAGCAAGATGCTCCAGCAACGCCACCGAAGCGAGTGTATGCGCTTGTAAATACTACGAGTGATCCTTTGACACAACTCGCAACCACTTATTCTCCAGACGAGATCGCGTTTCTTAAGCGCTTGCTTGACCACATGTTTATCAAGAATAACACGCGACTATGTGAAGGAATGGCAGTTACCCAGATGCAAGCCGTCCAACTCCATAAGGCTCCGTCTAGCGAACGGCAATCCACGAGCAATGAGCCAACACAGACCCAAACCGCAGCGGTACAGTCGTTGCGTATGACCCAAGCAGAAACCATGATTATCCACTTGATTGAAGAGGGCTGGCTGCAGAAGAGCCGGAAAGGCTTCCTCAGCCTCACACCACGAGCACTGATGGAATTGCGGGGCTGGTTGGTCTTGACGTATAACGACGAGGGTTTCGATGGCCGACCCATCGAGCGGATCAAATTTTGTGCTGCTTGTAAAGACATTATCACTGTCGTGAGTACGCTCGATCCTAAGTTAGTATGGAATAGTCCTGACTTGAGTTACTCTCAGGGCCAACGCTGCGAAAACCGTGAATGCAAGGGTCGACTACATGACCATTGCATGCGCAACTTCTTCCGCATGCAGCAAGAAGAAAAATGCCCCGTATGCAAAGAGGAGTGGCCCGGCGATAAATTCGTGGGCGAGAGAGCCCTTACTGCGAATCCGAGGCCAAGCAATGTCGTTCCACGACAGAGGCAGTCTTCATCTGCTGCGCCTAGTGCCCCTGGCGAAATTTCCGAGGACGAGAACGACAATGAAGAACAAGAATAGAATTGAATCTTCGCTGTGGCAGATAAGATCTGTCTCGAGTCTTGCCAAATCTGTTTGACAAGCGTTAGTTACGATGTTTGTTCGCACCGTGGACACGTCTATGTGAATAGCAACGAATGAATGAATGATAGGGAAAAGATATCGATCGAGGATACCCCCCCAGCTTTGACACTATTTTTGATCTTTTTTAACAAGGCTCAACCTTTTGCCTTGGTTCAAAATGGAGATACTGGAGATCATGGGCATGATCATGGGCTTTGTAAGATACAAGCCCGTGTACGGACATGATATTGGATAACTTATGAAATGAAATCGAATAACTAAAGCATATTGAAGTATGTATTATTCGTATACTCAAGGCATCACGTAACTAGGAGGAAATGCATGAACATGGACATGTAAATGTGAGAGATCTGAGATAGTAGACACCTGAGGCGACGATATCTCCAACCTTCAACATCTACAACAGACAACATACTCCGTACCTTCATCCTTTCATCTCCAAGAATATTAACTTTGGAATCATACGACACTTCCCTGATCTGCGTTTTTTTTTAAAAACTCAATCACCTCCAAACGGGGTCTTCTCAGATTTAAATTGACTAATTGGAACCCCCCAACTTCCCCACAAAACCAATAAATCCCTCAACACCAAACCTTCCAAACCTTCCCGAGGTTCCGAGGTCCCTGCAGTCAATGACGATGATATGGGGCCCGATCCTAAGCCGGTCACAACCCGAGTAGGTCTTGGCCGTGAAGGATGCCGACGGAAACTTTCGGTATTCACAGCCAATAGACAATGTTATCTACAAAATGCCACCCCCGCATTTCCCGGTTCCCCCGTTGCAAGCCGTTTTTCATACAAGCCACCTCGTATAGCCTACCTATAGGCTACCTCGGTACATAGGTACATAGGTACGTTTCCCAGCGCCTTGGCTGACGGATGCAAGACCTCCACTTGAAGGATGGCCCAACCTTGGAACTGAGATGAGTCTGACTTTGGACTTTGGAACGGGCCAGTAGGCTGCGCAAGTGGCTTTATTTCCCCACATTTCACCATGCGCAGCGTTCATAAAGCAATTTTAAATAAGGTTGCCACCTACAGAGGTACGTGCCAGGATCATCTCATTTCATGCTGATTCAGGAAGCTGCCCCCTAAGTCTCATCTTTCCTTAAAACCCATCTTACTTCCTGCAACTCTCCCCATGAACAGTATTGTCCGGCACTTCTTATTCAATATCTGATTTATTAGAGAACCTGACGTGGTTGACAAGGTACTGACACTGCAATATGCAGTTCAAGGTGAGTTTTTACCCGTATGCCCTTGCCAATCGTCTAACGCTCTGTATAGTCCCTCACGTGCGCGGTATTGCCGCTACTTCTAAATCTTGTCAGCGGCTCTCCCGACAGTCGTATCGGAAGATGCTTTAGAGAACACACAGGCTCTGGCTCGGCCAACTTCAGCAACAATTTGTACCAGACCGGCTTCGATGGCGTGACCTGGGATGAAGACAACTGGCTTCTGAGCTCAACGAACTTGGAACAAGGTCGCTATCAATCTCGAGGCTCCGTGGCGAACGGATATTTGGGTATCAATGTTGCCAGTGCTGGTCCTTTCTTTGAGATTGATAGTCCCGATGACACCAACGGTTGGCCACTTTTCTCTAGACGCCAGGCCTTTGCAACAATCAGTGGGTTCTTTGACTCACAGCCTACCACAAATGGCAGCAACTTCCCCTGGTTGTCCCAGTATGGATATGACAGTGTGATCAGTGGTATTCCCCACTGGGCCGGAATCATCTTGGATCTTGGTGATGATACCTATTTAGATGCAAAGGTCGACAATAAGACCATCTCCGATTTCCGAACCACGTACGACTTCAAAGCAGGCGTCTTGGTCTGGTCTTACAAATGGACACCTCAGGGCAACAAGGGATCGTACCAGATCACCTATCGTCTTCTCGCCCACAAGCTGTACGTCAATCAGGCTGTGGTTGAGATGGAGGTTATCCCGACCACGGCATCGGATGCGACCATCGTCAATGTCATCGATGGAGCTTCTGCAGTGCGCACTGACTTCGTGGAGACTGGAGAAGACAATGGTGCAATCTTCTCGGCAGTACGGCCGAATGGGATCGCTAATGTCACAGCTTATGTCTACGCGAACCTCACTGGGTCGCCAAACGTGGATCTTTCTTCGCGCAAGATTGTGTCTGACAAACCATATGTCCACTCCAATGAATCATCCATTGCGCAAGCCGTGGATGTGAAGTTCAAGCCTGGTCAGTTAGTTCGCGTCATCAAATATGTTGGAGGTGCTTCTACGGATGCCTTTGTGGATCCGAAACAAACAGCCAAGAAGGCTGTCTCCGCCGCGATGAGCAATGGATACACGCAGTCTCTTCGAACCCATCTCATGGAATGGCAAAACGTTATGCCGGAGGCTTCGGTTGACCACTACGCGTTCCCCAATGGGACCTTGCCTGCAGACAGCCACATCATTGATTTGGCAGTAATCTCCGTGACCAGCACTTACTACTTGCTGCAAAACACTGTTAGCAAGAATGCAGTCAAGGAAGCCGCGGGAGCGCCAGTAAATATGGACAGCATTTCAGTTGGTGGCCTGACCTCTGACTCATATGGTGGCCAAGTCTTCTGGGATGCGGATGTATGGATGCAACCCGGCCTTGTTGCTTCTCACCCTGAAGCATCTCAGCGGTTCACCAATTTCCGCGTGGCCCAGTATGCCCAAGCACAAGAGAATATACAGACTGCTTTGGCTAGCTCCAAGAATCAGACGCAGTTCAGTCCGTCAGCTGCAATCTTCCCTTGGACCAGTGGCCGTTTTGGCAACTGCACGGCTACTGGCGCCTGCTGGGACTACCAGTATCACCTGAACGGAGACATTGGAATTTCGCTGGTTAACCAATGGGTTACCAGTGGCAATACAAAGCTATTCCAAGAAGAACATTTCCCGATCTACGATTCGGCGGCTACTCTCTATGCGGACTTGCTGGTTCGAAACGGGTCTCATTGGACATTGACCAACATGACCGATCCTGTAAGTTTGGCGCCCCATCTCTTTGCAACACTCAAAACTAACGTAAAGTCAGGATGAGTATGCCAACCACGTTGATGCGGGTGGCTACACAATGCCCCTCATTGCGGAGACCCTTAGAAATGCCAACGACTTCCGTCAGCAATTTGGACTGGAAGAAAATGCTACCTGGGAACAAATGGCTGACAATGTCTTGGTGCTTCGTGAAAATGAGGTGACTCTCGAGTTCACCACCATGAATGGAAGCGCTGTCGTGAAGCAAGCTGATGTGGTTATGGTCACCTATCCCCCTGGGCTATACTGCGAACTACACCAGCCAAAATTCGTTGAATGATCTGGACTATGTGAGTATTCTGATTTTCACCAAGAAAAAGCCAAACTAACAAGATGTAGTACGCGGCTAAACAGTCCCCTGATGGCCCTGCCATGACCTGGGCTATCTTTTCTGTCGTTGCAAACGAAATGTCCCCGTCTGGCTGCTCAGCATACACGTATGCGCAGTACTCATACAAGCCTTATACGCGAGCGCCGTTCTACCAAATGTCGGAGCAGATGGTGGATAACACTACCATTAACGGAGGCACGCATCCAGCGTATCCATTCTTGACTGGTCACGGTGGTTCCAATCAGGTTGCCATATATGGCTATCTTGGATTGCGGCTGATACCAGATGAAACGCTCCATGTGGATCCAAATTTGCCTCCCCAGATTCCATACCTAAAGTACCGTACCTTCTACTGGCGGGGCTGGCCCATCTCGGCGTGGTCAAATTACACCCACACGACCATCAGCCATGCCACAGAGGCTGCCCCACTGGATACTGCCGATCAGCGATTCGCGGACAAAACAATCACGGTTCACTCTGGCACAGAGGATGATGGCACCGTTTATCATCTCCCTTCCAAGGGGTCTGTTGTCATTCCTAATCGACAGATTGGATCAGAAAACACCGTGGCAGGCAATCTTGTACAGTGCCAGGCTGTTTCCTCTTCGGATGCGTTTGAACCTGGCCAATTCCCTCTTTCCGCAGTAGATGGCGCAGCTTCGACAAAATGGCAGCCCTCGCTGGCAGCCGAGGTAAATTCTGTGACAGTCTCATTCGAAGATGAGGTCGGCGCTATGGTATCGGGCTTCTATTTCGATTGGGCGCAGGCACCCCCGGTCAATGCTACAGTTATCTTCCACAATAAGACTCTAGAAGATCCAGCGAAGGCGCTTTCCGCTGAAAGCTCGGATTACACACTTGTCCACAGCCTGACAGAAATCCCTCAGTCGGACCCATACAATCATGAGACCACAAACCTCGATGTTATTGCCATCCCTACCGGAAACACAACAAATGTGGCTCTGCCATCTCCCGTGCCAGCAGCGCGCTATGCGACTCTGCTTATCGTCGGAAACCAAGCGCTTGACTCTGTTGATGTGGAGGCCAAGAATGGAACCGGTGCGACCGTTGCTGAATGGGCTATTCTGGGACAAGAGAAGACGCGCCCTGCTTCCTCAGACCCCAAATCTGCCAATAAGAAGATGAAAGTGCGGGCAGCAGCCGTAGCAGATGCCGATGCCTTTATGCGTCGGCGTCGAGAGTTTATGTTCTAACTTTAGAAGCTGATTGACTTGCCCTAGAGTTCCCCTGGATTTTCAAAGAACTCAGTTGTCAGCAAAGAGACTCTTGTAAATAGTCTTCCTTTCGATTTGATTCTCTGCTTGCACCCCCCAGTGCTAATTTATTGATTTGAAGCCTACAAATGAGACGTGCTCCACAAAGTGTAAAGTTTGAATTGTAAATTGTGACAAGTTGAATAGAATCGCACCTATTTAACATTGATTATATCCATACATACAGTCATCTATAGGTAGGTAACCGACATGCCCTATTGGTCAACGGCAAACCGATCCAAGAACTTGAAGGTGCTAAGACCCTCCTTGATATCCTTGGCAAAGGCATCCCCAGCGTCCTTGCCAGTGTACACACCCTCACGCTCGGAAGAAATCTGTCCAGACTGCAGAGCATCAGAGCCCTTACCCAGCGCACCAACAGTCTTACCGAACCGGAAAGCATCGAGCAGAATATCCAAAGGCCGACCAGCGGGGTACAAAGTCGACGCACCGGAACCCTTGGTAGGCTGGCTAGTGAAAGACTTAGCGCCAAACAGACCCTCCGCACCATCAGCAACAACAACAGCATCGAACTGCACGGCGTCAGAAGCAGAGTAAGTCTGATCAACATCATCGGCCATTCTCTCCGCAACGACGACGACGTCAACGCCCGCAGAAGAAAGAGCAGACTGCAACTTCGCGCCCTGCGCAATAGATGCAGGCTTATCCACCGACGCAAGGAGTCCAACCTTGAGACCGTCCAGCTTGGCGAGTTTCTGTCCGAAGGCGCCGATGTGCGCGGTCGTGTTGTCGTGGTAGAAGGAGGAGTCGGGCTTGGGGGCCTCGACGCCAATGGCCTTTGCGACGCGTGTGGCGAGGTCGTTGCTGATGCGGTTTAGTTGGATGATGACGTTGTTGCGGACGACGCTGCTCTTCACGTTCGAGGTCTCGAAGCGCATCGCGTCGACGATGAATTGCTTCTCGGCGTCGACGAGGGAGTTCCAGAAGAGGCGGGGCTGCGACCAGTTGTCTTCGAAGGTCGTGCTGAGGGTGCGTTGGAGCTTGCCGCTTGCTGTGCGCTCCGGTGCGGTGAAGAAGCCCTTGCCCACGGTTTGGTTGGCTTGCTTGGGGGAGCCCTTGTTTTCCGTGTTGGGGGGAGTAGGCGTTAGGGTTCAGCGGGATGAACATTTGGCCTAGGATTTTGTTAGAAAGGGGGGTTTGGGAGTGGGATTGGGCTTGTGGTAGGTACGTACCTGCTCCGTCACGGTTGTTGTTGTGGATTGGTGCGCGGGGACGGTTGATGGGGAGCTGCTCGAAGTTGGGACCACCGTGGCGGTTGAGTTGAGTGTCGAGGTAGGAGAAGAGACGGCCCTGGAGGAGGGGGTCCTCGGTGAAGTCGACGCCGCGGACGATGTGGCCAGGTTGGAACTGAGGAAATTAGTATTACTCGTTAGTGATGATGGGACTAGACGTACCATGACTTGCTCGGTCTCAGCGAAGTAGTTCATAGGGTTGCGGTTCAGTTGCATCTTGCCGAGGATGGTGACAGGAACAAGTTCCTCGGGGACAATCTTGGTAGGGTCCAAGAGGTCAAATCCAAACCGAAGCTGGTCCTCTTCCTCCATGATTTGGACACCAAGCTAGCGAATAATTAGCGAGAGTTGCGATGGTTGTTTGGACTATCACTTACCTCCCACTCGGGGAAACGTCCAGCCTCAATGGATTCGAAAAGATCCTGGCGCATAAAGTCTGCATTCTTACCAGCGGTCTGCTGAGCCTCCTCCCAGACGAAGCTGGCCTTGCCCTGCAGTCCCTTCCAGTGGAACTTGACAAGCTTGGTCTTTCCATCGTCAGTAACCAGACGGAAGGTGTGCACACCGAATCCATCAACGTGACGGAACGAACGGGGAATACCGTGGCCAGCCATTGCCCACAGAAGGGTGTGAAGTGTGCTAGGTTGCTGACTGAAGAAGTCCCAAGCAGAGTCGTGCGCGGTAGCAGCCTGGGGGATCTCGTTGTCGCCGCGGGGCTTGACGGCGTGGATGAGATCCGGGAACAGGATGGCATCCTGGATGAAGAAAACGGGAACATTGTTTCCCACAATATCTATATCCGAATCAGCTGCGTGCTTTGATTTTCAAAAGGGGATCTGCCGTACCAAAGTTTCCTTCATCAGTATAGAAGCGAGTCGCGAAGCCGTGGACGTCTCGCGCGGTGTCAGCGCTTCCGCGGCTACCAGCGACGGTGGAGAAGCGCGTGAACATTGGGGTTTGTTTGCCCTCGGCGGAAAGGAAAGAAGCGGCAGTCAGGTTGGACCAGTCACCGTAGGAGGTGAATGTTCCGTGGGCGCCGGCGCCTCGAGCGTGAACGGCGCGTTCCGGTACCTAGGAAAATAGACATGAGCTTTAGAACTTCAATTGAAATGCAGAAAACATACTCGTTCATGATCGAAGCGCTGGATCTTCTGGCGGAAAATGAAATCCTCGAGCAGGGTCGCTCCACGCTCACCTGCGCTGAGACTGTTTTGGTCCTCGATCGGGCCACCGACGTCGGAGGTCAGGTAGACGTCTTGGTCGTTGAGGTAGAATTGGGAAGAGGAATTCTTCGGTGTTGGCAGCAGCATCTCCATCAGCGCGACGCTGGATGTGAGGATTGGCGGCCTCGCCAGTCATATAAGGACAGGCAGCATTGGCAACGCCAACAAGGCCCGTGACGAGGGCAAGGACATGCATTGTGACAGTTAAATAATATAACTGTTTTATAGAAAGCTCCACCTCAATTGATTTGCCTTTGCCGGAGGTTCAAACGTCGAAGGATGAAAGATGAAAGACACGGGGCTCACTTTATACTCCGGTTGGAATGTGAACCCCCCGAACGGGGAATTAAATTGTTCAGTGCGACTTTTGCATTGAGCCAATGGGAAGCTCCATGAAAATGTCATGACGCATAATTTCAGGGACTATTATTGATCAGACATGGGCTGGCCATTCTCCAACCAGGAACCCGTTGGTTATTTCTCAGCACGATGGCCGAGACTAACAGTGTGACGAGATCGCATCACCGGTGGGACATAGTGGGCCCGGGATAGAGAGTTGTTGGACCTCCAGCCAAGGAGAAGACAGATAGGATGCATGCTTTACTCCGAATGATTAGCTCGTCCTAATTGAAATACCGGGGTGTCGATCGCATAAGCCATAATGTTGTCGGCATCAGGCCATCCTCCCAGAGAGAAAGAAATGACCAAAGACGTAAGCTGATTGGGGAAATCTTGGCGACTCGGAATTGAGTTAGACAGATCTGATTGGAGCCCGACAGTACATACAACATACAGCATACAGCATAGGTACTATGTTGTAGTGCATTGTGAAGGGGTTGAAGGGGATGTCTTGGCATTTGATTAAGCGTAGGGGGAACGGTCGAGGCCGCGGTGCTTGGTAATTGGCTTGTCTCCAGTTTTGAGATAATAAAAAAATTTATGTAGGGGATCTACAACCCTAGCGTTAGAGAGAAATCATGTCTCATGTTGAATTAATCTTAATCTCCTATACTCCATACTCTTGTAACAACAATGAATATCAGGGACATCAAGGTCAACAGTTTGTAACATCACTCAAAATTGGGACCTGAAAAAGTCAACAGTCATTAGGTGCAGAATACCAAGACCAGCTTATGCCAGCTTATGCACCTAATCCTTGTCAACGCACATCGCTACCATTTTTAGATTTCATCCGCAACTCAGTTGGGATCGTCGGTGATAACTTTGTCGTGATAGCCAAGGTGTCGCTTGCATTGGCTCCAGGGCACATATGGAATAGTTAATTTTAGATATTAGCACTCTTGTCCTGCATCAAAAGATACGGCCATGTGCCGTTCATCGGCTATTGCTGGCTTCGCGGGTGTGACAAGCTGAAATGCTTGGCGGGAGGGGGAAAAAGAACTCAGCAGCCTTGAAAGAGATGAGACTGGTCCTTTATGATCTTGGCAGCTGTAACTTGGCATAATCATTGTTAGAGGAGCTATTTTTAATGTGATATGTGTGATAGAGCTCTCGGCCGGTGAGTACGGAGTATTCTCGTGAGAGGGGTCGAGATATCTTTTTTTGGGGGGAACTTTGTTTTTCGTATCTAATTGTAGTGGAGCTGTTGATAGAGCTATTGAATGAAAGAATGCTGTCGGCATTGGGTTATCTCGGGAAAAGAATAGAACTTATCATCGAAAACACTTTGTTTTTCATTTTGACCTCGGGCCAACTCCTTTCGTATATAATTTCGAACTACTCTCCAACTACTGTGCGGAGTACGGACTAGACCGTTTAGCATACCTCTTAGACTACCTAGATAGGTAGGTATACTCGACCGATGACACAGATCTATCCTCGAGCCATCGAAGCCACACCACTCGGTTCAGCAGGGTCACTGCGATCCACAAACCCATGTTTCGCATACAGCGGTGCACCATCCTTACTAGCATCGACATATGCCCCAACACCCTCACGGTCCGCGACTTCACACCCCCAACGAACGAGCATAGAAGCCGCCCCGCGACAGCGGTAGTCGGGATGCGTACCGAGCATATCGAGGTCTATGTTGTACCCAGAGCGTCAACAAACAGTCACACAGCAGGTAAGCGGCTAGCTGTCGAGGATTCAACTTACAGTAGTGCTTCCGATCACCCATCACACGCCTGCGCGCTCTCTCCAGGCCCCCAAAGAAAGCATCACAATCCTGTCCAGGCATGTCCCCGTGCCAAGGCGGGAACCGAGCGCCGCGCTCGTCGGGCATGGCCAGGTCCCATTTCGCGTATGCGACTATCCGTGCGCGCCCTTCCGCGTCTTTCGTGTCCGGGTCGACGATCTTGATGTATTTTTGATAGGGCTTTGTGAGCATGTCGGTTCGGTTGGCTTCAGTGAACCATTCATGTGCCCCGGGCGTGTCCGGGATTAGGTGCCGCATGCCCGGGTCGTTGAATACGGTGAACCATAGCTCCGTAATGGCGGGGAGGTCTTCGACAGTTGCTAGTTCTAAGACGAGAGGGGCTGGGGTAGACATTCTGGGCTTGTTGTTCTGGTTGTTGTCGAGGGGTAGTTTTGGGTATACAGTGGGGTCGGCTCCAGGGCTAGCGGGCAAAGCTAAGTTGATTCGGAATACTCGCGTGGACTATTTGAAGTCTGAGTCAGACACAGTAAGGTACTCCATATAGAAGCACATAGATCAAAAGGGAATCTTCTGCTTTTGCTCATTGGTGTCTTATATGCAGGTCCAAATTATATAAACTCTAAATTATAAGCATATCAAATAAACACAGGACAACTGCAGGATCGCTCAGTATGTCGGGAAAGTAGCAAAGTTCCACCTCTTTGCACCCTTAATCAGCTGCGAATCCACACCACTGCTACCGCTGTTAACATACAACACCTTGGTGAAGGCCACCTCGGTGTAATAAGTGAAAGCCACACCAACCGGAATGAAAGCTACATCGCCAGTGTACAAGGTCGCCACAGGATAATCTCCGATCTGGATCATGAGCACACCTTCCAGAACCTCGAAAGCGGCGGCTCCAGGCAAGACATATGTAGGCGCATTGTCCTTGGTTTGGCGGCTGAGTGAGATGGTTGAAAGAGTGTAGTTGGCATCCTGAGACTGCTTAGTGACCAGAGGCTGAATGACCTGGTACCCGTGCTTGGAGCTGAGGTACTTGGGGCCATATCCATTTGCAACAAAGTAAGGCTTGCCAGAGGCACCGAGAGCATTGTCGCCGGTGTGCCACTTAGAGTTATCAACGGGAGCGGTGCCGTTGACCAGATCACGACGGGGCTCGAAGTCAAGCTGGGCGTAGACGTCGAATTTCTGCAAAGAACTAATCATGCCTGCGTCGGGTGTTGAAGAGCTGTTTGACACCGCGGGAACAAAGGGGGTATTGGTGGCCGAGGTGTGGTTGGTTCCAAGGGCATAGAAGAGTTCCCTTCTCGGGTTAGCCAAGTTCAAACAGGTCCGTTATATGCAAACAAACTTACTCAAAGCCACCAGGAACGACGACACCAACCATCTCCGTGTCAGGGTCCAGAATCTGGAAGGTGTGGGTCGTGTTTCTAGGAACCGACCCATAATCACCCTGCGTCAGCAGGCGAGCCTGCTGCTCCCCTGTGCCCTTCTGCGCCCAGAGCTGGAACCGGCCTTTGAGGTTGAAGAAATTCTCAGCGTGCTTCTGGTGGATGTGCGGCAAGACGCCCAGGGCTCCGCTGGAAGGCGCGTTCGTGCTCATCAGAGTAAACGCATTGTCCGAGGAAGGGCCAGTCACTGTGAAGCGGTACAGCTGATCCCCGATGGTGACGGCATGCGAGTTCGCGTAATGCGGAATGACATAGGGGCGTGGGGAAGACGGCGCGTTTTGGAGATAGAGCTCCTCCAAGGTTGCAGACTGGACGAGGCCAGCGCCGAATGAGGCAAGCAGAAGCAGCGAAGATGTCAACATTTTGCTTGACGGTTTTCAATCAAACCCGTGGTCCGAACTCAGAGTGTCCAGGAATTTGCGTGGGCCTTCGAGATGCTTTCTTATATGTGAGCTCGGCAAACATGGATGACGGATTTGCCGGGCCGGTATAAAATTGAAGCAATAATGGTTATCTCGGATCATGTACTCCGTTATTGTAGATCATCTGGATATATTGCATTGAATGCATGTGAGGTTGTTCGAGATCCTATATTACTATTTGCCGAAGCTATATCCGGTCCAAATGTCAGTCTTACATTTGAGAGATACGAGGGTCTCAAAACCGCAAGCTTGCGTTTTGGCGTATTCGGACAGACTCAATGTAATGGACCTCTTTGCAAAACGGGTCTCAGCTTTTTTTTTTTTTGGGTCCAGGAGAGGAGGCCTCGGGATTTCCGAGGTCAACAAGTTCCGCTTACATCCAACCCGTCGGGCATTCCAGGGTCAAATAGAAAATAAATCCCTAAATCCATAGTCGTAGTAGGGCCCTAGTGAAGACATTTCAAAATGAAGGTCCTTGATAGAGAATATAGCGTTGTAGAGGTGATGATGCTCTGAACAGGTAAGATTTTATGTAAGCGGAGCTTTTTTCTGCAGGCGAGTCGGAACTTCCGAAACGCAGCGGCTGACGAATTTTAAATCCACATGGGCTTGCTTGGCGTGGGAAATCTCCTGTGTTGCAGGTTATCAGATGAGTCTTTCACATGAAACAATGATAATCTAACTGAAATCATATCGAAACACGTGGTAAATTGGAAAGAATTCTCCGTTCTCATATATTGCTGTCCTGTTTCAAATCAGCTTGGCGGGAGTCGTGCGACAGTCTCGACGATTCGCGCCCCTCCTTCTTCATCTCTTCAGTCCATCTCTCTCCGTAGGAATCGCATGCAGCTGCCGCTTCTCCATTTGGGACCTCCGTCCGCAGCGATCCCTAGATGTCCACTCCCGAACGGCGCTGGATTCGGCTTGGATCGCCGAAGCATGAAGGCGACTGATCCTTCGAAACGGAGAAGAAAAATTTGATTACATTTTCGCTTTATCTACGATTCATATTTACATTGAATATTAACAAAAAGATGGAGGGGCAGACGGTAAGGATCGGCAAGCACAGGTTCGAACAGACCGTCTTACCATCCAGAGACCAGCGCCCTTGAGACAGACATCTCAAGTAAGCGGCAACAAGAATGCGCCAACACTATGTCGAGAATGTTAGCAATTGCATCTTCGGTGGATATAAAGAGTGCGCATACGAAATAGCCGCGAAGCAGGCACATAAGATAGCCCCTTCCAGATAATTGGTCTTTCCTTTCAGAACGATGAAATCGACCAAAAGAACAGCGCCGATTAGCGTCACCATCTCGAACCTGTCAAAATGCAAGGTCATGGGCTTGTCGAGAGCCCAGCCAATAAGCACCATGGCAGGTGAAACCAAGAGACCGATTTGAATGGCTGATCCGAGAGCAACACTGATGGCAAGATCCATTTGATTTTTCGACGCCACGACAACTGCAGTAACGTTTTCGGCAACATTTCCGGCGATGGGAATGACGATCAAACCGACAAAGGATTCACCGAGGACGCCCTGTTCGTTGAGCGTTGAGAAGCTTGAAGAGAAGTACTCGGCGCATATAGCGATGAGAATTGTTGATAGGGCGAGGAGGGTGACTGATATCGTTCGGTTGGACTTGACAACATAGCCGTGGCAGCAACATGCTTCATAGTCTCCGACAGGTGGTTCCATTTGTGCGTGGAGGCTCGTTCTTCCTTCAGATGGTTCGCTGTGAAACAGTGGCGTTGCTGATGCCGTATGTGCGTCGACTGAACATGACCGTGATCGCACCTCCTGCATCTCTAGCTGGCGAATATCTCTGCTCGTTGCGGTGGGGAGCTCGGTGGGATGTGATTCGAGGTCGTCTGTATATGGTTGAGGATCGCTTGGGTGTGGCACTTGAAGCCGGGTAGAGTGGAACAAGTGAGCGTGTGATTTGAACTGGAAGAAGAGATACAAGAAATATGTGCCGAGAAGAATGATGGACACCCCCCTGCTGAAGGATAATGACATATGATCAGCAGAAGTGACGCTCTTTACGCTGCCATAGAAAGCGCTCTATATCAAGATTAGCCTTAGATATAGTTGGGACACTCGAAATATCGCCTTACTGGAATCATAAGGCAAGAGATTGTAAGATTCAGAAGTCCCACAAATGACTGTGTGAGATCAGTGTTATACGTCACATCACTTGTTGAGATACAGCCTGCTATGATTGCAGATCCGAGGACGAGTAGGAGGTTCACAAGGATGGAGCCGAGGAGTGATGATTGAACTACTTTAATATTGTTTTTCAACAAAGCAGTACTATAAAAGATTAGTTTCGACTGAGTCCCAAGGCAGCCCACTTGGTGCTATATGAAAACTTACACGCTATATGATAGTCAGTATACGTCGATAGATGTGAGAGGACTTCCAAGGTTGGGACTCACAAAATAATAAGCTCCGCTAGATTCCCGATGGTAATGTTGAGGAGAGCGCCAGCGGTCTCACCCAAATCCTGGGAGATCCTCTCAGTGGCTTCTGTGAGCGTGATCGACAGCGGCACAATAGCAAGGAGGTTCCAGATGAATATTAAAAGTGCCGGGCTGGAGGTATTGGAGATGACGATTGCCGATGCGGCGAATGCACCCGAGAAGATGATCCTTGGCCTGACAATTTGTTTTGTCTGTCGTTTGAATATGGATATCGAACTGCAGGGTCTGCCGTGATGGGCCCAACCAGACAAGCTATCATCATTTGGAATATGTGATTTGTCTGGTCGAAGAAAGTTTTTCACTTTATGAAATATGTCGTCTGAGCCTGAGTTCGTGGACGTGGAGACCAGCCCGGCTTGTCCTTGATAACGATAAGAAGTCTATGTCAGCTTCGGCCAGACAAATTGCATGGTACAGGACGCACTGCTCATTTCATATTGACAAGGATAGGAATCACTAGACCTGGAGTCGGATTCGAAAGAAGTATTTAGGGCGGCATGCTCGTCACTGGTTGAGCTTTCAGCGAAAGTATTGATGTCATGAAGGTTCTTATCGTTGGAACCATTCACTGTGGTCATCGTGGGAAAGCCCTTAAAAAAGAAATGGAAGATTATAACCACTATATAAATGCCAAAATTGAGGGCGGAATGGCCATCCGAATGTGAAAATGAAAGTTTGAAAATGAGCGTGTGTTATATGGATTGGGGCTGCGGGAATTGATTATCGACATGCGAGATCATCGCGGTACAACCCCCTTTTCCTTGTGGCACGCCTCTCTAAACCAGATTTGAAGTTAGCGCCTCTTGGCCGCAATATAATTCGATATAATTTCCCCTTCTGCAGTGCACAGTGGGTTGTGTGGGGGCTATATATTGTCTGGCTACCGCGTACACACCGCCTACCTTAAGACACACTAGCGCGCTTTCCTATCACGCAAACGTTGCAAGGAGATTACTTGTCTTGAGACTTTTTGCGAGTCAAAGTTTGCGTGTAAAAGTGTTTATAAATCTTATCATACCGAGCCTCGCTTTTTCCCAATATCGAGGGTAAATTTGATAGGAGACCATGGAGACCATGATATTTAAGACTGGCAGTACCGGCAAAATCAAAAGGCGGTGTTGGACCCCTACGAAAAGCCCCACTTTACGTCGGATCATCGGTCACGTGGGAGTGGGGGCTAGGGCTGCTAAGCCTAAAGTAGCTTAAAGCGGTGCCGCAAATAAAAAGGGGTGTGCGGATATCAATTATTTTGGATAATAATCAGAAGCTGCTACGGCCAAGCTGCAAGAGCAAGTTCGGCCATGGTATTCTACCCCCGCTAGGGGAATGCAATCACAACTCAGTCAACGGATCTCTATCTGGAAGGAAGTAAGTGACAGAAATTGGGTGGAGAAAACAAGGCTGGAAACCACCTGGGCAGTTGATGATCGTTTCTAGTGGGTATTATTGGATGCGATAATCCCCGCAGGGATTGACGTAGTGGGCTGACAACCTTCCAAGGTTGGAATAGACCCACACGAGGCGCTACCTGGGTACGATTACGAGTGGGAAAGGGGCTCAGCCCTCCAAGGCTGCAAGCCCTAGGCGCCATACGGAATATATTTGGTGACATAAAACTGGGGCGGATCCTTGAGAGCATCGCCAAGAGGAGCCTGAGACTGGCTTATTTAATCGCTCGTATCTTCCTGACATTGCTCTGAACAAACTCATCAACATGCAACAAAATCATCAACATGTAACCGGGAGTGGAAAAGCCCCAAAGCAGGCAGCAGCAGAAGACATTACATAATGTATACATTCATGATTTATCTCTAAATCAGCGCTTCAACGCCCATATATAAGCGTGGAAGATAGCCTTACTATACCAGCTCATGCGACGACTCGAAACGTCAAATTCAGGTTGGAACAACTTCCGATCTGCATCCTGCAACTGAAATCCGCGTTGGCGATTGCAGCAAGCACATTCAATAGTACAATGTCCCCATCCTTTCATTCGATGAGTGTCTGGTGGTCTTTCGCAGCATTTGCATTGTCTGCCACAACAACCATCTCGTTTTGCACAATCCTCGCGTAGCCATTTATTTTTCAGATGCCAGCCGGGGGTTTGTCGCAAAGACGAATATGCGTATTTAGCAGGTTCTCTCCAACCGTGGTACTCGGCGGGATAAAGAGTTCTCTCAAGGCGCCAATATTTAATACTTTTTAGGCATCTATCTGGATTCTCCAGCCCGTTTTGTACCGAAGGCACCCAGTGGTCCGATCGTACCTACGTCTCTCTTATAGTCTCGTTCGGCCACCTATGGCAATGGACCAATTCTTTCCTATCACCGGCGTTGACTTGGAGTATGATGACAAGGGTTGGAGATGGTAGGAGGACGGACCGCACTGCAAGAAGCAGTAGGGAGCAGAGCTGCTACTCTGTCTGTTCTTTTGCATTCACGCCAAGTGTTGAGATCATCCCATCCTACATGGATGCCTTATTGTGGTGGCAGACTGAGCGCTTTGTTTGTTGTTTGTTGTTTGTTGTTTGTTGTTTGTTGTTTGTTGTTTGTTGTTTGTTGTTTGTTGTTTGTTAGTTCAGGCCTTTATATAGAGCCTGCTTTGCTAGTTTGCATACCAAGAGTTTCTTCCTTTTCCATCTCCCTGGTGGCATGCATGTAGCCTCAAGACCAAGCATGGACAATCGCCTGATATATAACTACTATGGCCGGAAGGTGTTGATCGATGTTCTACTCTACACAGGCAGAGAGCTTGTCCCAAACGGTTGATTACTACTAGGCCCGGAGACAGCAATTTACCACCACGCCGAGCCTGCCGACATTCCCGGCGGGAGCTGAAGAACCCCGCAAAACCTATTCCAATCACTTTTCAACCTCACCCAACCTGGCTTATGGTGAAGGTCCTCCAATCATCGGTGTTAATCCTGACCAAACTCCCAACTCTGGACATGATCAATTCGCTTTGATAACAACAGGAGGGCGGTAACGAGAAGTGCGTTGATGTCATACTCGTCATCAAGGAATCCAGCTATCAATTGCCACAATCTTAATTGCGAAATCCGACATTTGCATGTTGGGTTAACAAAGCAAACAGTTGCGTTAATCCGAGTGTGCTGCAGATACCAACAGGCCTTTAGCTGCTCGGCCTGAAACCCTAGCTCACCTTGGCCTTAACTGCCCAGGGCTGGGCCGGGCCCTTGACGGACAAGTGCTCGGTACGCAGGTGTGCCCCAAAAGCGAGATTATCTCGCTCGAGACGGGTATTCTATATATGAGGATAAGTGGCTCAAAAGAACAGATCGGGCTCAAAACCCGATGCGCACCCTATGTATGATAGGCGCTTTATATTTGACGGATTTTTGAGAACAAATCTTCTAGAAGCGAATCCGGATTAGACAATATACCGCCACAAGAGCTGCGTCGGGCCTCTGTGGGAGAACTCGAAACTCTGCCGGAAACGCTTCCTCGAGTGGACATTAGAGCTCCTCGGAGAAGATATAGCTGTGATAAACGAGCTCCGGGAGTTATTCAACAGAGCGACATCTAAGCGGTGGCACCCGCAGACTGGTCTAATGGCGAGGACCATAGAAGAGAGAGAATCCGGTGAGGCCAATGTCCCAGCTTCCCAGATCATCAATATCGATCTGGAAACCAAGATGAATTCACAGGAGGTACTTCAGGTCGGCATCACTGTCCTAGGGAAAGTCAGCCGAAGGAGCTAGTTGTTGTGTAAGGATGCCTGGGTTCCAAGGCATCGACCACTCGTTTGCTAGATTAGCTAGATAGTTGTTGTTGGGAGCTTGCTTCCTTCTCTCTCAATACAACTCTCTCCTCTCTGCTTCTTTGGCCCCTACACTGTAGAGCCCAACACTAGTGCAGTCGCACGACTCGGGCTGATTCTACGAATCCCTCACCCGGGTAGTAGCACCAACCCGAATACTGGCCGCCTATAGATGAGGTTGGCATGGTGACGGGGATGATAGTAAACATCGCAGGTAGGGATGGGATCCATACCCGCGGGGCACCTGCTGAGTCAGAAGTGGCACAATTCCAAGGTTAGGTGGTCTTTGCAGTGTCGTACCCGGACCGTACCCGGACCGTGCAACTGACGGCCCGTCCTTCCTCAGCATCATTACTGTTGTCCACAAGATTTATCCACAGTGGATAGACGTGTTTGCCTACTATTTTCGAACAATGGCATGTTTTGTACTGCCAAAGGTCCCGAATCTCTATCCCCGATGTGCCTTGACGGGCCGTGAGGGACGGATCATGGCTTCCGCCTGTCAACTATATAATACCCAGAGTAGTCATTATGATGCCATATGACACCTTACTATCTCAACGTTCACAATAACAATGGAGAAAGACCAGCGAATCGTCATTATTGGGGCTGGGGCCTTCGGTCTCGGAACTGCACTGAGACTAAAGGAAGAAGGCTACAAGTCCGTCACCATCCTAGACCGATCAGTGCCACCGGTTCCAGACGGATCCAGCAACGACATCTCTCGCGTTATTCGATTCGACTATGGAGATGCTGTCTATGCTGAGATTGCAAAAGAGGCGTTTGATCTTTGGAAGACCCCGGACTATCAAGAAGCCTTCCATCAAACGCCCTGCTTATGGGTCTGTCAAGATGGCACCCCAGAACAGCCCGTGCAGCCTCGAGCACAAGAGTACAGCCGTAAGACAAAGCGCGTCCTGACCGAAATGGGCCAAGAATGGGTTCCAGTCAGGAGCGTCGAAGAGGCGAAACAGCACTTCCCCAAATTGACTGGCCGGCTAGCCAGTCCTGGGTTTGACGGATTCTACAACAAATCCGCTGGATGGGCTGATGCAGGTCTTGCTTGTTCTCGTCTCATGTCTCGTTGTGCATCAGCAGGCGTGTCTTTTATTACAGGGCCGAATGGCCAGGTCGAAGAATTCGAAAAGCGATCAGACGGAGCGATCAAATCTGTCCGTACGAAGAACGGACGGGTCGAGGGTGATCAATTCATCGTCGCTACTGGCGCATGGACTTCGAGTCTCATTCCGGCTTGGAACTCGATGCTGGCCGCGGGACAGGTTGTGGGATATCTACGCCTCACCCCAGAGGAAGTCAGCCAGCTCAGGGACCTGCCTATCTACTTCAACTTCTCCACTGGCTTTTTTGCCTTCCCTCCCCATGAGCCAACTGGCTACCTGAAAGTCGCCTGTCATGGGTTCGGTTATACCCGCTCGGAGCCTTCGGTCACATCCGCACCACCTAGCTCAGCAGTTGCTTCACGAGCTAATTACATCCCCGCCGATGGATTGAAACGACTCACGGCTGGATTGATGGATCTTTTCCCGCAGCTGGCATCGAGGGGCTTTGAAAAGGTTGGAATCTGTTGGTACAACGACACTCCGACCGGAGATTTCATCTTCGATTTCCACCCGGAGCACAAGAACTTGTTTATTGCTACTGGAGGAAGCGGACAGTAAGTGAACCAAGCAGAAAACCATTTGAGGGATCCGAACTAACATTATCGTGTCTAGTGCTTTCAAGTTTTTGCCTGTCATCGGAAAATACATTGTTGGGAGCTTCCAACGCAAGCTTTCGCGGGAGTTGCTTGACAAATGGAAATTCCCTACCCAATTCCGCGAGCGCTTCCAGGGAGAGGTATTTACAGGAGATGGAAGTCGTGGAGGACCAGAGCGAAGGGAGTTGACTGCTCAAGAGCTGGACACATTCGACACGGCGTTGAAAGCTGCTTCCTCCCGGGGAAGCAAAATTTGAAGGTATGACGGGGCACTATGAAAGCAATAAATACATCATGTTACAAACAGGAACATTTGACAATATTTGCAGTCACTATAGTCACTAAATATATACCTTTGGACAAAGTAGACGTTCGGGATCAACCTTGGAATCCCTGGAAGCCTTTAGTGCTTTAGTAACGCTATGAAAACATTCCAAGGTTCATCATTACCTTTCTCTGGGATAACGAAGGACACGAAAAGCAATCAACAGGATAGATGGAACGCCTATAATTACACTATATTACAGAGCTCACAGACCCCCTTTACTTCACAAGTGCTCTGCCATATAATCTCCCAAGATCATCCAATCTGGAATGTCCGGCATCGCTGCGAGCACATCACCACCACCCCTCGTTTGAAATGGCCACTCAGGCAAAGTGCCTTCATTGATGGTTTCAGATATTCGGTGAAGATTTGGAAGGTTTGGGGTCATTCCCCCTCCCTGATCCTGCTTGTTTTGCTGGCCTACTCGTTGTGTGGGATGCCCTTCATTTGCTTGGGTTTTGCTTTCTCGGGGAATAGCCAAATCTCCAAACTTCATTGCCACGTCCCCTCCAGATGAGCAGCCAAAATCAAGAATTTCCCACATGAGGCCCTCGTCTTCTGGGGACATTCTAGGCATAGTCGAAGGGGTTGGCATTTTGGATAAAGCGCCCGAGAAACCCTCTTGATTATAATAGAGTGATCCATAATTTTGGTGACGTGCGGCAAGTTCATTCACTTTGTTGACCTGGGCGGGAAAATAATCAGCAATTTGGTTCCATATTGTGCAAGCAGACTTACCAGGACGCTCATATTTTCCCAATACACAGATAACTCCGTCATGAAGTCGACAAGGATTCGAAATTCTTTGTTGAGCAGAAGAGCGATTTGCGGATTTTTGCTGCCAGTGTGCTCTAACTGAATTGTTGCGGCAATCGCAGCCAAATACCCCAGAAAAGGATCACAGGTCTCAAAGTTGACCTCTGACATTTCCTTTATGAACCGAACTATCCATCGAGAGTGGAGGAGTGATGTCTCAAATGACTTTTGCAGAAATGTTGCCGACAGATTTCCGTTAAAGTTGCGAAGCTTGGTCATGATCACAAATGGGTGATGCAGTAGGCACTGGATTGAATGAAAAAGGAATTGAACACACACCCAGGTCGAGAGGTATGTACGAGATTGGGGATCTTCTCGGGCGCGGCGTTTGAAATCCACATTTATATATCGATGGGCATCTGCAAAATGTGTCTCGAATTGCAACCACTCTGACTCGAGAATCGCGAGAGCTGACCCAGTTTGCCAGGGAGGTAGCGAGCTCTCGGCAAACGGCTCAAAGACATACTCCGTAGATTTCCCCCATAAAGAGTACAGTCTCAGGAGACAGACCAGAATTCCATGATCAACTTTCTGCCCTTGCTTTCCAGGACCGTCATGCAAAGACCCGTGGGTCCGTGACTCGTTATCACCGAGCAGTGCTTCCATCTCCAGGGAAGGAAATGGAAGGGTGAACTGCTTGTCTGAGAGGGACAGTGAATAATTTCGGGAAGCGCTATAACTGCGATCGAGCATAAAAAAGGCCCAAGTAATGCGCTTTCTCGTTTCGCCTTCCGGGTCATTCGAGAGATACGAGCCCTGTTCTTTATTCAACCCCACGGATTGAATCGCACGCAGTCCGAGGGCAACGGACGCGTACCCTCGATGCGCTTTTCCGTCAGCGAAATCTACCTGGGCCATGAGAAATGTACCCTGAAGAAATGAAAGGCCCATCTTGCCATCTTTGTATTGATTTGACAGGAGTTCCCAAGCTTTGTCCGCAAATTTTCTCGCATCGGATGTGTTCTCATGTAAAGCGCCGCGAAATCGTCGAGGCAGGCGGGAAGTGAGGGCCACTAATGGGAATGCAACCTCTGGTGGTAATGAGCCTGTGTGTCTCAACAACCACTCTTTTGGAAAAGGACAATATGGCTGGTCATGGAAGTAGGTAAGATAAATATCCACTTCCTGCTTGATAAACGCAGCTGAAAGACCACTTCTGTTTCATATTAGGATATTTGGGATGATCTATGAGGGGGAAGTCCAAACATACTCTTGGCAATTCAGCAACTGATTCTCTGGGTAATCCATTATTTCGAATTCATCATAAGAATCCTCTTGCGGCTCGCGATCATCATTGAATTGGTTATCATTCGATACTTCTCGTAACGAATTAGACCTTGGTAAGCCTTCTCTGTAGGATTCGGAAAATGTCTGATTAGCGAGTTCCGAGGCTTAGATACAAAGGCTTTTTCCATACTGGAGTAAATGTGCCATCATGTCTAGTCTTTCCTCGATGCGCTGAAGCCTCGCAGAGCTCAACCCAGAGCTCGAGATATCCCCTTGGATCTGATATATTTAGCATAGTTCCAAACATCAAATACAGTCGCTCAATTATTATAGGAAGCATTAATACCTCATTGGTGCGGTGTTGTGTTTCCTGGCTGTGCACAGGAGCTGAAACGGCATGGTTCTTCGCATGGGACGCCTGCGGTCCGTATGAGCACCGTTGCCCTAGCCTGTGGCACAGCGAGCATGTTGGTTTCTCGCCGGGGCAACGCGCCTTCTTCCGACTATCAAGGTGGCATATCAGAAATCGAAAGTCGATCGGGTACCCTGACCTTCTCAGGATTTAGGATTTTTTTTTATCGGGGGCTTGGCACCTACCGACAAGGACCACAAGCTTGCCGGGTTCGCTTTAAAGAAACCTTGTGTATGGTGTAGTTATCACCTATAGAGCTCATACTCGGCAAATTGGCCTTGAAATGAGAAGTTTGATCTCGATCAAGACTGTTTGAAGATGCCAAGTCGTCCTGTGCGGGGTACCAACTCGTATCAGTTTGTATCTGTACGGTACATCTTGGCGGAGGTGTTGCCGATATCAGCTCTACGATTTCCATATTCAATTTTTTATTTCAATTCTTCAGTTCCTACAGAATGACACGAGAATGTAAGTGATTTCTTGATTTCCCCTATTTCAAGTCAGAGAACAGAACCTTTTTAAAAGGTTGCATATGCAGAGAAGAGAAGAACTGGTCCTTATCTGGGGCCAGTTCATAAACTCATGAGCCGCTCATGTGATCGGCGATCTTATGCGGGGAAGTTGATACCAAGAGGACTGCCTTCAGCTTATTCGTGCAGAAATAATTTGATATCTACTTTTTTCAAGTTAGCTAAATATAAATATGCAATGTGGGGGTTTGCGCCTAAACCTCGTAACAGCGATGCACCATGGTCTAGCCAGTGTTGGAATATCAACCGTTTATCTCCATACCCTCCGAACATTGAAACCTGCAGCATGCATATTTTTCTCCTCTTTATTGATTCCACAAACTCGGTAGAAAACCCGACCACCCGAGTGGCGTCCACCCAGCGCGGTAATTGCAGCCGTCAACCGATTTCTCTCTGATCGTCTGGGTCTAGCACGTTCTACCGGATGTTAAAAAAGCTCGGGCGACGAACGGCTTAGCCTCCGCTCCGATCCTGTGATCGGTAGAAACCTGTAGATTCCATATCCTCATGGGGAAGTATGAACTCATGATCATGGTAGCTGTCATTGGGATCCAGAGATTCCGTGGCTATATTAAGGAACTCACGTTCTGCTCTGGATGACAGAATTAACAGACTCCCAAGACAATAAACAAAACACTAGATTGAATTCCTCGATTGGTCCTTTTGCATAGCCTTGTCTTTCAATTTTCACAATGTCGATGCTCAAGAATTACCTCGGACTTGGGGAAACAGAGGCACGTCCCACCTCTGCCGACAATTCCCCAGTTCACCCTCTCCCCGCCTCGTGGTATTCTTCACAGGATATACATGAATTTGAGCGACGCGCCATCTTCAGTCGGAAATGGCTTTTAACCACACACAAATTGCGTTTCGCCAAAACGGGCGACTGGCTCCGTTACAATATCGCCGGGTACGCTTTCATTTTGGTGAAAGACCGCGAGGGAAATGTCAATGCTTTCCACAATGTCTGTCGGCACCGTGCATTCCCAGTGGTTACCGAAGAGGGTGGCACCTCCCGGATTTTCTCTTGTCAATATCACGGATGGTCCTATGGCCTTAATGGCAAACTTGCCAAGGCACCCGGGTACCAAGAGGTGGAGGGTTTCGATAAGAGCAAGAACGGCCTGCTTCCCATCCACGTTCATATTGATGCCAACGGTTTCATCTGGCTCAATTTAGATGCTGGCGAGGAACCCGAGATTTCCTGGGAAGATGACTTCAAAGGAATCGACCTACAGCCACGTTTCGAGGGGTTTGACTTCGAGGACTATAACTTCGATAGCACCTGGGAGATCACCGGAGAGTACAACTGGAAGATCATGGCAGACAAATATAACACGGCTCACTCTGACGTTCCCTCGGGTTCCGATCTCAGCTCATATGCCGTGGATGGCAAATCCACATCCGAGGAGATTGCCAATGGGCTGAAGACTGCCACCACTTACTATTTCCCTAATGCTGCTATGACCGTCTCGTAAGTGCAATTACGTCCCAATGTAATCTGATTAATACTAATTGTGCACGCAGACCCCACTTCTTCTTCATGCAGCGACTCGTGCCGACGGGTCCCACCACATGCTCAGTGCGCTGCGAAGTCTACCGCAACAAGAACTCTAGCGATGAGGAGTTTGAAACCATCAACGAAGTGTACAAGCGTATTATTTCCGAACGCAAAGATCTCTGCGTTGAGACACAAAAGAATATAACCACCGGAGACTTTGCGAATGAGCAACCCCACTCTACGGGAGAGGGACTGGTCCACTTCCAGGCTGTTGTTCGTGACTTGATCACAGAGCATCATAAGCGGGAAGAGGATGCAGGGGAGGAATTCTGGCCTGCACGACAAAGACTCCCCAAGGACGAGGCAGTCAGCAAAGATGATATGGACTTCTGCTCTAAGCTGACAACAAAGGACGGATCAGCGTTGGCTGGGGGTTGTTGTGGAGGAGGATGTGGGGGTGGACCTCCCCTGCGGGAAGCGACGGCGCCTGAGACTATGGTGGTTTAATGATTTGCATAATAGCGGAGTGTTTTTGTTTCGTTCTTCGTTCTTCGTTTGTCGATATTTTTTATTTTTTATTTTTTATTTTTATTTTCCTCCTTGATTTGTTATGTGAATATGACATGTTGCATGCAACTATCCATGGATATCTTTGATCACGGGGATAGCTATAAAGCATGAAAGAACCTTGAAATGTTGGAAGGTCATATGAACGGTTTTATTACAAGATTATAAAAAGAAATTGACCAATTATATAGCAAGCCCGTAAGATTATACTTCTGGATGACTCGCCAGACCAGTTGGAGATAGTTTACGCCAACCTTGGAATCCATACAGGAACTTAATTTTAGCAAAGATAAGAGAGAAAAATCAATTACACGGATCATTTAACCTTTTCCAGTATAGATTTCAGGTTATATGCATATATCCATGCACATCAGATTCTAGATTCGGACTGTTTTATGTTTGTAGGCGGGGGAAAAGAGGAGACAACTCGGTCGTTATCCACCCTCGCCCTTTCTCCGATTTACTCCAATGCCCTGCCCAGTTGGACTTGGAACCTGCATAATCTCATTATCTCCCTCCCCCTCTTTTAATCTCGTCATGACGATCTCATCCCATTTATATCTATCTTAACTGTCAATACCCCCGCTAGTTCCGCCTTTTCTAATTTATTTCTTCAATGATGCCACGAGAGAGCGCCCGCGGAAGGTTGCGCTCCCATGAGGCCTGTCTCAACTGCAGGTAAGGCAAATTACATTCCAAGGTTGTCTATTGGTCGGGGTGGAACTGATCTCCATATAGAAGAAAGAAGACCCGATGTCCGGCCGAGAAACCATCCTGCTCAAGCTGTGTCCGTCTGAACCAGCCATGTCTTTATACCACGATACCCAGAGGCTCTAGAGGAGGGCAATCTGTATGTACTGGCTTGTAGCTGTCTGTGACACATTAATTGACTCTCTCTTTCCTACAGGACGACAGGCTGGCATTCCTCGAAGAGAAGGTGAACCTCATCCTGAGTGGTGGCAGACCAACCCAAGCACTTGCATCGGAAAAGACGCAGGAGACAGGAAATGGGATCTCAGAAACATGCTATCGTGCCACGTCGCGCCCACCGTCCATTGAACCAAGCACGGTCAATGACCCATTCTTCCTCGGGTTTGGCTTCGACGACTCGAGTTCTCACCCGTCATCATCTGCGATCGCGAAAGCTATCGATCTTTACTTTGAATACTGCCATCGACAACCGATTTGGTGTTTTGATCGTGAGCAGGTTTCAGATCCAAGTTATCTGTCAGAGGAGCTCGTTTGTTGCCTCCTCGCATTGACCTCACGATTCTCAAGAGACCGCGAGCATTTACAACATTATGGAGACAGTGCAAGAAGTCTGGTCATGCTTCGTATGGCCAACGGCACAGTGGAGCTTGAAACTATTGAGAGTCTCTGTCTACTCTCCTATTCCTCATTTCTAGGTATGACCCTCAGGCACTGGGTGAAGAGATTCCTAATATTGATTTTATTCTAGATGGAGATATACACCTCGGCCGCTTCCATCTGGGTCTTGCTCAACATCTTTGCCGCTCAGCAACGCTGGATCTGGAATCGAGCCATGCCGGCGAAGGTCCCATGAGCGAGCGAAAGAAGCGTCTATTCTGGAGTCTCCAATGTCTGGAACAGTCTTACGGGCAGCAAAATGGGTTTCTCTGTATCCCGTCTGAAGTCATGCGCACCTTCTATGTTGCCTCCAGTTTCGACCGTGCAAGACAAGACGCGACCGAGGCGAAACCACCTCCGCTGCCAACAGATGATCTTGGTTGCTCCAAATCATCCGATATGGGGATTTGGAGCTTAGCGGCCCACTTCGGTTGGGTCTGGAGCAGAGTGAGAATATATGTCTCCGATTGTGCTCGAAATAGGCTCAAAGAACCCTGGCGACACGATTCCATGTACGCCATGGTGCTCTCCGACCTTACGGAAATCGAGAACAAGCTTTCCCAGTGCCATCGATATGACTCGGTCAAATTTTACGAGCGAACGGCAGAGGAGTTGAGATTGAGCCGAAACTACTGGACCCCATGGCTGAAGCTACAGTTCACTTACCATTGCATTTTGACTGTTTTGAACCATCCCTTTCTCTACATAGTGGCATCACAATACAACGACAATCTGGCAATACCCAACGCTTTCTGGAGACGCTCATCCGAGTTGGTCTTATTACACGCTACCTGGGTCGTTCGCATGATAGACATGGTGTCTGAGAAGAAGATGCGACTGATCGATCCGTTCTTTGGACACGCTGCCGCCATTGCAGCTACAGTGCATCTGTACTACTGCTGTGCTGCGGATCCCCGGCTGAAGTACAAATCCAAGGTTGATTTCACAAAATGCCGCAGGTTCCTCAAGAGCTTTGTGTCTTTTTCGCCTGCTTGCGGCATCCTGGTCGGTCTCATGGCACTAAAAAGGAGATTCTAATGCTAACAACCGCGCAGGATGAAACGCTGGACAAGATGACTCGGATTGCTTGCGGTTCGGAAAATATTGACCATGATTGGGAGGCCGAGAAGATTCATCTCAGCATACCTTTAATGTGGGATATTCTCCAAGTCAACTGCAAACCAAGGCCGCACGAAGTATCGACCGGTGGCTTACTACATCCATCATTGACCCCAACCGTCTCTACGGAAGAGGCGGACGACAACCCTGCCTCGACTCTGGAGGTTATTGTTGCCATGTCCCCGAATGTCACAGTTAACACTGCGGATGGTGGCCAAGCTGCCCACATCCCGCCAACCATGCCGCACAGATCTTGCACGCCAGCTTCTTCTGACTTCGATTTTGGAGAGAAACTTGTTGCGCCAGCTGACAGTTTAATGACCAATACCCCCTGGCTATGGGCAGATCCCTCGCAGTTTGTTGATATGGAGAACAATGTGGGATATCCAGATTCCGAATCCGCTCTCGGAAACATTGACGGATTCTCGACTTGGTGGGACTTTGGAAACTTATAGGAGTAATATGTTCATTGACTTCTACTGCGGCGTTACTGTCTTGTCAGGCCGTAACTCTCATCTCCATGTCCGCACTTATTTTTTGCCCGGAGCCCCTATGCGGAAATACCCTTGTGCGGAACTCCTAACCAAACCCAGATGAAAACTTCCATGCCCATGCGTTCCGAACAGGTTATGCCTCTGCGACCGTCCTCGACCTCCTGCAAGACCAAAGTTCCGTTCCATAGCGGTTTCGGTAAACTGAGCTACGGTCACCATCAGATGTTTCTTCGACGGCTCCTGGATCAAAGAATCCTTACAGGGCTGATCGAAGTAGCCAATGCTGTATCAGTCGCCAAAATAGTCGCCGGGCTCACAAGGAGTCTTAACACGATGGAAAGTTGACTTGAACCGGTCATCCAACCAGGACATGAGTAAACCGCCAATATTGCACCGATATCGCCAGCCTAGGCCTTCAACTTGGTCCACCCGTCCCTAATACCGAACTCTGTCACAACCTCGCGACCTGGACAGAGTTCCAGCCCAACCTGGACGTCTCTATGGAGAAGTAAAGTGAAAATTTCCCAAGTCGACATGTGCCCCTGCGCGATGATACACCTTGCCGTCGGGAACTTCGCCAACGAAAAGTAATGCAGTAGACGCATAGTGGTTTACAAGTTCGGTCGTGAGATACAGTGACACTCGATGAAGAATCTATCCGACAAACAGAGCCCCGTGCGAAACATTATATCAAACATTCGATACTTGTCGGGCGCGGTCCATATAAGCGGAAAGGCGGTCTCGAAACCAGGCCGGTCGTCGTGGGTGATCCAGATGTCATTCACAGTCTCCCCAAACTGCAACTGGTATGATTCCCGAGGTCTTTACTATCGGGCTGGCCAGTAGACAGACATATTTGTGAGTTCTTCCCATCCAATATTGTCTGGATTCCATGTTGCAATTGCTTTGACCTCGTCCAGTAGATCGAAGAGACCATTTGATATCGCGATCATGGATCCAAAGTCTTCTTTCATGACCCCATGACCAATAAACGGAAACCGCTACACCCCTAGCGGCTTGAATCACTTGATCAGGGATTTCCATCGTTCCGATTGTTGAATCTTGCATCGGGATACACGGAATGACTCGATCGACATATCGGGTTTGAGATGCTATGTCTCTTAACAGTCCCGAAACTCTGCATATGTAAATGGTGAAGTATGGAAACCTTCTCTTATTGGACAGTCTGTGTCACGAACTTGTCATACCGTGCGATATATGTGCATGCTGGACGGAGGGGCTTCGGCCGAGTTCATAAGGATGGCGTCGAGAGCTGCACTCGGAGTCAAATGCTATTAAAAGGGAAGTTGGCGTAGAGTATCATGTCGCTGTCAAACCTTTTATTTAGATTATTGCGGGTTTGTTTGAGGGAAGAAATGCCTTTCCTAACAAAATCTCTGGGAATGCCTGCAGGGGTACAGCTGTGTCTATCTGCTAGTGCGCCATAGCAGACTTTGCCTTTAGTACCGTTTGGAATAGAAGTATTCTATGCATATGAACACGGCTCTTTCTCTTGTTGAATTCACGTAAATGTTAGAGCTAAGTAGGCCTAACTCACGTCCGTCGCCTAGCACTTTCATAACAGAAAAGCTCCTTCGAAAAATTTAGTAATAGACTATCCAACTGTCTTTCAACGGTCGTCGACTCTTTTCGTGAGATAGCGTTGTAGTTTATTTGGGAGAAAGGATCCGGAATAACCAGCGTTCAGTAATGCGAATGCTTCTTTCGGCGTTTGGAGTCTTATAGTAATAGATGGTGACATCTGAAAAGTGATAAAAGAAACTGCCTGCTGGCTCATTGGAAATTTCTAGACCTTGTATCCCCAATCATCAAGTTTAAGTTTAAGAAAAGAACAGAAAAACTCCGTCTAACTCCGGTTGGCTAATAGACAATCTATACTGCTGTCGAGGAGTAAAGCTCCGTGTTCTCTGAATGAGATCTCTTCAAAGAACGTCGTCTTCTCGATGGTTGAGCAAGAACCTTCGAGGGGTGGAAAATGCTCATTGCAACCATGGCGAAGAACATGAGCATCGAATCGAAGACATACATAAATACCTCATGGCTGATGAGATATCCATTGTTGCCTTGAGCGTATTCGATCAATCGGAAAATAGACCGAACGAGAATGAGAATGCTGGCCACATACAGCCCGGCCATGACGGCTTCCCAAGTACTTGTGCGCGATCGGCCGACAGACTTCTCAGTCGGGTTATTGCGAATGCGGTAATGGAAGATTGATGACGCGACGATAAACACACTGAAGAACACTAATTGTACGGCAAGACCGCCAATCGTGATGTGCTCGCCAGTAGTCATCGCGCTGAGAGTTCCGCTTGCCATGATTCCGCCGCCTTGGTTCATAGTTAGCCTTCTTTGATCAAGGATAGTGTCTGATTGAAAGGAAAGAATTACCAGCTGCTTGCATCACAAACGCAATCACATCTCCCGTGACGAAGATTGCAGTAAGCCATTTTACTGGCACCAAGCTCAAGTTCTCGGCATCCAAATGCACAATGAGTCGACCCAGGGTCATGTATATCGATGCTGCATATAGAGGAGGGGCCAGGAGGATCATGATTGTGCCAACGGAATAGATTGGGATGTTTTCTTTGTCGTTGTGGGCGAGTGCGCGGCAAATGTAACCTATGATTTGAACTAGAACATCTGTTAGCTATGCTCTGAACCATGCACAATAACAAGGAAATGGTCGAAGGTCTTGTATCCAGGCTGGCTAAACTCACAGGCTCCTCCAACGACGAAGATGGTAAAGTACCAGAATCGTGTACGGACGACTTGGTAAAGATGATAGGCAGTCGCAAGGACAAACAGAACAATGAAGATGATCGCAGCCACTAGAGATGGTGTGTAGCGGTAGAGTTCAAAGTCCACCCCTTCATACTCGTTGGAACTCATGTTGTATAGACGTCCGGTGTTCGGTTAATCGACTCAGTATGTGGAGTGCTATGGGGGAACTTGGAGTTGAATGGAGAGACTGGCAAGAATGTCCAGATATATATAAACAGAAGTTGGCTAAATATAGAGAGTTCCATGGTTACTTGAATGTAGAAATTTTTCCAAGAGCTAAGAGTCGTACTCGCATCTGGGGCAGGACACGATGTTGGTACGGAGTAGACCCACCCGTATTCGCTTTCTCGGGTTTGCCGATCGAGTCCCTGAGTGGCAACGGAGATTAGCAGTACGGACGAACTGAATTTTCATGTCTGCCTATGTTGTAGATATTTTGAGACTATTCGAGCACCTTGCCCTTGGTTCATATAATCCATATTGCTAGGGCTTTTGCGTTTTCATTGGGGCAACATTGAGCAGTCCCCAGGGGCTCATTTTCTTGGCAATATCTGTACGAGATTATTAGCAGTGATATTAATGATTTATGGCGATGAATGGTACAAATACTAGTTCCGTTACAGCATACATTACACCGTTGACATAAATGAACCTCCGGACTATGATAATCTTATAATAACCTTGGAAACCGTGTCGAACCAGTGGGTAACTAATGTGACGAATCTTCAACGATTTTCGCCAGACATCAAGGTCCCTCCCGAGTATTCTCAACTATATTTGAATGGATGGGTTTGTTTGGCTTGCAATGTATGCTCTATACGTGCGCATATGCCGTGAACGAGGTTGGATGTTCTCAGGTTCTTCGACTGTTCCTATACATGTGGTTCAAGTTGTACAGCTCAGTGGCAAGCTCAAGACCTCGTTGGGCCATATCATGAATGTGGACAGTTGGTCTCCATTTAGGGAACCAATAAGCGCGTTGATCTTCAATATCTCGCCTTCAAAGGAGCCTCTCATATACCAAGCATCGACCAGAGTGTTTACTAGATATAGATGCGCGAGGATGACGAGCGAGTGTCCATAGAGGGAGTTACGGTCGCTCCTCTCAAGGGATGCCAAGAAGGAACTGGGGATCGAACAAGGCCAGGATAGAATCGCTGCCTCTTCAAAGTCCCCCCTGGATCTCCTTGTCCGTGGAATTTTCGGTTGCTGCACACCGCAACACTGATAAAATCCGCAAATAAACAGAGTCCAGTATGCGTATCGTCTCGTGGTGTGCATCTAGAGCCCAGTCTAAAGTCGTAGACGGTGAAGGCTGGGATGTGGGCGTGCCCGAGCAGCTGGACAAGTCATCCAAAGGGGGTCCAAGCGCGTCCAGAGAAGCCTTGATGGAAGCGACTGCTTGACGAGCACCTTCGGCAAATTTCAATAGACGGGGTGAGCAACGAGAAAGCCGAGACGGTGCATAGGATGATGAATCCTCCCAGTAATCATCGGTGTGTGATAATATCAATATCGCCCGGAGCCGGCTATTTTTCAAAGCATACCATTGATCACCTATCACTGAATTTACACCTCGATTGAGGTATAACCAGTTGAGGCGCGGGGTGTCATTCGTCAAAGAAGGGGTTGCCATGGTGCCGCTCATCTCTTCGGTTGCCCCAGTAAGCGGGTGAAGGCCCTGAACCCTCAGGAATGCAAAGGCAAATGCAACAAGAAGCAAAGACCCTGTGAAAACAGATTCAGCGTTGGAGGGAGAGATTCGGGACACTTCTTCTCTGAAGCCTTCCAATCCTCTTTGATGATGTACCATGATGGTTTCCAAGTCCACAGTATCTGAGTATTCAACGGAAGTCCCGATGGCATCGGCCTTCTGCTTAATCATATGCATGCCCCCCAATGCCAGGAGCAGATGCATCAGATATCGACTTTTGCTCGCTAGTTCAGGCATAATCCGCTCCCAAACATTCGATCTCCTTTGGTGCAGCGTCATTTGTCTTCCAGTATGCAGATGATAGAATTGAAGGAGCTTCAAATCATTCATGTCGAGATCTCCATGCCGGTGTTGGTGGGATGGGCTCGGGATGATCGTCGGTGCTGTCGCATTTATTGATAAGGGTTGAATGAGACCGAGTGGACCTTCATGGGACGGTTCGAAAAATTCTGGTAAATTACTGTCTTTCTCTGTGTCCGCTCTTGATCTGGGAGGCTTCCTCGAAGCAACGCGTGGGGGAGGGTAGGAGCAGGGTTCGCCTCTGGAAGAACATGTGCCGCAAGCGGGTTGAAGCTCGTCGCACTTCGGGATATCAGAATTTGGGTGGCAAACGGAGACTACGGATCAGGAGACGTACCTTGACCCTTCGGAATTTGCATGGATAGCAGCCATTGCGGGACTTGGTGTGGCGGGCGCGATGTCTTCTAACTCTGTGATTGTCTGCGCTGTCGGAAGCTGCCGAAACTACCATGTCTCGGTCCATTTTTCAGATAAAAACAGTTCCTGGTGGTAAAAGGCAATATCCATCATGGTTGGCAACATTCGTGCAAAGTTGCAGCCTATCTCTAGTAGTCACTAGTTGGCTAAAATAAAATGCGGCGGAGGACCCCAATGTACGGCGGGTCACAGCAACCAGAGACGTAGACACCAACCGGTCTCCAATTCCGGTCCATACAAGCTGTAGGGAATTCGATGGGAAATTGTTCAACAAGGTCTGGATGCAAACCCGTAGGAATTTTTGAATAAATTGCTAGGAGTGCGGTAAGCCTGCCCGAACCTACCTCGAAAATTGTGATCTAGAGGAACATGAGACCGTTCAAAAGCTAGGAATAGGAAATGAAATACCGCAAGAGGATGAATTAAAGTTTCATTAAGGATTTGCCAATTTCTTCATCTAACGGCCATCTGAAAGGCTCTGAAATCTGAACTGAACCCTCACCGACCCGAATGAATATCCACTTATCTGCCCTTAGGTTCACTAGACTCAGCCGGTAATGGACTATAGGTTCTAGTAGAGGTCCCAGGGCCATGGCTCCAATTTGCCTAGTCTGCGTGGGTCATCAAACTCATTTTTGGTATACAATTTTATTTTTACCACAGAGGTTGTTCTTCTTGCAGAAGGGCATTCAGTACGGTCCGACATGTCCTAGAACTAACAGATACCACATGTGGGGATGTTGATAGGAAGAAAGTGAGTCGCTAACCAGAAGTTGAACAGGGTGAGAGTCGAGTTCGATGCACCATGTCAAAATCAACATTGAGCTACGCGTTGAAGTGGAAATACCGAGTATGCTATGGCAGAATATAACAACAACTAGGAATATATTAGAGAGATTCTTAAGAATGAATGGCAAGGGAAGCACTGTGCAGTTTTCTACTGTTGATGCCTTGAAGGGCGCCAGAACGCTCATTCGTGAAACGGAAGCATCCCGAGGTCCGTTAAGCTTATGAGATAGACCCACCACTGTGGATCCTAATGGCCAATCCATGGCTCTCCAACGAACCTTGTTAAGGACCCACCCGTATTCTTATCCCGAATACGAACATAATCCGTGGACATAATCTTGCTGATGTTTGAATTTTCAACTCAGGTATAACGCATTTAATGACCATGTCATGGTTATGCCAGTCAATATGTCCTACAGCTTCCAAGGTTGGCTCCAGACACGCAGACACGCCACAACCCTGCCATATCAGGTTGGCACAGCGACCCCAGTCGCGCGACACCAACGTTCCTCTTAACACCGGAATCCCAAATTACACTGTCCAAGATCTCATAACTTGGAGATAGCTAGCCAAGCACGATAGGTTCCCCGACACAATAGCGTTGCAGAGACCATATTTTTTCATAAGATATATTAGAGGCACCTCATCGAGGGAATATCTTATTGTCGGTGGTATTTCCTCGAATGAAAGGTAAAATGAGAATTGAGTACCTGAAATTGGGGTACCGTATAATATTTAGCACTGAGAGAAAAGCATCTAATTTGATATATTCATAGAAGCTGCGTCACTATATGGATTTTGCATTTCGCGAAATCGCGCGGAAAGGAGAAATCGAAAGTCGCCCAGGAGAAAAGGCGGGCTTGTCTACCCTTGGAGCCAAGGAACAGAGAATAAAATGGCGTGTATGGCCGTGAAATATCAAAATCATGCGCCAGGTTAAACTCCGTATGGTTTGACAACCTGCTCTGCCGGGTTACGAGACAACTCGTAATCCGGCATAACGTCCAAGAGTCGAGTGATTTCGGATGGATGAGCGACATTAAAAACAATCATCACAATGAAAATGAGCAATGAGTCAAACACATACAGGTAAACCTCATGGTGCAGAAGGTAACCCTCATTACCCTGTATGTATTCCACAAGTCGAAAAGCTGAGCGGATGAGGATCAAAAGGCTGCTTGCATATAGAATGTTGAGATGCTTGCGCCATTGAACCTCTCCAGAGAAGCACCGGGGAATGCGATATTTGCGAAGCTTCAAGTCGAAGAGAACAGCGACGACGATGAAGAAGCCAAAAAATATGATTTGGACGAAAAGACCAGCGATGATAATGCGCTCGCCTGTCTTCATACCGTCAAGGCTTCCGCTACTCTGGATGCCACCACCTGATGTAAAGTCAGCATGGTTCTTCTGCAGCACTGGTTAAATTCCGTTGACAATACATACCAGCACCTTGCAGTAGGAACGACAGCACATCACCGGTAACAAAGATTTTGGTAAGCCATTTCTTTTTCAGAATCGCATGCGATTCTGCCTGCAGCACCAGAATGATCCGCCCGAGTAGCATGTAAATTGACGCTGCTAAGAGGGCTGGAGCGAGAAGGAGACATAGCGTCTGCACTATGTATGGGCCTAGCGTCCAATCTGGACTCTGCTTACTTGATGCAGCACGCCCGATATATCCGACAATTTCAACTGTTCGCGTCAGCTCAGGTACGAAGGCGTATATAGTCAGGTAATACATACAGAGACCTCCTATCACGAATGGAATGAAGAACCAAGTTCGAGTTTTGAACATCTGGAAGATATGGTAGAAGGTGGTGCCCATAAAAAGGAGGGTAAACAGGACAGCACCACCCATGCTAGGGTTATAGCGATAGAAAGCGAAAATTGGCTCCTCATCAGAGCGAATTAAAAGCATTTCGCTGGTCATTTCGACGTAATCTTCCTTGATATGTGGTCAGATTTGGGGGAGACCAGGTCTTCCAGTATGTTGAGTATGGTTTAGGAGTCTAAACATCTTATAGCTACCAGAACAGTTCTTATAGCTATCTCATAACACTGTTCAAGAAGTCGTGAAAATTTATATAAATAGCTCTGATTTAAGGGGCGCCTAGTTCATTACTTTGTGTTCTATTGAAAGGGCCTGAACACGAGTACGGGTGGGTCGGCGGCAAAGCCGACATGATTCTTCTTTATGGGTGCCTGATTCTGCATGATGAAGGAAAGCCTTATGGAGGGATGTATTAATTGTCTCAACTTTCTTTCTTTCCCTTTTTCTTTTAAAGGGAAAGGAAATTGAAAAAGGAAAAGAAAATTGGATGGGCGGAATTCTGGAAGCAGAAGGAAAGTCGGTAGTAGAGTAGAGCGAGCTGACTTACACAATTTTAGCTGTACATAAGTAGCCAGCCAAGTGCTAGTAGTAAAACAGAGACATATTCATAGGTACTCAAGATCCAGGTTGTCTGATGCCCTTTCATAGATGGGCCGTTGAAATCCTAATCCGTAGGAAACTCCATGCTCTTCTCCTAGCAAAGAAAGTCAACCAGATCTCAGAATCTACGAAAGACAATATCCCGCATTCAAATCAGGAAATAGCTCTCAGATATTTCTGTTTTGCTATCACACTTGTACCTCAATTCAGAGTTCCAACTACCGAAGCGATATACAGGCTACATCAACTAGATATGTGTGTCCCATCGTGGCGTCTAGGATGGATCAAAATCAGCTTCGCAACTTGGACGGAGCGGTTCTTTCTCAATCCTCTTACGAAGCATGCTACACTTACGGGTTTGGGGGCTTCCCTTGTTATGAGGGCCGTACCAAAGTGCGCTTTATATAGAGTCAGAGCATAAGAAAAGTGCATTTGAATACTATATATACAGAGTAGGTGAGCAGCCCGCTTGCCAATTCCGTGCAAAGATGTTAGGAGCCTTACAAATATGGAACAAATCAGGTATTCGAGAAAGTTGAACATTCCTTGGACACCGTAGAGCGCTCGATGGTGCTCCAGGTCCCTAGGGCACGCTGACGAAGTGTGTTAGGGCAGTGTGAGTGGCATAGAACGCGCCCTTAGCATTGTAGCACTCGTCGAACATCAGTGGCTTTGCGCCCGGCAGCCAAGTGTAGGCGTGCTTATCCGTGAAGCCCCAAAAGCTAATGTCAGTGATTCCTGCCTTTAGAGCCTCATCGACTACGGCCCCGTAGATGTCGGTCTCCAGTGCGGTGTCCAGCGTGTGGACATCCATCTCAGCGATTGTCACTTCCAGTCCGAGCGCCTTGTAGGACTCGACCATGTTTGTGAGCACGCCCGGTATCGGGGCTACTTCGGTGATGTGCATCTGCAGGGCGACTCCATCGATCGGGACGCCGTTTGCCACGAGTCCGGAGACCAGGTCATAGAGTTCCTGACGCTTGCCGGGAGTGACTCCACGAGATTCTCGTTTATGAACAGTTTGGCATCCGGGTCTGCTGCCCGGGCGATGTGGAAGGCATCATCGATGTAGCCGGGACCGAGTACTTTGTAGAAGTCGTTGTCGGTGCTTAGGCCGCCGCCCTTGGTTTCGAGGGCTTCGGTGACAACGTCCCACCGATCCATCTTGCCGTTGTACCGGTGCATGACCGCCTCGAAGTGAGCCGTCATCGCAGCACGAAATGTTGTGGGTTCGGTGATATTGAGCAAGTAGTCGGGGTTACAGCAGCTCGAGATGAGGCCGTGTCCCTTGACCGCCATGTCATTCTCTTCCGCAAAGTCAACGAGGCGGTCAAGCGTGTCCCAGTTGTAGTGCCCTTCGGTCGGGTTAAGGAACGACCACTTCATCTCGTTTTCGGGGGAGAGACTGTTGAACTGGTTTGCAAGGACTGCGGAAAACCGAGAATCATTAAGGTAGGTTGGATTGATTGCCCCAGACCCGATGAGAATGTCCTTCTTGGCCGCCTCCTCCCTCAGCTGGGTGGTTCCTGTGCTGGCGAACGCGTTGGTTCGTTCAGTAGCGGCAAGAAGCGCGATGATGAATGTTGTGGCATTGATGGTCTTCATGATTCTGTTTAATGAAATGTTCTCTGTCTTCCTGGTACTCGACGGTGGCTAATGTGTGACCTTTATAGGTCTTTGTGGGGAATACAATGATGACGCGGCAGAGCAGGGTACGAACGCGATAGCTGTGGTGTCTATACGAAAATCGGTACGGCCTCGGAAGTGAGGAACCACGAATTTTAGCCTAACTTGGCAAGCCTAAGAGTAATTCCCCTAGTCTGCTATCCATCCCCAGAAGATCACCTACAAACGACTAAGTAAATTAGGCACCATAAATTCCTATTGCTCGGCGAGGACAGTCCCTTAGCATTCCCTGGCTAGGCATCTTTCATTCATCTATGGATGATGTGGGGAATTACTAGTCGTATAGAACGACCTTGGAATGGATGCCGAGGTACCTGACTAGGTACATATACAGGTACGTAGAGAAGTGGACGTGGAAGATCTACGAATACGGTTGAGAAATACGAGTAGACTCCAGCTAGTACTATTTAAGGTTCTGCCGAACTTTGGAAGCTCCGAATGTGGACCAGCCGAAGCCCAATCTTAATTTGAGGACCCACCGATAGGGGTACCCGTGGACCAAGGTTAACCCTAATATTTCAGAGGTCCCACTGTATCGGCCAATCAATGGGCATCCTCGTATTCGTTTCGAGCCAGAAATAAAGTTAGATCGTCATGATCTGATGTTTTAGATCGTTTCCAAGTCTGTTTCGTGCCATTCTTTCAAAAAAAAAAAAATTAAAGAATTTGACGCGTCTAACCATCCACTCGAAGTGGTCTCCTTCCTGAACTTCGCTTCTCGACCTCGATCTCGTCTTGACTTTATTTGATAGTTTGTTTCATTGTTCTCACATCTTGGTATTTTGTTTGATTTCCTGTTATTCACCGAAGTTAGGGGATCACAACGATTATGTCCAGCAATGAGCGCATCGAAGGACCTTTCGAGCTACCTGGAGAACCTATGGAGGCACATACCAACTATCCCCCCCACCACTGGCAAGACAGGCATCCATGTGACCGGTAAGCTACGTTATCTGTTTATACGATTATTCCTTTCTGTTGCTCGGTGAGTACACTTGATGTTCAAATTATTGATGTGACCTGCGCCTCTTAGAAGCCGGCCGCGTCGATATCGACTGGGACTCGAAGTTCGTGCGTGGATTTTCAATCCTCTCCACTGGACTTTTCTTGGGACGACCTACTACCCCACCACCTGAATACTCTGAGTTACCGACACAGAATGCCGATAGCCCGTCCGTGGGTCCTGAACATACGTCAATATTCCCCGAACCTAGCACGGAAAACAGAAAAGCTTGGCAGGCCAAATTGAACATCGTGATCCAAGTCGTGGGAAGTCGTGGGGATGTTCAACCTTTCATTGCCCTCGGAAATGAACTTACGCAATACGGACACCGCGTGCGCCTCGCCACACATGATGTGTTCGAAGATTTTGTGAGAGATTCGGGATTGGAGTTTTACCCAATTGGAGGTGATCCAGCAGAGCTTATGGCATACATGGTGAAAAGCCCCGGACTCATCCCTAGTATGAAAAGCCTACGAACAGGTGAAATCCGTCGCAAGCGCATCATGATTCGGGAAATGCTTGACGGGTGCTGGAGCTCATGTATAGAGCCGGATATGGTAACAAACCACCCATTTGTGGCCGATGCCATCATCGCCAATCCGCCAAGCTTTGCACATATCCATTGTGCTCAAGCACTCAGCATTCCAGTGCACCTGATGTTCACCATGCCTTGGAGCACTACAAAATCTTTTCCACACCCATTGGCAAATATGAACACCGAAGATGCACAGTACGGTTTGAAAAACCAGGTCTCCTACGATATTGTTAACTGGCTTACATGGCAAGGGTAAGCTTCTCTATGAAACGCAATGTATTGCATCGGGCTAACTGATTCTGCTAGTGTGGGTGATGTGATCAATGGGTGGCGGAAAGATCTTGACCTTGATGAAGTGGCCACGTTTGAAGGCCCTCATCTTGCCGAGTTACTGAAAGTCCCCTTCACGTACTGTTGGTCCCCAGCCCTCGTCCCAAAACCGTTGGATTGGCCGTCTCATCTTGGTTAGTGCCGGCTTCGCAAATCCTTCATCAACCGAGATAGCTAACAGAGTCTCTAGACGTCTGCGGTTTCTTTTTCCGTGACCCCCCACAATTCGAACCTCCGTTAGATCTCCAGGTCTTTCTTTCATCCGGGCCCCCACCAATATATATTGGGTTCGGAAGCATTGTACTCGAGGACCAGATAGGAATTACAGCAACCATTCTCGAAGCGGTGAATGCTGCCGGCGTTCGGGCTATCATTTCTAAAGGCTGGTCAAATCTGAGCGGAACGAATACCGATAAGGTGCACTTCATCGGAGATTGCCCCCCATGAGTGGCTTTTCCAACATGTGGCGGCAGTAGTGCATCATGGAGGCGCTGGAACGACAGCCTGTGGCTTGCGGAATGCCAAACCAACAATCATTATCCCATTTTTCGGAGAGTGAGTTTCTCAGGACACTACTACGTTTCAATCGACTAACTGCCCATTAGCCAGCCATTCTGGGGAACTATGGTTGCTGCAGCGGGCGCTGGTCCTAACCCTATCCCTCATAAGGACCTTAGTGTTGATACTCTGGCTGAAGGGATAAGGTATTGTCTTACAGAACAAGCAACTACTGCAGCCTCCACAATTGCGATAAGGATGGGTTCAGAAATTGGCGTTCAAGCAGCAGTGTCTTCCTTTCATCGGCACCTTCCATTGGAGCTCCTTCCATGTGATATATGTCCAGGACAAACAGCAGTGTGGTCTTACTCTACAGGCGACAGGAAAGTAAAAATCTCAAAACTGGCAGCAGCGCAGTTGATCGCTCAGGATCTGCTCGATCCAAAACAACTCAAAATGTACGTGAAGTTTTGGGACACCATTTTTGACGCTGGAGTCACACAAATAACCGGTCTCCAGGCATGCACTCAATCCCATTATCATCGAGAATCGCCGGTGGGACCCCATCACAGGCGGTGCCTCTGCGGTTTTAGGGACGACAACAGACCTCACTGCTTCCATTTTAGGATTGTTCTACAAACCCTTTGAGGAGTATCAAGACTACCAAGTCAGTCACAGAGATCGGCCCTTGAGTAGCAAATCTAGTCAAACTACGAAAGGGTCGAAATGCAGCTCTACCGGAGATCGCTCCCTGCAGATGACAAAGGAGGCACCTGACAATATACCCAGTCCGTCCAACAATAATAGAGCTTCCGCAGCGAACTCGTTGTCCAGCTCAGGAAGTTCTTCGAGTCGTCATAGAGCCAGGCTTGCAGGGAAGATGGCAGGGGCCTCAATAATGAGTGTTGCTAACTTCGTGCCGACTGCGCTGAAGGGGATGACCGTGGACATCCCGCTCGCTATGACCGAGGGAATGCGCAATATACCTCGGCTCTATGGCGAAGAGCCACGGGATCACGGTCCCGTTACTGGGATCAAGAGCGGCTTTGCTCTTGCTGGCAAAGGTTTCGCGTGGGGGATGGCTGAGGCCGTGAGCGATTTGGTCGTGAAGCCATACGAAGGCGCCCGAAAGGATGGCGCAAAGGGAGCTGTCAAGGGTGTTGGCAAGGGTATAGCAAACATGACGTCTAAAGCGGGTTGTGCCACGTTTGGTGTATTAGTATATCCCAGTGCCGGTATTGCGAAGAGCCTGAAATCAGCATTCTATACCGGGACGAGGAAAAAGATTCTCAAGGCGCGCCATGCCGAGGGAACATGGCTGTTAGAGAATGGTGGACTTGACGGAATGAATAGCGACATTTCCGCATTCCAAAGGGTGGTAAAGGGTAAGAACACCTGAATCTGTGATTGGAATTGTGTGTCCGATCTCAATCGGAGCCTTGGATAGGTGCGAGGTAATTATGGGATGAAAATTCAAATGTTCTGAGGTGTTCTTGGATGACAAGGAAGCACTGTATTACAGTCATACATCATTGCAGCGAAAAGCTTTGGTACATGGGCCAGGCTCTTAGCGAATGCCCTCCTCTCTCTATATCTCACGACCTCCGTTTCATACTTAACCGCGGTATCCTATTACATATACCTTTTGAGAGACTTGTGCTCCTTGTCTATATGTAATGTGAATGTGTTTTTCTTGGGAGAAGTTCCCACTTAGAATACTGCCCTGAAACATACTACTCTCAAAGGCAGGGCATGGATTATTGTCATTGTCCGCTTGTGGCAAAACACGTAAAACCCTCCGACCATTTCTTGCGTAGAAATAATAGCTGCCCCTCGGGCGGTTATCTACCTCGAAACGCTTCTTCTTTAACTAGATGCCTCATATTTGTGTAAATATCACAAGCCAGACTTCATATCTCTCTTTATACCCAAAATGAACTGAGGCTGAAAATGACCGGCTTCTTTATATCTTCGTGAACTCTGTCCTGAATGGATAATCTGCGTAGCCCTTTTCTTGCGTAGCGGTGTAGAAGCTAGACCGGTCATAACCATTCAGGGGAAGTTGATGCCGAAGCCGGAATGGTAGATCAGGATTCGCGAGGAAGTGACGACCAAAGACAACAGCGACGTCATTGTTTTTGTACTCTTCTTCCATGGCAACTTGGACATTCTCCGCGTTATACCCGCCTGCAACAAGCACAGGGGAAGTTCTGCCCCAGATATCAAGTAAGAAGTTGATTGCCTCCGTTTTCTCACAGTCCACATTGTTGATCACACGCGACTCGATGACATGGAGATACGCTAGCTTGAGCTGTTTCAACTGCTCTACAAAGTAGGCAAACTGGGGAACAGGGTCGGCCATTTTCATGCTCTGCCAGGTATTCCATGGACTGAGTCGGAATCCAACCCTCTCAGGGCCAACGGCATCCACCAACACCCTAGCCACATCCAGACCGAACCGGGCGCGGTTCGGAACACTTCCCACCCCATTGATCCTGTCGTTTGTTTGACACATCTTGGAGGAACTGATCAACGAGATACCCATTCGCTCCGTGGACCTCAACGCCATCGAATCCAGCACGGATTGCATTCCTTGCTGCAATTGCAAAATTGCTAACAATACTTTGGATCTGTTCCTCCCTAAGTTCCTTGGGAGTCGGCATTCCAGATTCCATTGGAATAGGACTAGGTGCAAGCAGATCATACCCTCCCTCTTTTTTCAATTGATCTGGATCAGCTGCTCGACCAAGTGCAATCAACTGGCAATAAATATAGCTGCCTTTGGCGTGGACAGCATCAGTGATTTTTTTCCATCCTTGAATTTGCGTTTCGGTCCAGATCCCTGGGCCATGGGGTATTCCACCCTCGGAGGCGGAGATCTGGGTTGCTTCGGCGATAATCAATGTCCCAGGGACTGAGGCGCGTTGTTCGTAATATGTGGTGGCCATAGGAAGGGGGACGTGTTCCGCATCGGCGCGCAGGCGAGTGAGAGGAGCCATGACAACTCGGTGCTGTAATTCAACGTCGCCAATGCGGAGAGGTTGGAATAGGCCAGACATGACGTCTTTAGTGCAATCGGTTGTATGGGTAGCAAATGTGAGGTCTCTAGGAAACGAGCGAGTTTTATCTTTTAATCTTTGAATGAGTGTAGCATCCAACCATATGCCCTTTTGTAAACCATAGGATCTCTCCAACAGCTGATTTGTAATGTTGTGCGGAATTCGACCTGGAATATTTTGATCCTCATGCATGGAGATATTTGGAGATGTTTGGAGATAGCGGTATATACCGCATGTGGTAACATCTCCAACTACCTCCAACTACCTCCACCGCCCATATATAAGGCGCCATCCTTAGAATATTTCGACCCAATCTGAAAGATTGGTCTACTCGTCATCTGTATTCGAACTATCTATCTCTTGAAATCACAATGTCCTCTCTTACCTACATCAACGAAGAAGGTGCTGGTCAAAAGCACAGCGATCTATGTCACTACTCCCAAGCGGTCGTGCTTGGAAATATTGTTAAATGTGCCGGCCAAGGAGGATGGACCGAGACTGGTGATTTGGACGCCAACAACATTAATGGCCAAGTGGATCTCGCCTTTGCGAACGTGGACAAAGTTCTCCGGGCGACAGGGCTACGCGGATGGGAAGATGTCTATTCGGTTCGCTCGTACCACGTCGATATTGATTCCTCGTTCGATTACTGTGTGCAAAAGTTGAAGGACCGCATTCCTAACCATCGTCCTATTTGGACTTCTCTTGCTGTCCCTCGATTGGCATTTCCGGCGATGAAGATTGAGATTGAGGTCGAGGCCATCAAACATGAATAAAGAGTCAAAACAAGACATTGGAGTCTTTAGGTGTATCTGTATTTGAAACAAAGCTATGTCTAAGATGAATAAAGTCTGGAATGCAAGACCACTGCTGGTTTCCCTGGTCAGGCCTTAGGTCACCTGCACGTACTGTTGAATTTGCCCCGAGTATCATAGAAAGATCTACTAGTACTTCAAATCTCCATAGGCTACGTAAATATACGAAGCCCGCACATAATATGCCAAAACAAAATAAACGATTTTCAGTCTTTTGCTTTGCCGATGGTGCCTGAAAAGTCCTTTAGGTGGAGGTATGTTCATGTCTCTGTGAATAACTCAATCACCTCCAACAGCCACCTCCACACTTGTTTGGAGACTTCATTTTCTTCTGAGCGACCAGGCGTGACAAATCATGCTAGAATTAATAATGAATCAGAAGTTTTGTATAAGACGACTGGTATACTGAATCTTGGTTAGTCTTCCTCAGGCCTGCATCCTTTTCTTGCCTAACCCTAATATCAGCTTGACCAATGCATCTCCAATGGCTACGCGACAGCATCGTTGGGCAATTTTTGCGCCAATTTTGCACGCCTTCTTGGTTGAAGTATCGTGAAGAGGATCTTCAATGGCAACCAGAATACGCATTTTACGATGAGAAGACAATACTAGTCGAATGGTACCCCGAGCATGACGAAGAAAACCCCCACAACTGGTCACGACTCAAAAAGGCCTTTATCCTCTTCGTTATCGGTATTTATAGCTTTGTGGTTTATATGGCTGCGCCAATTTACACCCCGAGTGAGAATGCATTTATTGAAGAATTCGGCGTGAACAATGCAGAGGCATCCCTTGGCCTTGCTCTTTATGTGTACGTCAAACTACTCGATTCCTTAATCATTTGTTGATATTACGTGCTGACCCAAATTCAGTTTGGGCTACGGTACCGGCCCTCTCTTCTTCAGCCCTCTGAGCGAAATCCCTCGCATTGGACGAAACCTTCCATATGCCATCTCCTTTTTTCTCTTCTGCATTGTCAGTATTCCTACAGCACTGGCACCCAGCGCAATTGGGTTTTACTTCCTGCGTTTCCTTCAAGGATTTTTCGGAAGTCCTTGCTTGGCCACCGGAGGCGCCTCAATTGCGGACGTCTACTCATCTGACGTGCTTCCACACGCGATGACAACATGGGTATTTTGCGTTTTCTGCGCTCCGGCCATTGGTGTAATAGTATCTGGTTTCGCGATTCCCGTGCTTGGCTGGAGGTTCTCAATGTGGGAGATTTTGATAGCCGCTGGTCCCATTCTTGTCCTGCTCTTGTTGTTGCCTGAGACCAGCCCTGCAACTATCCTTCATCGACGGGCTCGGCGATTGGAGAAGACGGGGATCAAGAGACCCTATAGCTACCAGACTGCTGCGGATATCGCGCAAGCAAGCATCTCTTTCTACTCGGCTGTACAAGAGTCGCTGTTTATTCCCTCGAAGATCACATTTCTTGACCCGGCAATCCTGTTTTTGAATTGTTACACATCTCTGACATACGGCATTTACTATTCGTTCTTTGAAGCTTTCCCAATTGTCTACCAGGGGATCTACGGGTTTAATCTGGGAGAGATGGGGTTAGCTTTCTTGGCTATTGTTGTCGGAGCGATCATATCATTCGCAGTTTATAACCTCTACATTTACAAGGTCTTCACACCCAAGTCAAGAGGACTTCGAAAGCCGGAAGACGTCTTAGTCCCTGCCCTCATTGCATGCTTTGGTCCGTCTATTGGCCTGTTGCTTTTCGGCTGGGCTGCAAACCCAAACGTCCATTGGATCGTACCGACAATAGGAATCGTCATCTACCCAGCATGCGTGTTCATCTTGATGCAATGTGTCTTCCTCTACATCCCCGCATGCTACCCGCATTACGCAGCCAGCGTTTTTGCCGCCACTGATTTCACCCGAAGTGCTTTTGCGTGTGGCGCTGTCGTGTTTTCGAGACCACTCTACGAAAACCTAGGGATTGGCCCCGGATGCAGCCTGTTGGCGGGTCTGACTATTGGATGTGTGATTGGAATTTATTCGCTCTATCACTACGGAGAGGCCTTGCGACTCAGGTCCAAATTTGTACCGAAATGCTGATTATGTGAATAAATCGGAGCAAAAGGAGGATGTATTCAGTGGCCCTCTGCCAAGGAACTGGTGAACATTCGCTCGCAAATATTAGCATATATATCCAGACCCTCTCCAATTACCCTCAATATCGCCCACTGGTCATTTCCTTTTATCAATGTAGCCCATAACTTTATAACGGCGAAACCTAAGTAGGCACAATTAGATGGTAATGTGGGCCTAGACCAAAGGTCTTCATCGCCTGATGTCCTTCCCTCTTCAACAATATCCCCTATCCAGCTAATAAGGCGGCTCTCATGTTCTAATCATATCAGCATATTGCTAACTCTTGGGGGAAGGAATGCACATACCATCGAGCGGTCGGGTCTTCTGACAGCCCGATATACAGAACAGCCATTTGCTGAGGAAAATTGCGAATTCCAAACCACACAGTGAATGCTGAATACTCCACACAAATGCATGGCTGCGAGAGACAAAATTGACGCCCAATTTGACTGGTATGCTCAGAGCATGTGTCGCATGCAATATTGCGGGAAGCAAATGAGGGCCACTAGGGAGACGCGGCATTTGGCGTAGTCTCTCGGCAATTTCCTGTGGATCTCGACTTCCAAGAATTTTATATGAACCTATATTGAACGCCAGTCGAATATATGCAACTCCAAGCAATGCCGTGGAGGTGAAAGTGACAGGTCCGTTGGGGTTTCGAGGGTCAAGACTCGATTCGGGGGCTCGTTGCCACTGAGACGTCCATGTGTGAAGAGCCTTCCTGTGGAAGAACAAGGTTCAGTATCTGGGCTCATTGAAAATTCCTTGATGCCTTCTTACCTAGAATATTCCTTCTGGCGATTGAGCAGGGTATGATCGTCGTCGGTGTATGGGTTAAACGCCCGCTGAACAAGCATGATTCTTTGGATCAGAGCATGTAAAAGAATGTAGTTTGCTAAAGGAGATGGAACTGGTTGTGAGTTAAGTAGATGCGGTTCGTGGGAGCCGTTCAATAGGTGAGAGAGAGCTTCTTGAAAAAGCATTTGCTGTGCATTGCCTGATTTGTGCACCATGGACCATTTCTCTTTGTTTGGGGCGATCCATTCGAAACAGGTACATGGAAGACGGAGATGAACTTCGTCACTCAATATCACTGGCGGAGTAGCGAACGCTATACTGTGTAGATTAAGAAGAGCAAAAGAGAACAGCTTGACTCTTCTGTCTGATTCTTGCTGTACCCAGGAGGCCCACTCTAATCCCGGTTGTAAGGATTCTTCTGTCTCATCGAGTTGGCACTCTCTTACACATCTGGCGAGAAAGCTTTGAAGGTTGAATGCATCTCGTATGATATCCGGCTCACTTTGCCAAGTTGCAAACGCAATTAGATAGAGAGCACATCGTGCCTCGCGCATCAATTGTCTGTATGGCGAGTTCTCGAAACCCGAGCTCTGTGTTTCGGGATATGTTGCCTGTCCAGCACTGGATGGAACATTGTCGTTCAATTCCATCCTTTCTCTTTCGTGTGAACTTTGTTGCAAAGTCGCCTTTGCCGCATAAAAAAGAATAACTGCTTTCCGATGTTCATGCCGATACTGCGCACCAAGCGCAGCCATGGCCAAAAGTATTTCCGGCTCACAGTCCTCTGCTTTGAATGTTGGGATATGGACGACTGGTATATGAGGATAGAAGCCATCAAAGAATCCATTTACAAATCTTGTAAGTGAGTGACAGGATGGAAAAAGGGGTTCGTGCATCGCCGTCTGAGATCGACCCAGAGCTCGAAGAAGGCGATTGCGGTGGTCATCGGTGATTCTCACAATGGGTAAAGTTAACACTCCAAACTCGGCTAGTTAATTACCGTCAGTACTCATGTAGGCAAATAAAAATTTGGCGCAGAGACTTACCAACTGATTCTCGTTCAATGGGAAGTTGGCTTAGAGACTGATCTTGATCCGACTGCGAAGAGGGCCGCTCTTGCGATATATTTCCAGTATACCCCGCAAAGAAAGGATTTAGGTTCGATTCTCCAGCAACAATTTGAACAATACTAGGCTCGGAAGGCAGAGCCCATTCAGTGTTGAGCCCCATATTATGGCTGAACGATTCCAAGTCCTGCAATACCAAGAGATCCTGTGCATTAAAAAGCGAGCCTCCTAACCTAGTTAGAAGAATTTTTCCGCAAATTCAAGTGAAGTAGAATGAATGCCATGTACCTTCAAATTGAAGATCGGGAAGTGGTTCCTGCCGATGGATCGTTCCAGCCGACACATCCGCGCCTTGAAGCTCAGAAAGTTCCCAAAAGGATGTGCTGGGGTGATGTGTCGTAACGGCATTATTTCCCTGGGATTGGTTGCTTTGACTGTCATCGGTAGTCACAGGCGATGGCTCTTGCAATGATGACGGGGTTATTGAAGAATGGCCAATGTTCTCATGACGCTTTAGGAGATCGCGCCGGCCAAAAGAAGCACCACATGAACACTCGTACGGCTTTTCTTTTGTATCTGGAACGCATTAGTCTCTAGATGTGAGGATTGTCTTTCAGATGTCTGGACTTACGAATCCGAATGTGCCGTTGGAGATGTTCGTGGCGGCGAAAATGACGCTTACAGTGAGGGCAGGTTCTGGGTTTCCTTTTTGGCGTGCAGTCTGGTGTCACCATATCTGATGGGGAATCCATCTCTGTATATATAGTTTCCTGTGCCTGAATGGCAATATGTGTACTGGAGAAAACTGGGGTGGAGTTCAAAAGTAACTACCTAGGTACCTACCTAGGTATGGATCGGACAGAATTATTAAGCGTCAACTGAGTTTTCCTTTTTCTGCATTCGAGGCTCAGGATTTCGATAGAATATTGGTCTATTAGATATTTGCAGCCATAATATGCTGTAACTCTTAATGGTTCTTAGGGGACCTCCAAAATGCCAAGACTACAGGTGGAAAACAAGTCACGCACGTGATCTGAGGACCACCCGATAGCACGTGACCATGTCAAATATCCGATACAATCACGTGCACTATCTCGGCAGCCCATCAGGGAGGCTAAAATGGGTCAGGCTGAGGGCGCCATACCTGGAAGGGAAGGGGAAAGGCGGAGGTACGCAAGGGACGCCAGATCTTGGAAGTTCAATCAACGCTACTCAGGCGGATTCATATTTCTTTGGGTATCAAATTATCTCCAATATGTTGTATGTCCACGTCGCTATTAAATCTCATATATATACGCAAAGAAAATGGGCCAGCGCTTGGTGCCAAAATAGATAGGTGCGTTTGAGCGCAAACCTTTGAGCAAATGGGCTGTAGGGTCCAATAATACCAAAGTATGGTTTTATTCAACCTTGCGCACTTGGGTCACAGGCGCACGATATACTCGACGGCCGTGAACAATGTACAAAGCAATTGCAAATATGACAACGGCTCCGAAGACAAGGATAGACCAATTCATATCCACCAGGGTCGGATTATTGGCGGTTGGGAAGAAGGTGAAGATGATGGCGAAGCAAAGCCAAGCCAACGAGAAGACATTAACTGGTAACCCGAAAATACCGAGCGAAAAGCGCGAAGGCGGGATACCACCCGGTTGAAATCGGACCCGGATGACGGCAGCAATCGGCAAGATGTAAGTGGTGAAGAGCGCAGCGATCATCACAGACGCGACGGCATTGAAAGCGGCAGTAGATCCGATGTTGATCAAACTCAGCAGCACGGTAATAATGGTCGATACCAACACAGAGCAGATGGGGATCTGGGTGCTTCGGTTAACGTGAGCCAGTTGCTTAGAGAACGGCAAAGCATCATCGCGGGCAAAAGCAAAGGTCTGACGGGAGACTGTCGCAAGAATACCGATAGCGCTGCAGACTTCCATCACAAGAATGATAGCAGCCACAGCATTAGTGGCAGCCACGGAGCCGGTGGCATGATTAACTGCCGGGAGGAAGGAGAATCCACTCGCCGGGGCGAGCACATCCTGTATATCTCCCATCTTATACAGCAAGGTGATTAGCATGATGAAACCAAGACCGCCGTTGATCAAAGCGGTCGAGACCATACACCAGGGGACCACCAAGGCAGCATTCTGTACCTCCTCGGCTAATAGATGTTAGCTATCATCGCTAACAAGAGATATGGCATTTGACTTACACATATGCGTAGCAGCGTCGGGGCCTGTCCAGGAAAAGATCGGAGTCAGCTGGCCCACCAGACACGCAAGGCCCATGCTCGGCCATTCGCCAGAGTTTGTGAACTCCTTCCAGACGGAATCGCCCGAGGCCTTTCCCGGAGACATGGCCCACATCAGGACAACGACAACAACAAAACCGAAGAGGTGAAGGGCGAGGATGAGGCCCTCCAGTGGAGGGAGAATCTTGTAGCCCCAGGTATTCACCAAAGTTCCGACGGCAGCGATAGCGATGGTCAGCAGTGTGCCATGCCAGCGCTCAAAGCCATACACCCAACCGGAGGGGCCTGAGTAGTTGAAGACCAGTAGTCCTTGAATCAGAGTACCGCAAAGGTAGCAAATACTAGCAAAAGCAGCTTGCCATCCTAGCACCGAGAGCCAACCTAGAACCGGATTAGCGCTGAGGATCGTCGGATTGGAATTCAAGGTGTCGGCTAACCGGTGAGATAGCTCAGGAATCGTTGACATCTCGGCCAGGCAAATTCACTGACCCAGTGGTACTGTCCACCCGATGTCGGGGAGCTGGCTAGTCAATATCCGTGGGCAATGTGCAGGTCGAATCAGACTTACATGGAGGCGATCTCGGCCATGGAGATCACTGCAGAGAAAAATCCAACGAACGAGCCAATATATACATAGACCATACCGGCTCGTCCACCATCGGTCAGGCCGTAGGTACTCGTGCTGTGCCATTCTTCATTATTCCCCAGTGTTCCCTTGCAATATCGCGCGTGCAGACTCACAGCAGAATCGACTCCCATGTCGCCATCAACGTCGTCGTGAAACCTAAGATCGAATAAAAACGAAAGTTTCTCTATCGTCGATCAGTATTAGGCCCGGTTCCAGGAAATGCGCAACCCACCTTGAACTGTTGGGTCTTTCCTAGGCGCTGCATGTCCCAATCATCCTGGTCGGTCGCGTCGATGCCGACGTCCTGGGACATCATATCCTTCTCCATCGCTCTGTCCATGATGCGCGGGTATGATGAAAAAGGGAAAAACGCGATCAGATCAAGGCTCTGCCCTGGGGAAAGGTCATAATCAAGGGGGGAAGGGAGAAAGGGAAAGCCCGAAAAGTGGATCCAACAAAGAAGTTTATTTGGTCGAGGGCGTTGCCCAGCTGCGACGCATCTGCAGGTACCTTTATCGACTTCATATTAATAACTTATGACTGGGAGATTTACATTTCACAATCTCAATTCCGTGAATAATTTTTTTTCCTCCGTCACATATAACATACAACATATGCTGTACGGATAGAATGGAGTTCAATATAAATGGGGTGAATGGAGTAAATGGAGTTCAAAATATATACTCGGCTATGATTGGCCCCTCCCGGTTATTAACTTTATAGGCGGCATCGAAAACTTTCCGGTTTCTTCAGTGCACAAGCCGCTGGAGCCAATGTCCCATATTGAAATGTCTCATATTTTCATGATTTCAAATGCAAAGGCCTCTGCACATCCTTGTACGGAGTCGTATGTTGTACGTATAAGGATGCCTTGCAATATTGTATTCCTTATTGGACGCACTTCATACGTATTCAATATCCACAAATACTTAATAGTCCAAAAATATTGCAAGGTTTGCATTATTCATAAAGGATCCAATAATACTCCCGAGGTCCGTACTCCGTACATAGGGAGTTACTCTGTTCAAATAAAAGTAAGACATAAAAGAATACCACATCGTACCTTTTACTCCGTACCTGCTAATATGTTGTATATTGTTAGCCGGGCCTTCCGGGCGAAATATGTTTCAGTTAATTATCCTTCCAATGTTCCTCAACTTCTTCCTGTCCCGTCATATAATATCCGTACAGATAGTCTTTAAGCTTTCCTTTAGAGTTTTATACAATTCTACCTAGACTCCGTATTGTAGGTAGATATAAAGCAGTGAGACGAGGCTTCATTATTCCGGCCCATGGTTAGGGGCTTTTTTTTTTGGCGTTTTCTCGATCGCGTGGCTTGCCAAGTATTATCCGTAATGAACATCGGGGAAATCCCTAGGCTGATAGCATGTTACATGTTCTTAAGCCAATATGCCGTGCAAGTTAGCGGATTATGCTCATTCCTGTGCCCATAATTATCCGGAAGATGTACTTGTCAATTTTTGATGCAATATGGAGATGAGACCACATATATATTTAGCAATAAGACACCCCGTACCACGTACTAGTCACCATTTCTTCCACTACTAAGAAGTGAAGGATCTCGGCCCTACATATTATAGGGAATTTCAAAGCCATGCTTATTCCAACGTTCAAAGATAAACCCGCGGTATGGAATCGTCCCAAGCGCCCAGCATCTGCCGAGATACATTGTTGTACCCACATGACCATCGAGTGACGAACACTCCGCAATGTCTTGGCGCCAAAATACGCAGAACCGAATACGAAAAATTGCACGTCCTTTCTTTTTACCTTCTTATGTTGTCTGTTCTCACCTCGAATTCACCTTTTCCATATCCCATTGTCTTGGGACTTGGGGACTAAACTGAATGGAGACATCAAGGCCGATCTCCGAAGTTTCTGTGAAAAGGAGAGGAGTAAGAGATCAGCATAAAAAGAAAAAAGAAAAACGGTAGATGTTTGAGTTATAAAGTACATTGCTGATGAATCCTTTTCCTTGTGTGCAATATACAGAGTACAACACACTATAATATGTTATAGGAAACATTGAATTCTTTTATCTGATCCCAAGATTGGAAGATTGAGCCGGATCGCCACAAATTAGCGCCACAACCTCGGGAATACTTTGATGACGACGCGCGGGGCTGATGGCGTTGCCGTTCCCTTCGTGGAGATCTTGCAGCGAAATTCTCACTGGGTGATGGATGGGACTCCATCCAGCCACGAGGTAATTACCGCCGCGTTACCCTCTCGGCAGATGTTTTCGTCGCTGGTTGGCGCAGACGCGCAATTCGCGAATGGATCTTGACCCACGTGGAGCTTGGCAGACCATGATATTCCTATGGAAATCCGCCATCTACCGAATCACTGTACGCGTACACGCTCAGTTCCACTGTCCGTGTCGCCAAGACCAAGTGGTTCCTGCCGATAAGAAGTGTTTTTCGGGATAGACGGCGGGGAATCGACGTTAAAAGGAGGATGTGACATAAAACCATGCCGTCGCAGCCCCTGGCTCCGAGGCAAAACGCTCACACTGTCTCTCTGCTCGAATCCCTTGTTTCGTCCGCGATGCGGTAATGTTCTTGCGGACTTCTTCTGGCGTGGTACGCCTGAGCTCCTGGCTTCGCAATGATCGTCTGCGCACCCGCTTCCTCTTCCGATGGATTGCTCTGATTCTCGCGGCCATCGGGGGTCTCATTGTATTCTATCTGTTTGCTGTCCCACAACTTCTCAAATTCCGGTTCCGCGCCGGTTTAAGCTGGTATGATCTAGGAGTTCAAGGGTTCGGTCCAGACCGAAATTACATCTCCTTCGATCAGGAGTCACCTGTTGTCGAAATCACCCCGCCTGGCGCAAAATGCGATCCCCGGTACACATTCCTTGCGCCTCGAGGCGATTCAACTGCGCATCCAGGTCCGATGATCCTGAACCCCGCTGGAGAACTTGTGTGGACAAAATGGAACGGGGTACGACACAAGACTTCAAAGTACAGCGGTACAAGGGCGAGGACTACCTCACTTATTGGCAAGGAGACACAGCCGACGGCTATGGAAGAGGATCATGGTACATGGTAAGTCGTACATCGAGCTACCTCGCCACGATTTCGGTTCTCTAATTTGCATTGTCCAATCACAGCTTGATTCAACCTACACCCAGAAGTATGTGGTGTCTCCAATCGGCGTATATGACGGTGACCTGCATGACTTCCAAATCACATCCAACGATACGGCAATTTTGGTGATCTATGACCCTATCCTGATGGATTTGAGCTCTATCGGCGGCCCGGAGGTAGGATGGTTTTACGATGGAATGTTCCAGGAAATCAACCTCGAAACCGGAGAACTGCTATTCCAGTGGCGCGTATCCGACTTTTACCACCCGAGTGACAGTTATTATCCGATTGAAGATAGCGGTCAGACACGGACCTCGGGGTATGACCACTCGCACATCAACAGCGTGGACAAGGATGATCAGGGCCGGTACCTAATTTCGATGCGCCATCTCCATACTGTTGCATGCATTGATGGCACCACTGGTGATGTCCTCTGGTCACTAGGAGGGAAACGGAACAACTTTGCTGATGCCTCGGATGGAGCTGCCACCGACTTCTCATGGCAGCATGACGCTCGCTGGCAAGGACCCAACCGTCTCAGCTTGTTCGACAATGCAGCCTGCAATAACGACAACCTCTCCGCGGTGAGCCGTGGGATGATCATTGATCTTGATATGGGAGCACGGCAGGCAACATTAGCGCAATCTTTTGAGCATCCGCATGACCTCATGGCCGTCTCTCAGGGGAATGTGCAAGTACTAGACACAGGCAACGTGCTCGTGGGCTGGGGTCACTCTGCAGCCTTCACCGAGTTCTCTGCAGAGGGCGATATTGTATGCAATGTGCACTTTGGCGCCTCTGCTTTCTTCACATTCGGCCGTGTCGTCTCCTACCGAGTGTTCAAGTTCGACTGGGTTGGTAATCCTCTGACAAGACCCGACACTGCGATCACACCAGAGAGTGTCTTCGTTAGTTGGAACGGTGCTACCGAGGTAGCGGAATGGCGAGTTGAGGCATGGGACGGTGAAGACCTTAGAAATATGACCTTCGCGGCTGTCGACCAGATCCCCCGCACCGGTTTCGAAACTGAAATCCCACTGACCTCCGAAGTTGATTCATTCTTCCGCGTGCGTGCAATCAACTCCAACGGAGAGAGTCTCGGTGTGACGGAACTACTCCAGCGACTACCAGCGTCATCGGGGGGCTCTCCCCATATAAGCCTATGGGCCCTCGGGCCCATCTTGTTTGTGGTACTTGTCGGCCTTCTCTGCGGTGTTTATTTTGCTGTCCACCGTCGACTTCGTCAGGGTTTCAGCTCCAGTGGCCCTTATCAACTGGTGTCGCACAAGGATGAAAACGAGGGTCATGAAGAACATGATCGTCTACCATTATAGCACGCAGGCGTCCTATATACCCCTTTTGCATGTACATAACTCGATCTGCATATTTGATCTGCATATATTTAGGAATGAATTTATCTTCATTTCCTCATTCCCCCTTTCCATCCTTGGTTAGTATAAGTTTTTGTAGAGAATGTACTCACCACACCACATTCTGTCGCCGTTACTTCGCAGTCTGTTCATCGCTGTTCATTAATGTTAACCTCGTGTCTGATATTAATTACTCGGCAAGTGACCGTGGTGATTTCGAAGAGTTCATAGCGCTCACCGCTAGTTATTGTGGATTCAAAGTGAGTGCTACCTAGACAAACAGCTACTCGAGAAGCGATAATTAACAGACCCAGATATGACGCCTCCATCAATGACGACCACATTACCTAAAATCGAACGCACCGCAAGCCATTGAAAAAGCGAAATGGCCGTGTGCAATTTATCTGGGTGTCTTAAGAGTCCCAAGACGCAAATTGCGCGAGCCAGGTCGAATGAGCTTTAAACGAAGAGGGGAAATCGATTCGGTCAACTTGATAGAACCAGCTCAGTTCGTTTCAATCAGACAGCGGTGCCCCTTTGGTGCCATCAAGAGGAAGGATTGCATTTCCATGTCCTTTTCGGTCATCTCTTCTTTGTTGGATCGTTGAGCATTTCGGAATTCTCGGAAAAACAGGGCTGATCCTAGGCGAAGTTCCATGCGGGCCAGGTGCATTCCGATGCAGACTACATATTATCCATTGTGTAAGCCGGTAAGCTTTCCAAGGTTATCGGGTTATGTATTTCTTGACTTACTGCGCGATCCACCGCCGAATGGAATGGAAATATCCTTCATTTCCTTGGTCGGGTTCTCCCATCTCTCGGGATTGAACCTGCATTCTGTTAGTATTATTCTTTGCGCGGCGGATTTTCTTCTTACGTGTCTGGGTCGGGAAAGACTGTCGGGTCCCGGTGTAGACTATAAGACTGAGTCGACACCGTCGCTCCGCTCGGAAGGAAGTATCCTTTGAAACTAGCCCCTCCTGAAGGTACAGCACGAGGGAGACCAAAAGGAACGGCCGTGTGAAGACGAAGGGTCTCGCTGATGACCATGTTGAGGTAAGGCAAACTCCGAAGGTCGTTGTCATGGATCGGCTCAGACAACGCTGCCACCTCGGCAACCAGCTTGTCTCGAATCTGCTTGTTTCCACAGACAGCGTAGGTAAGGTAGGTCAAAGTAACAGCAGTGGTATCACTTCCTGCAACGATGTACCCTTGAGCCTCATTCTTGATCTCTTCAGGAGTAAGGCCGCCCTTCTCGGTGTCAAACAACTTGGTAAAGAGCGTCTTCTTCGGGTTGGAGGGATTTTCGGTGATCATTTTATTGTATCGGTCGATGGACTGGCTTGTATATGAGATCATTCGCTTCCCGGTTTTTATGGTGCGCTTGAAGACTGGCAAAGGCAGATATTTGCCAAAGTAGACCAGGTTAGGGAATGTTGTTCGAATCGGTTGGAGGCTTGCGATCCGTTCCAGATCCAAGGTGTACTGGGTTTTCTGTGGTGTAGTGTTAGACTAATTTTGGAGCCTTTCCTGTTTGTTTATCACCTTGCCAGCTTCGAGCATGCGGAACGATTCTCCAAAGCTAAGTTCCCCGATAATGTCTGTCGCCATGAACAGCCACCATTTAAACACGTCAGTTGTGCCACGGTCCTGCATCTCTTCTGCCATTCTTGAGATCGTCATTTTCACCCGGCCTGTAATTAAATCTTCATGCTGATGCAGTGACGTGTCGGAGATCGGCGATGCCAATAGACGGCGGCGGTGAGAATGGAAATGCGGATCAGTGGTCGAGAAGACGTTTTCCATGCCATTTGGTAGGAGCGTTCGATACCAAGGTGACTTGAGAAAGCGCGAGTTAGTCTTGTGTATTTCCTTCACGGCATCGATGTCGCAAATGTCGACTCTATTAGGCCCGTTTCGGACGATTGGACCTTGATATTGCACATGTCAGCACTCTATATTCCCAAGCTTGGAATGATCGAAGGCCCATTCCATGGGTTTTGTCCTCGAATCATTTTCTTACCATATTTCTCATGCAGATCGTGAACATAGTACGGGACCTTCCCGGCGAACCAATATCGTATATAGACAAGATCGGTCCAGTTAGAGATCGCCGGGCCCGGAAGCCGTGCGAGCGGACTAGAGAGACGTTTATAAATGAAGTGCTACACTGCAGTCAGCTTTAAGAGCGGAGAGGTTCTCTGATAAACAGCAATCTTACGAGACCCAATACTCCGAGAAAGCAACATAAAATTGCAGGAAGATGGCTGACAGACTCCATGGTCGTGATTTGTCGAAAATTTCACATGAGTCTGTCTCTTCTCATTGACAGGTCCACATGGTATTTATATCCGACAATGTAATCGTGTGAGATGGCCTAAACTACCCTGTTACACGCATAGTGAAATCATTCCGGTGCTTCATTGCCCGAAGTCCGACAAATGTCGGAGCACGGGGGGCATTCGGCGCTTGTTCCAAGAAGCACCGAAGCAAGTGACCGGCATTAGGAACGACTACCTACAACTACTTCATATAACTAGCTACTTCTCCGCTGTCTGGCATCTTCAAACTATGTCATTGCTTTAAAAAACGATTGTATCGATTTCGACCCATGTCGTATGAAGAATTGAGGAATTTCCACTTGTCAGCGGATGCCATCAGATGTTCTAGATTAGGCGCATATCAGAAGGGTTTTCCCTCAACGATGTCATTATTTGGTATATCGATAGTACTTCCAGGTATACTACTGGGCCCTCTGTAGCCTCTAACAAGCGAAAACCGCACATGTAGGGAGTATTACAGAATTAAGTAGGGTGCTTACCCATGGATACTTGTTAGGGTTCATAACCCGGCAGAATCAGACAAAACCCGTCAAAACCCGACCTACCAGCGCTCTACATTGGTGCTATATGTGATCTCCCTTGAGATGAGGAATAGAGGTAGAATTTGAATCAGGTGCCATTTCCAAGACAATTTGAGAGCATTGAGCGTATGAGTAGTCCTAATTGTCAATTATTCGAAATGCTCTTTAAGCTTGGCTTCGGATTTCGGCCTCAATGAAAGGCCGAGGGATCTGCTGCAAAACATTAGTAGCCGCCTGGGCCCTACTTTACCGATCTATTAGGGTGCATTAATCTACGAAAACTAGGTACATAACTACACATGGTGGTTCCTAGAGCCTCTGGCTACGTCTCACTCTTCCTAGTGCAATAGTCTCCCTTATACGGCCCGAAGTCTTTTTTGGGTAGTGTTTGATACATGTCCTTTGGAAGTCTCTTTGAGCGTTTTCAGATATTTTTTTTGGATGCTGTCTTTCGAAGATTGGCCCTCGTTATTGGTTTTAGTTAGGCTATCAAGCCCACTTCCACCTACAATATTACCAAGATGACTTCGTATTCGTTTAGTTAGAGTTACAATTTTCTTTCTATGACAAATGGCCATGGAACCTTGGAAACATTCTTTTTCCCTTGGCATTCGATTGGCTAATTCTGACAATTATTGAGATTAAAAAAAAAGAATACTCCGATAGGGGGAATCGAACCCCCGGCTGCCGTGTGAGAGACGGCGATGTTAGCCACTACACCATATCGGATCTTGTTGAAGGAAACTGATATTATTGATTATATGAAGGAAAGCTCCCGTTGGGTTTACCGAGTCCGCTCGGTATTTTCCCCACTCAACGCCCCTGACTTTCTTTTTCGCCTTGCCTCGCTCGTAATGTCGCATTTTTGCTAACAATACGGACCACTCTACTTCACTATTTAATTGATCTACGAGGGTTAATGGAACGGACACAATTCTCTAGATAGCCGCAAGATTTGCGAGAGCAATATCAACTGAAAACGCTGAAAATACTCTCGACCTCTTATTTACTTTTCACAGTCGCTAACATTTCGGATGTCCTCGCTAAAGGCGCCTTATACTAACACCATTGTCTTATTAACGATCGGTTGGTATGTCTGGAACTGCAACACCAGTGTCTATTCTGGTGTCCAGAGCAGCGAGAACGGTAATGGCAGCAATGCTACCAATCTCGATAAGACCTTCCTGCGCGGTATCCAGAAGACTGATGCCGATGGTGTGGTTCAGTTCAAAATTATCTTCCCTGGTCACTACGGTGGCCGCACTACCTACCTCCATGTCGGTGCCGAGGAGCAGACAGATAAACCATATCTGGCGGTCACGTTGCCCATATTGGTCAACTATTCTTCGACCAGGATCTGATCACCCAGGTTGAGAAGACCTACCCCTGCAACACTAGCACGGTTTCCATCACCGAGAATGCGGATGACCACGTCGTGATCGCTGAGACCACGGGCAGCAACGCCGATCCCTTCTTCGAATACGCTCTACTTGGTGAAACGGTTGAGGATGATCTCTTTGAATTACCATGGGTGTCAATGCCTCTGCCAGCTATGATGCTTCTAGTGCTGCTACTCTGACTTCTTCCGGTGGTGTCAGCGGGTCTAACTAGGACAGCACATTCGTTCATGCTTAGGCTGAGCGCCTGCCACCCCTAGGCTATGTAAATAGGAACATAATCTCTGATTACGGTGTGGTGAGATGCACAAATGATATATCTTCTTTGTCCTCCCTCTTGTTGTGTCTGTACTCTCTTCCACATGCATGAGATATACCTTCAATCACTTTTATATCCATAGATAATTGAGTCCTTGGATTCACCTCTTCCCTGCGCTCGTGCTATTCTTCGCTCACCATCCGCCAAATTGGTGATCTGTCGACGTCTGCGGTAAATTGGCTAAATTGCCTACATGAAAGCAGGATAACTTTTGGATTTTAGACCATGTCATTCACACTATCGTATCATTATTCTAAGTTGGCTATAGACTTGGTAACATACGTCAAAGTAGCAGTGTGATTATATCTCCTCCACGTTTACAAAATACATACCTATGTACTATGTATGAGTTTGCATGTATAGCCGTAACAAAAGAAAGTCCACTATGCGGCTGTAACAGTAATACTCGCTTTGCAACTAACCTTGGAAGGAAAGACAGCTTTACGCATTCTTCGTGTGGAAGCGCGTGAAAAGACACCGCTAAGCTTCGAAAGGGATTTCAATGTTCTCGCCATTTATCTTTGGTGGGTGTCGTAAGATCGGCTGAAACTCCTCGGCCTGGCGCCTAAATAAAGGAATTCGAATGGATATCTATGTTTCGTTCACCATTTTTTGTGAAAAAGAGTAAATGCCTAACAGGTAAAACCTTTGAGTGGAACACGCAAACTTGGCTTGTTGTTCCATATATTTACCTATGACTCTCACGCGGAAAGTGATCTTGGTCTTCCGTCTTTAGAATTTCCCAGTTGGAGAAAGCTTGTTTATAGTCCGTACTATCCAAACATAGGGCGAGATTAACATTGGAACAAACAAAGATGAACATTGGAACAAACAAGGACGAACATTGGAAAGCTTTGCGATCAGTTACAAAGTCCACAAGACATCAAGCCAGGAAAATAAAACGCAACAACATGAGCAGAAAACAATGAATACAACACCGGTGGACACTCTCGCCAAAAAAAAACAGAAGGAGATTGAAAGGAAGAATACTATGAAAGCAGCAAAGACTGGAGTGCTGTATTCAGATCTTCTTCTTTTTAGTTCCCTTCTTTGCTTTGCCTTGTAGTGCTGATTCCTTTGTCCGAACCTCGACATCTTCCTCAGTCTTCGCTTTCTTGGCCTTCCTCTTCGTCCTTTTTGTTGGGAACGCATCCTCGTCCTCGGAAGGGAACTCGTTAGGACATCGCCCTATGGGGTCTTCCACGAAAACGTGAGCTCTACAGACTCTCTCCTCTTTAGCTCCATGTTCGTCCCATGCTCCAACTCGAAAGAAATATGGTCGAAAGATTGCAAGCACGTTATGCTGGTTAAGCCTTGTCTCACCCTCGTTGAGGTCGTGGACGAATGCCGCTTCAATTACCTTCGACCGAGAATCAAACTTGGTTGGAATTTGATCCAAAACCCTCCATCCCAGGCTCGGATGCGATGTGGCCAAGTTCTTTGCGAGTACAGCCATCTCATGGTATAGTCTTCCGAGGCTTGTCTTCAATTTGTCTTCGTCTGGGTCTTTGAGTAGGCATCGAAAGACCTTGTCTTCCAGTTTAGTGGCAGCAAATTGAAATGCTTTAGACTTTATAACTCCTTCATTTGCGAGCCCGACGGTCGTGTCTCGACGGACCATCGTGGCAGGGTTCTGGGTTGTCATATTGGCAAGACGTATTGTCTGTGCCCGCCAGTGGTTAGCGTGCTGTAGCTCCCCTAAAACAAGAAAAGCATGTTAGCTTTCAACTCCGTCACAAAGTCACATATTGGAGGAATCGTCACCTTTCTGGAGCGCTTTGTACAGGGTATGCAGCTGAGCGCCAAAAGGAGTCTCAACCTCGGAGCTTTCGCTGTTTGAGAATTCATCGCCGGTATCCAAATACCAGAAGGGGTTTGAGAAGAAAAGTCTCAGGCAATCTTTGAAAATGATCATTGAAGCAAATTTACTCAGGATGGTGTGCCGTATGTTAGGAGGGAGCCGTGAGACCGTTGTGTCAAAGTCATCCTGAACAACCCATCCCTTTAAGCTAGCAATGACATCCTTTTTTTGCTCGTTGGATAGAATCTTATACTTGCTTCCTCTGGCTTGGATGCAATTATTTGATCCCCAGCTCGAACAACTCCACGTCAATGATTTGAGTTCAGGTTCCCATGCTGTAATGCGGAACTGTGACAAGGTGTGCCATCCAAGCATCAACAGCCGATCATGTCGGAGAAAATGGAGATTATCCTTGCAGGTTTTAAGCGCCTCCTTGAGCTCTTCATAAGTGGGAGCCGGTTTGACAGAGTCTTCCTCGTCTTCGTCGGATTCCCACCAAGGAATCTCTCCCTTCTGCTTTTTGATCATTCTGGTCCTTTTTGCTTCTTCTTTTTCTCTTTTTTCTTGTTGCTTGCGATGCCACTCCTCGGCGTCTATATATTTGTCACGGCTGATTCCTTCAAATGGATTTTCGGTCACCCGCTTGGGACGTAGGCCCTGACTCCATGTCACATGAGCTTCAGAGATGTCAGGGATGGGCATGATGAAAATCTGACTTTTGGAAAGTATGGTAAGAAACAACTACTATGGAGCGGAAGCACATCTATTTATCTGAGACTGTGTGGGATCCTTTTCTGCTATGTTTTAGTCTCTTTGACTCTCGCAATGGACTTCCGAAACCATTGCAGATGCGGTTCTTTGTTTTAAAGGAGGGGGGGGGGTGGGAGGGATACGCCACTGCAAGGATGGTTGTCTCTCCCTTTTCTTTTCTTTTCTTTTCTCTCTCTCGGTCGCTTTGTTCCCAGATGAACTTTTTCTTCTTTCACCTGAACCCCTCAACCATGTGCCCAATTTATTTCCGACCACAGATGAGACAGTTGAGAAACACTACAGAGTAGACGGTCAAGAGTCTCTTTGAAAGCAGAGATAAACTGAAACGAAACAAACGGGAAGTCGTCATCTATCCAACTCGATGTCTTGGCCCAATTTCCAACGGAGCTACTGCTGTTGGATCATTATCCACATGTTTAATGTGGGTAGATTATCTGGTCTCTCCAAGCTTCCTTGCCAAAACTGGCTAATAATGTCCAAGTATACATCACCATCCTCATAAGAGCCAGCTACATTCATTAAACTATAATATATATCTACAGATTCGGGATGGTATACTGAACGCTTTTCGGAATCGGAATTGCCAGATAAGCATATAGAAAGTAGAAATTGAATCACCTAGAATATCAGTACAAGTCCACAACAAAGGAAAAATGGGTTCTGCGGCCGTAATCTCAGAAACATATTAGATTTTGCTCAACATACTTGTCTTGAAATACACCGGATGAGATGGTTTGAATCAATCCTAGGTCTATCTTGTGACAAATAGTTGATTCGCAGGCAATGATTTAAATAGAGGTTCGTAGACGGTCCTTCCACATGGCTAAGTCACTCCCAAAGACAGGATTATCACTATGAGCAGCTCCATTCAACACTATCAACCCCCGTCAATAAGTTGCAACCTTCCTAACCGGATCATCATTGGCCTTGACTATGGAACATCAGGCACTGGTAATATCCCTAGCAAGCGCGTTATGGAAGGAGGAACTGCGCTGATAAAGTGCCATCTAGGAGTCAGAATCTACTTTGTTGAAGACAATGTGGCCACTCCTGAAGAACACGTACCATGGCCCTCCGGTGGCGATCAACTGAAAGTGCCATCCAGGATAGCATACCCAGTTGATAACCCATCTTTCACCATGCTTTCCCCCTGCTGGGGATTTACCATCAGTCCTGACATGAGGGCATACTCGTTGACCAAGCTCTTCCTGGATAGCAACACGGCCGATTTTGATGACCAGGTTCTAAAACAAAGGCTTTTCCTTGGTAACCCTGACCAGGTTCTCCACCCTGACAAGAACCGAGCCCCCGTGGATATTGTCACCGACTACCTATCTCATGTGTTGAACTTCGTGTGGAGGGCACTCCAGAATAAGTTAGGTCTGGAACTCAACAGTCTGCCTGTCGTACTTCAATTCAGCGTTCCTGCAACCTGGTCTGAGCAGGGACAACGACTGAGCCGTCATGCCGTACTTCAGGCATGGGATTTTAGGAGACCACAGGATAGGCTTACAATGATGTCCGAGCCTGAAGCGGCCGCAAAAAGTGTACATGCCGAACTCAGGTCTAACTCCATGCTCCAGACTGGAGACGGGATCTTGGTGTGCGACTGTGGCAGTGGGACAGTGGTGCGTCTTCTTGTTCCCGTGTTCCACCACGATTGGAATCCGAGTGTCAAGGGCTCTATTAACAATTCACGTCAAGGATATCGCGTCATACCTTGTCACAGATCCTACCAGTTTCAATTTATCGAGGATAACTGCTATACAAGGCAAGTGATGTGCTCTTCGCTTCGATTATTATATCTATCCGGACGCTGACATGATGCAGGTGCAAAATGTGGAGGCGCGGCTATCGACAGTCGACTTTTTGACCTTATGAGAACGCGCCTCCCTCAGCAAGCCTTCAAGCACCTGAATTATCTCATCGGCCCAGGGGGCGAGTTTATGACAGAGTTCGAAAAGGTAAAAAGGAACTTCCAAAGTCCAGGGGACGGGCCTTTCCATTTGCCACTTCGTATTAGGAGGGGCCGGGCGGCTTGCAGAATGCCATACTTTAATCAGGGGGACTACCAGTTTATCCTGACGGGCAAAGACGTTCAATCACTTTTTGACGGAGTCATCCGCAACATCATTGGCCTGATCAACTCGCAGATGACAGCTGCAGATAGAGAATGCGGCCGCAGGGTGATCAACGTGGGTATACTACTTGTTCAGGTTAACTCCTGCGATAGGGCTAAAATTGTCGTTTGTCCAGAAACTTGTCCTTGTTGGTGGACTGGCATCGTCACCTTACCTTCAAAGTGAACTTCATATGTGCTTTGGAGTTGGGGGAAGAATGCTGTACATGACAGTTTCACCTGGGGAACCGTAAGCTTTCTCAATGGTGATTGATACTCGGTCTAGCTAACATACCGCAAGCACTATGGCTGTTGCTCATGGTTCGGCACTCGCAGCCATGCACGAAATAGAGGTCAGAAAGGTCAGAAGTCCTCGTCATTACGGAGTTGGATGCCCGGGACACCCAGGTATGATTTATTCCCAATCATAAACGGTCCAGATCATTTTAATGAGCAAATAGAAGCAGATATAGAATGGGTAATCGTCAAGGTGAGCCTCACGCAGACTAATTATAATTCCCATATACTACTGGTGAAGGCACTTCTGACGAAAACTTTATCAGGACGAGCCACTTGAACAAGGACGCATCTATACCCGTAGATACCCTTGGTCACATCAGCTGTACCAGGAGGGCCATGCCCAGGTGATGACCATCCCACTCTATTCTTGCGAACTATCCAGTCCGCCGCCCACTACTCGATTCAGCGGTACGAACCTTGAGCATGAAGCATAGAATTATGTACTTGCTAACTTAATTCAGGTGTAACACTCGAGGGGTTCATTCTTGTCGATTTCTCCTGTCTGGAGCTTGGTCTCCTTCATCGAGGGGGTGCGACTAGTCGGATGCTCTATGAGCCGGAGGACTTTGTCAAGTACATTTTTTACGCGGAAAACAGAACTTTGAACTTTGGGGTGGAGGTACTTGGAAAATTGATAGGCCAAAAAACCCTTCAATTGCGCTTTTGAAATTACACATAGCAGAAGACATGATGTTTGACTTGGGGGTCGTGATCATCCAGGAATAGCAACTACTAGTACTGCCAATTATCCTTCACATATGCCAAAAACAACCATCGCTGTTCGATTGACGTGTAGTAGATAGACCCTACCAATGTACCCGAAGGAGACCGGAACCGCCACAATGTGAGCAAAAGATCAATGCTCTCCGGGAAAATGGACTCCATAATAAAACCACGATTGAATGTACTTCCCTTTTCGAACTACGTATCGCCAAAACTGGTAATGTCCTCACAATTCCCACCGCAGGAAGAGCACGCCGAACGCCAATATCTGCCTTCACTCGGCTATTATCTCAGTTTCTAAAACCGTGAATAAGGCAACTTCCCTCGCCATCCAAATCCCAGATGGCAAAGGGTCCAAACCAGAACATATTGCAGGATAGGTTCAGGGCCCTATGAAAATCAGTTCTAGACATGGTACTTCGTTTAAATAGATAAAGAAATCAGGCCAGGTTGAGATTTATTAATCTCCTACTTATCCAAAATAAAGCACCCATGCCGAAAGATAGCATATTTGTTGGTACGGGCTGCTTCGTAGGAAGAAATGGAAATTGGGTGTGGGGGTGATAACTATAAAACACGCTAATCTAGCGTGACGGCCCCAACTAATAAAAGCAGCCATAGTATACGAAGTACCGAGGCTATAGTTCTGTAAGCCAGTAAAAACATACACAGGGGTAAAAGAGGAAAGTAAAGCCAGCTCGAACGGGAGCCAGCCGGGCGGCTTTGGATCGGTCAGGGTCTTGAAACACGGGAAGCTAGCGAGATCACTGTAACCCTACGATGTATACTCACGATCTACATGAAGTATTCCAAGGTTGGCTTCATTTTGCGAGCTAATCAAGCATAAACAATATACTCCTAGGAAAGAGGGAAAAGTATAAATCATCAACGCCCGCTCTTCAAATGCCTATACAACATCCTCGAACCCTCCCAATCCCATCATCCCACGACCCCAAAACCAAAAGCCAACATGTCCTTCAAGCTCCTGCTCGCTACCCTCCCAGCCCTGGCAATTGCCTGCACCGGCCCCGCAATCAATGAGAACGGCCTTGATCTCATCAAGAGCTTTGAGTCCTTCCAACCAAACGTCTACGATGACGGCTTCGGCAATCCCACCCTCGGCTATGGCCATCTCTGCGGCGACTCCACTTGCTCGGAAGTGACATTCTCCCAACCACTGACTGAGGAGACAGCCAGTCAATTGCTTGCCAATGACCTAGTGGTAAGTTTTCACAAGGGCGCTCTGCCCCCTTGGAAACATTACACCACGCTATATTAGCTGGTCTTCCAAGGTTGGTATGTAATGAATAAACTATCTAACACGAATAACAGAGCTACCAAGATGGCATAACAAACGCCCTTGCCACCGCGGTCACCTTGAACGACAACCAGTACGCAGCGCTCGTATCGTGGACTTTCAACGTTGGCAACGGGAACATGCAGTCATCCAGTCTGATCAGCCGCATGAATGCTGGTGAAGATGTGGGGACTGTGGCGTCTGAGGAGCTTCCGAAATGGAACAAGGCTAATGGGGACGTTGTTGCTGGGCTGACGCGCCGCCGGGCCGAGGAAGTGGCGCTGTTTGGTGAGGCTTCCGAGACAGGAGCTTTGCCTGTTGGCTGTTAAGTCAGGAGTTGTAAGATTAGACTCAGGCTATCTTTTAGTGGAGATACAGAGGATGATGGATCTATTTTTGATTAATCAATGCGTAAGTTCACTCTCAATATGAGTTCGAGGTTATATACAAGTCAATCTAGCAGTGATAACCGCGGTAGTTTGCAATAAATCAACGAAATTGAGGATAATAATGGATAGCCACCGTTACCGTTTAGGGGGGACTAAACACCAATAGAAATAATATGGAGCTATCCAAGCATCTAGATACTGCCACACCTGTCCTCCGAGGTTGAGGTTGCCGAACATTTAACGTCAAAAGTGCAAAACATCCTTCATGTCGTTGGAAGAAAGAGCTGCAGCTAGATAAGGTCGTGCCTGGTGATGAGTTCAGTATAGTTCGCAGAGCAACCACTTCAGCTCTTGCTGCAGGAACCCCGGGTACCCATCAAGGTCGATCCGCAGGTTCTATCCAAGAGGCACTAAAGCGCGCTCATGATGCCTGCGAGGTGTGCTCAGCTACGAATGTACCTCGAGACCTCCTGAAAGGTCTCCGTGGTGTACCACGGCTCCAGTTTGGTCAGGACGGGAATAGAGGGGGTGAATGATGTTGACTGCAGAGCAGGTTAGCGAAGGTTCTATACTGGGTAGTGGACATCTTACTTTTTGCGAAAAGGAAACAATCCGACATGGCCCTTGGGTCAATGCTAAGTCTGTCTACTGCCCGCGGACTCGGAAAATTCCATGGCCAACCCCCCTGGTGTCGAGATCGCAATATTGGCGTGGAAGTTACGGTAGGATTACTTCCAAAATTTGTCTATCGCTGCTCCAGGTAAACTGTGGGATATCGGCTAAAGCACCGCTGTCGGATCGCTCAGTGATAACGTTGACGTCCCGTGCTTCTTAGACCTTTTGGCTTCTTGTGTCACATGTAATAGGGGAGGATGAGGAAGGAAAGTTCACATTGGTCACACGGGCACAAAGAAGGCGGCAAATCCGCCGAAGAAACGAGGTTAACACCTGCCTCTCGCAGGATGTGTGTAATTTGACTATCAACAGAGTTCAGATGTTCGTGGTCAGATGGATTAGGTGCCATTTTAATAATTATGAAGAGTAAAAAAGAAAAGAAAAGAAAAGACAGTGGTTGATTAAAGTATCACAAGGTTGGAGTCAGAAAGGACGAGTCCATTGGAGCGGAAGAGAAAAGAGAGGAAAAATCAGGACCCTGAAGAGAGAAGGTGTAGACTACCTACCTAGGTAGGTAAGGTTTGATATGAAATAAGCGAAGGGGAAGGTCAGAGGAGAGAGGGAGGGAGAGCTGGAGAAAGGCAGACAAACCAAGATTTCAATCGCTCACTCAGTTCGACTTGACTTTTCACTCTACCCTACTCTACCAGGTTATGGCCCGATCAACCTCGAAGGTCGTCCTATCCGGCCTCAAAGACAGGTTGAAGAAGCTAGACAAAGGAGTTAGGTTCATGAAAGGATGATACCGGGGCAACATCTATGAGACCGACCTGAGCCTCGTTGAACGTGTTATTCAAGATGGCAGATGTTACAAGCCCTTGCGCAAGTCTAGAGCCTGTCTCGCCGGTTGAGTGATTTGTGGATCTTCTCTAGCAAGACCTTGGGCCGTGGAACTATCTTGAGAATTAGTTTCATTCCTTTTATTTCGTCCTTGCAGTATTATTGCTAGAATTTCAGAATTAACCATTCCACAGTCGATCACCAAAGGTTTCTTGATGTTCCGACTAGGCCCTTGCTGTTAGGGTGGCAAGATAAATCAGTTGCAGGGCTCCGAATATATATTTCTAAAGCAAATTTTCTGCCAACACACATGCCCTAAAGCTACACCAAAAAAACAAAAAATAGCAAGCATTAGAATATTCAAATATGCCCAGTAATTCGGAATCAAAAAAGATAAAAGAGACAAGGAGAAAAAAAGACAAGGAGAAAAAAGACCAAGACCAAAAAAAATTAGTTTCCCTGGGAATCGAACCCAGAACCTTTCCGGAACACTTGCTAAGGGCAATTGTTAACGGAAAATCATAACCGCTAGACCAGGAAACTGCTTGATGGAAGAGCAGCCAGGTCATGATATTTTGAAGAGAAAGCAAAGGGACAGCTTTGGAACATTATCTGTAGGACGGGTTCACAACCATGCATTGACTGTATGGCATGTGGTTGATTCCCCCAGTAAGAGTATTTCCTAGGAGGGGTGCCTTAAGTAGGAAACTAGATACCGCCTTCAAGGCGTCACAGCCTATGGATGTAAACATCCGTGGTAACCTTTGAAGCTACAATGATAGTAGAGCTATTATTCCACAACCACTTAGTATATGTAGGAGCCGTGAAAGCTGCTCAAGTTGTGAATATGCTACTAGCATGAGTATGGGTCGCTCATTAATCGGACAGATAATAGTATGAATTGGTAGAGGTAAGAAAGACACGACTCTGGTCATTTCTAACATGACTGGTCCTCCACAATACTGTATACTAATCTAACTTTGGGAGTCTCGCCAGCGAGAACCACCCAATCCCCGAGGTGTTTCACCTTCCACCTCTTCCTCCATTCACCAGCATCTCCGCCACCACTCTCCCACGCGCTCCCAGAACGTGGGCAGACCGGGGTCCTCCTCCACCTTGACTAACTCGCGCAGTGGAGACTGCACGCGGGGGAAGACGTATGGACGGCCGCGGCAGCGGCGACGACGAGACCTTCCCGAGACACTGCCAAACTTGTGCTTGGCAATTTGGCGCTCGCAGATGGCGAGCTGCTCGCTCAGCTCTCGTTGCATCTGCTGCAAACCGCGGTACGTTACCAGCAGCTTGTGGAGGTCATTTAGCGCTGGTTTGCGCTTCTTCCTCGCCTAGTAGCAAGGACATGTCAGTTTCTGTACAAAAGTATAAACTGATAGGGAAAGTGAACTCACCCGCGAGGAATCATGCTCACTTGAGCGCTTTCTCTTCCTCGTGCCTGATGGCTGCCTTGAGTTAGATTGTGTACGTAGATCAGTTGAAGCTGGGATGGAGACTTACTAGTGAGGGTTGGTCATACTCACTCCCGCTGGTATCCATGTTGCTTTGCTTAGGGGGATGCAAAGAGAGATGTGAACATGATAGGAAATAACCCAGATGTGACATGACAATTTTGTATGAATTTATGCAGTCATACTATAGGCAACGCATTTGGGTTTTTTGAATAGCTACTGTGCTCATTATGCAGAAAAGTAACATACTAGGATGCCACTAAATGAACGAGGTCCGCTTCTCTCATTCACTACAAGGACAATGGGAATTCAACGAACGACAATAAGAGACCATGTGAGAAGGACCAGCCGATTTGAATAACAATTTTATTATAAAGGAAGATTGTTTGCTTCACGTGCAACAATAGATTCAACTTAGACTAAGCAATACCAAGAGTCACATAATAAGAAAGCAAGGAACAAGTGATGCGAAAGCAAGAGATTCACCGAATAAACAATAAATTGACTAACGATAGTATAGCATGGTCGAGGGTGGCCAATGATGCCAGGCTGAAAGTCCTTGATATTGAATAGAAAGCTCAAATATCATTGCTCGCTCAGGATTCCACTCTATGACCATGTCTTCGAGTATGTAGCTTTGAATAAGATATCTATTGGTCTATACTCTATAAAGCTACTCGACACAAAAATTCCCATTTTACTTAACTAGATCATGCTGCTCGCACTTTAAAGCAAGGCCAGAACTTGCCAGTCTGAACATTGACAGTGTTGAAAATATTTTGGTGGTGAAAGGCAGAGAGCGCTTGACGCATTCCAGGCTCTCCAATCTTAATCTGTTCCAAAATCTCCGCGACAGCCAAGTAAAGGACACCAATATTACCATCTTCAATCTTCACTGAAATCCCGACAGCACCCTTTGCTCCTAGAGATCTTGTATGCTCACACTCCCGAATACCAATCCCATAGCAGCCATCCGCCCCAAGTTTACCAATCAGCAAGCCTTGGAATGCAGTCATGAGGATTGTACAAAACCGATGCTCTCCCGCGACGAACTCGGGATGTTTCCACATGGCATGGAATATACGACTCAGCGCCTTCGTTCTCGAAGAAACACCGGAACCCGACGACGCCACGGCATCAGCGGCAGCAGCGAATGTCGCATTCATCCGAGCCAAATAATGCAATTCGAAAGCGGGAGCAGGCAGATTACACCCATCAAGACCCCAAACAGACCCGTCCACCCCAAGACCGCACACATCATCAACAACACGTTTCACATGCATCTGAACAGGATGCGTAGACAAGTGATAATCCGCCACATCACCACCCAACACCTTCGCCCCCGCGATCATGCCGACATGCTTGCCAGAACAATTACTACAAACCGGAGTTGGCGTGAAATCGCTCTTGATCCAAGCGCGCTGTACAGTCTCAGAGAGAGGAGGATGCCCACCGCAGCGGAGATCAGCCTCCGAAGCAGAGACTTTCGACAACATACTCCGGGCGCGGGCGATATGTCGTTCTTCGCTGCTATTCGACGCACACATGAAAGCCAGATCGGCCTCGTCGAAGTTGAATTTGTCCACTGCGCCCGTTTCAACAATTGCTAGCGCCTGCGCTGGTTTGGCTGCTGAGCGGGCGAGCGTGATTCGATAGGGGTCGCCGACTGCATAGAGCAGATTGCCCGCGGCGTCGGTGATGGCTGCATGGACGCTGTATCGATTTTCCACGACACCGCCGCGGTCTGAGACGACAAAGTCGGTTGGGATGATTTTGCGCATTCTGGATCGTCTCGTTGTAATATGGTGATGTTGGTCTTTTGCGGATTCTCGGGGTATTTGGCGACCACCCGAGGTGACACTGTGGTCGGAAAGTTCCGACACGAGACGAGAAGATCCACTATTTCGACTACCAGAGAAGGGCTATATCAGACAGGAACGATTGTTGGCATCTTGTCTAAGTAGATCCTGTAGATGGTGTATTGTTGTAGACCATGTCTAAAAATGATATCCGCTCAATAACGCCCCCGTCTAAGTCTATATTAAATGCAGTGTAGATCCCAAACGCTGAATTGACGCCGATAACCAGAAATGTCGAAACAAAAAGGCTGACACATGACACATATACAACAGAAATATGTTCATAAATGCAAATAAATGACTAGAAGCTGAACAAACCAGTGCGCTTCTTGCCGTAGGGGTAGACAACCAAAGCCGCGATAAACAGCCCGACTGTGATACCTATCGCGACTTGGATCATGCCGAAACCAAGACTGGCAACTGAAGTTTCAGAGAGAGCACCAGAAGCCACAGTAGTCCCATTATTGTCGAGGTTCTGGCGAACCTCGTTGGCGTACTCAATGCCTGCAATTAAAGACCCACTAGAAGCAAGGCCAGAGGGTACCAGCACAAATATACCGGGAAGAATGGCGGTAGCGGCATGGCCATGCCAGACCCGACTGTACAGATTGCCTAGCACACCAATAGTGAATGCACCGACGGTATTGGCGACTTCTGATTGGGGACCGAGCTTGGTGGTGCTGAAATAGTTGGCGACGTAGCCGCACACAGCGATGAAGACCATGACGGGCATCTGTTTCCATTTTCCGTGGTTCACAATGGCCAGGAAAACAGCGTAGATAGCCACAAAGGGGAATGTGCGTGCATAAACCGATCCGTACACATCCAGGCCTGAACACGTAGATGCCGACGTTGCATTGGCATCCATCAGCCCGTAGATCGTAGTCCCCACTGTGATACCATAGCCCAAAAAGAGAGAGTAGATAATGGCATACACCATCCGGATCGAACCAGCGATTATTTGGTGAGACTGCAGTTCCAGACTGCTACAGAGAACCATGAATCCGGGGAGAATCAGAGCGATAGATGACTGTGCCATAGCGGAGAAACAGAAAAGTGGTTCAGATGTACCATTGCGGGTGACCATGATGCTGCCAAATGCGCGGGCGAGGAAGGAAGTCACGATGGCAGCAGTAACCTCAAAGACGTTGGAGTAGAGGGTGGACCGTGGCGCGAGAACGTGCTGCATCAGCCCAACGATGCAACCTAGACAGAAGATGATGGGCATATCGATCGGGCGGGCCTTGAAAGCGAACGGACCGACGGTCGCACTAGCAAGACCGTACACCAGGACCAAGACCCATTTGTTGAATCGGGGCTTGCGCTGCATAATATCGTCCAGTTCCTGGGTTGCCTCTTCGACACCGATAAGATCGTGAACAACATTCTTATAAACGTTGTGTGTATCAGCAAGGCGACCAAGGTCGACTCCCTGCACCATTCGCACAAGTTTGACTTCGGCCGTGCGTGTGGTAGGATCATCAAAGGACATGATCATACAACCGGGCAGATATAAAGAATTGGCCCGAAACTTCCAGGACCCGGGCAGTCATTTGCATATACTCCTCCAGACGATGGGTCGGGGCACCGTATCGCATAAGCGCACGGCACAGTTGCATGATGTACCGCTGACGTGCGATGATCTCCGCGATATGGACAGTGACACGGATTTCGTCTTCCAGACGGGTCTTTCGCTTGCTTCTCTTCCATTTCTTGTGCACACCCGGCGCGGCCTCTGCCGCAGCAGGCAGACTGGCCGTGCTGAGGTTCATGGAGGCATTGACCAGCGACGAGGTGGACAGATGGGCTGACTTCTTGTACCATTTGAGCTTCTCCTTGCGCGGGGTAGCGGCACCAGATGTTGGCAGAGACAGAGAAGCAGGGAGTGGGGGCGAGAAAGAACCTTTCTTCGGGGTGGAAATACCGGAGGAGACCTGCGTGTCACTGTCAGAGTCATCCGTGATGACACTTTCCGGGCGCGAAGAGCTTCCAGTCTGGGCGGCCTGGAGCTTCAGCAACTGCGACAAAATGCCGCTGCCACCGCCCAATCCACTGGACCGTCTGCGCTGCGTAAAGGCGCTGATCAAGCCCTCGGGAGTTGTCTGTCCCGACCGCTGATATGCGCCCCGAGGTTTCCGCTTGCGCAGCTGATCCTGAACCATGGTCATGCTGCGGACCAAGCGATGAGCCTCGGCGCTAGGGGGCGGCTCAATAACATCCTCACCAGTCTCCAATGCGTGCGCTCGGTCGGCGTCATGGCGAGCGCGGCGGGCCTGTAGCTCCTCAAGTGGGATACCGCTGTCGAAGTCGTCTGGAAGGTATGAGGCGTTGAGGGGCTCGCCTTCATCCGTGGGGCGACCGAGGCGTTCCGTCAAGCGGCTAGTTTTCTGTCGCAAAAGCTGACCGGTGGCTCTGAAGCGGTCGCGGGCTGAGGTAGTCCGGTCCATTTTACCAAAATCATGTTTCTCGGTCTCGCCCAACTCGTCGGGGGTGTGCACGTTGGCCAGGCCAGAGCCACCCCGGGAATGGGTGGGGGCTGGCGGGGTGATGGTTCCGGAGAGCGGGACTTCGCTGAGGTCTGGGGACGACAATAACGGGCGCGACGAGGGATGTGAGGCATCTTCGTTCCGGCGCAGACTCAGCGAACGAAAGCGAACCCTGTGATGGGATCGACTGCGAGGCCGTGTGGGTGGCTCGAGTCCGGCATCATATTGATTGACATCGACGGTAGCCTCACGCTCAAGGCTTTGACGATCACCGGGGTTGTCAATGATTGGAAGAGGATATTCTGCGTATTCTTCATTTGGGCTGGGATGTGGGTTGATGAAGCCCGACATGAAGGGAATGTAAGTGAGCTCGGTGGCTCGGTGGCTCGGGAGATTAGCCGAGAACGAACTGCAAGCCGTCTATGCAGGTACAAGGCACAACGAATGATAGGAGTCAGAGGTGAAAAATAATATATGAAAAGATGAACAGGTTTGAAAAGGACAGGAGAATAAAAAGAGGGGAAAAATGTAAAGAGTCTCTCTCTTTTTTTTTTGATAAGGCTAGAACAGGATTAAATGGCAAAACCAAGGAATTGGCCAAGAAACTCCCTCGTTCGTCTTGGAGAGCTAAAATAGTTAAAAAAGGAGTCTAGATCTTCAGATAATGAAATCATAAATATCATAAAATACTTGGATTTATATGCACATCCTCTACAGAGTACGTTAATAGGCCCAACCCTAAGTTTACCTATTAATCCTGCAAGTGTACATCCATGGGTCCATGCACACTGACATATCTCCCTCTATCATTCGGGGAATAGAAAATCATTCTAGATCTTCTAAAGTACGTGCTACTTGCATATCAGCGAGGTGGTGTGGGTCATATTGTGGCGATCTTTTATCCAGCATTTGGCATCCATTCGGGCTAAAATGGTCTATGTTGTATGGTTGTGCTTGTTCCCATGTTCCCATACTCCCATGTACCCTGTAAATACTCCATTTTTATATGGGCTTCATATACTCCATAGTGCATTTGTTTGTTTTTCTATTGAACTTTCTTGTTCTCCTTATCTTTGGCACATACAAACAACCCCTTAGGCCGCGTTTGGACTACCCAAAACGTCGATCCTGACCCACGTATTGGGCAGTTATTTTGCAGCCACCTCCTGAGATGAGTGGAGTGGAAAGTGTCAGTGCTATACTCCGTAGAGTCCCTTGCAAATCTGATTCCACTTGTGATATCAAAGAACAGACCTCACGACTTATAGATAGAAGCAAGACCCACTTAAACCCACATAAGGGCCCTCAGGATTCACGCAGAACATTACGAATTGAAAGCTCGCCACCTGGTGGAGTTCAAAAGGACATGGCGCAAAATCTGTGTTGCACATGATTGAATGATTTTGCGATTTTCATTTGGTCGAGACCTTTCCATACATATGTATGCTTACCTAGGTAACCCCTCTATCCCTTCTTTATCATTTGTGTTATCTTGTACGACGCTCAGTTGAGGTTGTTTCCCTCTCCTTACCTATTACCTACAACATTAGGTAGAAACAGTCCATTCAAATCTTGGAAATGCCCACGTTGAGTTATGCCGCGCATGGAGGCCACGCAACGGATGAGAGCCACAAAGGGACGACCAGAATGTGGTCCAGTCTCTGTCCACCAATGGACCATGCACGATAGGGGTTGCCACCCAAAAAAGGGGTGAAGACAACCTAAGCTAGAGAAAAATTATGGCATAGCAAAAGTTTGTACAAAAGAAATTCCACGAACTAGTTAAGAGTGAGGTGATATATAGTTCTATTTTGTGAAGTCGTGAATATGATTTGGAGGAATAATAAATAACACCAGGCAAACCTCGATGGCAAACCCCACTATGCAAACCAATCAAACATCTGGATGACTAAGCATACCAGATGGCCCCAGGACATGCCCATGTCCATCGATTTAGTATGTGACAGCAAGTGCAGTCCATGGCACCTCCGAAATATTGGGCTACACCTTTGTACCCAGGTATACCGCCCTATATACCGTCTCCCTCTTGAACATACCGCCACAAGAATACATAAGCGGCCGTAGTCTCTTAATGGTCTTCTCAGGTAGTCTTATCCGGTAGTATTTTCATATGTCACTTTTAGTGGTCTTTTTAGTAGTCTCCTTAGGTACATACCATTGACTGCTAACCGTTAGTGCTAAACCATGTGCCTGCACGCTAACTATACTAGGAGTTTCAGACTGGCAGAACTGGCAGAATATTTGGAGGGCGGTACCTGGTTAAAAAGGTTTAGCTCAATATCTCTCCTACTGTACTTATGTAGGACACATACATTTATGTATGCTTGATCAACTTTTTGTCCTCCAAATTCCATCATCCTCACCAACTTACCCAGCACATAAAGGTATGCTATCCCATATTAACGCAACCCACCAACGTACCCAAGAGTCTGCCCCTTCACCCGATCAAAAGTACTGCCCACATTTCTATTCACCTTTACCTCCCGTATTTTGGACTCGAGTCCCAGATTTTTGAACGTACAAGCACGCAAAACCGGGAACAGAACGGGCGAGAGACGGAGCGTGGTAGTTCGGTCGCCCGAGTTCAGGGAAGACGGCAGCGTCATGAGGAACCGAAAAAAAAAAAATTATCATTGGGACAAGAAAAAGAATTCGGAGAGCTTAAGGACCGGAGCCAGACGACTGTTATCTTGGACAAAGTCCCATCGTGCCTTCCTCAATTTGGAGCTTCCTGGTCGTTGGCCATAAAGCATAGGACGAAGAGTGGGGGATCCAAGCAATATGTTGAGTGTGCTGTTTGAAAATTGTAAAGACTTTCGGAGATGATAGAGATTCCAACCTTGAAAGGTTGCATACAGTTAATTATTACACTATAGTAGCCCAAAAAGCCATGTGGACGGCGAATCGATAGAATCAAACGCCAATAGGACCTGATTTTGGACACACGTTTACCAACCTGGTAATATCAACGGTGATATATAACGTGCTTTTGTTTTAGAATTGGAAATTGGATTGAGTACAACGCCGAGTGGGATACGTGGAGTGTGCTCACATATCCAGATCGACGTCTGTGAAACTGACAGCTACGCCGAGTTCAGGGCAAAGTGGATCTGTCTCCTCGCGGCGAGTTTCAAGGCCCCTGGTCGTTCGTGCGTATCGATGAAATGAAGCCGAACGAGGTGATTGCCTTTTCCGCGGTGGGTTGTTGTTCGCCACGAAGGAAAATATAAAATGTCGCAGGCAGACATGGCTATCACCATGGCAAGTCGCAGTGATTTTTGCTGACAACGGCACTTTTGCTCTACTTCATTTGCCTATCTCGCTACCCAACACAATGCCCCTACGATTGTTGTGTCTCCATGGCTGGGGGACGAATCAGAGGGTAAGCTACCGACATGGCTGACAGGGGGGTGACTGGATCCTAATTCGCCAATAGATTCTACAGTCGCAACTGAGTATGCAATCTCCTGCTTTAGTCGAGAGACACCAAACTCTAATCCAACAGGTGGGCTCATGCATGAGCTCCAACGCGACAATACCGCGACCTTCTCTTTCCTCGAAGGTGACGTCGATTCAGCCCCGGGCCCCGGAATCGCCGGTTACTATGATGGTCCGTACTACAGCTACTACCGTTTCCCACGCACCTTTTCCCACGAGGACATGGACGAATCCGACATCCTGGAGGCATACGAGCAACTGAGTGAAACAGTTGCCTTGGAAGGTCCGTTCGACGGGGTTCTAGGCTTTTCCCATGGCGGCACATTGGCTGCTGGCTTCATGATCCACCATGCCAAGATGAATCCGAATGAGCCTGCGCTATTTCGATGCGCAATCTTCATCAATTCCCTGCCACCTTTCCGCATGGAACTTGGGCAGCGTCCTGTCGTAGAGGAAGGATTAGAGGGGTTCATCTCCATCCCCTGCGTGCACATTGCCGGGGCCAAGGACCCACTCTTCGAATACTCGATGGCTTTGTATCGGCTCTGCTCTGCGAGGTATTCGACATTTGCCGTACATGGGAAGGGCCACGATGTCCCCAGTGATCGGAAGAATGTCGCCATAATCGCCACTGCAATTCGAAAACTGTCCAGTCAAATCTTGTGACACCAGATACCAAAGAAAGGGTTTTCATTTCGGTTGTGCGACACGGAGGCAAAGGTTGGGTGAAAAAAACGTTGGCTGAAAGGGGAGAGTAGTATGTTTGCGGTTGTGGAACATAATTTCCAAGATGTTGTTGTAATAGTATATTGCAGATTCTTCGCGAAGGCAAAAAAAAAAAGTGTTTCAGATCGAGATATTCATGGCCTTTGAGTTTTGTTTCGCCGTTGAGGGTTGCACCCGGATACTTACCTCGCTGCGACTTGATGTGACACCTTCCCACATGTCCCGACGTAGATTGTCACGGAAGATGGATGGCGTCAAAAGGCCGAGAAGACCGATGGCTATGATACGGGGAAGCCCATTGCCCTGGCGTGAGAAAACCCAGTCCCCTCGCTTTTCCCTGGCATGCGATATATGGTTATTCGCCGACCTCCAGCGAACCAAAAGCAATAATGTCGTCACAAACCAGCGTCAAACCCCCAAAAGCGACCATTTCAGAAGATGATCTGGCAAACTTGGCCGCTGGATCTTGTATACCGATAGCAATCGTGGGAATCGGCTTCCGGGGACCAGGGGATGCCAAAAATGTCGAGAGGCTGTGGGAAATGATTCTCACGGGTAAAGAGGCATGGAGCCCAATTCCAGCTAGAAGGTGGAACAGTGCAGCATTCTATCACCCAGATCATGCTCGCCATGGAACCGTAAGTGATACATGAAATGAGTCGGAATAATCAATAATGTGGGAGTAGATCAATGTAGAAGGTGGCCATTTTCTGGAAGAGGATGTATCGGTGTTTGACGCGCCGTTCTTCAACATGACAAGTGACGAGGCAGCGGTGAGTACAGATTCGAGCGTTGTCGAGCTCATCTAACGGTGAGCCAATCAGGCCATGGATCCCCAGCAGAGATTGCTCTTGGAGGTAGCATATGAAGGCCTTGAAAATGGCAAGTTACTCCTCCGAATCACGTTTTCAAGGCTGATGGTAGATAGCTGGCATTCCTCTGACCAACATCATGGGCACAAAGACGTCCTGTTTTGTGGGGTCTTTCTCTGCAGACTATACGGATCTCCTACTTCGGGATCCCGAGTGTGTGCCCATGTATCAGTGCACAAACGCCGGACAATCGCGTGCAATGACGGCAAACAGGCTGTCTTATTTCTTTGACTTGAAAGGGCCCAGCGTTACGGTAGACACAGCCTGTTCGGGAAGTCTTGTAGCACTTCATTTGGCATGTCAAAGCCTCCAGACAGGGGACGCATCGACAGCGATTGCAGCGGGAGTCAATTTGGTATTGAGTCACGAGTTTATGTCGACGATGAGCATGATGAAGTATGTGAAAAATTACCCACGACCGGAAAGACTAGACTGATTCAGCGCTAGGTTTCTCTCCTCAGATGGGAGATGCCATACCTTTGATGAAAAGGCGAATGGGTACGCGCGAGGCGAGGCAGCTGGCTGTCTCATCCTTAAACCCTTAGCCAAGGCGTTACACGACCACGACAAGATTCGGGCCGTGATACGAGGCACGGGTTCCAACCAAGACGGGCGCACTGCAGGGATAACACTACCCAACGGAGCAGCCCAAGAAAGTCTGATCCGAAGTGTGTATGCACGGGCTGATCTGGATCCCTCGAAAACCGATTTTGTCGAAGCTCATGGGACAGGCACACTGGCCGGAGACCCAGTTGAGACAGGGGCGATCGCTCGTGTCTTTGGAATTGGTCGTCCACCTGACAACCCTGTGCGGATTGGCTCCATCAAAACCAATGTCGGCCACTTGGAAGGTGCAAGTGGAGTAGCAGGTGTGATCAAGGCAGTGCTGATGTTGGAAAGCCGCATGTTTTTGCCAAACAGGAATTTTGAGAAAATTAACCCGCGCATTCCACTCGATGATTGGAAACTCAAGGTTTGGATATTCGGGCAAGTTGGAAGTTGGAGACTAACATCGGTAGGTTCAATTGCACCCTGAGCCATGGGAGACCACAGGGCCTCGTCGCGTTTCTGTGAATAGTTTTGGATACGGTGGAAGCAATGCCCATGTCATTGTCGAAGATGCCCAAGGCTATCTATCTAATTGGGGATTTGACGAACATCACACAATCATATCAGCTACGACCAACAACCACGCAGAGACCGTTCTTAGTTCGCCGCTTGCTTTATCTCGCATATTCATGGTCTCCGGGTTCGATGAAAGAACTTGTGCACAACAGATGGAGGCTCTGAGCAATCATATTATCGATACGGGACACAAAGTTGACCAAGAGAAGTTTCTGGACGACCTTGCATTCACAATCAATGAGCGGCGCTCTATCTTTCCATGGAAGGCAGCCGTTGTCGGAGACACGGTTGCAGGTTTGGCAACCTCGCTCTCCCAGAATGTCAAGGCTAGGAGCGCTGTTCGGAAGCCAAGGCTTGGTTTTGTCTTTACTGGGCAAGGCGCACAGTGGGCCGGTATGGGAAGGGAATTGCTTCAGGCCTATCCTATCTTCAAAATGTCAATTTTGGCGATCGACAAGTTTCTGATTGACATCGGAGCTCCTTTCACAGTGGAAGGTACACAGACAACCACTTTTTAGAAGTTCCACGCACTGACACGTTGAAAACAGAGGAGATCACAAAGACCCCCCCGGGACTCCGATTTGAACCATCCAAGTCTCAGCCAGACAGTGTGTACGGCCTTGCAGATAGCGCTGGTCGACTTGCTAAAATCATGGAATATACACCCAGACTCCGTGACTGGACATTCCAGCGGGGAGATTGCCGCGGCATACGCTACTGGTGCACTCGGCATGTATGATGCAATGTCGGTGGCATATTACCGAGGGGTTGTAGCAAGCCAGCTTTTGCATGACCAACCAAATAGAGGTGCCATGATGGCAGTTGGGATGTCTGCCGAAGAGGTACAGCCCTACTTGGACGAATTCCAGCCTAGACAGCTGGTCGTCGCGTGTATCAACAGTCCATCCAGCGTAACGATATCAGGCGATATACTTGCGATTGATGCGCTCGCACAAACACTGAAAGATCAGCAGGTGTTCAGCCGACGCCTTGAAGTGGGTGTCGCTTATCACTCTCCTCATATAGAGCAGGTTGCCGAGCAGTATCACAGCCTGATAGGCCATATCCAGCCTCGAGGACTAGATCAGATAGCAGAAGACAAGAGAGGAAAATGGCCATTGTTCTTTTCTTCGGTTACTGGAAAGATGGCTCCTTTGCAAGAATTGCATGCCCGGTACTGGGTGTCTAACTTGGTCGGGCAGGTCAAATTCGCCCAGTCCCTGAGGACTTTGTGTTTTGAGACAAATAGTCAGCGTGGTGGGAATACAGGAGCTTCCCGAATAAGAAGGGCTGGGGCAGCCCAAAAGCCTTCTGTGGATTGTCTCATCGAGATTGGTCCCCATGCGGCACTTTCCGGGCCGATCAAGCAAATTCTCCAGGCTGATGCGAAGCTCAACGCCGCCGATATAGCTTATATTAGCATCCTCACGCGGAAGGCCAACGCAGTCACTACAGCTCTCGGCGCAGTTGCCACACTAGTATCACTCAACTACCCCATTAACTTTGGCACGATCAACAGGCCTGCGGGAGCCAAGAAAGGTAGCACACCGCAGCTACTGACCAATCTTCCAACCTATGTCTGGAATCACTCCAGGTCATATTGGACAGAGCCACGATTGAGCAAGATGTATCGGAACCGAATATCGTCGCGGATGGATTTACTTGGTGCGCCCGACAACATGGCATGTCCATTTGAGCCTCGCTGGAGAAATTATATTCGAACCTCAGAGCTTCCTTGGCTTCTCGATCACAAGATTCAGGGGAACATTGTTTTCCCTGCCGCAGGGTATCTGGTAATGGCAATCGAAGCATCAATACAGTTAAACAAAGAAGAAAAGATTGCTAGATATATCCTGCGAGATGTGGCAATACAATCAGCCCTGGTTCTCAGTGAAACTTCTGCTGTCGAGGTTATGGTGTCCCTTCAGAAGTCGACACAAGACCAAGAACATTTGTACAACTTTCATATATACTCTATCTCGGAGGAGAACAGGTGGATTGAACATTGCACTGGCTTGGTCGGGACACAAAAAGGTATTGGTGTTTCAGGTGATGGAGCCGAGGAAAGTGATGGTTATGCAACGGTCCCTTTGGGGACTGAAGTCCATGGAGTATCAGTGATTGACGTCCGTGACTTTTATGAGAAGCTTCAAAATTCCGGGTTGGAATACGGGCCATGCTTTGCGAATATGACAAAAGCACGTGCGACCAAAGACGGGGCGTGCTTTGCAGAAGTCACTGTGCCAGATACACTATCCGTGATGCCTGCATCGTTTCAGCATGAGCTTTTGGTTCATCCATGCACTTTGGATAGTGTATTCCAGACTATTTTTGCAGCTTTACCCCCGGGTATGGGGATTGAGGAAGGACCTGCAATTCCTGTCTCCATCGAAGAGATGGTTGTATCATCCCGTCTGAGCTGTTCCGCAGGAGAGCCCATGAGTATCTGTACTAACGTGCGCCCGATGCCAAATAAGGATGTGATCGCATACATAGTCGCGGTCAATTGCAACGAGAAGCAGTTCAAAACCGAGCCAACTATCTCACTTCGTGGCCTACGGTGTGCGCGACTCGAGCGTCATGAACCGGCATCGCAGACAAAAGATAGCCGCATAATTTATCAGATTGACTGGGAGCCCGATCCTAGCTTTTTGTCCAGCGATAATGCGTCATTTATATTCACCGAGAAGAGTACTGTTCAAGAGCCCGCGCGACAGAAAGAGTACGAAGAGATTGCAGCCAGCTTCATCAGAGCAGCGCTGGAGAAAGTCAGCAAAACGGAAGCAATGAAGCTGGACACTTCTCACCGCAGATTCTGGTGTTACCTCCAAGATGTGCTCGAACGACATGATGATAAGCCCTCAATATCATCATCTCACTCGGAAAATATCCATTCCATCCCGATGGGAAGGTTGCTCCCGGTCATTGGCCAGAACCTTGTGGCTATTATTCGAAACCAAGTTGACTTTTCCACCGTCATCAAAGACGATCACCTTTTGGACGAGTTCTGGGATATATTCTCAGCGGACACCTCGTATCGAGCAGCTGCAAAGTATGTCAATTTGATTGGCCACAGAAAGCCAGACATATCCATCCTTGAATTTGGCGTTGGCACAGGCCAGGTAGCGGAGATATTCCTCAAGCATCTTGTGACGCTTAATGAGACGCCCTATTGCGGGAAATATACATTTGCCCACGAAAGCGCTTCTGTGCTTGAGCATACCTCGAAGCGGCTGGAGGCATGGTCAGAATGGGTCGAATGCAAGCTCTTGGATCTTGACAAAGATTTTGCCGAACAAGGATTTGAAAGGAATTCCTTTGACATCATAATCCTGGCTCACGGATTGTGCACTGCACGTTGCGAGAAAAATGCACTTAGCAAAGTCCATGATCTTTTGAGACCATCTGGTTATTTGATTGCAATCAATCCCTTCCACCCAAAGAAAAATGTGCTGAAAAACCTGTTGTTCAGTGCCTTGCACTCTTTGTCCGCAGACGAATTCTGTTTGGGTCAGAGTGGTTGGACAGATAGTCAATGGGACGAGATCCTGCAAGATGCGCATTTCACGGAGGTTGATGCCTATGCAGATCAAGACACCGAGAAGAGCCATCAGTTTATCCTGGCCAAGAAAGGGAAAATTCATCAGTCGTCCAGAAAGGTTTCCATCATTTGTGGGGACAAAGCCGAAGCTAGACACCTAGTCATTGAGCTCGAGAATATCTCATGTGAGGTGAATGTGACACATGTCAATAATGTGGAGTGTAAGGATCAGATTTGTTTGGTCTTGGATACTTCAAAGTCCTCCCTACTGGCCTCTGGAAATGAAGTTACATTCAGCAAGATCAAAGAAATGTTTACACAGAGTGGAGGAGTTCTCTGGATCACAAGGGGAGGAACGATTGAGTCCGTCAACCCAACCGCAGCCTTGGTGGTTGGATTTGCAAGAACAGCGCGAGCCGAATCAGGTGTCAATCCGATCGTCACCCTCGACCTGGATGCTCAAAATCCTCTCTCTGAATCCCAAGCCGCCGACATTATTGCAAAAGTTCTGGTTACCCGATTCCTCCGTGAAAGTCCAGATGAAGATACGGAGTATGCGGAGAGAAATGGGCAAATCCTGGTTCCACGAGTACTAGAGAATCCGAAGGCAAACAAGACGATGAACAGCATTAATGATACAGAAGCTATATCCGAGCAGCATTTCCATAACCTCCAGCAACCTCTCCGTCTTTCCAGGAAATTCGATAACCCCGGGTTCGTTGGTGATTCGCAGGTGACAGACCTCCCAGACGGCTATGTTGGAATCAAGGTACTGTCCTTTGGCCTGAATAAATGGGATGTTCAGCCAGACTATCTCGATTGGGAAACAGACGACACCCTCGGTATGGAGTGCAGCGGCATAGTATACAACGTGGGTGCTGGCGTTCACGACATCACCGTAGGCGACCGGGTTGCCTGCTTTGGGACTGGGACGGCGAAAAGCTTTTATCACGATCGGGCATCAGCTTTCCAGAGGATCAATGGCGAGATGTCGTTACAGATGGCTTCGGCTTTGCCTCTAGCATATACCGTTGCTTATTATGTTGTGAACCACCTGTCAATGGTCGAGTCGAATGATGCCGTTCTCGTCCATGATGCCGGAAGTCATTTCGGCCAAGCACTTTTGGAAGTGTACTTGCTGACGGATGCTCGGATTTTTGCGACGGTGTACAGCCCGAACGAAAAAGACTTGCTCAGCTCGAGGTTCGGGATAGCCCGAGAGCATATCTTCATGAGCGGGAAGGACGATGTAGCCAAGGGCGTGTTACGGTTGACTGAGGGCAAGAAAGCAAACGTAGTAGTCGCATTCGAGACTGCAGAGGAAAGGATTCTGCAGAACAGCACTGCGCCATTCGGTCGGTTAATCCAACTCCGAACAAGCAACCTCAAGACTCGATTGTTGTCATGCCCCCAGAACATCTCCCTGTCTACGGTCAATATATTTGAGCTCAAGAGGGAGAGGACGAACCTCGTCAATCAGATATGGCCAAAGGTCTTTCGGTTGTTCCTCGAAAGAAGACTCAAAGGGCCTGGCTTTACTGATGTATATCATGTTTCAAAAATCCAAGAAGCAATAATGGCAATACAAACCAAGCAGCATGTTGTGGTTCAGGTGGAAGATAGTGATGTTGTGACGGTACAGCTTACCCCATCACTCAGAGAACGCCGACTTGCCTCCAGCTAACGAGATTTAGGCCACGCTTCCTAGAGCTACGCAGCCATTGTTCCAAGCAGACGCGTCCTACATGCTGGTTGGTGGGCTTGGTGGAATTGGGAGGGAAGTAGCCTTGTGGATGGCGCAAAACGGAGCAAAGAGCCTGATTTTCGTAAATCGAAGCGGGCTTTCGAAATATGAGTCTCAGATGACAGTGAGGAACCTGGTGGAGAAAGGTGCCCAGATAACCACCCGAGCTTGTGACATATCCGACGAGACTGCAGTTCAACGAATGCTTCAGGATCTGTCTTATAGCGTGCCTCCAATACGGGGGCTGATCCAGGCAGCCATGGTCCTCAAGGATGTCCACATTGAAAACATGAGGTTGGACGAGTATCGAGATGTCATGGGCCCGAAGTATCATGGCACCTGGAATTTGCACCGCCACCTCCCCGCGGATCTTGATTTCTTCTTGATGTTATCGTCTATCAGCGGCGTTATTGGGAACGCAACACAGGCTGCCTATGCCTCTGGCTGCACTTTCATGGACGCATTCGCAGCTTATCGGAGAAGTCTGGGTCTTCCAGCAGTGTCTTTGGATCTTGGAACAATCACAGACGTTGGCTATCTGACTGAAAACAGGGATTTAGCGACAAAGATGGAACGGCAAGGATTCCAGGGCACTGACACACCAACACTTTTATCCCTGATACAAGTTGCAGTCTCTCATTCGACGGGCGGAGCAGCACAACTGGTAACTGGTCTCGGCCAATGGAAAGAAATGGAATCACTCGGGAACTTCGACGCACCTTTGTTCGCCCATTTCCGGTACAAGTTTCAGGGTCATGGAAGATCCACTGCGCTCGGCGACTCGATGGAAGGATTGAAGGTTGAACTTGATGCTGCAAAAACGGTGGATCAAGCCACCATAATAATCTGCGACGCTCTCAGCAGAAAGATTGCCTCCCATCTCTCTATCCCGGTTGAAAACATCAATCATTCCAATCCAGTTTCTGAGTATGGAGTTGACTCACATGTGGCCGTGGAGCTGCGCAACTGGGTATCAAGATCCATGAATTGCACTATCCCCATTTTAGAAATTCTAGCAAGGTCTATGTTGGAGTTGTCTCATAAAATTGCCAGCCAAAGACTCGAGGGCAAGTCGGAATGAGTTCCGTGCCCTATGTGGTGGATACGTTGGATAATATACAATATGATAGTTACGTATACAACAATGTACTTCTACCCAGCTTAACATCCATGGATATATGTCTCTTGTCGATTTACACCGACGATGCTTTATTTATTTACTTCTTTAGGAAAGGATCGGACATCTGGCGCAACTTGGGTGCCAAGACTACAATCGTAAGCAAATGGTGGATCTATACGGAGTAAAGTCGTAATTCCGGCCAAATCTCTTATATCCATGGATGTATATTACCATGTGAGAGTGGGAAAAGGGCTTAAAGTAAATTGGAAGGCCGAATTCGAGGTTTCTACCCATAAGGCCTATTGATGACTGTTTTTGATCAAAGCCTGAGCCCAACTGTATAGTAGGTAGGCTAGGTCACCAGATACTCTTAGGCAACATTCAATGATCTTACGTGAGGCTGCGCTGAGGGTTGGCATTTTAGGTTCGAGATTGATCTCGGATGTTGTGATTTGATCCTGTACCGCGAGCAAATAAGAGAAGATTAAGGGTCCAGATCGTCCGTTTCATTTTGCTATTTCGAATCTCCGATCTGCTAGCAAATATATGATGAATCGAAAGTCGGTCCGGTCAAAAACTCTCAAGTGCATGCATTAGGGCAGCAGATCTTATCATACACCAGTTATAGCAATCCTCAAATTCATCATCCAGATGTGCAATGCGCACAGCTTTAAGGGGAAGACAAGGATATGTTTGCTATCAACTCTGTACTCCACGGAGGATAGTCCATGGATATTCTTCCGACAAGCAACTGTTCTCGTCCAATGAACATCCTGCTCGGCCTTCGGTCTTTCTCCACATTTAATTCCATCCAAGGTTGCCCACCTGTCGGCACAGCTACGGGGACCGCGTGGTGCCAAGACTCCAATCGGAGCTTAGATTAAGCGAATAAGCCGATTAGTCAGCGGCTCGGGTCCAAAATGCGCCTCCGATTTATTTTGGGCTTGTCGATGTATGACTCTTAGACGAGTTCTAGGGCGGAATGTTTATTCTATCAATTGGGGCTCCGCACAGAAATCTTAATGCTGCCAATAAGAAAGCAATGTTTGCTTCGGCCTCGGATTTTCGGGGCCACTTTGGCGTGGGTCCCTGAGACTCTCATAAAGGATGCGGTCCCCTTCAGTTGGTATCTGCGTAGTCTACGAGATACTAATCGGCATTTGTCAACGTCTCCCTCCTTCTCTTCGCCGCCATCATGGACGGGTCAGAAAAAGCCGCGGGCGCAAGCTCTGACGAGATCCAATTCGATACCGAAAGCGCCATGACGATCACAGGCGACGAGACTCCCGGCAAGGAGAGCCCCAATCTCAAAGGAAATGACTGGAGCATGATGGCCAAGCTCCAGGAGGAGAACGATCGCAACTTGGCAGCTGGATTCAGGAAACAGGAACTTGGTGTCACCTGGCAGGATCTCTCTGTGCAGGTAATAAGTTCAGAAGCCGCTGTGAATGAGACTGTCCTCTCCCAGTTCAATATTCCCACCAAAATCAGAGAAGGCCGACGAAAGCCCCCTCTACGGACAATCCTCAACAAGAGCCATGGTTGCGTGAAGCCCGGTGAAATGTTGCTTGTGCTGGGTCGCCCCGGCTCTGGCTGTACGACACTGTTGAAAATGCTTGCCAATAGACGAGGAGGATACAAATCAGTGGAGGGCGATGTGCGCTTTGGATCTATGCAGCCAAAGGAGGCTGAAGAGTTTCGCGGCCAGATTGTGATGAACACCGAAGAAGAGATCTTTTTCCCAACCTTAACGGTTGGTCAAACTATGGACTTTGCCACGCGCCTCAAGGTGCCCTTCAATCTGCCGGACGGTATGACTGCCTCGGAATACCAACAAGCGTCGAAAAAGTTCCTCCTCGAATCCGTCGGTATCTCTCACACCGAGGACACTAAGGTCGGTAATGAGTACGTTCGTGGAGTCAGTGGCGGTGAACGCAAGCGAGTTTCTATCATCGAATGTATGGCCACTCGAGGCTCTGTCTTCTGCTGGGATCAGTCGACCCGTGGCCTTGATGCGTCCACTGCGCTTGAATGGACTAAAGCCATCCGAGCTATGACCGATACACTCAATCTGTCGACCGTGGTTACTCTTTACCAGGCTGGTAACGGCATCTACGGTTTGTTCGACAAAGTTCTCGTGCTTGATGAAGGAGAACAGATCTTTTACGGCACCAGAGAGCAAGCTAGGCCCTTCATGGAGGAAGCCGGATTCATCTGCCGAGAGGGCTCTAACGTTGCGGATTACCTCACTAGTGTCACTGTACCGACCGAACGCAGAATTCGACCTGGCTTCGAGAGCCGCTTCCCGCGTAACGCGGAGGCGCTGAGAGCCGAGTATGAAAAATCACCCATCTATACTCAAATGGTAGCAGATTACTCTTACCCAGACTCCGACCTCGCCCGCGAGCGGACCGAAGAGTTTAAGAAAGGCGTGGCTTTTGAAACCTCCAAAAATTTGCCCAAGAACAGTCCCTTCACCGTTGGCTTCGTTGACCAAGTTAAGATCTGCGTGCAGCGCCAGTATCAGATCCTTTGGGGCGACAAAGCTACATTCATCATCAAGCAGGTGGCCACACTATGTCAGGCCTTGATTGCCGGCTCCCTGTTTTATAGTGCGCCCGATAACTCTGGCGGACTTTTCATCAAATCCGGTGCCCTTTTCTTCTCCCTTCTTTACAACAGCTTACTCGCGATGAGTGAAGTGAACGAGTCATTCTCTGGAAGACCTGTGTTGATCAAGCACAAGGGCTTCGCTTACTTTCCACCCGGCCGCTTTCTGTCTTGCCCAGATTGCTGCCGACGTACCTGTGTTGCTTTTCCAGGTTTCCATGTTTGGTCTGGTTCTTTACTTCATGGTGGGACTCTCAATGTCTGCTGGAGCTTTTTTCTCCTACTGGATCATTGTCTTCACAACAACAATGGTAAGTGTCATTCAATTTCCTCACATGGCTGTCAACTAATAAACATACAGACTATGACTGCTCTTTTCCGAGCCGTAGGAGCTCTGTTTTCTACTTTTGATGGAGCCTCCAAGGTCTCGGGTTTACTGATCATGTGCACCGTTTTGTACACTGGCTACATGATCCCAAAACCTGCAATGCATCCTTGGCTCGGTTGGATCTTCTGGATTGACCCGCTTTCCTATGGGTTCGAGGCCTTACTGAGTATAGAATTCCATGACAAGAGCGTCATTCCATGCGTCGGGACGAATCTGATCCCCACTGGCCCCGGATATGAAAATGTCCAGGCCTACCAAGCTTGCGCTGGTGTGGCTGGCGCGATCCCAGGCCAGAACTTCGTGATTGGCGACAATTATCTAGCGTCACTCTCATACAGTCACTCCCATGTCTGGCGCAACTTCGGTATCAACTGGGCCTGGTGGGCTTTGTTCGTCTTCGTCACGATTGTCGCGACTTCGAGGTGGCAGTCACCCTCCGAGGCGGGCAGCACCCTGGTTATCCCCCGTGAATACTTGCACAAGCACGTCAACAACCAGCAAAGGGACGAAGAAGGTCAGAGTCCAGAGAAGCGGGTTTCTCCGACCAAGGATGAGTCTCCAAAGCTTGACAACCAGTTGGTCCGCAACACGTCCGTCTTCACATGGAAGAATCTTTCATACACAGTTCAGACACCTAGCGGTGACCGAGTCCTCTTAGACAACGTCCATGGATGGGTGAAGCCTGGTATGCTCGGTGCTTTGATGGGTTCCTCTGGCGCCGGCAAGACAACTCTACTTGATGTCCTCGCTCAGCGCAAAACTGAAGGAACTATTAATGGATCTATCATGGTTGATGGCCGTCCATTGCCCGTCTCGTTCCAACGCTCAGCCGGCTATGTTGAGCAGCTTGACATTCATGAACGTATGGCAACGGTTCGGGAATCGTTGGAGTTCTCTGCTTTATTGCGCCAACCTGCTACCACCCCACGCGAAGAGAAACTTGCTTACGTGGACGTTATTATCGACTTGCTCGAGCTCCATGATCTGGCTGATACTATGATCGGTAGTGTTGGAGCTGGATTGAGTGTCGAACAACGCAAGCGCGTTACTATCGGAGTCGAACTTGTTTCTAAGCCCAGCATCTTGATCTTCCTCGACGAGCCCACTAGCGGCCTTGATGGCCAGAGTGCGTATAACACAGTCAGATTCCTTCGCAGACTTGCAGATGCTGGCCAGGCTGTCTTAGTCACCGTGCATCAACCATCTGCGCAGCTTTTCGCCGAGTTTGATCAGCTTCTTCTTCTCGCTAAAGGAGGCAAGACTGTTTTCTTCGGTCCTATCGGAGAAAATTCGCAGGGCATCAAAAGCTACTTCTCACGTTACGGAGCGCCATGCCCGCCTGAGACTAACCCCGCTGAGCACATGATTGATGTTGTTTCGGGTCAACTGAGTCAGGGCAGAGATTGGAACAAGGTCTGGCTGGAGTCACCTGAACATAGTGCCATGCTTAAGGAGCTTGACGAGATCATTGAGACCGCTGCGTCGAAGCCGCAAGCTACCACCGATGATGGTCGAGAGTTTGCTACTACCCTCTGGGAGCAGACAAGTCTAGTTCTGAAACGTACTTCAACAGCCTTATACCGAAACTCCGACTACATCAACAACAAGTTCGCCCTCCACATCTCCTCTGGCTTGTTTGTGGGATTCAGTTTCTGGATGATCGGTGACTCCGTCTCTGATCTCCAGAGTGTGTTATTCTTCATTTTCAACGCCATCTTTGTCGCTCCCGGTGTCATCAATCAACTGCAGCCAACCTTCCTTGAACGTCGCGATCTGTTCGAAGCACGGGAGAAGAAGGCCAAGATGTACTCATGGAAGGCGTTCACTATCGCATTGATTGTGTCGGAAATCCCGTATCTGGTTGTGTGTGCTGCTCTTTTCTTCAACTGTTGGTATTGGACAGCCGGTATGGCAGTTGAATCCAGTAAGAGTGGTAGCATGTTCTTCGTGTTTTTCCTCTACGAGTTCCTCTACACTGGAATTGGTAAGTTGACCATCCGTTTTCATATTGACCCCAACTAACAAACAAACCTAGGCCAATTCGTCGCTGCATATGCACCGAACGCCCAGATGGCTGCCATGATAAATCCTCTAATACTGGGCGTAAGTTTTTTGATTCCCGCCCTTCGGAATATCTCAGCTAACACCGGACTTAATAGACAATGATCTCTTTCTGCGGTGTCTTTGGTCCCCTACGCCCAAATTGTCAGCTTCTGGCGCTACTGGATCTACTGGCTCAACCCGTTCAACTACCTCATGGGCAGCATGTTGGTCTTTGGCCTGTTCGATCGCGAAGTCAATTGCAAGGAGCAAGAGTTCGCCAAGTTCGACGCACCCAATGGAACCACCTGCGGTGAATACCTGAGCGACTTCATGCAAACCATTGGCACCCGTATGAACCTCATCAATCCCGAAGCCACCGAAGGATGCCGTGTGTGTCAATACACCCGTGGATCCGATTACCTCGTCACCATCAACCTGATGGACTACTTCTATGGCTGGAGAGACACCGGTATTGTGGCTCTGTTTGTGGTCAGCTCGTATGCCCTCGTGTTTATTCTCATGAAATTGAGAACCAAGGCATCCAAGACGGCCCAGTGATTGGGGTTTGGACCTTCAAGGGGTGGTTGATTGTCAACTTTCCAAAAATTAGATTTCTAGACGTGCTTTTTCTCCACACCTAGAGGTGTGAGTATATGTTTCTCTTTTCTTTCCTGCAGATAGCTCTAGACCTACAGACCCTGTACATCTCTACTCATTTTAGATTGAATGTATATTAATTTAGATTATCCCGAGGTACTTTGTAATCGGAAGGTATGTAAGGGGTAGCACCCGCAGCCCTGGAGACATCCCGGCCGAGAAACAGGAGATAAAGTCTAGGAGTTACCCCGGCCAAGCTCCAGCCACACGGAGAAAGTGCGAGCGAGTCTCTACTCCGTACGGAGCAGAATTATATTGATCTTATTATTCTTGAAAAGAAAATTGGTACGTCTGTTGAATTCAGTGATCGACATTGGGGAATGCTCTCCTTAGCATATTACATCATTAGTCCTGTCTCTTCTAAATTGACCAAGACAGGATTCCCAGAGTGATGACATAAGTTGGAAGCTACATCACGTGATGGGCCCTCAGACCCTGGACTTCCAGGTGGATAGATCCCCAGTTTCTCTCTCCCTTTTCCTCCCAAGTCCATAGATTAGCATCAATACACTCGTGTTTGCCGCCTCTTCTCGCCTTCTTCTCGCCGACCCAAGTTTAATCAACCCGAGGAATAAGGTTGACCTTAATGCAGCTCTCGGCTGATCACAACCTTTATCGGACAAAGTCCGAGCCGAAAGAAAGTTATGAGAGCCCAGTATTGGCCAAAAGGGTTGGGGTAAGGGACTGGTGATCAGGCTGATTGTGACTCCACCGTGGGGGTCACGGCACCTTTCTCACAGACGTCCTATCATATATCGTCAAGACCGTCATACAACCCGGATCGCCTCTCAGGATTTCCGCATTTGGGTTTCCCCGCAAACTGATGCTCCCCCACGTTTCTCCAGAATCCCGGATTCACGGGGTAAATGCGATCTTCAGAACAGCATGACATGGTCCATGCCGTTCCCGGCATATAAATGATTGCCGGCCCCGGGACCTTGTCCTGCTCAAGTACTATTTTCATCTGAGCATCATGGTCGGAACCGAAAATGCCATCACCGAGGCGGAGTTGGGGACGAAGATGGACTTGAGCCATGAGGAAGTTGTCCATATGGCAGAGTTGACCGAGGAAGAGAAAGTTGTCGAAAAGAAATTGCGCAAGCGGATTGATGCTCTGATTATGCCACTGGCTATCCTGGTGTACCTGATGAATTACATAGATCGGTAATATCTTCGACAATCCATAACAGTTGGTCAATGCTAATGGAAGCAGTAACAATTACGCCGCAGCGAAGCTCCAAGGCCTGGAAGCGGATCTCAGCCTCAACGATACAGAATACCAAACTGGTCTCTCCATTCTCTTTGTTGGATACATTCTCATGCAGGTGCCTTCGAACATGCTGCTGAACTACATGGGTCGACCATCCCTATACATTGGATTCTTCGTCTGCGCGTGGGGGCTGGTATCGGCCGTGACAAGTCAAGTCACTGGTTACGGAGGCATTGTGGCCTGTCGATTCATTCTTGGCGTGGTCGAAGCGCCCTTCTTCTGCGCCATTCTCTTCTATCTATCCAAGTGGTACACAAAGCGGGAATTGGCTTTCCGAATGAGTATTTTCTACTCCGGCTCCCTGCTGAGTGGCGCTTTCGGAAATCTCATCGCCGCGGGTATCCTCAACGGTCTCAGAGGCCACCGAGGGCTTTCGGCATGGCAATGGCTCTATATTATTGAAGGTTCGATTACCTGTGCCATCGGAGTGGTCATTTGCTTCGTCCTCCCCGACTTCCCGGAGACATGGAAACTTTTGTCCCCAGAGATGCGCAAAGTTGCCCAGCGACGTCTTGCCATTGAGGCTGGTCAGGCCGATGTGGATGAAGGGGGCGGCAAAAGCCAGTTTGAGGGCTTCAAGCTCGCCATGACCGACATCAAAACATATGTGTTCGCCTTGGCGTATATGTGCATCACTGGAGCTTCCGGCTTCCAAAACTTCTTCCCGACTTTGGTACAGACGCTCAACTTGGACGAAACCATCACTCTGGTGCTAGTGGCACCCCCGTATCTATTTATGGTGGTATATTCCCTTTGCCACTCCCTGGCTTCTGATAGATTCGAGAAGAGATTCTGGTTCTTCGTCTACCCGATCCCAATCACCATCATTGGATTCGTCATCTTCATGAAAACCGATGGTTTCGGACCACGATATTTCTCCTTCTTCTTGATGGTCTTCGTGTTCGCTCAGAATGGAACCATATACTCTTGGCTCGCGAGCTCCATTCCTCGTCCGCCTGCTAAGCGTGCTGTCGGTTAGTCATATTTTATTGTGTGTTCGATTGATCAACAAGCTAATCAAAAACAGCCTTCGCATTCTTCAACTCAATTGGAAACAGCGCTTCAATTTGGACCCCCTACACATATATTGAAAGTGAGGGCCCTCATTACCCCACGGCCATGGGTGTTTGCATTGCGCTACAGGTAATTGGTGGTCTTGCGGCTCTCTTCTTATACTTCAACCTGAACATGCTCAACAAACGCCAGGAGCGGATGGAGAATGAGGAAGTTCAACTTACCGATAAGGATATTCGTCGGCTGCAGGCTACTGCTGATATTGAGGGGATTGATATTGCCGCCGCTAGACGGCTGCAGAAGGGATTCCGCTATGTATTGTAGAATGATTCTGGCATATTTCAGATGATTTGATTTAATATCTCAATTCGAGAATTTTTGACTTGTATATTGGTGAAGTAGTACCCACTTGTATGACAGAAGCCCATTATGATCAACGGTAGCAATCCCAACCCGGACATGGTAAAGGAATGGAGTCCCAGTGGTACGACAGTCCTATCACAGGTAATGTCCAGGCTGTGCAGGCTGTCGTGAGTGATGATAATTGTCCAATCATGAATTACTACATCAACCCATATATGGTCACCTGACATGTGAAGTCATTGACATTTAAATACTGCGAATTGCACCGACCTATTTTCCTTACGATCTCTTCGATTACTTCACAATCCAATATTTGAACTTTGATCCTGACTCCAAGTACATATCATCTTACGCTGTGTGACAGCTCAAGGTTGACATCCCTTTCCATATCTGATCGACATAAACCCACTTGCCCAACATGCAAGCAATTTCGAGACCCATTCTCCGTCTCACAAATCCAACTCTTATCCGATCGCTATCTGCCACTCCAAGAATCATGGGTTCAGGTGACATAGGTTCGACCGGCTTCATCCCTGAGTACGCCGGCACTCTCCAAAATGGATGACGTCATATCTGACCCTACTTAGGAAGGACTCTTTCGCCAGGCGCGAGGCTGCACACGAAGGGATGTACATCCGACAAATAGAATCGGAGAAGTGAGTTGCGCTGACCCCAATGTAAATAAATAAACTTACCCAGCGATAGGCTTGAGCGTCTCAAACAAAAGGTCAAGGAGCAGCGCAAGCATATGGATGAACTCGACAAACATATGTAGGGATATCCTGGATTTTCCCTCTTTTAAGACCAACACTGACAGGTCACAGCGACGAGTATACCAAGTCTCAAGGGGGTGAACAGAACTAGCTTTGCGACTCCGTTGCAAGATCTCCTGAACGGGCTTGATGGTCATACGATCGAGTTCTCCTGAGACATCGACATACGCATTACAACCAGCTCGACTTTCAACTAACAATAGTTTCATAATAATTTTCAGCCCTCTATACTTGATACTTTGGTAGCCTAGCGTTGTTACGAATTGGAATGCAACATCGATTTTGAACCTGGAGTTTCCTCTCTAGTCTCTTCCTCAACTCTAGATCTTTGCCTGCCACCTCCATCGGTAGCTCAAACAGGCCCATCTCGCCATCAGAAAGAAACCAAGAGACACTATTAGAACACTTCCCAAATATGCGACCATGGCTTTCTTCCCAACTTTGTCGAGCATCTCACCACCAATGGGGATACAGATTAGTGTGCTAAGTTCTCATTAGTGACGAACTAGCAAGCTGGGTAGTATGAACACTCACGCAACACTGACTATTGAATATGTCAGGCCAAACCTTCCACCAACCTCGCTAGCCTTGGAAATCTGCCCGATGCAGGCTGGTGCAAGACTCAAGAATGATCCTGAGGCCAACCCGAAGATGACCGAGAACATATAAAGCCCAATAAGGGTGTTACCAAACGGCAGCCAGATCACAAAAACTGCCAATGCACCCAAAACAATGAGCGCAGTCTGGGTGTTGATTCTGCCAAAGCGATCACCTACACCCCCAGCCATCAGTCGTCCTGCCGTGGAGGCTCTGTGTCAGACTAGTTAGCGCTTTGCTCGAGAGACCATCAACATCCAATTCCACTCACATGCTCAGGACAGCAAGAAGGATAACACTGGTATTGGTAGAAAACCCCTGCATGACCACGTAGGTTGGATACAGACCCAGACCAGCAAAAACCTCGAGCTCAAGTCCTATTTCAATTTCAAGTCAACATTTCTTTTCTCCTGCCATGCACATCCTGGACGGGAATCAACCTACCAAAGAGGCCCATTGTCAGCCAGGTAAACCTCGCATCTTTCAAAGAACGCAAGTTGATAGTCGATTTGCTTCTGCCCTTCGGAAGGCGTGCCTTCACCAGAACCGTTCCAAGCATACCCAATATCAGCACCACTAATGCCAGCAATCGAATCGTCCACTTATATCCCAGGTTGGTAAATCCAGCTCTGAGCACGAATGGAAATATCACACCACCAAGGCCTGCGCCCGCCATCGAAATCCCAATAGCAAGGGCTGCCTTTCGATCAAACCATTGAGGCACACTCGCCAACGCGACTGTGCTCAAGAGGGCAGCGCCAGTCCCAGAAAGAACACCAAGGGTAAGGACAAAGTGCCAGTAAAGATGGCTTTCGGCGAGAAGAAGAAGGCCAGTCACATAGCATGCAGTTCCAGCTATAAGAAGGCCCTTAGGTCCATATCGATCAAACATTGGCCCGACCTGAACCGAAATACTCAGACCGAAGAAGGTGAACAATCCCGGAATCCAACCGACTGCACTTGGCGAGTAGCTGGCCAGCTGATGAGAAGAGAAGTAATTTTGCAGAATTCCCGTCGTGTTCATCACTCCGAACGTACTCATCAAGAGGAAGAATGAGCCGGCCACAACACACCATGCTTGCAGCCCTCCATCTGGGAATGCGTCATCGGTACTATGACCAGTGAGATGGGTTGTCAGGGTGGAGAGCTCGGCTGGGGGTTCGACAACGGAAAATGCCGACCGGGGGGCTTCTTCGTCGAAGTTTGCGTTTTGACCCGTGGGGTAACTAGCGGGATATTCAGCCACACTTGTCGAGGCCGAGTGCCATGGCTCTTGCACAGTTGCGGGGGCGGACTCGTCCATAATATGATGTTCTTGAGCCTTGATAGATGATAGTGATACTGAGGCGAGGAACTTCAAAGGGAGCAATAGGAATGAAAAGGCAACGCAGCTATCTGAACGATTTTACAGAATATCCAAAATTCTAGTTATGTGGAGGTGACTCATTACGATAAGGGCTTGATTTAGCCTTCAGGTCTGCATGGATGATTTCATGGTGGGGAGTATACATCGGCATCGCCCTCCGACCTTTTGAACATGGGGGATATCGTGGTCAATGGATGATATATTTCGATTCATTATTCGGATGCTTGGGCTCTCGAGGCCTCCAGTGGCTCCATTGGCTATTGTTTTCTGCAAGTATATGAATAATGCTGCTTCTTTACGAGATTCTCACCATCGGCTTCCTTCCCGACGTCACCTGGACGGCATTGACTCGGCATCCATGAATAAAGGCAAATTCCCATCAGGGACCCCTATGTAGGAGGATGGGTCACTCTGGGATATGATTACATATGTTCACATATTGTCCTTTGCTGCTGCATTCCACACCTGTAGGTACATACAGGTACATGTACAGGTGCAATTGGTCTCCACGGAGGCACCACCCGATATGTCGGGTGGATTGCCATCTAGCACTCTCTCCATGGGGAACTCATATCGTAATATTTTTTCTCCAGTTGCAGACCTAGCAATTGGTCCTTCTTGAATGAAAGCAAGGGTTAGTTATGTTGCAAAGGTTTGATGAAGATCAGTGGCATGACACTCGCGCCACTCAACCCCTCAATATCCCGCGCCGCCAAAGATCCCGATTTCCTCCATTCTCACTTCAAACGAAGTGGCATGATTTGAAAAGTAAACCAGGTGACGTTGTAAATATTTCGTTTGCGAATCACGATTTATTTGTGAATAGATAGCATATATCTATCCTTTTCTCATGAAAAAGAGCCAGATCATCCAGTATCTACATCAATTGAGATCTCTATTCTATCCTCCAAGATGTCCGCAACACAATGCACCAGACTTTTTACCAGGAACATTCCTCAAGTGAGGCGGCAGCGGCAACTACAGAATCCTCGTGTCACTCTCGTTGGCAGTCCAGTCCCAAGTCACAACCCTACCATTGACTCCGAAGTTTTACCATATCGACTCTATGAACTGTCGCTAAAGAAGATCCGAAAAGAAGCCCACGCTGCTGAGCCCGATCTACGCCACGTCATTGCCGGCATCACAATGCAAAAAGTGGTTTCCAGTGCCGTGCATGAGGATCTTCTACACCGAGTCGACATGATCGAAAGCGCAAACTTACCTCCAAGACTACCAATCTTACCAGGTGCCGATGAGCCTTGGGAGCATGAAGAGGTCGCATCGAATCAACCGTCAAATCCGAATGCGTGGGATATGGAATCTCTAGATCAAGCGCTTCGTGAGATGGAACGGGCTAGCAAGAAAGGAAATGTTGCAAAAAGTGTTTGTTTTCAGTTAATTAGTGAGATGTAAAAGTTGAAGTTCGAATTTGTACCAGCGCTTGCTATCACCTGTTCAAATCTCGTGTTTAATGCAATTAAGCCATTTGTTAGAACAGCACTATGGATCTTGCTTTCTTCCCACTTGTATACCCTCTCCCTCACATTTGGACGCTAATTGGACGCTACTTAGAGCCAGCTAAATGCTAGGTAGACGCTAATTAATCATTTAGACGTTAGTTGGACGTTACATCGGTATTACTTATACTTAGCTAGATGTAGATAGAGATTATCTGGATGATATTTGGAGCGTTACGCGTTATATATGCGTTACTTTGACGTTCGAACGTCATATAGACGTCGACTGGTCAATATTTAGAGCTTTAGAGGCTACATAGACTTATCTGGACGTTAGATAAACGTTGGGTAGATTTGGACGTTATATCTTAAGCTAAGACAGTCTATCAACATAATCGTACCCTTTCCTCTGTTTATGCCGCTTGAATTGACTGCAATACTTAACAACAGGCATTTCATACTACCATACATCTACTACTTCAATTACAACACCAATTCTTCTTTTCTAAAACCTCCACTCTTTACCTGAACCACTTCTCTTTGCTCACTTCCGCTTTAAAGTTACTACCTATGACTACTCAACTCCCTCTTTCCCCTCGCAAAGTTGACCTCATCACATTGAAACATTACCACGGAATCCAACAATGGCTGAAGAGACTAGGTGGTGTGACACCTGCAGAAAGGACAGGCCTAAGGACTTGTTTCGGGCACCTGAAGATGCAGGGAAGGAGTTCTGGAAAATGTGCGAGCCTTGCCGCATAAGGTACCGAAATGTGAGTATATCACATGCCCAGATGGGCAAAGAACTCCACTTGCTTATCAGGTCCGGACTAAAAAGCACACAGAGATCTCGAGCTAGGAGGTCGCAAGGAGGTGGGGGACGAGCTCGGCCGTATTATCTCCCCGAACCAGCACCCCAAAGAAACATCCGCATCAGCAATTCACAGGCAGGGATTACCTCCGAAAGCACTAGTGCTACGCCGACAACCACCGCGCCCGAGCAACCCGAATGTTTGTACGCAGATTCTGGTCACCACAGTCGAGTCACAGTTACACCGCCCGTTGTCGAAACTTCCGCGCAAAGTACAACAACAACCACTGTCATTACCATTTCAACCATCGCGTCCAAGAATGTGACGGAAACTTCGATCAAGGTAGAGGAAGACACAAAGACGGCTCGGCGCGGTATCCAACAGGTTAAAGACGAAGACCTGGGGTCACTTTCAAGTGGCCCTAAATCTGAGCAGCAAAGCGAAGCCAGTTCAGGTGCCAACCAGCGTCCCGAATTCTTTGGCTGCCTGCATTGCGAGAGACTTCGCCCATGGCCAATGGCGGGACTTCATATCTGTTTGTTGTGTATTCGGGACTGGAAGTGGTGTGCGAAGGGGGCCCACAATCAAGCCAAGGCAAGTTTCTTGTGGGACGACCGGGAACATGATGAGTGTTATATGTGTCATTTCGCGGGCATCTGATACTTCTTGCCCAGTATGGAGACTGCAGGATTTGTATCTCCACGTGAAGCACCTATACCTGGTGTGTATGGCAGCTTTCATTCCTGATTTTCTTTCTTCTCACGTAGTAGATTGGCATTAATTTGTGCGCGATTTGGGTAGGTTGAGAGAGGGACTGGAGGTCGAATACTGACAGACTGAATAAAGACAAATTGACAGCAGTATAAAACTCATTTCTTTCGGAATGTCTTTCTTGACGTCTTTTGAGGCATTCGCTGACTATACGAAAGATATCTCCTCAATAGCTAGTCGAAAGATAGGCTAAAGAAACGGGGATTCAGTGGAGTTTCCAATGCAGTTTTGGACATATCAGGTAATGAGATGCATAGTTATATTGGCAGCACGTGACACCCACCTTTCGCAACTCACCGAGCCCAAAGGTCCAAGATCGTGATTCTCACCAACAACATACCTAGGCATGTACGGAGTACTCGGTACGATTGACAAACTCGAGCAGTTTGTCCATTTTGGCTACTCCGTAGCCTCCAGGGCTCATCTCTAATTCTTCAACCCATGGAAGTGGCAATGCCAATATACCTACCTAGGTAGGTAGGTATCCAATGAAAATAACTCAATTCGGGCCCAGTGGGAATGGTGGAGCTATCCCACCTATTCACCTCCACGCACCTATCACAATCTGCAGAGGCGTCGACTAATGTCGGACTAGCCAGTGTCAACACCATCCGAGAGTAAGACGGGTCCACCCCTCAAGCAAGCAGATCTCGGACTCCCACGTCGGAAATCTGGCTCGCCTAAATCCTGCCGTGTCGTTGGCTCAAGGTGAAGAACCCTTCCCTTCAACCCCCCCTCTTGAGATCCCCTTGCCGCCCATGATCAGTGGTACGCAACAATTTGCCCCCGACTCACGAGTCAGGAAGGGTCCGAGCCGTCAATCACGGTCCTGTAAAGTCTGCAGGCTCCGTAAAGTCAAGGTCCGTTACCCCGTCATCGTGCTCAGATCGCTCTTGGGTTCGGGACGCTCCCGTGCCCATCGAATGCGTCCCACTGGTAACGCACCACCGGCATGGCTAACGTGGATCCTGTTCCCAGTGTGACCGAGTCAAGCCCTGCCACGCCTGCTGTGCCCATGGCTACCCCTCCAAATGCGTGTATGAGCATGTCCCCGACGAAGAAGCCCGCCCCATCAGCCAAGCGGAAGAGATTAGGAACTTGCGGGCGGAGATCCGCGAGCTGCGGGCAAGAATAGACGACAAACAGGATGGTATGTTTGGCCCCGCCCACTCTGCTCAGTAGCGTGTGCCAAACTCAGGTGGATGTGAAACAATTGTTGACGTCTGTGCAGGATCTGGGGCCCAAGATCTCCATCGCCTGGACAAGCTTGAGAGCTTATTTGAGTCTATTCGCTCTGCACCCAGCCCATTAGTGGATGGTCTTGTTCGCGACATTCGGACCGCGCATGTCGGCCTTAAGAAAGATTTGGTCCCTGTTGGACCATGGGAAGGCAGGGAAGGTATGTTGTATAAAAAATTCCGCAAAAGGTTACCAGTGCTGACAGCTCTAGCGTATGAATCCTACGATTATCCTTCGCGTCCTTCGTCAACGCTGCCGGTCCGGAATCGCCTGTTAATAAATTCCCCGGTTGAAGACTTCAATAATTTACACACTGAGGATGACGATGACAGCGACTCCGAGCGCATGTCGCTAAACAGTGGGTCCGACTCGTCTGGCACGATCTCAGTTATGGGCATGCAAAGACCTGCGGTGGACGTGTTTGTCGAGAGATTTGTGGATGCATTTAGCCCAGAAGTGGATATGAAATCCGGAAGAGCGGGTGCCTTGCGAGCTGCCGCCGGGATTCGAATGTTCTCCCCACTCATCACCGACGCGTTCGAGGCCGTCTCCGTTGCATTCTTTGGTCGTTCTGTGCAGAACAAGCAGATCGAGGCCTCCGGGTTCCGACTTTACCCCCGCGTGCTACGTTCTTTGCAAGATGCATTGGTGGACCCTGAAAAATCCAAAGCAGAGTCAACATTGGTGACAGTGATTCTCTTGCTGGCTTTCGAGGTTCGTACCATGAAAAACGGCATCCATTCAGTCCATGCTAACCCCAGCAGAGCGTTGAACGTACTACTCAGAGCGGTGTCTCTGCTCATGTCCGAGGAGCAGTGCGCTTGATCGAACATCGTGGGCCGGAAAGTCACATGTATGGAGTTGAACATCTTTTGTTTACAGAACTCCGTCCCTATTGGGTAAGATCGCAGACCTTCCATAATTGCCTCTTCTCAATCTAACAGCCTAGATTGGCGCGGCTCTGGCAGCTCGACAACCCTCATTCCTGGCCCGCGAAGAGTGGAAGACCATTCCGTGGTCAGCAGGAACGACCCAAAAAGATATTCTACATCATTTGCTTGACATGGCTACCGAGATTCCAGGTTTACTAGCGGTATCCGATGCCTTCAAAGAAGCAAAAATCACGTCTGTCATGGGCACACAAGAAATGGCTGTCAAACAGTCTACGCTTTGGAACCGTATACGCGAGCTAACAGCGCGTTTCCATCAGTGGTACGAAGACTGGGTTGTCGCATACCCTGACGGGCCGCCACAGGAAGCCGAACAATACGGCGACCAGGGGTTCCCAATTTTCCAACGCCGCGACCTCCGCACCGGGGCTACTTTCACCCCAACAAGATTCACATATCCAAACCTACTACTCGCACAAACCATGTGTGTCTACTATGCCGTGCGATTGATCCTGTCCTCGATCGATACTCGGCCTGGGGATCGTGTCACGCCTATGGAACAGTACGACTTGGGCTGCGGGATCTGCCGGTCTTTGGAGTTTTATATCCTCACTGCCCCGGGCAACATGATCAATCGTCTTGCATTCCCCACTCGAGTAGCGTGGGAAGCATTCCCAGACGGAGGCCCAGAGCGCCAGTTTATGGTTGAGGTGCTGCAACTAGTCGAGAAGCGACACGCTCTCGGGCTTTGGGGCAGTTCTATGCCAGAGTTATCTACAAAAGAATCCTCGCCACTGAATACGGGTAGTCCGTAGTGTGGATGCAGGTATTCCGCACAGACGTGATTTTCCGTAGCCACGATTTAATTATTTGAACTTAGGGTGCTGTGATCCAACTATTTCAAATGGACACAATAAGTGTTGCGATGACACGCAGCTGTCATAAAACTGAACCCCGATACCCACATGTGCATATAATAACATTGTCTTCAGCTAGTTCTAATAATGGCATGGTTGTTCAATAGTATAGGGGCTATGTTCCGCGGCTTCCGGCTATTTTTCCCGAATAACAAAGCGTCTAAAAATCAAAACAAACCGCAATTATACTTGGAATGACAGCTGAAATGGAGCTGAAATGATGTATCCAGAGCTCATTTATTATTCTGCCTCTGATTGGATGTTCTCGATTACACTAAAGTGTATTCGACTTAGCCCCAGGGGGATCGGCAGATCTCAACCACTCACAGGACAATCTCATCGATCAACAATCGATAGTGAGATGGACATGGGAAAAAAAAGGGAGATGTGGGTACCTGCAGAATCCTTCATAAGCAGCATGGGGCCCATAATACGAATAACCACACCTGTCATACACAATGCCCTCTATCACCAAGTTGGCGCTCTCTGCCCTTGCGGCTACCACAGCCGTCGCAACAGGAATCAACGATTTCTCCTGCAAAAGCTCCTTCAACCCAGTTGTCCTCCTGCACGGTCTTGGCGCGACATATTATGAGGACCTGAACTACATGCAATACTGGCTGCAAACCCAAGGCTTCTGCACATATGCCATTACCTATGGCGCATACGATGGCTTCCCATTCCTAGGCGGCCTGAAGGCAATCAACGAGAGCGCCCCCGAAATTGCCGCGTATATCAAAGAAGTGGTGCAAAAGACCGGCAAGAGCAAAGTCGACCTCGTCGGCCACTCCGAGGGTGCTTTCCAGGCTCTCTACGTGCCCAAGTTTGAGGGTGTCGCCCACCTAGTCGACAAGATCGCATCCATCGCACCACCTACCCACTCCACTACATTTGCCGGCATCTACAACCTCGCATATCTGTTCGGCAACCACTCGCGCGAAGCCGTGGGCGAAGCGCTTAATACACTAGGCTGCCCTGCTTGCAACGATCTCGGTCCCGATGGCCCAGCCATCAACCGCTTGAATGACGGTACTCCCATCGCGCAGCCCGGTAACAGTGTCACTATCATTGCGTCCAAGTACGATGAGCTGGTTACTCCCCCGTCGACATCCTTTGTTCACGAGGAGGGTGTGACGAATCAGTGGATCCAGGATACTTGCCCGTTGGATCCTGTTGGCCACATTGGCGAGGCCTATGATTTGAATGTCTGGCACTTGGTCAAGAATGTGCTGGCCTCAACCCCGGATAAGGAGTTTTTGTGTCTATTTGGGTCCCCTGGTAAATAAAGGACTTGACTGTGTAAAACCATTATCCTTTTTGTATATATTAACTAATCTTCGAGTGGATAATATCTTATCCCGTCATTGTTTCGCTGTCTCCTGGTTTCTATATATATGCGTATGATGTAGCAGCAGCACCATATATTACAGGTTTTATGAATCAAGTTATAAATACTTGCTTGTTTTGAGGGGTTCGGCTGTTCTAGATAATGGCAATGGGAACATTCCTCCAATGGCTTGATACGGACTACCTTAGGCAATTCCAAGACACTGCTTGTGATCTCGGCACTCATGCGTCCACTTCCAAGAAGGACTTGATGTACGGAGTAGCTTCCAATGTTCCAGGAACGATGTTACTTAATTTCTTAGTGGAGAAGCAATAACTGATATGGAGCCTTGGTTGAGGAGAGGTTGCAGGCGAAGAACATATCTTAGCGTAAGACCATGTAATATACAAGCATGTTAACCAGTACAGCATTCGGGTATTGTAGTCATGCGATAATATTAGGTAGGGTATTTATACATAAGACAGAAGCACGTGCTCAAAGGCAAGGTCTTGTAACAGGAATAGGACATCAAGTATCACAGGTCTAGTGCAAGAACATGGTCACATCATAAAAAAGCCCAACGCCCCAAATGCAGCAAACAAACAGGATATGCTAGTCACAACCAGTTGTTGTGCGGCATTCTTGTTGTCCTCGGGCAATCGGTTGGCGGGTTTAATCCGTTGTATAAGCGAGTTTTCAAAGACGCCTCCATGCTTGCGACAATGGTCTTGTCAATATTGACACGACAAGGATCCGGTCTGGGAGTCGGAGTGGAGGACGCCACCACTGCGCATGTGTCATTGGTATAGTCCCCGCCAGACCAATCAATGCCCCGCGGGATCTGCATGGTTTTGTCGGTCACATCGATTGTCACGCCGTATTCCCCTGGACATGTCTTGTTTGCTGTGGCAGCAACGAGATCCACATTGGGGGCGGAACTCTGAATGGTGAACCAGGTTGACCAAGTAGACGTGTTGCGGAACATACCGGCCACGTTGAGATGATTTTCAAAGGCATACTTGTTGCAACTCTGCCAGGTCAGGCTCCATCTCACTCTCCACCGACCCTCGTTGCTTAAGGCAAAGAACTCGTGTGCAAGGTAGGGGTCATTGCCGGTCCAGTTTGCCGATCTGAAATCATGATACCGCGTAACGGTGCTGTTATCTTCATCTAGATTCCATATACTGTAGGAAATGTGCGGATTCAGATATCTCGCGCGCTCCGGATTCTGGAAAGCAAAGACGACCGGGGACATTTCAGTTGGCACATATGTTTCGTTGTGCGGGAACACTAGGTCCACTTCTAATATGTTAAAAGCGTTGATTGTGGTCCCCATACAGGCAACGAGCAACCAGCTCGCTCAGGAAATGTGCATGCTGAGGGCTAGTCGGGCCTTTGACAGTGTGTCGGAAAGGTACGAAGGAGAGGAAAACACGGAGATTGATTTAGACGCTGGTTTTGCGAAGAAATTCAATTTTGTAGCGAATGGCGGAGGCATGCACAAAATGGGGGTTATGCGCTATATGCAGTCAATCAAATGGTGGCAGGGGGAAAGAACAGGTGAGACATTCAATTCTTGCCCGCATAAGGTCACGCCTTGGCGGCTCATGGGCAACCTTACGGGGCTTAAGACCCTGTAACCATGGGTCCCTAGTCGCTGAACTGGTTCGCCTAAAATTGCTCCTGGTTGGGGTGCTCCGGCTCCGGTTGATTTATATTCTTATAGGCACTTTTACCCCTTTGGGATATCCAAAATCTTCCATCTCGCACCAGGTGGCAAATAACGATAACATCGTTCTACACTAGTTATTGATACCGCATTATACTACGGGGTACTCCGTATACTCAATAATCTAACAATAAGCTAAGGGCCTCGGGGCTTTATCTAGTCCTAAAGTGGTCGGGATGTAGTTACCCTTGAACATAGGTCAGACAGGCGGGCGCACCGTTGGAACCGTGAGGGACTCGAATAGTTATATAAAGCTTCAAATAGATCGCAGTTCGAGTGTCAGACTTTACCTTGTCCAATTTGAGCCCATACTAGTGTATGCCGCCCTCAATTCCCTAAGCAGCAAATCTTTGCTGACGCTTTCAATTCTTTGCATAGTCCTAATACAAGTCCCAGATAATGCACGTAACAACTCTTCTCACCGCCGGGTAGTCCCAGCCATGGCTGCGGTCCTGACCCGCCGCGCTGTTGACTACGACTTCTCCGCCACTGCTGACGCTGGAGCTACATGCTCGAGCTTTGCCAGCAGCTGGGCACTCTCGGTCAGCATTCTCCAGCAGCTGAACCCTGGAATCACCTGTTCAAATCTCGATACTAGCAAGTCATACTGCGTGGCTGGCACCGCCACAGATGACCACTCGAGCACTACATCCACCACTGCTGCCAGCACCACCACCACCACCCAGTCCGCAACTACCACTGAGACGGCGCCCAGCAACTCCCCCACTATGTCCGGCATCGTAGGCAGCTGTGATGACTTCCACAAGGTCTCACCTGGGGATCAGTGTAACACCATTGCCACGAAGCATGCTATCAGCGAAGCCCAGCTCAAGAGCTGGAACAGCCAGACCAACGACAGTACGTCCTTCACCTTCCCTTGTCCTCGTCCCGTACATAACCGGAAAAGAGTTCCATTCTACAAAATCTGCATCTAACATTCATAGAATGCACAAACCTTTGATTGGACTACTACGTCTGCGTACATGTTCCCGGCGCAACCACCACCTCGGCCCCACGCCCCACGCCCCAAATGCCTGGAATCTTCAGCAACAGCAACAGTTTCCACCTAATTAAGGACGGTGACAACTGCTGGTCGATAAATACGGATGCGGGGATCACGTTGACGCAGTTCCGTGCTTGGAACACGCAGATCGACACGGCGTGCAGTAACCTGTGACTGGAATACTATATCTGCGTTGGTGTTTACACTGCTTTGTAGCAATGGTGGAGGTATCAGTACTCCTGTGAAGTCAGGTCCGCGAGGGGTGAGCCTTACAACGGGAAACAGTCAAAAGTGGTCATTTTCGGCACCAATTTCACAGGTCTTCGGATTTTAGGTGTAAAAAGAATACTATAGTCAATCAACGTGCCATTTAGAGCTCCTTTGCTACTCTTCTCCGAATCATCTAGTTTCCCAAAATGTGACATAGAGCAACATATCCTTCCTAGCTAGTTTAATTTGGTGTGATCCAATAATGATGCTTATATCTTCATATAGAATATATAAGAGTTGAGCTATCCCCTTGATGAATATCCTCTTTCTCGGCTCTAGCACTATTAATTTGACTAGGCAAAGTACAACATAAATAATAGTTCTTAACTGCTTGTCCCTTAAATTTGGGGATATTCTGATTTTCATGACGGAGTTATAGATCGCGTATGCTGCGTTTGCCCGTACTAGATCGGGAAGCAGGGACCTCAAGAGACACTGAGATCAAGTAACCCTTTTGAGACCGCTCACCCCGCAGCACTCTTGACAATCCAGATTCCTCGAGTTTCTCAAACAACTCAAACCATCAATCATCACTCTGACATAGTTCATCGGCTTCGAGATCGACTTCAGAACAGTCGCTGCCTGAGGCACTGTGGGGTTCTTCACGGACTCGGAACTTTCTTTCTCCGCACACTATCTTATCTGCGACGCGCAAGGATTAAAAAAATCACCATGTCAGAGCCAGACAACAAACCTGGCTCTGAATCCAACATTCATCGAATTCAAGAGCGATGGGAATGTCTGAATGAGATGTTCCAAAACACCGATCCCGAGCCTGCAGCGTCTGTCGGCTCTGCCGACGACCTGGAGGCGGAAATCCGCCAAGCGCAAGCGCAATTGTCCAGACTGAAGAAGCAGCGAGAGCTCATTGACATCAAACAAAAGGTTGCAGAGGAGGAGAGGGAATTGGAACTGGCCCGCACTCGTCTTCTGGCCGCGACCACCCTGGAAGTGCCCCCGGCCACCCCTGCTTCAACTCCATCCAGAGCCGAACCGAAGCAGAACAACAAGGCTGGTACTGATGGAGCCCAAAAGAAGGTTGTTGCTGCCCGATCGGAGCAGATTACCGCTCCAGCTCCTGTGACTCAAGCTGCTGATCGTCATCCATCTGAGGCTAAGCCGTCCGAACCGAAGCCTTCGCCGAAACCCGCAAACGTGTCTGGTTTGAACCTCGAGCAATTGCGAGCCCTCGCAGCAGCTACCAGGTCCCCCGCCGCACAAACAACTGTTAAGACTGAATCTCGTTCCAGTCTGCAACCTTCCGCCCGATCCTTTCATCCCGAATCATCCATCCAAGCCCCACCGGTGCCCAATGTGCCGGTATACAACGGACGAGCTTTGGGAGAGTTCAAGAACTTCTCCATGGGTCTAGAGCGACACTTTGATAAATATCCGGAGTGGTACAAGGTCGATGAGCGCAAGGTCACACGGGCGCTTAAGCACGTTGCCCTTAATATCGAGGATGAGTGGAAGCGTCACGTACGTCACCTCCCGGCCGAAAAGGTCACCTACGACAGATTCTGTACCTTCCTTATTCACCAGCTCCAGAACGGAGTCTACCCCCGATGTCGCTAGGTCGCGCTATATGGATAGCTATCAGCGACCAGCGCAGTCGGTGACTGATTTCTCCAACTGGATGCAGCAGTGGGTTCCACATTTCCCGAATAACGACTCGGAGCGCGACCGCATGCGCCATCTCTTTGAGCATCTGATGAACAGGGTTCGCAACGAGGCTGATAAGACTCACCTGGACTTCGATAACTATTACGAGTTTGTCGAATACCTCCAGCGGGTCGAGGATTCCATTGGCAGCCGCGCAGAGTCTCTTGGTCGCCGGGCTATCAACCCTCGAAAGCGACCTCGCAGCCACGACTAAGCGGTTCGACCTATTTGCGCTCCGCGTCGAGACGAAGCTCCGACGAAGTTGACATCATCTTTATTTACATCTGCACACGGGGATAGATCGGGGGGTGGGTTTCTTGCTATTCAATGGGGGCTTTTCCGTGCGATCTTCCTGACCTTTTCCGTGTACATACCGGCGGCGCTGCGAAATCTTTAAAGCAAGGTATTCGTAATGACTTTCTTCATTCTTCATAATCTGAACCATCTCTCTGGTGTCAACCGTGATCACTTCCAAAATTTCCTAGTTTAACGCTAGTTCATCTAAAATATCTTCCCTGGATCTGGCTGATCTCCCCATAGAGCCTGATATTCCTCGGTGAAATACAATGCCTGCCGCTCATGGAAGTAAGCCGAGATGGTGGCGCTCGCCTTACCGCTACAGCAGGTGCACTAGGATCCTCATGCAGGACGGGAGGTTCCACGGTCCCTTCATGGAGCCCATTATTCAGCATCGTGTAGTTCCAAGTACCGTAGACTTCGTAGATCGGGTCGTCCAGGGAAACATGGACGAGGCGCACTTCGAGCGGCTGGCGGTTATCGTGGCATTGCGATCCGAGCTTCAAAATGAGGTCAGTCAGGTTTCGGTCTGTTAGGTATACCTCTCATAGATTTCTTCCTCTTTTATTCCCTCTGTGTAAACACTATGTGAAATTAGATGTTTATTAAGAGGTCATTTTCCAAGATTGCAATGTGATTGGAGCTGCCTCTCTGGAAGATGTTTGGCTATTGGACCCTGGAGATATGCAGGTGCACTGGCCCATGAGCCTTCTCCTATTCCTCGACACTTATCTTTTTTTGATCTGCCCAGGTGAACTGTATTTGATAGACTCCCAATAGAATGCAAGGTATATGGATGATCGGGCTGTTTAGGCCAGGGAAACCCCCCACTTGGCGGGACCGGCGGGATTCGAAAAGACTTGTCTGATTTCTGACTTTCTCTTTTTATATTCTTGCGCCCTGGGCTTTTGGGATTTTGGGATTTTTCCGCTTTGTGGGAAACTGCCCTTCTGTGTGTTTTGGTCGATTTCTGTTTTGGATGTTTTGGTCGTGTGATGGACGGGAAATCCGCGCCTTTACCGCCTTATCAGGGGCGCCAGGTACGCCAGCGCCAGGCACCTCATCGATATGCTCGCTGGGGGTTGCCTCTGCTTGCTGCTGTGTTGATTCTTTTAGTCTGGCCTGTCCCACTACCCTCGTGGAAGGTGGTCGAGCCTTTGAACATCCCAGTCACCTGGGACGAAATCGTTCCTTCACAGTCGCTGGAGTACCATAACTGCGGCGATGAGTTCCAATGCGCCAGACTGGAAGTGCCTATGGACTACGAAAGGACTGATGGGAAAGGTCGCACATTCGCCTTGGCTATTGTCCGATTGCCGGCCAAGGTCCCAGTCACGGATCCGCGGTATGGAGGCGCGGTCCTGATCAATCCTGGTAAGTTAATTTGCACTTGATATGATGATCTTTGCTCATAGCCCAGGTGGACCTGGTGGACCGGGAACAATGCAAGCGTTCGAGTCGGGTCGGAATCTCCAGCTGATTATTGATGCGGAGGCCAACCCAAAAGAGACCGGAGCAGATGCCGGAGAAGAAACTGGCAATAAATATTTTGATATTATCGGATTTGATCCTCGTGGAGTGGGTTCCACAACCCCTCCAGTGATGTGTTTTCCTGATCCCGTATCCCAAAGGAACTGGGAGCTGCAAGTCTCTGCGGAAGGCATGTTGGGAAGCGGACCGGACTCCTTACAGAGAAACTGGCAGCGGACCGAAGCGCTAAACTCGGGTTGTTCGGTATTTGATATGTCGAGTCTAGGATCAGACGAACAAATGATGTCCTACGTAAATACCCCACTGGTCGCGCAGGACATGCTGACCATCATTGAACGTCATGGGGAATGGCGCGAGAACGAAGGCCGAAGAGCCCAGACAGCTCACAATAAATGTCATGGACTGGATGAAGGAAACGCAATCCTACAACGCACCAAATGGCACCGCGGAGAAGAGCCACTTCTCTATTGGGGTCGTTCATACGGTACCCTGCTGGGAACTACCTTTGCCTCGCTCTTCCCTGAACGAGTCACACGAGCTGTTCTCGATGGCGTAGTCGACATGGTGAAGTACTACCAAGGAACAGGACCGAACGTTGTTGCCGACGCAGATGCCATCTTTGATCGATTTGGCCAGTACTGTGACGAGGCTGGACCCGTCGCATGTCCCTTCTACGTGGAGGGTGGTCCAGAAGCGATCAGGGCAGCGTACTGGCAACTTGAGAAGCAGATTTTCAACACCTCAATCCCCGTCATGGCATCTGCGGCACGGGGACCAGAAGTCGTGACTTGGACGGACATCAAAGCAATCCAGCGTATTGCCACCTACCAGCCCCTCCTTGCATTCCCCGTCCTGGCAGACAGAATGACCGAGTTGGGCAAGGGAATGCAGTTCCCATGGCTGACTTCAAACATGGTAACCACTTCGGTGCATGTCCGTCCAACAAATGCAGTCTTGCTGGGCCTTGGTCACCAGAATGTGCTACATCGCAGGATAATATGCTTTATGCTATGGCTGCTATTATGTGCTCAGATGGGGAACATTTAACATCTCTTAACATTGAGCAGTTCCGGGAAGAATGGTCTAGCCTTGTGGCCGATAGCGCATCTCTGGGTGATTATTGGGCACAATTGCAATTGAGCTGTGTTGGATGGAAAGCCAAGGCTAAGTACCCTTTCGCAGGTATGCCCTATCATGGCCTCTACGCGTTCGCAACTAACCGGTCTTAGGGCCATGGGGCGCTACTACGGCTCATCCCATGCTGTTCGTATCAAACACTCTGGACCCAGTGACACCTCTCCGCAGGTGTGTATCTTCTCGTCGCTAGTGGCCGCCCAAGCTAACTGTCTCAGTGCGCAACACATGTCCCAAATTTTCCCAGGATCTAGACTGCTGCAGCAAGAATCAGAAGGAGTGAGTTACTCACGGTAATCCCTCTAGTGATTCATCCCTGACATATCTCCTAGCACACAACACTCACAGCCCCGTCGATCTGCGTGGCGAAAGCCATTCGCCATTACTTCCAAACTGGGAAACTACCAGTGACAGGAACTTTGTGTGAAGCCGATTTGAAGCCATTGGTTGGATCTCCGCATCGTCATGCGACGATCAGCCAAAGCTCCAGCCCAGCCGACCGTAAACTGTTCGAGGCATTGATGGCGGAGGTTCATCGGGCACATCTGTTTCCGCTATAAAGATCTACAAACTAGATCTCATGGGTTGGGGAAAAGGTAACCCAAAGGCCTTATTCAACTCTTGAGACAACTATTACGATTTGATGCATTAATGATTCTAAGTGCTATGCTAGAGTCCAGCGATTTGATTTTGGTGTATTTTCAGTTCCACCTTAGCTATTCTTTTATTCCTCAATCCTACTCAACATGTACTATCTAGTCTACCTCAACTACCCTCAAGGGTCACAATATTATGCCCGGTGGCGACAAATATAAGGATATCCGGTTGCGGAGAAGCTACACAACCTCGGCTCCCCGGCCAATCCAACAACGTTGATAATCAGCAACCCCGCTTCGGTGTTTTCTCCGCGTTAAGAGTATTGGATGGCCTTGGAAGCAGATATATAACTCCCGTGTATCTCGACTATCCTCAATATAGACGAGTAACAACCATGGCTCCTCCAACTTCCACCGAGACCCTGGCGAACACCATCAGCATGCAAGCACCACAATCATCCCAAGCGGCGGGTGCCGAAAAGGCCAAGATCAAGATGCAGATGCCCAGTATGCCTGTGTTCGAGGATAAAATGAAGGAGCGAGAATATTTAAAGGGCCGCCTAGCAGCAGCATTCAGAATCTTTGGCGATAAAGGATACGACGAGGGTATGGATGGTCCTGCAGCGAAGCATCCAATTAAAAGCTAACAATCCCATTAGGCGTCGCTGGGCACATCACCTTGCGCGATCCGGTGGATCCGACAACATTCTGGGTGAATCCATTCGGCAGGGCATTCAAGTTGATGAAGGCATCAGACCTAATCCAGGTCGACCACGATGGCAAGGTCATTGCGGGCGGAGAGAATCGAATGCTGAATGCCGCTGCATTTATGATCCACTCCGCTATTCATCAAGCACGGCCCGAGGTGAATTGTGCTGCTCACAGTCATAGTCTCCATGGACGGGCGTTTTGCTCGCTGGGCCGACCGCTCGATATCATCTCGCAAGATGCCTGTGCTTTCCACAATGTACGTTATCTTCAATGCTCTCGCGTGTGAGCCCGGCTCTAACAGGATCAGGACTTGGCTCTCTATTCATCATTCAAAGGCGTCGTGCTCGCAGAAGAAGAAGGCCAGAACATCGCCAAAGCTCTGGGCAACAAGAAGGCAGCCCTACTGCAAAACCACGGCCTATTGACAGTCGGCAATACAATTGAAGAAACAGTGTTCTGGTTCGTGAGCCTGGAAAAATGCTGTTACGCGCAACTCTTAGCGGATGCAGCAGCTACCGGACGAGGCGGCCAAACCGTGAAGATTGAAGAAGCCGATGCGGCATTCACTTACAAAACAGTGGGGACCCCGAAGGCTGGCTGGTTTAGTGCGAAGCCCCTGTTTGATGTCATCCACGCCGAAACCAAGGGCGAATACTTGGAATGAGATATTCACCCGGTCTAAAGTTAACATATCGGCCTGCGGAGCAATTTGCCGGAGAGATTAATGTTTTGTACGTGAATTGCAATATGAAACGACTTTATGGGTCTTTATTCATCACCAAAGTCTTCTCGCCTGTTATGTACTGCACCGAGTGTTGTAGTCTAACTCGAATACTGGCTAGTGTCCTGCTGTCACCTCAAATAGAACCTGTCAGGTAAATAGAAAGCCCAGAAGCGGGGCTTCCGACCTGACTGGGCCTTGTTTGGCCGAAATTAATGCGTCAATGAGGAGTCCTCGTGCATGCAGCTGGCGATTTTCACCAATCAGCCTGGTTTTAGGCTTGTTTTAAGGTGAAACATCCGGCTCTGAAGAGCTTCCGGAGACGCTCCGCTTTTAGTCAATTCCACCAGTCCACCGGTGGAGATGGCCCATGTCTTGCCGGAAAAAAACTATAAATTGACGGATTGCTCAGGCCGACATGAATTTCAATTGATCAAGTGCTCTATACTTGAGATCTCCAACCGCAGGAACACTGAGCGACTGGACAGAATATACTTGCAGTCTTCCAGCTCATAATTACCACAATGCGCTTGGTTGTACCTTTCCTCGCTGCTGCCGGCCTTGCCAGCGCAGGACTGCTAGAGACAGTTGTCAAGAGAGATGACACCTGGGGTGGTAGTGTCTCGCTCGGTCCCTCCAAGTCCACTATCGTCAACGCTGTCACAACTCTGATCCCCGGAGCTGCCCCAGAGACCCAGAACGGTGTGCTATTCCTCTGGCCTGGAGTGAGTCTCCGATTTTCCTAAGGGGTCTTCTGGTCACTAATAACCATAGATGTCCAACGGAACTGGTGACCTAGTCCAGACTACCCTGGAAAGCTGGTCGAGCAACGCATGGTGCGGAGCAAGCACCGGCCAGTGGTGTGTGCGCGCCAGTGTCTTTGGCAGCTTTGGCCAGCTCGATGGCCCTGGATCACCTGTGAGCGGAACCGACGAGGTGCGAATTGAGTACAACCTTGAGTCCGATGGACAGACCTGGAAGCAGTAAGTATGAACCCAAGATGACTACATACATCACTAACATTTGCAGGACTGTTACAAATGGCAAGACTGGTGCTGAACTTTCCACTTACTCCCACGAATCTGGACCCTACATGCGAGGGTAAGTCAATGTTCTGTTTAGAATGGTATTTACAGAGGATTTTACTGACTCGAGTTAGATACGGCACCGGAACTGAGTGCAACAACAACTGCTCGGGAACTATCGCTCCGCAGAAATATTTGAACACTGTTATCACTCTGGCCTCAGCTGATACTACCTTTGGCTCGACGATTTCTAGCGCGGGTGGTGCTACCTACACTGAAGTTTCATCCAGCCAGGGTGGAAAGGTATGGACTATCAAGCAGATTGACATTCCCGCGATGAATTGAGTGGAGGTCGACAAATCCCCGTTTGAGTGATTGCGAGTATGAGTTGCCGACATATTCTCATCCTACAAGATTCATATATGGAACATAGCCTGGGGAAATGTTTGGACCGTTCAACGAATTAATCGCTCTTATAATCGATATTAAACTGCAACATGCATGCGTATATACAAAAATTATCCTCAACCCCGGTAATCAAGCACCACTTTCAGCCGCACAGGACCAGGGGACGCCGAACCACCAATACCATCCAGGTGCTTTTTCGACTTGACATAAGCATCAACAACCTTCTTAGCACCTGGTGTGATTATGGAGCATCCCTTCCCATTAGCCTGACAGATCGACATCCCCTGCACAGGATGATTCGCAATCTGCGCCTGGATAGCCGAAACATCCCATCCCGACCAGCCATTATTCTCGCCATCCCCAAACCCAAACTCGCCCCAGGTACACGAGTATCCGCCCCATTGATCCGTAGGCAGGTGATCACCAGGTGCAGCACCCCATGCACCCTGAGAGTCCTCATCAAAAGCAACATAGCGAGTCTCACCGGGTGCAAGAGTGAATGTGAGAGCAGAGTGGCCATACCACCCAGTCAGTTTACCGTCAGGCCCGATCTTGTTCCACACAACCACCGTCCACGGTACATCATTCGAACCTGTAAACTGCGCCACGTATTTGTAAGCGTGTGCCTCGGCTGGACTGACGTTGATGATATTGCTTCCCCAAGGCTTTCCGACATTGCCCTGGTAGTGGATCTCCGTGCCTTTTCCTTTTGGCGGAGTACGTCCCCCAAATCCTCTTGTTGAGAATTGCCCGTCCGGCGGTGTTGTGGTCCAGTCCACTGGCTTGGGCTTCTGTGGCTTTGGGCCTGGGAGGATCTCGTTGACTACTGGGAGATCAGGGAGGACTTCGTTTGGCAGATTGAGGACGGCATCAATTGGTCCGCCGTTGTTCTTGGGAGGTGGTGGGGGGCGTTTAACTGGGACAGCTTTCTCTTCTTCTAAAGAGCCCTTTGGCAGCGTGGCTGCAAGGGCCGCGGCTTTTTCTTCCTTTGAGGGATTTTCCGGGGTTGTGTTGGCAAGTGGCACAGGGTTGACATCTGGGTAGACGGTGACCCTTACGGTATTTGTGGCGGTTTTGGTGATTGTTTGTGTCTTCAAGATGGTAGTGGTCACCTCTGGCTCTGAGACTGCGGGCTTGGGTTGAGTTAATTGAGGCTGAGCGGGCCTTATATTTGTCGGCGCAGGGAGGATAGGCTCCGGCTGCGGTCCATGTTGATGCCAATGGTTCTCATATGGCTCGGGGTGCGCGAGGTTGTACACATTATGATTATGCCAACATGGCGTAGGCTCAGACTTATGCTCAACAAGCGTAAGGGTGGAGTGAACGGGATTGGTTGGCGCGCAGTTTCCAAAAACGGTTGTCGTTGTTGTGAGCGTTATGGATTCCACCACGAAATCGTCTGGAGTGTTATTCACATTATCCCAGGGCAGATTCTGCAGCTCGAAGTCTTCGATAGCCGGCATCAAGCGGCGATGGTGATGATGATGGCCATGCGCAGGATGGTGGATACCAGCAAAGACATACCCGAGGAAGGCCGCTAACAGGACTGGTATAGATACGCGCCCCATTGCAAAGTAGGAAGGCTGCGATTGACGATAGCCGCGTAGAAGATCAGTTGGTCGACAATGACGCGATGGATCAAGGCGTCAATGGAGTTATATTTCAAAAGAAAGAAAAAGAAGCGTTCAGTTGATCGAACCCATGTCGATGGCGCGGTGTTGGCGGTTGTCGTTGTCGCGTAAACTCACGATCTGGGGGTGGGACTTAGCTTTATACGGCCTTTAAGAAATGAAAAGGGTCTGGACTGTTTATCTGGAATGCCATCGTACGCTTGGCCTTCGAAGGGCTCGAAGGGGACAGTAGCAGCCCTGAATTCCGGGGTTCCTTGGCTGACTCTTGGAAGGCTTTGGATCGGACTGCATTGTCGAGTGATTCGATTTAATATTACTATAATATGTATGATAGATTAGACATTTCTTAGATAGCCTGTGGAAAATAAGGAAGTAAGAGTACCTCGTGGGGAAGTAATGTTCAAAAACCTCCACGTTCACGTTCAAGATCGATGTGGCCTGCGTAGCCCCTCGCGTCACATTCCTGAATCACATTTGTCCCTCCTTTCCCCCACGCGAAACATGGTCTAAGGGTATTTTCTGAGGAAGTGAATCACCTGGTTGTGGCTTGATCGATATTGGAATTGTGGATGTATGATTGAAGACGTTAAGTAGACAATATGTATTCCAAGGAGTGGATGGAGGAGACATGCTAGAAAGGAGTGTATATCGACAGAGTATTAGGTATTAGGGGCTAATTCCTCCAACAAAATTGAGAAAATCCACACAACCGAATCACATAAACCAGAATGTACTATTCAGTGATTATTCTTTTTCTTTCTTTTCGCTTTCCTTGTTTTCCTTTGAACGCAAGACTTACAATGCCACTTCCACTCCCCCTTCAGGAGAGACCATCATGCACAAGAACCCGAGACCTGAGTTTGCGGGGGTCCGACATCGACCAACTGGGTACCGACGACAGTAGTTACACTGTGATCGATGCCGTTGAAAACGCAAGTAACGCCCTCAGTGTTGGTTTGAATGTGGGAGATGCTCAGCGGGTTCACTATCCTAATTAGTGTCTTCGTGTGTTTATAGCGGAATATATAGACATACCAATTTCAATCCATTCACCGTTGGATGGGAAACTTTGGGTAAACTGAGCATCGGCAGCTCCCATGAAAGTGACATGCACATTATCTCCGGTAGGATCGGTGGAAGGGGTGGAAGGGGGCGTAGGGGATGAACCCGATCCCTGCACCTGGCAAGATCCAGTTACCTGGGTCTGCGGGGGGCCAACATCGACCCATTGGACTCCATTGACAACTGTCACGCTATGATCAATACCATTAAAGGTACACTGGACCCCGGCAGTGTTGGATGAAATGTGCGAGACACTCAATGGATTTTCTACAGAAGGGCAGTTAGAATTGTTTCAGTCCAGCTGCATAGCATAACAAGGGACTTACCAATAGAGACCACGGACCCGTCAGTAGGGATGTTTTGAGTGAATTGGGCATCGGCAGCGCCAATGAAGGTGATCTCAACTTGATGGTTTCTTTGTTTGACTGGAATCGCACTAGCAGTAGCTGCATAGGCAACAAAGAGACCGAGAACTGTAGAAGCCTTCATTTTCAGACGAAGGATTATTGGAATATCAAAGGTTGTTCAGATTGCAGTAGCAGTAGCAGGCTGGATTGGTTGTATCAACACAGATGATCAACGAGATTCCGAAGGGCTTTATATAACTTTTGCTCTATACTTCTTATACCTCCAAGACAACCCTGCATGACCTTAACATTAGTTTCTAATATTAGATGAGATATTCTTTTCCATGGTAGATCGGATAGTGGCGTTAGGATGTTTACTAGCTCGAGCATAGCCACTATTTTGGTATACGGAGAGAACCTTGGAATGACTGGGAAATCTCACATGGGATGTTTTAGATGATCCAAGGTCCTCAATTCTATTTCGTATAGGTGTTAGAGTGCAGTTGAGGTCAAGGTATAGAACTTGAAAGCTATTTCACCCATCTTCTTTACGAGCGACTACATATCTGTCTAATATGGCGCTTACTGCCCAGGGTATGACTTTACCCGCATGTAATTACTGTATATGTACCTAGGTAGTTATTTGGAGATGTCTCTAACACAGCTCTCAAACACATCCAGTGCGTCATCAATTTTATATCAATTCGTTTTTCCTGGTTCAGGTGACCTTATGACTGCGGAACTTGCCGACCCCGGATTTTGGTTCTCAAACCTCGTATCGCCAACCTGATTATCTTATGTCTCAGAACTATGAGCACTTCATGTCCTTTCTTGTGTTTTTTTTTTTAATTAGTTTGGTAATGTCCTGCGGCCGTAAGATTATCCGAGTAGTGTACGCCAATAACCCGTCATTCTTCTTTCTTTTTTTTTACTTTTGCTATTTCCGGGTTGCCACCTCTACACGCCACCCAATATGCTATATATAACATCTCTCGTTTCTAGAAAAGGGTTCCGGGGAAGGATACCTGTTTGTCGGATATTAACGCTAAAAGAGAAGTATTTATAATTAGGAATTACTGAGTTTATAGTACCTTCATATTTCACGGACTTCTCATCCATCATGCTACTTTTTTTGGATTGTTCGTCACTGACCCCCCAGTTCTGTATAAACCCTATGCTTCATATTCTATTATCTCGGAAGACCCTTGATGTCTGTGATTATTTGATAACAAATGAAATTCTTTCGCTAATCATACTCTAATTGATCAGTAGCCAATTATGCTCTCAGAGGAGTTGATATTTGACAGCCAACCGTGGGTAACTGTGGATGGAATGGTTATCTGTGTCTATCCATCTCTACGAATGGTTGAATACCCTTGGAGCGCACACAACTTCAATACCATTTTGGCTGGCGATAAATCACATACGGCTTTTGGTGAACAGATCGAACAGACAGTACAGTGGTATTCGGCAACCAAAGCTCAGGTTAACGTGAAGCGTCAGTTATGTTTCTCAGGCGTAGAATAAAGAGAGACTCTCACTAGACTCCTACTTCTTTTCACTTCTCTCTTCGACTTCACCAACCATCATCGCATTCTATCAGTCCCTAGACTTTCATCTATTATTCTTCGTCTCTTATCATCTCTCCTTCAAACTTCACCCCTTAATCTCGCCTACGGATAGCAAGATGTCCGTGAGACTCCTGTAGGACACATTCTCCCTTGTCTGCAAGTGAAGTACTAACCTTGGAATTAGAGGGCCCGAGGAAGAGCCCTTTGGGCAGCCTACAACTCTCGAGGCAGTGCAGCGCTGAACGCCGTCAAACCCTCTGGCCCCTGGGCCTCGCACCTCAAAAAGCTGAACTACACCGTAGCAAAACAAGGATCCATGTTGAAAACCCATACCCTCCTGGCCCTTAACGATATGGAGCCCTGCCGTGAGCTCATGGTCCGCGACAACCGGGACAGAACCCCATCGTCATTTGAGCATAACATCGCGCAAAGCGCAAGGCATGTGGAGGCAGCACTGGGGTATGTCGTTGGCGGGCTTTTCGACACCCCTTTCACTCACTGCAAGCGCGAGATAGGTCCATTCCCACATTGTGTGCGAGTGGTAGGATGTGAGCACATGACAGCCTGCATCGGCTGTCACTGGAATGGGCCCGATGATCGATGTGAATACTACGTCATGCCCGCCAATTCCTCCACCGGTACGGCGATTGTCACCCCAGATGGCCAGCTCCTTATAGACATCAAGGCAGCTATCACCGCTGCAGAAGCCTGTTTCTCAGCCAATTACGACACCATGAAGGACGCCGAGGGAGAGCACCCGTGCAAAGCTCGAAAACCAAGCTATTGCCCTGTGGTCTCACATTACACACCTGCAGGCACTATGCTCCGCGATTGCCGCACCTGTCGACGAGGGGAGCCCGAAGAAACGGCGGCGCCAAACCCGCCAACCTCGTCCGAACCGCACCTTCTAGGTGGAATATGGATGGAGCTTGCAAGGTGGCATGGTATTGGGTCGGTGACGAGGAGGAAGCACTCAAGAAACGGCGACGGCGGCAAATCTGGCATTCTCTCGAACCTCACCTCTTAGGTGGAATGGTACCTGGTCTGTTTTCTTTTTAGGGGCAACGCGAGATACCCTGAATCAATCAATTTGCTTGTTTAAATTCTTGATCTCTAATTGAGTAATATAAACACTGACAAGATTTGCTCGCGTGATTGATGCCATGACGTTGTTTAGACACAACATATAAGGTGTTCATGGTATAGCAGTGACCCCTTCCTAGGTTGCACATTCGATTTCAGCAACCCAGGTGGTCTTGACGGTCCAAATGGAAATTGACGCTGATCCAGAAATGTTGTGCAATGTTGGCTCGAGAAATAGCCAGGTAAACAGCCCTCCAGGGCTGGTCCCTTCCGCTAGAACCGATTCTCCGGAGAAATCAACCGTCCCACCATCTCGCCATAAGCCCCCTCCACCTCACTGATTGCAGAGCCCTGGACCCAATACCCCTTGCCATTTGGTGCCTCTGCGGCACAAGCCGCAATAATGGCCCACGCGACGTCATCCGGAGAGCTTGTCAAGCTGCCGTTTGTGGTCGCCTCCAATCCTTCCACCATCGAGGTCAAGGTCAACCAGGGCGCGATCCAAGAGATGGAGACCCCCGACCGAGCCACTTCGGGCATGAGAGCAGTGCTACGCACCAAGCCCAGCACGGCATGCTTGCTGGCGGAATAGAGTGGCTGGGAAGGGATCGGCACGTACGAACCCGCAGACCCGACCACCACGATCCGACCGTGGTGCATAAAGTGGATGCCCAACTTCAGACCAAAAATAACCGAGTTCAAATTTATATCCACAAGCGCTGTGGATGGACGCTGAAGGGTATTGGAGTTCTGTTGGTCTCTTTCGTCGGCCAGGTAATTGTAGCGAACCTGTGAGTTCATCTGCGAGTGCTTCTGCGGGTCGGATGTCTGCAGAAGTGCGATTTCGGGGTTGATGGCTGCATTGCAGACCAGCAGATGGATTTGACCGATTGTTTTAACCACATGTTCGAACAGATCTATCTGTTGATCCCAGTCACTGACGTCGCAGACTTTGTATGTCGACCGTGAGCCTATCTTCTCACAGGCTGTTTTCAGGTCACCCTCTCGCACGTCTACCAGTACCACGCGTGCTCCATTCTGCGCTAGAAGTGATGCTGTCGCAAAGCCAATTCCTCTGGCTGCCCCGGTGACAATGGCAACTTTATTGTTCACGAGATTGTGAACCGTCTCCTGGCTGGGTCTTGGGATGGATGTCATCTTGGGAATTGATAGAAAGAGGGTGTCGATTTGCCAAACGGGATCAACAATCCTATGCTGAAGACAAAAGCCAGTCCTCTTATAAGTGGCTAACGGCCTCGGTCCACGGCACAGCCCCTACTCATACCCACTGTCGGGTTCGGCCGAATATCCTGATGTTATATTGGTTTCAATCTTACGAGACAGTACGGTGATTACCCCACTCCTTTCGCGCGATCACATTTGAGAATTTACATATTTACATTCGTTTTGTTCAAAAGCTAGTCATGGCCTTATAGCGATTACTGATAGCCCGTTTGGTGACGTCTATGCCAGGTGCGAGCGCTTCAAACCCATGCGGTAGACCCGGGTAGATGTGGCACTCAGTGGGGATATTGGCAGCCAAAAACCGACGTGCATACTCCATACCCTCGTGCACGAAGATATCAAGTTGAGGACAGTCCAGGTATAGTGGAGGAAGCCCCTCCACGGTCTCGACTCGAGCCGGCGCAGCGTAGGGAATAATCGCGTCACTTCCCACCTTCGGTCCTAGATACGCAGTCCAACCCGTGATGTTGTCCTTATCATCCCAGAAAGCCAGTTCACCCGCATGGTTGGTGCTTGTCCGGTCATCCAGCATGGGATAAATAAGAATCTGCTTCGCTAGAGGCGGGAGAGTGCTCGATCTCGCGCCAAAAGAGTAAGGGCAGCGGCCAAGCCACCGCCGGCACTTTCTCCCATGACCGCAATTCGAGCTGGATTAATTGACAGTCGTTCCGCGTTGCTTTGGATCCATTGTAGGACAGCCCAGCAATCTTCCAGAGGTACAGGGTATGGGTTCTCGGGCGCCAGTCGGTAGTCGATACTCAGGATTTGGATTCCAGTCTGAGAAACCGATGGCCCATGGGGAGTTGAACATCCGACTGCGCTCAGAGCTATATACCCTCCGCCGTGGATATGGATAATGGCAGGCTCGCCTCCCTCGCGAGCTGGGACCTTCTTGCGAAAGTGGTGGACGGGGACGTTGTGACCATCTGGCGCGGCGACACTGTGAACCACATGTTCAACGTCGTCCGGTAAGTTGATTTCCTCACTCGTCATGGCGCCGAGCATGGCACGCCTTGTGGCGACATTGTTTAACGCTGGCTTTGGGGCCCGAGCAAGGTGTTGTAGGATAGGAGCAGCTTCCTTCGCGAATTCAGAATCATACTGTAGAGACATGATCAGACGAAGAGGGACCGATAATAGAAAGTACCAATGTCTCGAGGACAGACTCAATTAATGTAATAAAAGCAAAACACGTATCGGCTTGTTTTCACCCCTCCACCCCTTTGATACTTCGCGATCATTTTTGGAAGATTCCCACAAGTCCACCTCTGATCCACCTGTCCCAATCGGGAAGTTGACGGCGAGCACCTCGGCCGGATTTCTACTAGGAATTGTAGCAGACATCCGTACTCCATACGCATATCCTACTTTGAGGTACCCGTGTCATCCGGAGAAGGGGAAAGGGACCTAGGCAACGTGAGGGAAAATTGGGGAACTGAGGAATTTTTTTGGGGGGGGGCCAAGAGAATTATACTCCCAACAGACGCACCTTCCCAGAATGAAAACTCCCATACTTTCCTATTTCCTCCTTGATCTCGTGACTTGCAAAAACGAATGGTCTGGAATACAACTTCCTCAGTTCCTAAGTTCCTCACGTCCACTTATTAGACATTTCGTTCGGTTGTGACTAGGCACCTTCCATGCATGCCAGCAAGCAGGCTGGCGCCACACGACACATAAATTTGCCCGATTTGGACCTGATTTGATCCCAATAATCACTTGTCAGCCTAAAAATGTCTATTCCAACCTTTGACGAGTTGCCGCCCGTGGAGGGCATGCCGCAAGGTTGCGCTTGGGGTGTTTTCGATAAGGACGGCAAGAAAGATGTCTACGGAACATTGAACCTGCTCACCCCTGATGTCATCAAGGATGCAGCGGCAGAGGTTCGTCAAGGGTTGTCTATCTCTCTGAAGTGAGCTGCTCTGCCCAAACTCCCGAAAGACCAGCTTGTACCTAATCCCACCAGTTGGCCTATTGGAAGCATCAAGTTTCCCGGCTTCTTTCGAAAGAGCCTCTGCCACAATGTTACAAAGCTGGAAGACCCAGAATCCTCCTGTCATTTTGGCTTTGATGACGAGGTATGCTGCTATCTGGGATATTTGGTCCTTTTCGTCCTGCTCACCACGCAAGTAACAGGTCGAATTCAATACGCAAGCCAGCAGTCAATGGGATAGCTTCAGTATATCTCCCATCTCATCTTCGCTTGAATCTACTTTGTTTAACCTTTTAACCAGCTCATTTCACCCACCTCTCAACTGGCCTCGCCTATAACGGAGTGAAACCAACAGTCGAAGCCCTCCAAACCCCCAATCCCGAAAATCAACTTCCCACCTTAGACCGTAAGAAATTTCAATCTACGTCATTGCACGGAAGGCTAACGCAGAAGAAGACTGGCACCAACGCGGTTGCGTGACCGGTCGAGGCGTACTACTCGACTTCAAACGTTACGCAGAGTCTCAAAATATCGAGTACGACGAATTCTCCAGCTTCCGCATTGGGACTAAGGAGTTGGAAGCGGTAGCCACGTGGCAAGGTCTAACTTTCCGAACGGGTGACATTCTCCTAATCCGATTCGGAGTCACCGACAAACTGGGTCAGATGAATGGGGCGGAACAAGGAGCCGCGATGAGTGGACACAAGATATGCGGGCTTGAGGGAAGTAAGGAGATGGCACGCTGGCTGTGGGATCATCACTTTGCTGCTGTTGCTAGTGATAATATGGCTGTTGAGGCTATGCCGCCTATGATTGATGGCGTCGAGCAGCCTATGCACGAGCTTGTGTTGCACCAATGGTGTCTTAGTTTGCTGGGCATTCCGCTTGGTGAACTGTGGGATTTGAAGGCACTCAGTGAGGCTTGTCACGCTAGTACGCAGTATTCTTTCTTGCTTACTTCGTCGCCACTGAATTTCCCCGGTGCCGTTGGGAGCCCACCTAATGCGTTAGCTATTCTTTAAGTGCTCGTCTACGGATCTATGAGTTGAAGTAACTCCTGGTTGCATTTGAATCAAGCAGACAGAAATTGAGAGTCTCCACAAAGCATCAAACAACGGTGTTTCGGCAATTAACCAAATATCAGGAGCAGTGAACTGCTTTCTATGACTAAAGACACTTTTCTATCACAAACTATATACAAGCCCTGGAGGTCTGGACCTGTCGACATACATCCCTGGAGAACCGCATTTTGACCTAAGCCATTGTGAATCCCTGCCAACTGTCCAGGGCCTGCGTGCAATTCTGCCACCAGCGTTGTATCCCACCCAAATAAATCAGTGGCTCGCGCCGCTTGCCGGGGATATTGGAGCCCATGTACCAAGAGTCGGTCTTCGGATACAACGTGTGCTCACTTACAGCGACGACATGGTCGCGCCACGCCTCAGCGGCCTTCTGGGTTGGCTCGATCGACACAAGTCCCTCCTTTCTCATCTTCGATATAACATTGCAGATCCAGTCAGCTTCCATCTCGACGAAAGGTGGGCCGTTAGCCAAGGAGGTAGGCGCCTGGGGACCGTAAACCATGAAGAAATTGGGGAGGCCGGGAACCATCAGGCCTAGATGAGTCAAAATTCCATTGCTCCACTTCTCCTTTAGCGAGTGGCCATCTTTGTCGGTGATTCCCAGATCTAAAAGACTGCCTGTGACGGCATCGTATCCGGTTGCACAGATCACAATATCAAGATCATGATGTTTTGTACCAGTACCATCACGAGTCACCACGCCAGTGGCATCAAACTCAACAATTGGTGATTGCTTCAAATTCACCAGCTTGACATTGGGACGATCGACCATCTCGTAGTAGTCCTGCTCGAGACTGGGCCGCTTTGTTCCAACCAACATGTGCTGCTTTAGTGGAGCGACCATATCCATCTTCTCAGGATCTGTCATGCGAGCCCGCACCTGCTGAACCCAGTAGTCGTAGAAGATGGAATTGGCCTTTTCGTCCAGCAGGAAGTCGTAGTAGTTGGAAACAAGGAAGCTGTACCCACCTCGCGCCCACAGCTCATCGAAAAGCACCTTTCTCTCTTCTGGGGAGGCCTGGAGGGCTGATTGGAACAAGGTGTTGTGAGGGAAGCCAGTGACAGATTTGTAGCAACGGTCAAAGATGCCGTCGTAGTAGCCCTTCATCATTTCAGATTCTCCGTAGGAGATCTCCCGCTGTCTCATCGGAATGGCAAAGCAGGGTGTTCGAATGAAAACATTGAGCTCACAGTCCTCTTTTGCAAGATCTTGCACAATCTGCAATCCAGAAGCTCCGTTGCCGATAAGACCCACCCTCTTGCCCTTGACGTCGAGGGATTCGGGATAATCCGCAGCATGGACAAGCTTTCCAGCATACTGATTCAAGCCCTGGAACTGTGGATAATGCTTCTTGTACGAAGACCCCGTCGCAGCAATGAGGTACTTGCATGTAGCTTCCAGACCGGTATTGGTATGCACAACCCAACGTTTCGTGGTCGCATCATACCGCACACGTGTGACGATGGTATTGAAAAATGTGTCTTTGCTCAGACCTAGGACATTGTCCACATGTTGAAAGTAGCGACGCAACTCCTCATCGCCGGGGAACCGCTGCGACCAATTCCATCCCTTCCACACCGCAGGGATGTTGAATTGATATGATGGCATCTCGGTGTCCACGCGGGCGCCCGGGTACCGGTTCCAATGCCATACACCACCAAAGGCACTTCCCGCTTCAATCAACTTGACGGAAAGACCCAGGTTGCGGAGCTTGTAGAGAGAATTGCAGCCTCCGAAACCGCCACCGATGACAATGGCGTCGGTTTCGATTTGTGTGTTTGCGCGTGTCATCTTGGCTTGTTGATGACCGAATTGGAAATTGAGGTTGAATATAGAATGGAATTTTGAACAGAAACACAGTTGTTTAACTTGGAAACGGATATCCTTTTACGCCTCTTCATCAAGACCGGTCCCATGCCGAAATAGGGACTCGGCTTCTCAGTCTTCCGATGGGAAGTGGCCTGTCGGTGTCAAAATATCGAATCCGATGCGATCAGGTCGAAACGGGAAGTTGACCGCGAGAAGGGTCAGGGTCCACTTGCCCACTTTCCCCACACTAACTTATACAAGGAAGTTATACAATGCAAATCAGAACGGAACCTGGGATTTCCGTTATCCGCTGTCGAAAAGTCAAGGGATGTCATATTCTAAGATATTCCACTCTGCAATAGAGGGTGTTCCTGCAAAGGTATACTTGGGAAAATCCAAACGCTCAGCATGACTTGCCACGTTCAAGGGATCGCATTTATTACTGGGGGTGCTTCGGGTAAAATATGATCTACGTATCACCAAAGCAACAGAGTCTGTTACTGACAAGTCTAGGAATTGGTAAGAGCACTGCTTTTGCCCTGGCTCGAAATGGTATCAGTGGCCTGGCCCTTCTTGACCTCAACTTGTCACTGCTTGAGAATGTTCAGACCGAGATCCGAAGCCAACATCCAAATGTCGATGTTGAAATCTTCCAAGTGAATGTGGCAGATGAAGCATCAGTTGACACAGCTGTCCAAAAGACCGTGGAGCGTTTCGGGCACATTGATATTGGCGTCAACTGTGCCGGTATTAGTGGAAATCCCACTTCAACTCACCAGATGTCTTTGACGGAGTGGAAGAAAGTAATTGATATCAATCAAACTGGAGTTTGGCTTTGTCAGCGAGCTTTGATCAGACAGATGCTCACACAGGAGTAAGTATTGCGACCTTTCTTCTCTGCTTGGTGTTTCTAATTCAAGTATAGGTCGCGTGGCACTCGCGACGGCCGTGGAGTTATCGTTAATGTCTCCTCCATGTTTGGCGTTGGCGGTCCCCCCGTCCATTTGGGATTCCTCACTACACCGCAGCGAAGCACGCTGTTGTCGGACTAACCAAAATGGTAAGGCTCTGTAAACTGCGCGATTGAACTTGGCTAATGAGATAACAGGACGCCAAAGCATACTCCCGAGAAGGGATTCGTATCAATGCTATCTGCCCTGGGTATATATATAACCCATTCCGTGTCGATGTTTGGTCGTACTAACAGCATAAACCAGGTTCGTGGATACTCCAATCATCAAGGAACAGATTGAGTCCGGGTCAATGGACGCCCAGTTTCAGATGACACCCATCGGTCGGCCTGCACAGGTGGAGGAGATTTCCGATGCAATGCTCTTCCTTTGCTCTTCCGCGAGCAGCTATATGTGTGGAGCGGCGTTGGTGGTTGATGGAGGGTTTACTGTCTGAGCTCGCATACGGGTAGTAAATATTGCTTCAGGATCGAGTCAATAGGAAATTCCCCAAACAAGTTGCTAGGGAAGAAATGTGCCTACTTCTTACAATTTCCAAGTTTTCAAACGTTCCTAGGTAGTAGCAGACTCTTATATACACACTATGCACGTAAATTCCAAAAGCCAAGAATTCTTTTAGGAACAGTGACAGTAACATGTTCACTACACGATAGTACAAAAGCGAACGTTGGATCTTTAGTCCTCTGTCACCTGGGCTGGTTGAGTATATGACCAAACTGACTCAATCTTCGTATGCGATGAGTAGCCTAACGAAATAAAAAACATCCGACTTCATCGAACCAACATTGAGATACGTATACAAATCAAACCAAATCTCACTCATCCCTGGTGTGGACCAGCTTTCCCTGAACCCAGACATTCTTCACGTTCCGATCATCACCACTCCACATCCACTTCTCGATCTGTTCTTGCCAAGTCTCATTTCCAAACAGATCAATATTGCCCACAGAGCCAGTCTCGACACCTCGACCAGCGAGAGTAGCCATATCAAGTGGGCTCGCCGTGTTGTTTGGAAGAACAGCACCCAACTCAATCAGCTGCGCATCCCAAATCATGCCCTTATCGAAGCCACCAATGTCATCCACCATATCGACGACTGCTGCACCGCCACGCGTGGCTAGATAGAGAACATCATCGACCAGAAGCTTCTCACTTCCATCCGATGTCTTGTTGCCCGTCAGCTCTTGGTACTCCGCACTATATTGAACCACTCGGGACACCAGGCTCGCCTGTCGGGCAACCTCAAGAATACTGGCGCTGTACCCGCCAGCCACATCCGTGCCCAGACCGACCGCGACGCCTTGGTCGAGCATGAAGCGGACAGGAGCAAGTCCTGAGCCTAAGGCGGAGTTCGATGCTGGGCAGTGCGAAACCTTTGAGCCGCGCTCGCGGATCAGAGTCATCTCTTCCTTGGTGAGGTGCACACCGTGTGCGAGGATGGTACGGTTGGTAAGTAGGCCAGCCTTGTCGTACACGTCAGCATAACTGGACGACTCTGGGAACAGTTTCTGGACGAGTGCAATCTCGTCTGTGTTCTCGGAAATATGCGTTTGGATCCACAGGGGCGGGTTATAGGATGCTGCTAGTTTGCCGAGGCTATCGAGGGAGTGCTGTGAGCAGCTTGGCGCAAATCTGGGGGTGACGATCGGGTTAATCAATGTTCCGTTCGGGTCCAGCTTCTGGATATAATCGATGGTCCTGATTGTTGCATTCAGCCCATCATCGGCGGACTGATCAATGTAATAAGATGGGCACTGGTCGGGGTTGTCCATGCAGACACGGCCGACGAAGGCGCGCTGGCCGTGTTTGTGGCAAAGGGCTGCCAGGGCATTGGTGGCCGGGACGTGGATGGTGGCGAAGTAGGATGCGCAAGTTGTGCCGTGGGCAAGAGTCTTGGAAACGACTTCATCGTAGACGCGGAGGCCCTCTGGGGGTGTATCTTTAGGATCGGTGTCCTTGTTCTCTGGGTCCGACTCGGAGCCGAAGCTAGCTTCAACTGGGAATGTGTATTCATTCAACCAGTCCAACAGACCCTTTGATCCAAATAACCCCAGGTTGGGGTACTGCGGCGCGTGGATGTGGGTATCAATGAAGCCGGGGAAGAAGAACTCGTTCTGATCATCGTTTGACTGTACAATTGTAACATCGGCCTCAGTCCAGCCGTGGCTAGACAGGAACGATTGGAAGCTAGCATCATCTTTGACTTGCCAATCATATCCTTTAATACGACCATCCTCCGAAGAGACCCACAGGACACCTTGGGTTCGAGCGAGCTTTGGCTTGGCCGAGTTTGAATCAAGCTGGGGAAGCTGAACGAATGTACCGCGATAGATGGTGTATGGAGTTGCTGCAGCCATGGTGCCGCAGGCAAACAGCACTACCCAAGACAGCCATAACGCAGACAACCCCACCGAAGATCTGAAGATGTTTACAAACATAGCGAAAAAGAAATGTCGATCGATTCTCACTGGATCAACCTACCATCTCGAGGATAACACACCATGATATATACTCATCTACACCCTGGAATTAATGGATGAAACATCATGCATCTAGTATCAGAGTTCAATTAATCTGAAGTTAATGAACCGTGGATTGTGCAGCCATTGATGGCTGCACCTACTGCATTGGACGGTCATCCCCGCGGTAGCATCCGGTAATGGCTCTAACTCCTTTGGAGATTAGGAGATAACAGGATCGACACAGACGATCACAATTATCTTCAATTGTTCTGGACTCGGTGTTCGGCTGCCTCCGACTGACTTGAGCATGGCGGGGCCACCAGAAGGGCAAGTCCAAGAAACGAAAGAAGTCCTTCCCCCGCTCGGGCCTCGGGTTTGTCACCACATGAGGGGTCTTTGACGGTGATGTTGATGTTGACTGTGTGAAAAATAAATAAAAAATATTGAGGTTTTGGAAGAGACAGAATAATAATGCATATGTCGGCAGATATGGATTGGGAAATTGGAAGATGCATCGTATTAAAATACGCTAAACATTCTTTAGGAAGGCTGCAGCGCCACAGCCAGCCCTTCGGATCCCAAATCTATCTTACCCTCCGGAATACCTGACCCTACCCTTACCCACTATCGAGTTTTGTGGCCTATGGCACCCATTTACGCCATTGGCATCTTGAAGCCAGCAAATCAAGAGATTATGTGGGAGGCAACTCATACCGAGATTCGAATGTCCACTTACCTAACTTCCGCTGATCCAATTTTATCTTTGGCCAACCTCAATCCTCCATCCTCCGCCTCACAGCTGTCAATTCCTCTTTATTTTCGTGTAGGCGTAAAAAACCACATGCCCGGAGGATGGCGCCCGGATGTTGGTCTCTTGACGTGGAAGTGCTAATTGTCCACGCTTCCGCTATTCAACCCAGTTGAGGCTTCCATTAAGCAGTTTCTTGGCTCCTACCCTGACGGTGACCGCCGATGGCCGAAAATTCAACCCCAGATTTTTGACCCCGGATTTCCAAGCCACCATACTCGCTGCATCAATGCTCACCGTCTTGCATATCAACACGCTACAATATTATTGATATAATAGCGTGCAGTCGCTTATCGCACTCACTTCACTTCCCATCCACTCCTCCCAATCCACTCTCTTCATCCTTTGTCTACCTCTTGTACAATTCCACCATGGGCTTGAAGCCGTATCTTGGCCTTCGCGGCAATGCACTCCTCAGAGCAGCAGTAGCACTTGTCGTATTCCCAACCTTCACCTGCTATGGTTACAATATGAGTGTGGCTGGTGGCCTTTTGACCCTCCAGGCCTTCAATAAGCAATTTCCTCGCATGGACACTATAAACACGGAGGGAGCCTTGAAAGCGGAAAACTCCACAATTCAAGGTCGGTCAATATCAAGAGAACGTCTCCCGTGTCTCTATATATTCTAATCATTTGTGCATGGATAGGCACTGTGATTGCTCTCTACACAGTCGGTGGTATCTTTGGAGCCTTGTCATGCGCCTATTTAGGCGATCGGCTAGGGCGGAGGAAGGTCATGTTCGGGGCCAATTTGGTTTGTATGATTGGCTGCATTTTGATGGCCACCTCCTTTGATTTCGCACAATTCATCGTCGCAAGATTAGTTCTTGGTGTGGGGATTGGTGGATACACCGCTACCGTGCCAGTTTGGCAGTCTGAGATCTCACCAGCACATAAACGAGGCTCGAACGTCGTTACAGATGGCATTTTTGTCGGTGCCGGAGTCAGTCTAGGACTTTGGATCGATCTCGGACTCTACTTCGTGAAGAATAACTCCGCATCATGGCGATTCCCACTTGCCTTCCCATCAGTTTTCTGTATGATAGCAATGGCTTCCATTCCGTTCCTCCCGGAATCCCCCCGTTGGCTGATCATGACCGGCCAAATTCAAGAGGCCCGGAATGTCATGTCGGCTCTTCTCGAGCTAGAGCCTGATTCGGATGAGATCTCCAACGTTATCCATGATGTTCAAACTACTCTCGCTGTCTGTGGAAATACTTCCTGGACCGCTGTTTTCACAATGGACAAGCAACGTCTCTTCCACCGTGCATACCTTGCCTGCACAGGTCAGTTCTTCCAGCAGATGTGTGGTGTGAACCTGATTACCTACTACGCAACGACTATCTTCCAGGTGAGTTAATGCTGTTGTCTTCTTCGTTCATACACCTTCCATGCTGGATTGCCAGACGTCACTTATGTGTTTGAGTGTATCATTAACTGACAGCGCCCTAGGAATATCTCGGCATGGACGAAGTGAGGGCCCGTATCCTCGCCGCATCAATGGGCCTCACGCAGCCATTCGGCGGTCTGCTCGCATTCTATACTATCGATCGTCTCGGTCGCCGACCACTCATGACATGGAGTGCAGGAGCCATGGCTATTTGCATGGCCATTCTTGCCGGTACAACATCGCCAGAGGCCGAGGGCCAAACTGCTCCCCTGGTGGTCGCCGTCATTGCGCTTTTCTGCTTCCAGTTTATCTTCACAGTCGGATTCTCCGGCTTGACCTTCCTATATGCCGCCGAATTGGCTCCTCTACAGGTCCGCGCGGCCGTCAGCGCCCTCTCCACTGCCACTGTCTGGGTTTTCAACTTCCTGCTCGCTGAAGTGACCCCCATCGGCTTCAACAGCATTAGCAATAAGTACTACATTATCTTCGCGGTTATCAATGCCGTCATTGTGCCCTCCGTGTACTTCTTCTTCCCCGAGACCAAGGGTCGGTCACTTGAAGAGATTGATGAAATCTTTGCCCAGTCGAATAACATATTTGACCCGCCTCGCGTGGCGCGCCGCATGCAGAAGACTCTCCGCGCCAGTACGCCCGATCGGTCGGGATCGGGAAGCGGCGGTGAGAACACCTATTTGAAGGAAGAGGTGAAGGCTTAAGTCTGCACCCAACGGCTTTCTGTTGAGCTTCACCATGTCTGATATGAATTTTTGGAGGTTATTCATTTGTTTTATCTGAACAGCGGACGTTGAAGTCTAGGTCACTATGAAACTTCGGTATAACACGCTATACCCACCGAAGATCCCTTCACTGCATGAAGGGACAGAACGGAATATCAATGAAATGTTTACTGCGTGACCACTGGCAATCTGAAATGTAACTCGTGCTTGAGGCAGCCTTAGCGAACCAGTCTTCTTCGAATGTGAGATTATTGGTAATTTGTCTTCGTACACCACGGTGCTCGACAAGGTCCACGAATATTATGTACTTACTCGGTTTCAGGGAATAATGCCCATCGAGACAACTGGATTACTTGTAGTTGGGTATAGACATATTAGGAATAGATCCGTCGGCTAGGATTATAAAAACGCTTCGAACCATATTGCAGACAAGCCTTTATATATATTGGGCTGTGTGATCCACAATTTTCCGTAATGAAACTCTACCCCGGGAGAGTCTAACATAGGAGAACTCAGTAGAATAGATATAGCTCATACCCATCGGGATCTACGGAGTATCCGTACCTGCGGACAAGAATTATTGGTTAGTATAACAGGGATTTACACTGCTGGCAGCGGATATTAGGGAGAGCAGACGACTAAAATTGTAGCCTGATCCACAAGGCTGTAAGGCAACAAGGCCACGAAAGCTTCATTTTTACTCAAATCTTCATTTTGGCAACAGTCCTTCTGTCTCCTAGTTAGGTAGAAATTGGGGACACTGCAGGGACCAACTTATTCTCCAAATCATTCCCGGTGAACCCCACCAATCATGACTTTCCGGGCACTTATCAAGAATGCATACGCGCTAAACCCCTTGGGGGGAAAGATGCGCCGTTTGCCCAACTGGCCAATCAGATCGCCACAGGAGCGCGAAAGATTTACCCAAAAGGGAAACCCAAGGGGATCACCAGGGTTCATGCGAATATAAATGCATTGCTATTCCCAGCCTTAGAGAAACCATCCTTCCTTGAACATTATCTATAATGACTAGCCTTCACCCTTTTGACCCTATAACACCTGGGGAGATCCAATTGGCGGTCTCCGTTCTCGAATCCGCTTTCCCAGGTGCCAAGCTGCGCTACAAACGCATCGATCTTCAGGAACCTGCCAAGCATGAGGTTGTACCATTTCTCGAGGCCGAGCGCCAAGGTGAAGTGCGCCCGCTGAAACCAGCACGGTTGTTGATGGCCCTCTTCCACCGATTGGATAACGGGTCTTTCTTCAAGGCTCTGATCAATGCAGACACCAAGTCCATCGTGTCAGCAAAAGAGCTACCCAAGGACGTCCAGGGTCCACTGGACGTTGATGAAATGATGGAAATTGAGGAGCTATGTCTCAGCCATCCAGCTGTCAAGGCTGAAATTGAAAAGTTGAAGCTTCCGGCTGGCCACACCGTCTGCTTAGATCCGTGGATCTATGGTACTGATGATGCCAAGGAGACACGGCGTTTGTTCCAGTGCTACATGTACATTGTGGCGACAGACCACCCCCAGAACAACCAGTATTCTCTCCCTTGCAAATTCTCCCCTGTGTTTGATGGCATCACTCGCAAACTGGTCCGCATGGATTATCTGCCTGGTGGAGCCGATACCCAAAGCACTGAGACCCAGCCCTGGAAGCAGGTGCCTACTGTGCAATATGCGCATGATTTGCTGGATGAGCCTCTGCGCACTGATCTAAAGCCCTACATTGTCCAGCAACCAGAGGGAGCGTCGTTTAATATCGTTGGGAATGCCGTGTCATGGCAGAAGTGGCGTTTCAGAGTGGGCTTCAACAACCGAGAGGGCCTGGTGCTGCACAATGTAACCTACGATGGTCGCAACACCTTCTACCGTCTGTCGGTCTCTGAGATGACAGTCCCCTACGCCGGTATGTTCTATGACTCCGCTTTAGCAACCCGTCTAAGTTATTCTAGATCCACGGGCTCCCTACCACCGCAAGCAAGCATTTGACGTGGGTGACGTCGGCTTCGGTATTACAGCTAACCAACTGAGTCTCGGCTGCGACTGTCTCGGTCACATCAAGTATTTCGATGGATATCGCACGGATGCACAGGGAGCACCGATTCAACTAAAGAATGTCATCTGTATGCACGAGCAGGATAATGGGCTGCAACATAAGCACACTAACTACCGCACTGGGGCGGCGACTGTCGTCCGTAACCGCCAGCTCGTGGTTCAGATGATCTGCACCGTTGCTAACTACGAATACATCTTCGCTTTTATTCTCGACCAAGCAGCCAATATTGAGCTCGAGGTACGAGCAACTGGTATCCTCTCGACTGTGCCCTTCGAAAACGAGAACGGCCAAACCGTGCCATGGGGTACGAACGTCGGACCGGGCGTTATGGCCCCCTTCCACCAACATATGTTCTCCCTTCGTATCGACCCTGCCATCGACGGCTACAAAAACACAGTATACTACGAAGAAAGCGTGCCTATGCCGGAGGATGACAGCAACCCATGGCTCGTCGGGTACACCACAGAAGAGAACATTATCAAGTCAAGCGGCAGTGCCTCGACCAGCGTCGACCGCCACCGCGTCTTCAAGATCCGGAACGACTCGATCATCAACCCTATAACCCACCACCCCATCGCATACAAGCTGCAGACCATGCCGAGTCAGATGCTTCTGGCACACCCGAACTCATTTGGCTCGAAGCGCGCCCGCTTTGCGACCCGCCCTATCTGGGTTACTAAATATCAAGATGACGAGCTATTCGCCGCCGGCGAGTTCACAAACCAGAGCAAGCAATCTGAAGGCGTGGAAGTGTGGGCTGGAAGGAATGACGCAGTTGAAAACGAAGATGTTGTTCTCTGGCACAGTATGCTATCCCATCTAACCTCTCCTGCAATATTAGCTAACTGCCCCCAGCATTCGGCCTCACCCATAACCCCCGCATTGAGGACTTCCCTGTTATGCCCATGGAGCGTGTCAGCGTGATGCTCAAGCCGGATGGCTTCTTTACTAAGAACCCTGCACTGGATGTGCCGGCTTCAAGCCAGTCCTTTAACCGGTCGACCTTGCACCCCGAGCCGGCTTGCTGTGCAGGTCCTCAGGAGCGAGGGCAGGTGAAGTTGTAGATATTATATGTGGGATGTGATGGAGAGGCAGACTTCTGTAAATGAATTATGTCGCAAAGAAGCAAATATAACGAAGTTATTCCAATTGATTGCATGCTTTGGAATAGTGGCTACATGTACTAACCAAGGTCCTCTGTGCTTACCTACATAGTATATCGTATATCGCTTATCGTTCGGATATCCATACTCGGTCCGACGCACGATCCAACTCCCAAGGGGAGTTGGGTCGCCTACGGTTGAATGCAAAAAATCGATTTAGGTACCTTTTCTATAGGATACACATATAAAAGGTACTTAAAAGCTAAAATGATTCAGATGTGAATATCTCGACCACGGCACTTTTTAACTATTAAATAGATATATTATTAAGTTATTATAGGCTATGTATTATAGTAAGATAGGATTTTAAGTTAAAATAAAAGTCTGTTCTAGAGGAAACGCCTTTCGATCTATTTTACACTACAATTACTAGTGTAGTTTCGTTTTCTCTAATTTTAGATATTCTTTTTTAAAAGATTATGTAGAGAAACTAAAGATAGTAGGTTAAATTATGAATATTTTCACCTTCCTGTAATTGAATATCGTGGTCGAGATATCACGTTTGAATTATTTTGGCTTTTCAGTACCTTTTATATGTGTATCCCATAGAAAGGTACCTAAATCGATCTTTTGCATTCAACCCGTGCGACCGGGCGGGAATTGGCCCGTGCGTTGGGTTGAGTTGGACAAGCCACATCCAATCAGGCTGTTTTCTCCCCTCCACTTACATTTAACTTACAACCCCCCCGGATAAACAGCAACTTCCGCTTCATCAAATCCGGCAAATGCTCCCCTCGAGAACATCCATGTGGGCTACTCCCGGTTCGACATGGACTTGGTTCATGGTTCCCGGGAGATTCTTGAACGTCTGCTGTTGTTCCGCAGCAGGGAAGAGCTGATCCAACTCCGGCACCACAAACATCACCGGCACAGCCAGATGCCTATAGATCGGAGTTGGATTCCACATTACGAGCTTCCGATAAGATTGGATGGTTGTACGATTGACATGATTGGCAGCTAAGGCTTGGCGAGTGGGGATACTTTCGTCCTGTGCGCTGATAATGCGCAGAGCGGCATCCTTGTCAATGCCTAGATTGGCCCCAGCTGGATTGTCGCCCGCTCCGTTGAGCATCGGGAGATAGAACGGATCGTTACCCTTTAACTGGGACTCCCGATCCTTCGCAGCTTTCCCAAGTACGCTAGGTATCTTGGCCTGCGTAAAAGGAAAGACTGTAGCTGGGCAGATGGCGACGACGAAGCGGGCGCGTGGGTCAACTGCTGCACATGCTAGTGCGACTGCCCCAGAAAGAGACATCCCCCAAATCCCCATACGAGTCTGGTCCACCATAGGATGAACAGCCAGAAAGCTCAGCGCATCTGAGTAGTCGTCGATCTGCGTAAAGGGGTCGATATCGTTGCGCGGCTCGCCATCACTAAGCCCAGTGGTTCGTGGGTCATACATAAGCACTGTGATTCCGGACTGCTGAAAGGCTACAGCCACGTTTGGCAGGCCTACCATCTCTTTGACAGCATTGAACTGCCTGACGTTAGTTAGGAAAATCAGACGAGGTGATTCGGTACTTACCCCTGGACTCATCACAATACCAGGTCCTCGACTCGAGGCGATATACATTCGACCTCGCAGAGTGACACCATCCATGGTCTTGAACTCGACATCTTGTTGAGACATGTTGAAGTCTATGGGACAAAAGTTGTTCAATTGGATAGACAATCGAAACCCTTCCCGGCCCATCTATGACATCTTATAACATTTATCCTAGTCACGTGGAACTTTCTCTTCAGCATCTCACCCGATGACGCCGGAGCAACATTCGCTAGCAACGACTCTCGCTCCACGTGCCGGACCCACCCGCGCTCGCATTGTCATATTTTGGACTTAGAGCCAACACAAGGTGGAAATGGCTCAACCATACCAATCTTCATCGCATTATCTTTGGGAGATTATGGGGCCCTGCACGCAGCGTGCAGGTTTTGGCCTCTGCTTGCGGCTGACTCGGCGAGGAAGAGCTAGCTCGTGCGTAATCTTGTGCGTGGTACATTGTTGATCTGCATACCTGTAGATCTCGGAAAACTTTATTTGCCTGGCCGGAGGAGCGGCGGCAGCCGCAGCAGCTGAAAACGGCCAATTTCGACGATGCTTGTTACAGTCATACCTCATCAGGTTCGAAGGATCGTCGGAGCAAACTTTGAATCTTTCTAAATTACAAGGGTTTACAAAACAGTAAGATGTTTGGGTGCCCATGTCCACCACAGGTAGCATTTTTGCAAGATATATCGGATGGCCTAGGGCATGCTCTTATCAACGATGCTATGCTATATGGAGTAATTCAATATAAATAAGTAAGCCAAGAGATAAATATTCACATATGCACCTAATCAATTGCTAAGTCCCCAGGCCCATGTCGCGTAAGTGACGAAATTGATAGGCCTAATATATTATTAAAACTCATATACGTTTCATATCTAGGTAGGGATACCCTATCGTGCCCGTCCCGTGTTAAAAGTTACAATACTGTATACCAAATTGCAAGTCTGTTCTATCAATGACTACATCCTTCTGAATATAGAGGTCATAGAGGTCATACTAGCTGAGCAAAGACAGGTGGTCCAGGTACAAAATGGACAGCCTGGATGTGCTTCCTCCTGCAAAACCAATCTGCTTTCAACTACGATTTTGCACTTCAACATGGTTATAAACAGCTCTGGCACGGATAGATATACCAATGGAGTTGTTGATATTCATAGGACTGCCGACTCAGTTCAGGCCAATTCTCTTGGTGAAGACAATGCCATCCCCGATATTGGAGCTATAGATGGTGCGTCCCAAACCTCACTTCAAGCCCCGATTGCCGTGGTTGGAATGGCCTGTAGACTCCCCAATGACTGCCATTCCCCAGAGGCATTCTGGAGATTTATTGAGCGAGGCAGCATCGCAAAAAACCGACCTCCTCCTTCTAGGTTCAACATTGATACTCATGTAAGTCTTGAGAAATCACTACTTCCGCCATACACTAACAGACATAGTACGATGGATCCTTGAAGAACAAGACGATGGCCTCTCCGGGAGGGATGTTCCTCCAAGGAATTGACGTGCAGGATATTGATGCCCAGTTCTTTAAGCTCCCTCGACTGGAGGCCATGTCTATGGACCCCCAGCAGCGTCAATTATTGGAGGTTGTTTATGAGGGCCTCGAAAACGCGGGTGTTACGCTCGAGCAACTGGACGAGTCACCCGTCGGTTGCTTTGTCGGTTCATTTGCCTGTGATTATGGGGACATGCAAGCCCGAGACCCAGAGAACAGAGGCACTACGACGACGGTTGGAATTGGACGTGCTATGTTGAGCAACCGAATCAGTCACTTTCTGAACATCAAGGGTCCTAGGTATGTCTCTCGGCAATGCTTCTCAATATCTGAGACTAAACATCACTCAGTATGACTATAGATACAGCCTGCTCCGGTACATTGACCGGTGTCGATATCGCGAGTAGATATCTCCAAACTCGTGAGATCAACGGTGCTATCGTTGCCGGCGCCAATATCTATCTCAGCCCTGAGCATGTTATGGACCACCACTTTGGTGCCAATGGAACAGCCTCGCTGTCAGGAAAATGTCACACGTTTGATGCTAAGGCAGACGGCTATATCAAAGCTGAAGCAGTTAATATGGTCTATCTCAAACGTCTCGATGATGCCCTCCGTGACGGTGATCCCATTCGTGCCGTCCTACGCGGTACTGCGACTGGGAGTGATGGCTGGACAGCCGGTATTGCCAGCCCCAACTCACAAGCCCAGGCAACCGCCGTTCGGCAGGCGTATGCAAATGCTGGTATTTCTGACTTGTCATTGACCAGTTACATCGAATGTCATGGAACTGGCACCAAAGCTGGTGATGTGATTGAGGTGAACGGTATTGCATCGGTGTTTAGCAAACATCGAACTCCGGACAACCCCTTACGGATTGGATCAGTCAAAAGCAATATCGGTCACTCGGAGCCCGCAGCGGGAATCTCGGGTTTGTTGAAAACAATTCTCGCCCTTGAGAGGGGTGTTATCCCTGGAAACCCCACATTCCTAACCCCAAACCCTAATATCGACTTTGACAAGCTTTGCCTACGTCCCTCGCAAGCCACAACGAATTGGCCTGCCGTTCCCTTCCGACGAGCTAGTGTGAACTCCTTCGGATATGGTGGCTCCAATGCCCATGTCATTGTTGATGCTGCAACTGGACTCAGCAAGCATGTCACCTCTTACACACCCGAAAGCGACGATATCTTTGCAGACGATGCAGGTCCGGAGAGACCTTATCTTTTGGTCCTCTCGGCCAACGACGAGAATTCCCTCCGGGCTCAAGTAACATCGCTAGACAAACATCTCTCGGATCCTGCTGTTGGAGTGAAGATCCGAGATTTGGCGCACACACTCTCCAATCACCGTACACGGCATTATCATCGAGGATATCTGATCGCTAACAGCAATTCTATCGACGTTGATGATGTGACTATGGGAACACCTCGGTCGGATCCACCCAGAATTGGCTTTGTGTTCACTGGACAGGGCGCTCAATGGGTGCAGATGGGCAAGGATCTTATTACATTCCCTGTTGCCAAGAGAGAGTTGGAGCATTTAGACAATGTCCTGGGAAACCTGTCCGAGCCTCCCCAGTGGTCGCTTATCGGTCAGTCTCTCCTAACCTTGTCCATTGACGGATACACTGACAAGCCTAGATAAACTGGTCAACCCTCAAAGCGCCGAGGACCTCCGTGATCCTGAACTCTCACAGCCCCTTGTGACCGCTCTTCAGCTTGCTATTCTGGCAGTTCTGGACGGTTCTGGCGTCAAATGCAGCTCTGTTGTTGGCCACTCATCTGGAGAAATTGCAGCTGCTGTCATGGCTGGTAGGATCACTGCCGAGCAGGCCATCAAGATCGCTTACTACCGAGGCAAGGCAACTTCAAATGCTCAGTTCGAAACAGAAGTCGGTATGCTTGCGACTGGACTAGGGGCTGAATCGGTACAACCCTATCTGAAAACCACATCCATTCAGATCGCCTGTATCAACAGCCCAGATAGTGTAACACTTTCTGGGGTCCGCTCGGAACTGCAAACCGTTGAACAGAAGATCAAGGCTGACGGCCACTTTGCTCGTCTGCTTCTGGTAAATGCGGCGTACCATTCTAGACATATGAACGTGGTGGCGGACGAGTACCAGACATTGTTAGAAAGGCACGTTAACTGGCAGCAGCCATCTTTCAAGTCTGCAACTATGATTTCGTCCACCTCGGGGGAAATAGTTGAGGATGACCTCGGCCCGAGCTATTGGGTGCGTAACATGGTCTCGCCAGTTCTGTTCAGCCAAGCCATTCAGCGTATGATATCCCCATCAGATGGCGTGGATTTATTGATCGAGATCGGACCAAGCAACGCCCTTTCTGGACCAATTAACCAAATCAAGAAGGCTGTTTCATCCTCGGTCGACTATATTCCGTCCTGGAAACGAGGCGCTGATGCACTTAACGCCATGCTGGGATTGGCTGGACAGCTATTCATTATAGGATGCCCGATTCAACTGGCCCAAGTGAACAAGGACACTGAAGCAGCAGCACCCTCATTGATCGTCGATCTTCCGAACTACCCATGGAACCACGCCACCAAATATTGGCAGGAAAGTGAGGCAAGCAGTGACTGGCGGTTCCGCAAGTTTGCTCACCATGATCTTCTCGGTACCAAAGTCTTGGGTACTCCGTGGACTCAACCGGTGTGGAAAAAGGCCATCAAAGTAGATGACTTACCGTGGCTCCGGGACCACAAGGTACTTATCCGACGTTTCTTTCTTTGATTTGCATGCTAACCTCAGCAGCTCGGTGATAGCGTGGTCTTTCCCGCGTCTGGATATATTGCCATGGCCATCGAAGCTATATTCCAAAAGGCCAAATCCTTGGGTCGCATCCCTGACACAGCCAGCGTCAACCAAGTATCATACAAGTTGCGGAATATCACATTCTTCCGCGCACTAACCGTAGATGAGGAATCCGGAAATACCCAGATCATGTTGTCACTTAACCCATGTACCAGCACGAAGGACAGTTGGCATGAATTCAAAATCTCATCCATCTCAAAGGAGGTTGTCAATGATCATTGTCAAGGGCTTGTCAGTCTATCAGAAGAGGGTATCCAAGGTATGTTGTCTCTTGCTGGATTGAAGATCACGACTGACATCTCCAGTGGGGCCTGCGAGCGACCTTCTCCCTCTCCTCCACAGCACTCCTGCCTCGACCTGGTACAAGGCAATGCGGGATGTGGGATACAGCTTCGGTCCCAGTTTCCAACAACAACTGCAAATTGAATCTACTGCTGGTCAGCGGTCGAACCGAGCCACTGTATCTCTTTTGGAACCACAATCCAAAACACCGCAGTCTTTGTACTCAATGCATCCCGTGAGCATTGATTCTTGCTTCCAGGCGGGTGCACCATCTGTCTGGGCTGGCCACCGAAGTTCTGTCAATATCTTGATGTTGCCGGCTACGATAGATGACCTGACCGTGATGGCGCAAGCATCTTCTCCAGAGACAGGCTTAGCTGTTGCAGATGCAGAGTATACCGGTGTCGGAAGACATGATGATCCCCGCCGGCTTAAGTCGAATGTCAAGGTGTATGACCCAGCCAATGGGAATTTGCTCTTCCGACTTTCTGGCCTTCACTACCATTCCCTCGACGCTACCGTGGAGAGGCATGCAGCGCACACGTATACGTGTTTGGAATGGCAACCGGACGTATCTTTCCTTTCGGATAATAAACTTGATACCTTGCTTGAGGCAGCAGAGTTTAGCAGCAGCACTGCCCAAGCTGTTGCGAAGATAGGACAGGTCGTCAACCTTGTTGCTCACAAGAACCCTCGACTGCGGCTCTTTGAGCTGAGCTTAATTGACAAACCCGAAAGCGTGTGGCTTGATTGCGTCAAGCCCGTCGCCTCGGATATTGCCACGGACCTCGAGTACCGTCTCTCGCTACCATCGCAAAACTCCGCTCTCTCCGCACAGTCCAAATACGGAAGCTCGAATGTGGAGTTTGGCCTTCACGACATTGATGCGCCATTTAGCGAAATGGAAGACAGGGACACTTATGAGATCATTATTCTCAAGGCATCTCCTTGCCACCCGCCCTCGACTAGCCATATTGAAAAGGCCCGAAACCATCTTTCCCATAGATGCTTCCTTTTCGTTGTGTACGACACCAGCACAGCTGGAGAAAGCTTATCCAAACATGACGGATTGGAAAGCACTTCAACCGCGCAACCTCCGAAGGATGCTGGCGAGCTCCAAATTGCCTCCTTTGAATCTACCATAGCTAAGGAAGCTCCACAACCCAGGGTACCTCTCCATGTCACACACTTTAAGGCCTCGAATGGACTGAAGTCGAGAACCCTTAGCGACCTCGTCGAGAATGGGTGGGAGGTCATTGAACATTTCCTGCCATTTAACGATGTTCCTGAGAATGGGACTGTCGTCGTACTGGACGAGATGCATTCTCCAGTCATGTCTAACCTAAGCGACGAACAATTTGAATCTTTCCGGAACCTCGTCCAACGCCAGTGTCGAATTCTCTGGGTCACACGAGGTGCGCAGATGCAGGTGACGCACCCTGAGCATGCCCTCTTTTTCGGCACAGCGCGATCGCTATATGGCGAGGACCCAACCTCTCTAATCATGGTGTTGGACGTTGAGCATGCAGATGGGCCAGCCAGCCTAGGTGCTCTTCATTCGGTATTGGAACGTCTCGTCTCGGCTCAGAAGTTGCAAGATGAGGATCATGAATTCATCGAGAGAGGGGGAATAGTATATATCAGCCGGATCGTTCCTGACAAGGCGGTTAACCAGGCCGAGAAGGACAGTATTTTGGGCCCGGAGCCCCGACAGCAGTCACTGCATGGTCACCAGTCCACTGTAAGGTTGATTAGCACGCGGGCTGGCACCATTGACAGTCTGCAGTATGCAGAGCAGCCTGACGAAGAATTTGGAAACCGTGACGTGGAGATTGAGGTGCATGCAGCGGCCCTCAACTTCAAAGACTTGGCGCATGCCCTGGGGTTCTTTCCCTCCAACGAGCGTCGTTTTGGCATAGAATGTGCCGGAATCGTCACTCGACGAGGAAATGATGTGGGGTCTGTTTCCGTTGGAGATCGTGTAGTGCTCGTCCGGAAGGATGGAGGTGCATTTGGCAACCGAGTAATCGGTATGGTGGAGGGTGTCCAGCGGATTCCGGATTGGATGTCATTTGTGGATGCCTCCACCTTCGGAATTTGCTTCATGACAGCTATGTACAGTCTCATCAATCTGGCAAACACACAGGCAGGACAGGTATGTCTCTTTCCCTGCCGGTTATTCACTTCTGCTGACAATACAGACCGTTTTGATCCATGCCGGTGCAGGAGGTGTCGGATTGGCAGCCATCCAAATCTGCCGCCACCTGCAAGCCGAGATATACGTGACCGTTGGTTCAGAGGAGAAGCGCCGCTTCTTGAGAACGGAATACGGCATCCCAGAAGACCGCATGTTCTCGTCGCGGTCGATATCATTTTCGAGTGATCTCATGTCTGCCACCAATGGCCGTGGCGCTGATGTGATTCTGAATTCGTTGGCGGGTGATATGCTGCACGAGTCTTGGCGCTGCCTGGCCCCGAATGGAAACTTCATTGAGATTGGTAAGAAGGATCTCATTGATCGAAACAGCATCTCGTTGGCACCATTTAGCCGCAATGCTTCATATCGGTCATTCGACCTTCAGGCGATCCCCATGCCCACATTCGACCGCTTGATGAAACAAATGGTTGCCTTCGCCAACGATGGCATCATCAAGCCCCTTCCAATCTATAGGACATTCTCCTCTGGCGACATTGCAAATGCCTTCCGTTGCATGCGAGATGGAAAGCACATTGGCAAGATTGTGGTGTCGGATGGGAACCGCGATGATGTTCGAGTACCAGTATGTCCATCCACACCACGCTCTCTGTTGAGACTTGACTAATAATCCAGGTCATTCCCGCCGCTCCCGTCCTAAAACTGAGAGACAATGTTTCATACCTTATTGCCGGCGGATTTAAGGGTCTGTGTGGTAGTCTCGCCCTCTACCTAGCCCGCATCGGGGCCAAGAACATTGCGGTCATGTCCCGTAGTGGATACGAGGATTCTGCTTCTCAACGTATCATCTACCATCTTAAGGCCATGGGAACACACGTGGATCTGATCCAAGGTGACATCTGTGATGTCAAGGATGTGCGGCGAGCATTCGCCTCAACCAACAAGCCGGTCGGTGGAATTATCCAAGGTGCAATGGTTTTGCGAGTAAGTCAGGCCCTTGGGTACAGAATTTTGGCGAACTAACAAAACCAGGACAAAATGTTCACCTGGATGACACCGGATGAGTTCCGGACGCCCATCGCTCCCAAGGTAGTCGGGACCTGGAACCTGCACAATCTGGCCATAGAGAACAACCTCGAACTAGACTTCTTCACTCTCCTGTCTAGTGTGAGTGGAGTTGCAGGTCAAAAGGCCCAAACCAACTATTGTGCTGGGAATGTCTTCCAGGACTCGTTTGCAGTCTACCGACATTCTCTTGGTCTCCCAGCATGCTCTGTCAACTTGGGAGTGGTTGAGGATGTAGGATACTTCACAGAACATGACGACCTCAGTCGTCGATTGGAGTCGCAGGGCTGGACACCAATAAATGAAGCTCTCTTGCACAAAATCTTACGCTTTTCGATTCTCCAGCAGACAACATCGCCGATAAACCAGGATAGCATCTCGCAGCTCATCACAGGCATCCCCGTTCCTCTCCTTCCCGCTTCACCACTCCAACCATCCCACCGGTGGAGCGCGTTAAGGGCGACGGCCGCAGCAACCGGTGCCATGGGAGGCAACAGCCAAGACAGCCACTTGGTCAGACTTAAGAACGCAGCGGCTTCCCCGAGTGAAGACTTGGACCACCCGGCGCTTGTAGCATCAGCCGTGGAGGTGGTGAATGCAGTTCTGATGCGCAGTCTTGGTTTGCAAAACCCATTGGAAGAAGGTCGGCCACTAGCCAGCTACGGAATCGATTCCCTAGTCGCAGTTGAATTGCGAAATTGGACCAGGTCGGAACTTGGTATTGAGATCACTGCCTTGGATATTGTCGGGGCCAAGACATTGGGGTTGCTTTGCGAGCTGATTCTCAAGAGGTTGCTGGCATAGTCAGCTCCTTGTCTATTTCGGAGACACCCAGGGGTCTTTGGATTCAAACACTTAACCTAGTTAAACTAGAAAGATACTCTGCCACTTTAATTTACTATCGATAATATGCCGACCTTCTGCTGCGGCCACTGCAATGCAGATTTCCACTTCCTATCCCGGTCCTTTAGCTCACTCGATAACTCAGCGACTAGCGCATCCCCGCAGCCCTTATCCCACCAAAAGCGCGCCCCTAATTCGTGTAATGGAACTGCCCAATTCATGAGGATCAACAACTTGAATGGCTGCCGTGCGCGCAACCCATCCACAAATTCCCTCTTGGCGAAGGTGAGCCAAGCAATGCTAGGTGCGGGATGCGGCGCATGGTTGAACTTAGCAAAGGAGCCTTGTAGGGAGTCAATAGCTTCCTGGCTGCTGTTATGTTGTACCAGATCTGTATTTTCAATTGCGCTATTCAGCATTCGCAATTGTGCGATAGCATTGGCCACGTCGGGATCCAGCGTAGTATTTTCTCTCCAGTCGTATTTGAAGAATATGCTCGGCTGTCGCCATGGTTTGCTAATTTGTGAGATTTTGCTTGCCCCTTGCAGCAGCTCAAAAACCGTCATCATAGTTTCGATCATGCTGCAGGATTCACCGCCATGCTGAGCGTTTAGCCGAGGGAGTGCTATGCCAATGATAGTGACGATCGCTGCTTGGGCAAAGACGGCGTCGCAATTGGCAAGGGTCAGGCGGGCCAATGCTTCTTCTCTGAAGGGGGCAAAGGGGAGTTCATTGCACTGTAGTGCGGTGTCTAGGTAAGATAGAACTTGTTGTGGGTCCGCGGTGGTGGCTGCCATGTGAAGCGTGGCAATGGAAAAGATGCCATGCAAAAGAAATTCATGTTCGAAAGCAAGCTTGGGGATGAGGACCTGCCAAACCCCCATGTCAGATTGGTCGCCGCAGACGCTTTTATAAGTTTCGGTTGAGAATTTGTGCATCAACAGCAAATGCCGGATGGTTGGTGCTGGTTGCAGAGATTGCAGCCTATACCTCAGTTCTCATCCGATGTATTTACCGGTGAGCTCGTCCAATTCCATATAACACATGAAGTTCTCACTAACTCTATCTAGTCTTCCTGAGATGGCGGGTGGGTGGGGAAACAAATTGATGCAGAACGAAATGGAGTTTCTAGTTCTTGATGGGATGTATGTCAAACACGAAGCTCTCTCTTATGCACCGCTCATAGGTACTACATCCCCCTACAATGGGGACAGGGCAGACCCATCGATAATTTCAATATGATCCATGCCTTGCTTTGTTACTCTGTGTTGTGTACAGGCCTGATTATCCTGTTTTAATAGCCACATGGACATTACACATTATCTCGAGTTATTAACATTTGCACGCTTCGTGTTGCACTGTGCCGACTCGTGGTAATTTTACTCGCGTATACGAGCCTTAAGAAAGCCGTTATATTTCCCCCGGTGTTATCAGTAAACGAACACCGGAACTGATAGGCCCGCTGTGTTATCAGGCCAGATATGTTCTTTGTAGACAGAGGGTCCGGCATCTTGTAGAATCTCGCGGAATCGATGCCGCAGAGGATTGAGAGGATTCATGCTAACAGCAGCGATTATTGCCAACTTGTCCTGCACTGCCTTCGTGACTGTCAGATGTGCCTCCCCGACTAGAAACTTGACCCCCACCAGTAGTCCAGCCACTGAACCTTCTTCGGTAGGTGTCAGAATACGCGTCGAAAGCGTAGTTTGCAGCGGCTTGGAATGTCTTTCCTTGCATAGCACAGAGCATGACCGCATCATTCCCTTCTCCGGCAACTCCAGACACCTTTGACTGAAGACGGCAAAGCTCGACGTGTCCCGCGTATCCTTGACGACGCGGAACCAGTTATGGGACTCTTTCGGTGTGGATGGTAATACGGGACAATTGGCTGGGCTATTGCTAAAGGGCCATGATACTTGGAGGTTTCCTTCGCCGTCGATACCCGAGTGCTCGAGCGCCAGAATTGAGTTTACAATCACACGACGGGCTTCGAGGCCGGAGAGAAGCTTGTTTTGCGCGGGTATGTGGTCAAGGGAGTCTATGTCGTCCACTGAGCTCCATCGAGTCCAGCATGAACTGATACAATTCTTGTCGCCGATGTTGTGAGCGCAATAGGTCGGGTGGTCTGTGTCTTGGGTGCTTGTTTGAGAAAAGCGAAGAGCGTCCCAGAGCGTCACTCGCTGGGCGTTTCCGGTACACGCACTCACTTCCAATCCGACACGGAGCTTTAGAAGCGGCACGAGTCTTGTGTCTGGCTTTGTGCAGTCTGCTATGAGCATTGCCTTCAGGGTGCGCTTCGGGATCCGCTTGTACTTCTTCACGAGTCCGGCTGTGACATATTGTCCGCCGACAAGCTGAACATCATATCCATCACTCACATATCTTGATTTGCTTGTTCCAGGGTATTGGAGTCGACAAGCGATTTGTTGCCCAATACTGGAGATTGACGATCTGCACTTGTCATTGACAACAAGCCCAGGCTTGACGTCAGTGCTCGTACCGATTAATATCCTCGATCTGCTGCTAATGAGAATCTTCATATGCAAACTCTCATCGGAGATGTATCTTGGAATCTCTGTCAACCAGTGGCATTCAATCTCCTCGTGCACCAAAGATTCCGAAACGGAAGACTGTTGCTGTATTGGAAGGGGACAATAAAGCCTCTCTCTGTTTGGATGATTGGCGCTTCCTCTGCAGTACCTTCGACCAGCGACACTGGCCCCCACAATTCCTGGACATCCTGTACAGTGAGAGAAATCTTCATCCCCTCAGGAGGAGCAGAGACTTTCCCTAGAATCCATGCAGGACCACCTATGAAGTCATCCAAGCAAGCCAGCTTCCTTGGCTTGAAGGCATATCCATCAAAACCGACAGGAATCTCTTCCATCTCTTGATCCCAGAGATTAATATCGAAGCGACACACATGTGAACCGGAGAATGCAACAATCCCAATAAACAGGATTCTACACAGGTACCGAAGAATTTCCACGGAATCACAGTCAGAGAGAGCCTTGTTGTCAAGATTGAGCATAGTCTGCATCCAGGTCATTGCCAACCTTTTTAATGCATCCTCTTCTAATGTGCTCAGAATGGTCTGGAGCAAAGCACCAACTTGGCTCAGTGATATATGGAAAACACTGGCAACGCCATCCCGGTCTTGATCTTCGATCAAAATGCTGACGGTGTTTTCACAAAATCCTTGAGACTGCAGATATTCAAGCGCAGCTTGCCAATTCCCAAGGCACTCGATACAGTCATCCAGCGACTCAAGCTTAATGCCGGTGCCATTTAGCATGCCGAGTATCTGTGCGGTTTGCAGCTCGAGCTGGTCCAAGTCACTGAAATAACGACCTGCGTCCAAGATGTGGTCCATATTCTTCGTGTCGAGTATACCTGCATCTATCGAGTCCTCTTCAGACTCCGGAGTTGTGATATTTGTTGCAACTGAATGTGTAGCCGAGGAACCAGAGCCACGAGAAAGCGAAAATTGTCTTGGTTCGTGCACGATGGTGTCTTGTGGTTCTGTTCCACCGGGAGCTGAGGAGTGGTCCGGCTTCTTATCAACACCATGTGACAATATAGCATTTCCTGGGTGCACCATGGGAGGTTTCACTTCACAGGTTGTGTATTTATCCTCATCCGCGCGCTTGTCCCTCCGCCCCAATTGGGCAGAAGAGTATCCATCATCCACCCCGGGTACTTCCTCTGAAAGATTGTTTCCTATGCAGTGGTTCTTCGCATGCTGATAGAAGTCATTCCAGGTGACTGTGGGCTGAGAACATATTTCACAAGCTGTTGGACACGGGAGTTGGATTATGCGGATATTGCGCTCTGGTCTGAGGTACACACCAGGAATTCTGTGTACACGGGGCCAATGTTCAATCATTGCCTTTTTGCGAGGTGCAGTGAAAGTGCAATCTGGCTCAAGGCACCGATATCCCCACTCTAGAACACCATGCCCCTCTTCAAGGTGGTCATTGAGGGATGAAAGTTGCCTATAGGTCCTGCCTTCTGTCTTGCATAGAGGACAGCAGAGTGCACCAAAGAGAGCAGGGTAGTAGTGACCAGAAGAAGCCATGGGCGCGGGGAAGTGCACGCTGGGTTGGTATGGCTGTCGAAGTCGTATACATGTATCCACCCTTTGCAGAACAGCCTCAAGATGGGCCTTCAACCTTAATAGTTGACCGTGGTTCAATGAAGGGATCCTCCCCTCTATCTCAGGTAAGCCATCCGCAATTTTATCAGGGTCCAAATACGAAGTCCGGGGTGCTGAATCGTCTTGCAAATCACGTCTCGCAATATGGTCGGGATCGTCTGGGAAGTTCCCGTGAGGAACGAAACCTTGCTGTATGTAGGACTGATTGGGCCATCCATACTGGCTAAATCCAGGTAACGAATCTACCAGGGTCAATGCTGAGTCTACCGATTCCACAAAAGGGGTCATCCGACTCCTCCGGAATTTATCATCAACTTGCTCTTGGTCAATGCTAACGTGAAAATCATCTGGAAAAATTCCGTTATTATCGGAAGTCATCTTCGGGAAAACGCATAGAAGAGTGTGAAATACTTAAAGAATGAACTGAGATTATCTGCCTTTTTAAAATAATACATGCGTAGGTAGCCCTCAGCCACCCCGTAAGCAGGACATCGTGGTGGCATCGGATTGGTGCATCATCGTGGCTTGGTTTAGCTGACGTTGATCACCCTGACACGTCAGAGGTGCATAGCACTAACACGGAAATTATCGGTCTTAAAACGATACAGCAAATTGGGTCCTCAATAGTTGCCTAGGTGTTCGTTCAACAGGCAATGTGTAATATTTCTGCGGAGGCTATCCATAATAATTCAAAGGACAGTGTGAGCTTTCCACGGCGTGACTAGGATCGAGTGCTTGGATTGACCGACGCCACCAGTCTACTCTGCCACAACAAGTCAGTCGGACTACTGGACTCCACATTGAAAGCAAAATACATACCTCCAGGCATGACATATCTAGCGCTCCTCCAGCATGGAAAGCTTCTCGGCCCACTCCTTCGCCGAAACAACATCCGTCTTGCGTGCAAAGACCTTCTCCATTAGGACGCGGTGCAGCTCCTCATCGCGATCCATGCAGCAATCCTCCAAGACGGTGACGCGGTAGTCCATATCCATTGCCTGGCGAACTGTCGATAGGACAGCTCCACTGGTGATCAAGCCCGCGACAACGATTGACTCGACATTTGCGCAGCGCAAAAGCATATCAAGTTCGGTAGCAAAGAAGGCGGAGACACGACGCTTGGTGAGTACCACCTCTCCAGATGCAGGGGCGATGGCTGGGTGGACCTGCACGGATGAGTGGCCTTCGAGATATTCACCGCGTGCGACGACAGAGGGTACAGATGAGTTGTTTGGGTGGTTTTCTGGATAGCCTGGGCGGAATCCGGTAATGACGTGGATGATTTTCACGTTGGCCTTGCGTGCGGAAGTGATGGTCGATGCTAGACGTTCGAGGTAGGACTCCGTCTTCTCGAGGCGGTCGATTACCCCGTTTTGGACGTCCAGGATGAGAAGGACGGTTACCATGGTGGGCTGCTGATAGGTGGACTTGGAAGGTTTGGAGAGGGAGAGTGTGAATAAGAACGAGTGTAAGTTTAAGAGGAAAGTTGAAGAGGAAGTTGATATCAAACGAGATGTGTTGAATGGTTGCGGTTCCGGTATCACGGGTCCCGGTACCGGCATGGGCATATGGAATTGATCCAACTAATGCTATTTTATACAAAGAGAAAACGTGGGCGACGTCGCTCACATTGTTATTAAATACATGAGAGAAAGAAAGAAAATAATTTGCGATACCACGCAAGAATTGAAGGCATATCAGTCGAGTCTCTGTCTCTTGAGCGTAAATTGCTCCAACAGCTCAACCCTTTCTTTCAGACGAGCATTCTCTTTTTCCAGATCCCCACGATCCAGAATTAAGTCATCGCGATACCTCTTTTGTGTTTGAGGTGATCCTTCTATGCATTTATCCAAGATGTCCCGGTGCCTTTTGGACGACATCACTGAACCAGATGGTTCTGTCTCCGGACTCCTGGGCCGAGGAGTCTTTGGCAGTCTAGGTGTCCTGCATGGTGTAATGGGCTGGTGACTGTTGGCAGTCTCACTTTCACTGTCGAATTGACTTCCCTCCGATGCAGAGCTATCATCTCTCTCTTGGCTCTCCTGTGATTGCCGTGGTGAAGGAGGTGAATATTCGGGAGTAGAGTGTTGGCTCATTGCCTCCGTGGATGGGATGATGGGTAAAGGAACACTTGTTCGAGGTGTGGCCCGTGTTCTCGCCATTGCCGGAGGGGTGTCATCCGAGTAAAGACGGCTATCGAGAATAGAAGTTCTATCTTCTGGCATGGCTGTAGCTCGGTTCCCTTGGAGACAGTTGCGAAGGCGAAATTCATCCAGCGGCACAAGGCAGCTTTGACGCCAAACATCTGCAGCTTCTTCCGCTCGTTTCGACGAAGCTACCTCGCCATCAATCCAGGATGCGAACTCCCTCACCTCCAGTGTGATGGCATTTCCATTGTTATCGGAGAATCTCTTTCTCATGTAATCGGTATAGCTGCTTTGCATAGGCCCGAAAGCGATGTTTTCGATTGGATTGAAGAATCGTTGATCGTTTTTGGGAAAGGAAAGACAAGCGATCCTGTGATCCCAGCAGAACTTTTCGAACTCAGGAAAGACTACGCAAAATCGATGGGAAATCATCAGGATTCTCCACGTTTCACGCCGACCTTTGGGTCGGGTCTCTGGCTCGAAAACAGTCTTCAGCCAGTCGAGCGCATGATTCGACTCCGCCCAACCTGACTGGGTGAATGAGACTTTGATGCGACCGAAGTTCTTGGTCTGAGGTGGATCCTGGCTCCTGCAGACAATGTATGGGGGCAGGTGCTTTCCTCGCGTTGAGCAGCAGTGGATAACCGAAGAAAATGCCCGTCCTTCTCTCTTGTGATGTTGGTTCGGTGGCCGAACAAACATGACGCTGGACTTTCGATACATGGTGGTAACAAATGCGGCATCTTCCATAGCATATATGTTGTCGTTGGAAATCTGGAACCGCTGCTTGATATCTTTGAATGCTTGAAAGAACTTCAGAGCTCTGCGATCTTCGTGCGGACCTTTCAATTTTAGTGTATCGCGCTCTTTGGCTATGTGATCAGCAAGTTCTGGATGACGCATCCAGAAACCCTTCTGCCAACCGGCATTGAGGTTTGGTCTATTGCGGCTATAGCCTTGGTTATTGAAATATGCATTGGCTGTATCCTTTGCCAACATGTTATAAGGAAAGAATCCATGATTCAACCAACGCTCTATCCGCTCAACAACCGCATTCTCGTCCTCCACCGAGAGAGCTGGTTGACCCATGACACCAGACTTCTTTCGCAGATATGCACCAGCGAGGTTCGTGGCAACCTCGGAAGCAATTGTGTGAGATGGAGGCGCCCCAACAACAGTGAGCATACCCTGTCTTCTGGTCTTATGATGTACAAGGGAGGTTGAAAGAGAGGCACTGAGAATTTCAGGCAAAAGACGGCCTGAAATGCTGACCTAGAAGAAAATCCTAGCACTGGGTTATAAACATTGACCGAGCCTCCACTCTGTTAGCTAAGCAAAAATTTTGGCTCACATCGGATCGCTGCATTTTGTATGGCCATTCGAGCCTGTTCTCTTAGCAGGAAACTGTCAATTTGGGTATAAAGTGGATGCTATTCCACTCTAGGCCGGCTGGTTTCCATAGTGACCTGTATCCACAAAGTGTCAGTGAAATTTTCTAGCGTGCATTGGGTGTTTTCAGCATGGTGGCTTCGATCCTTCAGAGTCCTGGAGTCTTCAAGGTCTTTGACATCCATTTAGCCAGGCGAACAATGGTGAGTCTTGACTGAGGAAGATTAAAGAGAAACTTGATACAAAAGGAAATAAATGTGTTGAGTGATCGCTGTTCCGCTAGTACGGATCGGATGTATCAAATTGATGCACCTATTCTATTCTATATACATGATTTCGAAGTGCAACAGGAAAAGAGAGGGGGAACAAGACACAAATAGGAAATGATGGATTGTGTAGATGCCCATCTAAACCCTAGAAATCAAACCTCAGTGAAATGATAATCCAAGTCTCCTATTCAACGAGTCCTTGATCTTTTAGAAGATGACGACGGCGGGAACTGGATGGTATCTTCAAGCTTCCAGACACACCTAGCATAGCCCAGCGTGATTTCCTCCCGCCGCCGTTTCTTGTCATCGGGCGATGCGTTTTCATACTTATCAAAGCACTCTCTGAAATCCTCAAGCGACATCACAAAACTTGGTAGGACTGATTTCCGGGACGACTTTGATTTGGGGGATTTTGGCCGCTTCGGGGTTCGAGACGGTGTGATAGGAACATGAGCATTGGAGTTTTCTTCTTCGCTAGTTGATTGCTCCGACTCGCTCTGCTCCTGGTTATGCTCGGTGTCTGTGGAATTTTCAGGCACTTCTGGTTCTTCTGGGACCCCCTGGTCGGGCATTTCTTGAGACTGCAAGCCATGCAGCGACTGTGGTGAAGGTACCTGCTCTTGGGGAACAATGACAGCCATGTCATTGGCGCCTTCTTCATCGTTATTGTCGGCTGTCGTTTGCTCCACGTCGTTGGTCTCATCTGGTGATATATGGCGTCTCCTAGCTCGTGTTGGGCTGTTCGGCTCAACTGTCTGAGAACGAATCCGATCGCCCGTGCGACGTTCCATCAATCGCGAGCGGCTTGGTGGGAGCAAGCAACTATTGGACCACGCCTCCGCTGATTCGGTTTCCCGATCGGGGAATCCGAGTTCACGATCAATAAAGGCCGCGAATCGAGATGGCGAGACGGTGTATGGGTTTTTCTCTCGTAGCTGTTTCTTCATATGCTCTGCATAGAGCTTATCAAGGGCATCGAAAATCCCGTTCTTGCAGGGGTTGAGATATTCACTGCCTTTTTTTGGAACACAGAGGCAGATGACATTTCTCTTCCAGCAGGTCACGAAGAATTCAGCTGTCATGGGAAATTGACTATCAACCAACAGAAGACGTCTTTGACTTCGGTCTCGGAGTTGGCCTCGCTCCCGGCGTCCAGGTGTACTGGTTTCCTTCTCAAACACGCTGTTCAGCCAGTCCAGTGCATGTGTCCCTTCAGCCCAGCCGGTCGTATTGTATGATATCGTAACTCGGTTATCGTGCCGTTTTGGGCCCCAAACGTTGGACAACTTGAAGATGACATATGGTGAAAGGGGCTTGCCTTTGGCTGGGTAACAGTAAATAACACAGGCCAATTCGCGGTTTTCGGAAGGCCTCCGGTGGCTAATGTTCAAGGGCTGCCTAAGGTTTTGAATTGTAGTGGCATACCCCGTGTCTGAAAGGGCATAAATATGCTCATTGTTGAGTAGGTGGTCTGATCGAATGGCCGCAAACTGTTCTATGAATTTGCAGAGCCTAGTATCTTCCACAGCAGGATCTTTGATTGACAGTTCGCCTTTCTCTGAATCTCGGGACTTCTTGAATTCCTCGAGAAAGTCCCGATTGCGAGCAAATATCCCACTATGACGACTGACCATTGTCTGAGCTACCATGATTTTTGAGATAGGCACTAGCGATTTGCGACACCATCGATTGTCTCTTCAATTGAAATCCGTGATCTTTCCATCGATTAACGTAGTCAATGATCGCTTTATCCTCGAGGGCAGTAAGATTGTCACTGGATGCCTGCGGCTCAGGAATTACGCCATCGTCTCGTCTGGACTCCAGAACCCCAGATCTTCTCCTCATCCTTGCCCCAGCGTCGTTCGTCATGATTTCTGGTCGTATAATGTGTGACTCTGGTGCATTCACCACATGAAGCCCACCTGACATAACCAGTTACTAGTCGTCCAACCAAGCTTCCAAGGTTGGGATGGTCCAAGAAAAGCTTTATCTGAGGCAGTTTTGTGACTAGGAAGTCTTCGAAACAACGAGCAGAGATTCAATGAAGCTGCAGAGCACGGGTTCTCAAGGGATGAACATAGAGGCACCTTGTGCGTTCTGGGCAACCTGAAGAAGAATTTTAGCATTGGGAGAGAGCACTCGGGTTATAAACATAGATTGACCAAGTCCCCACTCTGTTAGCTCAATAAAAAAATTTCGGTTCACGTTGGATCGCTGTGTTTTGTATGGCTACCTGGCTATTCCGTCTCCTTTGTTTCGGGTGTAAACGGCGGACCTGTGAATTACCCTTTAAATTTAGCGCCCTGATCTGCCGTTTCCTAACCTCCCCCTAATGCCCTCCGGTATAAAAGACTTGTCTCTTATACGTAATTGTTTGCGAGGGATAGGTTCCATCCATCCGTCTTATATATAGAATCTAGTATGCGTAAGCAGCAACATTTTCTCCTCGAAATATTTCATACTCGAGCGAGTCGGGCACTCTGTATTAATATAAAGATATACAGTTTCTAGGTGTATAGCCTATCAACCAGGTAAGATAATTCATTAACACTGAAAATAATACGAAATCGAGTGAGACACATGGCCATATCAACTTAACCAGTTCGCCTCGCAACAAAGTAATCGTAATACCAATCCCGTGCTTTTACCAATAAACCTTTAACATTATGTGCCTCCCACTGCCTGAGTATCTAGGCTAAAGTCCTACTGCCTGGCTTTGGCTTTCCTTCCTCGTCGGTTGGGAGCTTCTGCGAAGCAAAGGCCAGAAACACGGCTTCCCAGTGCTCATCGTCAAATTTGAACAGCAGGGCTCCGTCTGAGTAGACACCATTGTCAAACTCAGGAAGACTGCCCTGGTTCATATGAATATTATGGATACCAGATCCGAAGGAAGACCCAAAAATAAAAGCGGTTGGAGAGTTGCCGATAGAATCCTCAGTGTTGTCGATAACATCATCGAGGATTGGCGTTATCTTGTCCAAGATATCATTGTCACGGCCTGGGATGTCATGCGGCAGGACTTCCCCAGACCGAATATCCACAAGATTCTCCGTGCGAGAATAGTCGAGACCCTCTAAATTGGGGTCTCGTGAATGGTAATGGCTATAAAGGTAATGGCGGTGATTTTCGCCGTCGTCGCTATTAGAATCCTGGACTAAGTGAAGGCCTAGCTTCAACTTCGAGAGTTGTTCGGTGATGGGGGGGGAGAAATCGCGTGTAACCTGAAACACGAGGCGAGAATCTTCACTGGTCGATTTGACGTTGATAGCAGCCTTCCGCTTCCTCGAGCTATCATCAGTGAAAAAGAGCTCGATGTGTGGGGTGCGTACTCCGTGTCCCTCGGCTTTATATCTAGTTGGGCGGCAAGCCCAGACGCCGTAGTGGGGAACAGGCATGTTGTTTGAACTTTGAGATAGAAAGGTTCAGTATAATATCAAGGCAGCTTAGCAGAATTAAATGATAAAAAAAGAGTTCAATGGATATTTGTAACCCGATATGATACCTAGGTACGATCAGCCCTGCTTTATACGTCTTTGTCCTGTAGAATACGGGCCCTGCTGTTCATGTTATTGATGTAATGGGCAGGTTATCTCGATGGTAGAATAATGATTTATTTCTACAGAAAATTTTATTGTTATTGGCAGGTTTCCTAATGCGGACTTTATAGTCAAATCGCACTAGTGGCCTCCCACGGTAGAACAAATTTTATACTCCTGCTTCGTATATCAGAATAAAGTTGCTATAGACTTGTCAAGTACGAGTTTGGTTGGCAGAGATAGTCCAAACAGGGTTGATAAGTTATTGAGATGACCTCAAAGAATAAAAGCGTTAAAACTCGTTTCCGAGTGCGATTCGTCTTCACGAGCAAGACAATGGAATTGGTTGGAAACATTCCAACTGGCGCACCAGTCGTCACACGAACAAATGTTATGGTCAGCCTTGACTAAAATTTAGTCCCCACAACTTTGCAGGATCTAGCACTCGACGCGACGAATACTCAATCAACTCGTAGTAGTAGATGATTTACTCCGGGGTAAGGAGGCCCCTACATACCACAATGAGATAAAATGATTCACAGGACTAGATTTGGTGCGAGCAAACTCTGTTCCATTTAGCTACAGGGAGCATGGAGGTTGAGGTCAGGTAGTGCTAACTGATCGCGGCCAATCTATCTCCAGATGTCGGGACTAGACCTCCCCACGACGCGCCGGTTATCGGTTACCTAAAAAACCGCTTATGACCACCTGGGCATGGTTCATTCCAGGCTGTTTCCATTGAGAACTCGCGGGTAGCGGCCAATCCGCTACTTATCAGGCCAAACTAATTTACAACCTATCATTCAAAGACCTAGAACCCCTTTTTACAACCAGCTATATGCCCTACTCTTCAGTCCCCAAGCTTGGGTGATAGCAGTAGGGCTTAGTGCCAAGATGACCCTAGAATCTCTTTAAAAAATGGCCGACGAATCCTGAAGCCCATTGTTAAAGGTGAATAGACGATTATGATAAACAAAACCTGCTTCTCGAGCACCTGTATGTATATATGGTAGTTACATGACCTCAGGAAGGTAAAACCTTTCTCGTTCTAGACTGAGTGCGTTATTTTCCGTGGGTTGGAATACGCTGCGAGAACCGTGGAAAGTCAGTCTTGCTATTTCCTTTTACAAACCAGCTAACAGCTTTCAGCACATTGATTGTAACAATACCAATGAGGAGTTCGATCCGTTTGAAGAAGATTGGTTGGACTAACCTTGGAAGCTACCACCATCTCAAACTCGGAACGCACGAGTTTAAACATATGCTAAAAACCGGACTTGGTCTCTTACGATAATATCTCGAAAAAAAAAGCCGACTTTAGAAAAATTATAGTACTTACCAAAATTTCCTACATTGAGCCCTACCGCTAGTCTAGACTTACTTTACGATTAGTTCTTAAAATCTAGATCGCGTAGAGGATCATGACCTCATAGTAATACGTGCCTAATCTATAGGTGTTTGACCTGGATTATTTACGTACATATAACGGACAGTCACTATACCAGACGATTCAATATCTACGTCGAATACAATTTCAACCCTTACAAGTGTACCATTGCACCCAGTAAACACATTCCGTCTTTATCAGAACCAAAATGGGTTGTGGCCTTGCAATCTTGTTCCTCTGGTACCTTCTTTGCCGGCCGACTCTTGGATGGGGAGATGTCGGTCATCGTACTGTTGCATACCTGACCGAGCAATATCTCACTGAACGGGGCACAGAGTTTCTTAACAAACTCTTGCCTCAGCGCAGGCAGTTCGACATCTCAGACGCGGCTACATGGGCCGATGAAATCAAACAAGAGTGCCCCGAGACTAAACCTTGGCATTATGTTGGTATGTCATAACCCTCCCTAGATGGATTATCGTTAATTGTCTATGGAAATATAGATGTGACGGATGATCCCCTGGGGAATATCTGTAAGATATCATCCCTTCCACGGGAGTGCAAAAGCGGCAAAGGCTGCATCATCTCGGCTATAGAAGATATGGTCAGGCTCCCTTTGCCGTGATTACTTTGATCGCAATCTAATTGGTAGTAGACCTTTCGAGTGGATGATGATAGCTTCAACCAAACAGAAGCCGTTATGTTCTTGTTCCACTTCTTTGGGGACCTTCATATGCCCTTGCATATAGAAGGGTACGAGAATGGAGGAAACGGGGTAAAGGTCTGTTTTGACGGTCACAAGGATAATTTGCACAGTATTTGGGACACAGACATGCCTCACAAGATCAACGGCATCAACCATACACTGAAGCATAACGATGAAAAACTGGCATCCCTAAAGTGGGCCAGGTATCTCTTTCAAAAGAACAAACACAGACCCACGACCGCTGTGGAATGTGCGGATGTGACCAGCCCCCGGACATGTATCAAATTGTGGGCGGAGGAGACTAATCGTTTGAACTGTGCTGTTGTCTTCAAAAGGGGACTTCCGTATCTCACGGGCGTAGATCTTGCAGGCGAATACTATGACGATGCCGCGCCGATCATTGCGGAACAGATTTTTAAAGCAGGTGTTCGTCTGGCAGGCTGGATTAATGCCCTTGCGGAGAAGTGTCGCGTCAAAGCAGCCCTTGTTGTTCAGGGGGATCCGATGAGAGACCTATGAAGTCTATGCGGCCGGATAGTTGTAAGGTGGTCTCTCGGTGGGATGGTTCTACGACAGTTCTGCACAATTCGTGCACAATTTGCAAATCAGAGACCAGGAGTTATGCTATAAAAAGCGGCCTTTTTTGGGATATTCTTTTTATGAAATTGTATTTCTGACTTCCTTGCAGAAATTCTTCATTGGATGGGAGATCGAAGTCTGTTATGCGTGAATTTTTTTGTTGACGGGGAACTGGGTCTGGGCATTGCACACAACAGGGAATATCATCAGAAGACGTCAAATAAAAGAAAATGGATTTCTGGACGTTGGGTTAGCTTTGATATCGTCTGGTCAGCGTCAAATAAGCTAATGAATTGGCGCTTCTCGGGTTGCGCCGCTATCTGGTTGAGGCTCCCTTCCGGCAGATTCGACCAATGAACCACCTGGGCAGAAAGCAGGTTATCTGTCGCGTGGGAGTTTAAATTTACTTTGAGACCTTCCAAGGTTACCCACAACCTTGGAAGATCATGCGCCAGTTTAAAAATTTAAGGTTGCCTATAACCGCATGCGACTAGGCGGGGGGTTCTAGACTGCCGAATAGTGGTTACCTAAGTATTGGCATTCAATCAAGGTCTTCAGATAAGATGATTATGATGCATCTTGTTCAAGACCATCGTTTTCAGGTTTCTGCGACCCATGATTTTATGCTGTGGCCTGTTCTTTGGCCCCCCGCGAAGATTATTGTTCTCCCTTAAAGAAGTTAGACAAAATAGCTTTCCCATGGCAACGGCTGCAAAGGATTGTTTTCGAGATTTGAAGCAATACTGTATTGGTTAGTTACGATCACCCAAGGGTTAGTACACGTTTTTAGCTTCCCCGGGCAGTTTGCTTTCAGCAACATAGCAGCCTAGAAGAATCGATCTATCTAACGGAATCTGGAATATGAAATCCATTACGACAGATTACAATGGATGCGTAAGAACGCTTTTCGCTTTCGTATATAGTCATCAAATCTCTCCAGCTAGCAACGATGTTTCATTCCATTTCCCAACGGCATAATACGCACCAAATACAATTTTCAACTGAGTTATGATAGTGTTGGGTTTCCTCTAAACTGGCTGAACGTTACATAAATAAGGTAAAGACTCAATGTTGAATTCGGCGAAAAAGCTATCGCCTTAGTACAAGGGCTTAGGGCAACCCTACGCTAGGTGTGAATAGAAGCTGGATGGTTAACGCTAAGCTAGGTTTTCCGAAGTGAGCAAGCCTGATTTGCCCGCGGGAATTGAATGTTCTGTCTTCCTTACCTTTCCCGGACGATTCAGATTCGCTCTATCATGACGCAACAAATGCCCAAGCTAGCAAGCTACAAGCGCATAATACTTTGCGCCGATGGGACGTGGCTAGCGTCTGACCAGGGCAACAAGTCCGCGCCTTCGAATGTTGCGAAGATTGCTCGAGCGATTGCGACTAGTGGCGCCGATGCCGATAGCAATATTGTAAAGCAGATCGTGTCGTACCATTCCGGCCTAAGGGTCTGGGGAACTTCCCTTCCAGAAAACCATATATGGTGAGTAATCAGGTCGAATAAGCCGATGACAATTCATTGAACGAATGTGGCTTATGCGCTTCTTGCCTCGTAGGCGCCATCGGCTGGGGTTTAGACGTCGAAGTGTGCAAGATCTATGATTTCATATCTAATAACTATGAGCCCGGGGACGAGTTGTTCTTCTTCGGATTTTCGCGCGGAGCATTCACAGTGCGCTCAGTCGCTGGCCTGGTAAGTGATGTTGGTGTCCTCTCAGCAGTGCACATGCCGCACTTCGCGGAGATGTGGAAGGCCTACCGTGAGAATACGGACGGGGAGCCCTTCATGAAGACACCGTGGTATCAGCAGAACAAGGACAAGCTGCGCTTGACGGATGGTATTAGGATTAAAGTTGTTGGGGTCTGGGATACTATTGGTGCTCTGGTACGTGATACGAGCGATGGTTAATTTGATACACACCTAGCATGAGCCTGACCTTATATGGCTAGGGAATCCCTGAATGGCCGTTGGTGCGATTAGCCACAAAACTTGGCATCGCACTAAACAAACAGTACGCATTTCACAACGCGAACCTATCAAAAAGTGAGTGATCATCACAAATAGCATACTATACCAGTGCTAAACAGTTACTTCCCATCAGATCTGGACTATGCCTTCCAAGCCCTTGCTATTGACGAGAGACGACAAGCCTACCTTCCGACCCTTTGGCACAAGACTTCTGACGCCCCGGCCAAGGATCTACAACAATGTTGGTTCCCGGGCGTTCATAGAAACATCGGTGGCAAGGCAGAAGATTCACGTACCGCTGGTGACCATGGGGAGATCGGCGACATCGCATTTGCGTGGATGGTAAAGCCCGTCTTATCCTCCCTCCTAAGTGATGATTCTAGTTAACCCAATGCCCGTCACAATCTAGGTGGACAATCTCTCCGGCATGCTGACCTTTGAAGAGCCCGCGATCAAAATGCTCCTCGAGCAGCACCAAGACGCGATAGCCGAGAACAACACCAAGAACAACACCACGAACTGCTGGGGCTGTGGGCCTATCGTTTCCAATTTCTCCGGGCTGAAAGGCGCGTTCTTCCGTATACTTGGCAAGCAAGACCGCACGCCGGGCAACTACCAGCGGGCCCCCGGTGACGGAAGTGATCGCGCCACGAACGAGTCTTTCCATCCGATTGTCCGGATACGGAAGAGCAAACTCTCTAACTACAACCCAATGTCGCTTTACGGGTATTCCGCCGAGAAGTCTGATAATGATGCCGGCTGGATGTGGAACAAAAAGGAAAGACAGGCGGTGCCCGAGTATGTGATGCGCCCGGAAAAGAATATGAGTGTGCTGCACGAGGGAGAGTATAAAACTACGAGTACTAGCTTGTCAAGGTTGATGTGTCCCAAAGTCCTTCTGGAAGATCTTGATAGGGATAATGGTGTGCCACCAGAGAGTGATCACGGGTCAGGACTATTGCGTTTCAGATGAACGGGCTAATTGGCACCTTATTTTGGCGTTTGGATGCTGTACTTGTACACCAGATGCAAATTGTATTAGGTTTTCTTTCCAGGTCTTGATATCGTATTATAGATGAAACAGCACAAGGTAATACTATTTTGGCTGTGCTTTACTAATTGTTGCCACGGCCGTTTGCCGTGCTTCTTACACACGCCCACAACTAACAGTGCTGGGCGGGTGCAGGATAGCCCTGGAGAGATGGTAAGACGGCCGTTTCTGGCGCCTAAAGTGGTCATTTTCGGCTTCCTTTTCACAGGTCCTCATATTTTAGTTGTAATATTGTCAATTTGGGTATAAAGTGGATGCTATTCCACTTCAGGGTGGTTTCCATAGTGACGTGTATCCACAGAGTGTTGAATATTTCTTCTTGCTTCGTTCCCCGGAGTAATTTTCCCAGGAGTGAGCTCAACGGGCAGATCGGAGATTTGAATAGTGTAAAAACTGCTTGACATAGCGTAAAGGTCTTTCCAGGGGCAAAAATAATGCCAGGCTTAGGTTGTTTCAAGAAGGAATGTTCGATCGAATAGTCTCTGTTACGACTGTGTTTCTTAAATGGGTGGACATGTTTCATATCCACCTCGGATGTTTTGGGTGTCTTGAGTGTCCTAGCCGTGTTCGGATCATTCAAAGTCCCGGGATCGGGTTCTCGGAGATCGTCTGTCTCCATGATATAACGAGCTACGATAGACTGTAAAATATTGTCAGTGAAGCTGGCTGCAGACCACTTCTGAGAAAACCGGTCCGCCGTATCTTCCGACGCCGACTCCTGTGGAGTTGCCATTACTTACCTAGGTAGTGTATCGTGTGCTTGACATCCTTGGATGATTGTTCTGATTCATGAAAATGTTGGTTACCTATCAATAAACAACAATCTGCTGGAGCCGCAATATACCGCTGGAAAAGGAATTTGAATCATCCAGTGGAACAGTTGTCCCAGTTCAACCAGCGACTGCGCAGTCATAGCGCTCTTGTGTACCGATCGCATTTGTTCAATGCCGCTATAAACTTCTGAAACCTTTTCTGATAAATTGCATTCCGATGGTCAATATCATAAGGAACCATGATGTCGGCCCCGAAATCTGACAGCGGGCGCGGCCCGAGTGCGTCCCCGGATTCAGTCAGCTCCAGTGTTTGTTGGCAGACTGTGCTCCACGTGTACCCACAGTGGAGATGAAACGAGCCAGTCTCAATGGAAGCAGATGACTGCAAGCCTGATCCGTGAACCTCACGGAGAGTTTGAGAACAATGAAGATGATAGTTCTCACCTGTGCACTAAAGTCAGTTGGTCGATCTCGGGATTGGACCTTGGGACCCAGGCGGGCCGATGACGTGATTACATAATGATCCTATGACGTCGATGCCAAAACTATAAGACGAAGCTCGTCGCGAACATTCGCGACTTTCTTTCGCGACTTTCTTATGGCTGCCTTCAATCACCGCCTGGAATGGCCAATGACGCGTCGACCTATTTCATATGAAAACAATCTCTTAACCTAACACAAACACCATGGCTGTGGCATCAGTTCCAATAACGCACGGCGGTAGCAGTGAGTATTTCTGGCTCAAGCGTGATCTTTGGGTACTGATAAGATCACAGGTATGCTGAGGTCTGTCGCTGCGCTGAACGGCCGCGTCTTCGACACCGATCCCGTCATCGCGTACATGCTGCTTGGCATGTCTCAGCAAGAAAGGTTGGCTTATCTGCCGACGTACTGGACCGCGCTCGTCAAGTCAGCCTTGCTCAATCATGCAGTGATCACCGAAGCCGATGGCTGGAAAGCGGCCTCTGTCCTGATCCCACCGGGTGGATACATCGAAAATGTCTGGACTCTTCTCTGGGCTGGGTTTCTGGGCGTTCTGTGGAAAATAGGACTTCCAGGCGTTAAGGTAAGCAAAAGCCCATCATTGTTGGTGACCACACTCTTAATCTAACTGACTATCTAGCGTCTCTGGACCGAATTCTCTGGTATGACCGACAACGCGAAGAAAAATGGTCTACGTGGACAGACCCAGTACTACTACGTCTTCAGTATCGGAACCGAGCGCGAACACCGTGGAAAAGGTCAGATACTCCCATCTGTGGGTCGGTGATACCCCATCTCTTACTGACATTTGCCTAGGCCTCGCGAAAGCGATTATTCAGGAACACCAGAAGACCGCCCGAGCTGCGAACCTCCCAATCTGGCTCGAAGCAACGACTGTGGGCTCGCGCGCTCTCTACCTATCGATGGGATTCAAGGAAGTTGAAGAGATTCGGCTTGGGAAGGGCAAGGTCGCTGCTGATGCTAGCATTCAGCTTCACGGTCCAGGAGTCACTCTTTGGGCGATGGTATGGTGGCCAAACCTAACTCCTGAAGCTATTTCCTAGGCTCTACAGGTATCCTTCTGCTTATCCATACGCTTATTGCTAGCATGTGTATGTATTCAAGCGCTCACGTTTACTATCAACAACCCAGTTTATGCATATTTGCGCAACATTCCAAAATAGCTAACAGTATGCAGCCTAGCAACTCTACTAACTCAACCAAAAAGAAACCCTCACCCCAGCAAACATTCTGCAAACAGTTTAAATCCTGAAGGATAACACCAGCCTTAGTATTACGTGTGAGAAGTACAATCATTCCCTCGCTCTGGAGTTTCCCTATGAAAAGAACGTCTAAGACGACGTCGGCATATTCTTACACGTAACATCCCTAATATCATCTTGGGCCAAGGAGAACTAATTGCTGGACCTTCTCGTCAAGGGCAGAGGCCGTATATTATTTAAGATATCGCTTATGCCTACATCCTAGCTTACAAGACTTTCCCAAGACCATGGAGCAAATATAGACAACGTTAATTATCATTAGAGAACATTAAAGATCATAATTGCGTTGCAATCAATATAAGAAAATCATAAAACATCGACTCCTCAACTCATCACAGCGCCTTGAGCAATTCCTGGATCAAAGGCAGGAAGCTCGTAACATCATCAATCAGGAGCGTCGTCTCATTAACGAACTTCGGTGTGAGGAGGTCATGAGCGTTCTCCAAGAGAGCTCCAACATCCGAGATAACCGAAGGCTTCAGCAGCTTCTTCACCTCGGGCAGCAAGTCCGGCACGTATCCAAGGATATCCTTAAGCGTGCTAGCGACGTCGGGCGTCAGGAGGCCGTCGGCGTTCTCGACAAGATCTGAAGTATCTTCGACGAAGGCGGGCGTGAGCAAAGTGGTAGCATTAGTCACGATATATCCTAGGTCGGTGATAATGGTTGTGTTCAGCAGAGATTTCCTAAGATCGGGGATCAGAGGAATCACGTCGCCGAGGAGATCCTTCAGTCCGGTGACGATAGGTGGGGTGAGGAGATCATCCGCGCTGTCCACCAGACCAATCGTTTCATTAACGAACTTGGGTGTCAACAGGGTGTTGGCGTTAGACAGTAGAGAACCAATGGCAGAGATAGTGCTCTTGTTCAAGATCGACTTCAGTCCACTTGCCACCTCCGGAGTGAGGAGGTCGCCAGCCCCGTTGACTAGTCCCTTAGTGTCCTTGACGAAATCTTCCGTGAGCAGGTCTCCGGCGTTGTTTAGAAGAGCCTCGATCGAATTGATCATTTCCTTCGTCAACAGTGACTTCAGCTCGGGGATCAGTGGAGTAAGATCGCTAAGGAGCGACTTAAGAGCCTTCACCAGATCGGGAGTGAGGAGAGCAACAGCCTCTGTGATAAGAGTGTTGGTATCCTTGACGAATGAGTCGGTGAGCAGCTTGTTAGCATTGCTAAGCACGTTCTCAATCGCCTTGATAGTATCTGGTTTAAGCAGACCTTTCAGCTCAGGGATGATAGGAGCGAGCTGAGTAAGGAGAGATTTCAGGCTATCGACAGTATCCGAAGACAAGAGCTCACTAGCTTCATCGATCAGACTAGTGGTCTGGTTCACAAAGCTAGTAGTTAGTAGGCTATTAGCGTTGCCGAGGAGAGTCTCGATCTCCTTAACATTGCCCTCCGTGAGAAGACCGCTAGCCTGATCAATAAGGGGACCGGCCTGTTTGATAAGCTTGCCGGTTGTGTCGATGAAGCCGGGAGTGAGCAGCTTGTTGGCATTGCCGAGCAGACTCTCGATCTCTTTGACGTTGCCCTCTGTGAGAAGACCGCTAGCCTGGTCGATGAGGGGACCGGCCTGCTTAATAAGCTTGCCGGTGGTGTCGATAAAGCCAGGTGTAAGTAGCTTGTTGGCATTAGACAAGAGTGATTCGATGGCCTTAACGTTGCCGTCGGTGAGTAGACCGCTAGCATCGTCGATGAGAGGGCCAGCCTTGTCGATAAGAGGACTAGCCTTATCAATGAGGTTGGTGGTCTTCTTGACGAAGCCGGCAGTGAGGAGGTTGTTGGCATTGTCGATGAGGCTGTCCACCTTGTCGATAAACTGACCAGACAATAACTTATTAGCCACTTTGAGAAGGGTCCCAATCTCCTTGGTGTTCTCCTCGGTCAAGAGCATATTGGCGTTGTCAATGAGATTGCCGGTCTTCTTGATGAAGTCCGCAGTCAGGAGGTCATTGGCATTGCCGACCAAGACGCGGAGCTGGTTGTCGACCGGAGGTGCGAGACTGGTAGAGAGATACTCGAAGGTGTCGGCGAAGTTACCCAAGAAGGCTGGGTTAAGCAGACTTTCAAGTCCATGCAGAAGGTCCCCAAGGCCACCACCACCACCGCCGAGGAAACTCGAGAAGGCCTCCTTCATGTCTGGCAGGATATCAGATTTGCTGTCATCAGAGCTGCTGTCTGAGGTGGTAGATTTGGTGCCTGAGGTGCCTGTAGCAGAGGCGGCAGGGGTGGTCTCGGCAGGGGAGGGACTAGTCTCAGCAGCCGACTTAGCAGCAGTCTCAGTGGGGCCAGTTGCACCAGCTGAGGCGGCTGACTCCTTAGGGCTGGGATCAAGAGCAGTCTTGATGCCGCCGACCATGGATTCCACTGGGTTGGATTGGGTCGGGACGGCGGGCTCTGCAGCAGCGGTAGTCTCTTCTTCTTTTGCAGCAGCAGCCGCAGTGGTAGCTGTGTTGGCGGCTTTGACGGTGTCAGCAGGAGGCGTAGTCTCAGCTGCGGCATTGGCCTGGTTGGCATTGGCCTGGTTGACATTGGCCTGGTTGACATTGTTTGCTTGAGCGGCCGAAGTTGTCGGGGCGGGCTGGTCCACAACATTCGCGACAGGGGTGGCGGATTCCGCCGGGGCTGAAGCAGCGGCTGGACTCCCTGTCACGTTGACTGTGAGCAGGAGCGCCGTGGCGAGCGTTGGCAAAAGACGCATGTTGTCGAATGGGCCGATCTGGCTTTCGTTTCTTTTGATATCTTGTCTGGCCAGTCGAATTGGCGTCGATTCCCCAAACCTGTCGTTCAAAGGTTTGTTGCGGAGCGAAACAGGAAGAGCCTTCGGGGAGATTCAAAAGCTCAAGCCCGGAGCAAGCGAGCTCTTTATTTGCATTGCGATGGGACCGATCGTCACGCAGCAGACAGGGTCTCAGCTAACCGCAATTGCACTAACTTCTTTTTTTTGGCGTCCTCCGTCCGGAGTACGAGGAAGCTCCATCATCAAGCAAATAAGGATCGACACCGAGGTTGACTATTGATAACATCCCATGTGATTCGCAGTGATGAGCAAATCCCATTACTCCGTCCAACTCCACTCGACAGCAGAATCCAACAGCTCCCTGTCGGCCGTGCCTGGAAACTAGGTAGGGATCGGCAGTACTAGCAAGGGGAATGGTAGTAAATTTCCGCAACCCGAGGTCCAGCTCAGGCACATGTGTTAGCTTGCCTGGGGGGGAAGGCTGGGCATCTATTTAGGGAATCGTAAAAGCTTCTGCGTAAATTGGCGTATTGCGGATGGATGCGTGATTTCCGGGGCAAAGAGGACAAAAGCGGGGGATTATATTACCCCACAAGTAGCCCAGATGGGGGAATAAAAGCCAATAATGTGGCCAAATGGAGTTGGAAATTCCAAAAAATGGGGAAATGGAGAATATGGAGAATGATAGACGGAAAACAAGGAATTGAAAGGAACAAAAATGAGGGGAGACTCGGAGTTGTGCCTGAAAGAGGAAAAGAACTGCATGACTCTGCTCATCGCTTATCTCCACCAAAAGCTTCGCAATTCCCATACATCAGATAGTATTCTCTAGATATTTTCTTTATGTTTGTTTACATTGGAGAATTACTACTGGGGAAGTATTGATGAAAATTAAGTAAATCTCGTATATACAACATATATTGTACATGGCATAAAACTATCGACACCATATGTAGTACTTCTAGCTTCTAGTACTTTGTCCTCTTCAACAGGATGGAGTTGAGATCGCCGTCTACATTTGGAAAGCTTAAGCGGTCATCTTTTATTCCCCTTTTACTATTTTTGCTTGCTATTTCTTCATCCCAGATGTCTGTTAAACCACCCTAACTTCTGTACGGAGTACTGCCTAGATCTCTATGTCTTCCTCAATGCCGCATTCCTTTAGCACCTTCAATCGTGTGTCTGTATCACCCACACGCGAACTAAACGACCTGAATTCCAGAAACCATACGCGAGCCTCCTTCTGATTGGTCATGTTTCCCAGTAGCAGACGCTTCCACTCTAGGTCATCCTCACCGAACCCGAGGCTAGCCCCCATAAACTCCCACCATACAGGGTAATACCCCGAGCCCTCCCAGTCAATAAGACCGCTCAATTCAAATTTAACTGGGTCCACGATAATGTTGCAGTCAGTCAAGTCCCCGTGGGTAAAGGTCCACGGGTGAGGAGAAGGCATGCGATCACGGAGCCGCAATTTAACAACTTCCGGTACTTTGTCGCTCAAGGATTTCGCCAAAACATCCCAGAGCTCGTCGGCTGTGCTCAGTGGGCCGTGTGTGACGCCAAGATTATCATCGTTAAAGAGATGAGGACATGAAAGCGGTTGACCATGGAGGCTTTCCATCTTAGCGGAGTGGAACGAGCGGAGCTGCCCCAGATACTCTGCGGTCTGACGAGCCAGTCTTTCCCGGTCGGGTTGGGGGATTGACGGCCAGATCTCCTCTAACGGTACCCCAGGCACCCGCTCGACGATCTGAAAATATTTCTCGCCCTCGGTCCACTCCTGCACGGTGGTCGGGACGGGGATGGTGGTATTCTCTTTGATGAAGTGGATGTTGATGACCTCATGGCTAAGGGGATCTCTCCCGCGCTCCTTGAGAAGAAACTTTGAGCCGAGGGACCAGTAACCCCGATCGTGGGCTCCGTGGAAGAGGCGCACGCTACTTTGGTAGGCGCAGCGTCTTTGCTGATCTGGGGTCCATTTGCATGCGGGGCAGGGGACCTCCGATGATGACATTTGAAGCTTTTATTCCGTATTTCCTTGGAAGAGAGATATTTTGTAGATTAAAATCGTCTCACATTGATGATAGATCTGGGGAAGAATCACAAGATAAACTGCTCGGTTCTTTGTACAATTCCCAGGTGTACTCTGTAGCGGTGAGTGTAGGGACTTTCTGGGGTATACGAGCACATACCTCCACACGGCCGGGTGCATTTGCGCAATGACCTACCGTCTAGATTAAAATGGTACATCTTCTTGGATTTTCAGAGCCTCGGATTTTGAGTCTAATGAAGCAGTTGATTTCATCGCTATCACTCGTCTCACTTGCCTCTTTAGTTACCTCGACCTCGGTCGCCTCAGCTGTTGGTTTAGGTACATATGTAACGTTGTGACAATGGTGTTGTTGTGCCTCAAAGATATGATATCGCAAAAGATATGATATCGCATGCTGTCCAGGCTAATGCAGAACATCCGATTCAGAGTGGGTTCACGGCATTGGATAAAAGTACTAGCAAGTGATACTGGCCATCACGGAACCACGGTACTATATGTTACTTTGAATGAGAAACAGTGTCTCATTATATTCATTTACATTATCAGAATGGTCTACTTTACGCATTTGGCTGATTCTCCATACTGGAGCCGAGTACTTTGTCGAGAGTTGGGCATCAAAGTTGCTCCCAAACATTGAGCTACTCAATTATTATTAAAAACATGGATAGAATCTCCAGTGCATATGTCATAAATAAGGAGCAATATTAGTATCATAGAGGGGTAGAATATCAACAGTGGTTGTTATTCGCGCAGAAAGGCCAGTGGTTGAACAGATATGCTACACATCTGGTTTGCATATCAACCTGCTTAATTCGTACCCAATCAGATATAGAAGGCTCTCACCGCTAATTCCTTTTCCGTGTCCTGTGAAGTAGTCGCTGTCGGGTCCCCTCAAACTATCACATATGGTCGCCCCTGGCTTTTAGCAAAACGAAGTTCCAAATACAACTGGGATGTACAGATCTACTACTATATATAACATGCTAGAAAGCAGAATACAGAGTCAAGTCCAGAGCATTAACACTTTCTAATATAACTGGTCATCTACTTGAAAAAGCAGTAGTTCATATCGGTTTAGCCCGAGATACGGGAAGACGGATCCGAAATATATAGTGCCGGTCCCGGATGCACCAAGCCCCTCGAACTACTCCGTAGAAATCGAGATGCTATATTAATATGACCCACAATCCACATTGAAAGGAATATCTATAGACATATAGCTAAGTACGATGTAAATTGGATTTGATCAGACCAAATCCAAATCCTGAGCAGAAACAAGAGTAAGCAGAGACACCTGGGCACGCTACGGAGTAGTCCGTACAACATGCCATTACCCGAGACACTGGGTAATAAATGAGAAGGATTGGAAGGATCCAAATATCATACGAGCCAGACAAAGTAAGCCTAGATCCTCCACATCACCCCATAATCCCCATAAGCCTCATGGATTCCAAGGATCAGACCCCGAGAACGGTTATAAGTGGATCATGAATAAGCATCAGATGATAGATTCTATGCAAGACAAATAGGAAGTAAAAAGTAATACGCGTCAGAACATAATTAAAGCCTAAATATGTAGGAACGATGCATAAATACCTACTCCGTACTCCCTTGGTAGTCGAGAGTCTCAGAGGTAAGAAAGGTAAAGAAGCCGGGGATAACTCGGCCGGCCGAATCAGCCAGCCACGACTCCACCCTTTCAACCTTCTTCTCATCCTCAAAGATAGGGGGGGCATGAAAAAGAGAGAAAAGAGAGGGAATTGCAAGCCGAGTTCAGGGATACATCAGATTTGGTGACGTCGATTTGAGAGTCCACGTACTTATAAGTACCGGATCTGGAGAGAAAGGGATTGGTCGGCCGATAACTTGAAACTGCCGGACCCTCCAGGGCTGCAGCTAACATCTAAAAGGGAATTTGCCGACTTCTGTGGTCGAGTTTCGAGATTCAACTTTCCACTTTCTACTTTCAATTCCCTACAGGACTGACAGGTGCAAGTATCCAGGACTTTCCTTATATTGTGGAGAGATTCACATATCGATATCATTCTCCCCAACGGGGCAGGGAGGTATATATAGCGCAGAAGATGCTAACCGAATAGGAAATGCCCAGGTATTGTATACTCCCGATGGTCCCATGTTCCCCGAATCCCCGAACGCCAGTACAGGGAAACAAAACAAAAAAAACAAAACAAAACAAAAACAGATGTGAGCAGTTACACTACCGGGTGGTCCCCGCTCATGCTGGGGAACAACATCACATCCGAAACACGACCAAGGATATTCCGCATGCTCAACCCTTCCATCGGTTGCAGACCTGGGGTGGTTGATGGCATATTCGGGCTGGGTTCGAGAGAGGGAGGGGAGGGCAACAAAAGGGGGGAATATGTGGTGCTCGATGGTTGCCCTGTCGAACTACCCGTGCGAGCGCTGAAGGCCTGCCGGATCTCACGCAGAGCACGGAGTGAAGAAGAAAGATGCTTGGCGGAGTCAGTGCGCTTGTTCTGGTTCATGCCACCGTCTGTATAAACATGGTCCGCCAGGACCATCTCCAATCTGTCGATCAGCTGCCAGATCTGAGGCCTGTCGTCATTTGCAACGAGCAAAAATGCCGACGCAATGGTTCGCTGCAGACTGATCCAGGACCGCGAGCAGTGGGAGTTGATCTCGTGCAATTCGACAAACGCGTCGATTGTGTTGATCAAGCTACTGATACAGTCTTCGCGGATCATTGTGCGACGGTGTGCATCCAGATGGGCATGTGGGTCAAGCGAAATGCGACACAAGACAGAGAGAAGATATGAGGAGTGCAGGCGCAATTCGGTTCGCTCAATGTGCTCGGCTAGCGACCGACAGTTGTCTCGATACCGCAGGTGAGGAGTCGCTTCAGCGAGTATCCGCTGGATCTGTAGTTTATACTCACGGATCTCATGGACACGTAACTGAGACGATCCGGGATACATACGCGACCGCAGGACTTCCAGCGCCAAAGACACAATGCGACAGAGAGTCTCGAAGTATGAGCGATGGCCCGGCATTGATTTGGGATCGAATGGAATCTCGGGTTGGCTGACCATGGTGATCGATGGTCGGTCATAGGCAAGTGAGAAATGGCTGTTCTGGAAGGCCATTGTCCACCTGAGAAATGTGAGCTTCAGTTCTACCAAGAGAGAGAGAGAGAAGACCTACCAGACACGCCGTCGCACTTCCTGTTCTGCAAGTGAGAACCCGGTCGACTCAACATGCAGCCCGAGAACAAGACACAGTCGCTCCGTCATGCCTGACATCGGTTAGCTTGACCATGTCATTGGGGACACTCAACACATACCGAGCAAAGTATATGATGCACCTGCATTCATATTGTATGAAAGTACATTGCTAATGATGAGAAGAACCTGAATTACTTCTACACTGGGTTGCGATACATAATTCAACATCCGAAGACATTGATACGCACAAGAAACTGGAGCAAGTCAGTACAGTACCCCCGACCTTCCTGGAACGCGACGCACCGTATACCCATGAGGTCAACTCACGGTCGCTTTCCGGGATGTCAGACAGCTGGCATCCCGATGCAAGAACCGCAAAAAGCAGACTGAGAAAAGCCAAAGGCATCCCGAACGGTTTCACTAACCCGTTGGCATCGGCTTTATATTCACCCCCTGCTCGTCGTCGATTCTCGAGAAGTCGTTTCGTTTGTCTTTCTAATTCTGCGGTATCCGAAAGCACTGGGTATAAAACTGATCCTATATCTTGGTAAAACGCCAGGAACCTGACAATTGGAATTAGCATGCATCGCAGAACACCGCAAATCTCCGACTTACTCCAAACACCGTTCGTCTTCCGGAAGAACCGCACAAACACCGGCGATATTGAATGTGTACGGATCAGAGGACCACAAATCGACAAAGGGGTATGCAGCCGACTCATTTCCCAAAGCAAGTTCAGCAAGAAGATCCTCCTGGGGCAGCGCCTGCGCTGTGTCCTCCGACATCTTCGATTTATCCAAAATATCAACCAGAGCCGACCGTGACCCAAAATGGACTGCGCCCGTCTTTAAGACATTCGATCCGTAGACACCTTCCGACCGGGTGGAACATTTTCGTTCAATGGGTTCTGGTTCTGGTTGGGGTTCGGGTTCTGGTTCTGGCGGCTTGCGCGTCGAGTGTGTTTGGAAGAGCGAGGTCAGACTGCCGAGGATCTGTTCCATCGCGACCATCTTGGAGTTGATTTCATCCCACTCCGCCTGGGAAATATCAATTATATCCGGTAAATCCGGATCGGCACTGGTGGCCGAGGGATGATCTGTTGCATATGAGCCATTGATTGTGGGAGCCGAGCTGGTATATGGGGCGATCGCGGGGGAGGCAAAGGTAGGTTGCTGTAATGGAGTGGAGGAAGCAGTGACGGCAGTAGCAGGAGGGGGTTGTTTCGCAGAGGATGGACGACCGTAGGAGCAGGTGAAGTTTCGTTTGGTGCAATTGCCGCAGGGGACATTGCGATCGCAGCGGACTTTGCTCGCTCGGCAAGGTAGACAAGTCTTGCACTCGCGCGGGCGGCGACGAATAGGGTAGGTTGGCATAATGTGAATTTTTGCTCCTTTTTTCACGACCTGATTCCCGTGGTCGACAGCAAAGGAATGGTAGGAGAGGCTGCCTGCAGCGACCGGGCAATAAGAGGGAGCAGCATAGGAAGACGTAGATCGAGGTGAAGGCGAGGTGAATGCTGAAAATAGACAGCTCTCACTGGTGCTGACCAGTCGGAATAGCGCCAATAACGAATTGGTAGGAAAGACTAGCCCTGGAGCGATTGATGCGTCCAACGCCTATCATCGGGGGTCCGTGAGCTGCCCCGGATTGTCCTGCGAATCAACACAGAAACCTGGGAATTCGAGATAAAGGATGGATCTTAAAACTTTGAAGAATTTAAGCTGTCAAGATTGAAAAGAGTGCCAAGGTATTATGTCTGGCTAAACCTTGGAAGGTGAGGTGTGGAAAAGCCCTGGAGTGGTAGATTGTGAAGTTGCCCAGCCCTGGCGGCAGATGATTTCATAAGGGGAAAGTTACCTACCTAGATAGGTACATTCCCAGGCTGATTCTACACTGTATTCGGTCGATGTGATTCACTGATTTTTATACATACTTGCTGAGTTACTTACAGATTATATATATTCTCATATTAACTACTTCCAGTTTATATGCAAATGTCTAATTGATTCTATATGGTCTATATATATAGAGAACCCCGTCATATAAAGTCATGGTCATTTCTATAACGAATAAAAGGTATCACTCGTACAAAAGTAGTTAAGGGACTCAGACACAATGTATGCCTCTGTATCGGAAAATAACATATTTTTTTCACGCCTTGGACTTCTTCTCAGAAACCTGTGGTACCACCCACCAGTCATGCCAACGAGACTTGGACCCAACCTCAGGAACAATCACCTCCAAGTTGAGGGGTTTATCTTCTGTAGAAGCTGTAGAGACAGCCTTCTTGACCGCCTCAACAGCAAGACTAGTTCCAATGCAGGAACGCATGGTGTCTTTCACATCGCGCTTCCAATCCTCTTCAATGGCCGAAGGTGGCGGTTGCGTGGGTGCAGAAGGGTCATCGATGAATGCCCCATTGGCAAGAGTCGCCTCCCATGCTTTGCGCGCTTCGGAAATGGCTTTCGAGGCACGCTCCAAAATGGCGGCGTCAGAATCACCTTCGAGAGCTGCCTCCCGCTGGTATTCCTCGTATGGAACCAACTCTGGCAACGTGATAGGGATAAACGGCTTCATGCGGATTTCGTAGCGGAGTCGGTCGGTGGAATACGCCTGGGGGGATGAGCAGACGGGAGCACGTTGTGCCGGGCCAGTACAACATACAACGCATGTAGAGCAATCGCAAAGGCATCCACTGCAATGATGTGCGTGGTCAACCTCTCCAGAGCGTGGAATGATCGGTGGAACGCGGATGCCTTTTGAGAGGAGGTTCCAGCGCGATCGCCAGTAGACATCAAGTCGCGTTTTCGTGCAGCCACAGTAAACGTGCGAATGCGATCAATGTGGCCGAGATGTGTAGAGCATATATGAGACAAATACCAGTACATGCCTGGTAATTCCTCCGGTGAATATATCGACAACTCAAAGCCCATTTGGAGAATGAGTCGGAATTGGACGAGCTTCTGATGATAGGCCCAGCTACTAAGCGGGAAGGACCAGGTCGGTTCGCCGCCTTGGAATTGTAGAGGCGGTTCCGCACTCAAAGTGCGGAGCTCAAGGTCAATTTCTTCCGCCTGCGTTGAAAAAATCAGTATTAACACTCAACTGGCAAAGAGACACAAGGCAAGTCTCACCTCCATCTGCAGATTGTCCCAATCGACGAGGGTATGGCAGAGTGTTCGGCGCATGCGACACCTATTGAGACAGGCACATCGCACAGTATCAACAAAGGGCTGTGGAAGTTAGCAGATGGGACACGTCATGAGCTATATATTCACTAACCTGGGCAAATCGTTTCATGAAACCATCCATCTTCTGGGCAATCTGGAACCGAGGATCGGACGGCACTTCCACTTCATCGGTGTTAGCCTCGAGCAGAATATTGGCAGGCAAGACGAGTTCCGCGAGTTCATCGTGTAAAAACTCCTTCACTGGCACGGCACCGAGGATCGTCATGTTGCTGACAATCAATGCTTGAAGAAGACAACGAATATAGATTGACGGTTGTGGTTTTCGAGAAAGCAAAGTCCATACAGCAGTCTGCAATAGAAGTTAGAACCGGAACTAGATTCAAGTTCAAGAGTACATACCTTGAAATTGGTGGGACCGGTGTAATCAAGCATCTGCTGCATGTCTATCGCATCTTGGCACAGTCGTTTCAGATGCGCGAGCGCATCATCGGAGGAAATATTAACCATCGGACGCGGCGGCACTGTGCTAGCAAGCTTCCGTTGAATCTTCAAGCTAAAGGCATCTGGCACCGGCTTTCCCAGCACGACTGTCTCTGTCAGAGGTTGAAGTTGAGCTATACACGAGGCAAAATTTTCCACAGATCTGGTTTCAAGTACTTCAACGTCTTGATGTAGTGCGGACAAAAACTCATGCCGGAACACGAGTCTGCAACGGATGGCATCTTTGAGCTTCTGGTCAATATCGGTCTGCTCCGCAACCCAAGCAACCGCCTGGTCCAGCAGACGGTGAAAGTGGGAAATATCGAAGGCAGATAGAAGATTGCGGTTGTATAATTGACTGACAAAATCCTCTTCCTAGTTCGCGAATGGCATTAGCGATGGTCATAGAACTGGTTCCCGAGCCGGCCGACTGACCTCGTAATAATATTCAGTGGCCACTCGGATATGCACGAAATCACAAGCTTTGACCAATGCAAGACAATAAGCTCTCAATACGAGGTTGACCAAAGGGGAATCACTTGGTACACGGTCGAATCGAGCGTCGTCCATGGTTCTCGGCACCGGCCACAATAATTTATCGAGATAGATTGACGTGAATAGTGTCTGCGAAAGAGGATGTCCCTTATGCCAAGCCACCTGCCATTAAATCAGCAACCTGGTTGTCTCCGTATGTGCGAGGTCATGTCCCACCTCGTGGCACAGCAACTGGTCCATCAAGCCAACGACTTCCTCTGGTGTCAAAGGCCGCCGTACGTCGTAGTCATCTTCCAGCGCCTGCGCAAGATTTTCTCCGGGAGCTATATAGCCACTATCCATCTTCGAGTCCATAATCTGTGCGGGTTCGGTCGTCGTCAGCTGCAATTCTCCTTGCACGTTTCACATCCGGTGAGAAAGGTAACGCACCTCCAATGCGCCCACAGCTTCGAACAGGGTGAACGTCTCATCTTTCACGAGCTGTCCTGCATTTAGCTCTACAAGTACAAATGTTAGATACTGAACCGAAGCTGCCGGGGGAATATGCGTACTGGAAGCGGCTTGTGTAAATTCAGCGGTTATGTCGCGGGGTGCGGACTGCGCAACGAACCGCGGACGGGGAACGCGAACTTCATTATTCGGCAGCATCACTAAGAATCCCAAGTTCTCCCCGCAAAGCCGTTCTTATTACGGGAGTTCAAACAAGTGTCGTGCTGTCGGACGTGTTTTTGAGAAATCGTACAAATCGAGGGGGAGGCGGGGAGGTGAGCGGAGGAAAAAGCGAGTCGGGAAGTCGACAACCGGGTCCTAGGGTGACGTGCAACATTTGACCGGCCACATTCGGGCAGTATAAGTATTCTTACGGCAGTTCTAATTTAACGGCCTATGGATGGTGTGAAAACAAAGACGAGTGCGATTTCTAAGCTCTGCCCAACCAGACAGGCCGGTATTGCTACACATGTACATTTCAATGCCTTCCCCGGACCAAAAACTCGCTCAAGTCCGTCACACTCGGGCCCTGCATATCTCCAAGCTCGATTCTCTCAGGTTATGGGTGAATAAGGCTTATTTCTCAGCGGCCTTGGCGAGGGCCTCGTTGTTGGCCTGGGCGAGGGACTTCACTTCACCCTGCTTTCCGTTCTGTTCATCGTAACATTGTCATCAGTCAAAATTCTGCAGCGTAGAGCTTGGAGAATCCACTAACCTCCCACTTGGCGAAACGGAGGTCCATCTGGCCACGGCGCTCAGACGCGAGGCGAGGGCCTTCCTTCAAGGAGCGGCGCACCGTGCGGGCGGCGATGGCCAGGTAGCGGTTGTAGCTGGGGTTGGGGTTAGCATTGAATTGGAAGACAATTTGTGAGTGCGTACGTCAAACCGGCAGCTTTCCAGGCGGCAGTCATTTTGAAGAGAATGTGGGAGGTATGGTTCGATTGAAGGGGTGAAAACGGTTCGGGTGAGTTTGGAAGCGTTCGACTTCGGAGGATCGGGATGACAAGATCACGTGCGCAGAGGTCTGGCTTGGGAAGGCGGTGACTAGCACGGCGGTGAGGATTTGCTCGGTTCGATGCCCAGAGAGCACGTGATGCGAGAGCAAAGCCAGCGGAAGAATGTTAGTCCGGTATAGATTGATAAGCGGCTACGACGCTTCCAAGGTTGTGTCCAAGGTTCCAGTGACGTGATGTCCCGTCCGAGTAACCCAACAGCGGTTGGCGGTCAGTATAGGCAGAATTCTATCTAGTTCTTAAAGGGTTGGGATCCTAGTTTTGTATTCTATCACCCAATTCAATTCCAGTTACTATGATCCTCTAGTACCTCGTGCATCTCGTGCATTATTTAGTCCAGTACGATACCTTCTTCTTTACTGCTGTTAATTTACCACTCTTGTGGTTTATTTGTTTCAACGGTAACAGATCCACGGAAGAATGTTAGTCCGGTATAGATTGATAAGCGGCTACAGCGTTTGCCGTCACGTGACTAGCGTTTATTTTGACAACATGCCTTGAGTTCCAAGGTTGTATGCAAAAAGAACACTAGCTAGTTCCAAGGTTATACGACGCGACACACTAGGTATGATTTCAAGCTTCAACATTTAATGAATAAAACCATAGCCGCTGTGTGCCTTTGCTCCATCAATAGTTGCATTCCGTGCTTTCCATTTCCTTTTTCGATGTTGGTGGGGATTAGAAGTTGCGTGGAGTCATATAGATCGTTCCTCACGGCAACAGCCTTATACCTACATATGTACATATAGGTACAAAGAACACTATACAATGCGACACACTCTGTTTCCCGGCCACACTACGCCCAATGGGTAAAATTATAATCGCTATGTGCAATTGCTTCATCAATAGTTGCATTCCGCGCTTTTCATTTCCTTTTCCAAGGCTGGTGGGGTGGAGAAGCGTTGCCGCGAAGGTGTATAGATCGTTCATGACAAGGGCAGGAAAATAGGTATCGTCGCCGTATCAAATTCAAGTTTCGTAACCCTAGTACGTCTTCAGCTGCCTCGAGGTGCTAGATCCGATGATGTATCAGCGCGTGTAAATAGAAATGGAGACTCCATGGAGCAGGGCTTGCTGCGCACAAGTAAAGATTCAATCTGCCTCCTTTCGACGCGGTATGACGCGCTTCGATCTGAGCCGACCGGACGCATACAAGACGCGTGGTCGACCTCAAAACCCAAGGGCCAAACAAGCTCTCCGAAGGCAACACTGCAACAGTATTGCAAGGCGGTTTGCTGCTCAAGGGTATTTGCCATCCCCCATCACCTCTTTCAGTCTTCACACCTCTCACTTACCTTTCAATCCCACCCTCCTCCATCCACCTTTCATCGTCGTGGACGTTCCCAACCTTTCTTTGCTTTGATACCAAAGCATCTCGAATCGACAGTTCCTTTTTATCATATCCACCAGGTGAGTACTCAGCTTTGTGCTGGAGGTGGACCATAGGTTTCCTCTGGCACATCCCCACTTCCCACCCTATAGCGCTGGCATCTGTGCATCTTCAGCACGAGGTCGTGTTGCACGTTGTGATCCTTGGGAGCTCCCACTGCCATCCAATCCTCAGGGATCGTGGTTGCTGCAGCACCCATTGATCTTGTTGATGATTGGGTCGTACACAACTACGTCCAACATCTGCAAGCTCATCACAACTGCATGGCCTCTGGGTACCTGTGGCACAGGCCCAAGATGTTGAGAACCTTGCAATTCTCAAGTGGACATATCGAGTGCACCGCGATTCCCAGTACAAGTTGTCGCTGGGATTTGCTGGTGTTAACCCGCAATGCGAGGGCATTGCATCGGACCATCATTGGTCCCATGCCATCCCTAACGCTGGAGGATGTTGACATTGCACACTCGGATATCGGAGACCAAATTGCTGTGATCGGCAATCTGACGACAGCTTCTTTGGGCCATGCCCTAAGATCCTGCAATCACGATTAGCCTCATCACTCTGCATATTCGTCTTAACTTACCTTGCTTGGGCGCATGGTGTCATACCCCAGCCGAATCCAATTCCACCCCATTCCACGTTGAGGACAATACCTTCCTTAGGGTTGGACCATCACGGCCATTTGTTGTCATGCATCCCCTGTCTACACAGAAGACATTCTGCAGATCCCATGTCTCCTTCTTGCTTGAGGGGTTTGCAGAAATGCAGCAATGGATTGGTCATGCCCAGTCACCTGCCTCATGCCCTGTCGATATACTCCGTACTCATTTTGTTTGTTATGAGCACAAATGCTAATGATGATATCGTGCAGAAGGATATAAACGAACCGTACATCCAACATGGCGAAGAAGAAAGCCGGCGGCCGAAAGCCCGACAAGGACGCGGATCGCGCTGAGCTCGAAATGCTCCGGAAGCAAGTCGAGGAACAGAGACAGGCATTGGAGGCTGAAGAGGCCCGCAAGGAGCAAGAGGATAAGGGCAAGCGCCAAGTCAGCAGCCGGCGTCAACGGACATTGGTCCGCTGGGATGGTAAGTCTTCTTTTTTGTTTTTTAGATCTCCAATCCGTTTCATCTTTCTCTTTGGAGAATCTTTGATTGAATTATGCTGACGTTTGACCGAAATAGTGGATACCGATATTCGGCTTCTGCTGGCCATCCAGTACGTCTGCAACAAGACCGGCGTCAAGATCCCCTGGAAGGATGCCGCGGAAGTTATGGGAGAGAAGTTCACGGAAGGTGCAATCGTCCAGCATTTGTCCAAGCTGCGTAGCAAGCGGGAGGAGCAAGATAAGCCAAACCCGCCTCCACTGAAGCGTGCAAACGGGAACCACAAAGGGGACGCAAGCAAAAAGAAGGATTCGTTGCCTTCTCCAAAGGAAGACTCTGCGCCGAGCACTCGTGGCGGAAAGCGCCGTCGCCGTGATCAATCTGATGACTCTGACGACGTGTACACTCTTAAGCAGAAGCAGTTTTCGAAGAACAAGAAGAAGGACAAGGTCTTCACTGCTCCCAAGCTGCGTGAAAAGCGTGAGGAAACCGACAGTGATGACTCGCAGAAGCTGTTGTGTGTTGGAGCGGAATGGCTGCGTGACTTCGCCGGCGATGACCGCGAAGCTGACAACGAATCGGCTACTACTGAGGAGAACGACAGCTCGACTGAAAGCAGCGAGGCCACCACTCAAGCGACCAAGAAGTCAAAGATGGTGAAACTCAAGGTCGGCAGTGAGCGCCTGGCCAGTGTTGACCCTTACCTTGCCACCTCTGCAACTTTCCGAGAGCCGGTTACCCCAACCAACCCGGCGCGCGTTATCACCAACATGCCACTCCGTCGCCAATTTTACTACCCGAACATGCCTGTCGACTCCAGCGCCCCTTTTTCAACTGGAGTTAGCATCCCTTTCCCATCCAACGGACCAAGCCCATTTGACATTGCCAACCGGTTCCCGAATGGAATTCCCGAGGCCGGTCCTGGTGCGGCTCCTAGCTCTGTCTCTGGTGGCATCTCCACCTTTGATGGCGTGAACCACACGGCCGCATATTCGCAGTTTGACGTGGCTCCCGAACTGCAGTTTGCAAATGAATACACCGGTCAGCTCATGGTGCCAGTGACCAGCTACTTTGAAACCAGTGGCTTTGACAACCAGTTCATTTCCGACAGTGAAATGCTTGCGAACCTTCCGGACGTAGAGCCTCCTCGCTACTTTGGCTACGAGGGCGAGGATACCAAGGAATTCTAATTTCCTGGTTCATATTCGTCATGGTGCTCCCGAGGTCGGTTCATTTGACGACTCAATGACTTCCCCCCCTGTGTTTTCCCTTGCTTTTTTTGTTTTCCTGCTTTTTGTGACTTTCCTTTTCGTTTGTTCTTTCTTTCTTTTTCTTTCTGTGCTTTTTCCGCTGGTTGGTTGGAGGAGAGGGGTGAGCCTCAATCCCAACCAACGGGTGCAACTCCGGATAATTATTCTTGCGTGGCATGGAGCCACGCCTTATCCGGAGTTGCACCCCAGCGTTTCTTTCATGCGTTGCTCGTTGGCCCCCTACGGGGGGCCCAGTAGTGTAGTTACAATAAGAGCATGTCGCATATCTTTTTAAGTGCCTTGTAGGTTACTAGGAGGATCCTCACTAATTCATTGTAAGTCAATAGGGAGGTCAGAATAAAGTGACATGAGAACTATGGCAATATCCCTGGATTGATCTTTGATTGTAAGAGCTTTGTGTGGATATTAGTATGCGGACTTGGACCTATATCTAAGGTTGCCGCAATCTTTCCAAGGTTAGTTTGAGCAGCAGATTATTGATAGGATGTGAATGTACAACATAGATGAGCAATTGAAGATGCAGATACAATTAAAAGCTTCCCTACACACACATGTACTTAGAGACAAGGGAAGTAGTGATTGCTAATGCTAATTAATATACGGGGCCAAGCTTGGAAGGTTGCCGAGGTATACATTGGACCATATCAGCTTGGATCTATGTAGAACTGTAGGAGCACTTTTACTTCTACACATTTAAATATAGACAAAATCACTCAAACTACACAATGTAACAGATTCTGAATGTAATTCTAGGCTATAACACAATAATATCTACAATATTTCGACAGCCGATATTAGGTCCGTTCTTCCGGCTCACGTGATGATTCTAGCTGTTTCTGCCGCCAAGCTCTGGGGATGAAGGAAGCGCCTGGAAAATTTTCGAGACTTTGGCTTCATCTCTCCCCCAGCTTTCTCCATCTCTTTCTTTTTCCCTCTCCGAACCCGTTATTTTCTCCTGGGTTATATTTCTCTCTTCTTTTAATTATTTTAATCTCGTTGTTCCTAGCCATGCAGCGCGCTCTCTCTACCCGGGCCTCCGTCCTGTCGGCCGCTTCCAAGCGTGCCCCTTTCTCTCGCTCGACTCTGAACCTCCAGCAGCAGCGTTTTGCTCACAAGGTGCGTTGGATTGGCAATTACCCATAGCACCGTCTTGCTGTGTCATTGGGCCCTTGTTCCGTCCATTCCGGATCAGTCAAGTCGTTCCCCTTGCTAACAGCAACTAGGAGATCAAGTTCGGCGTTGAAGCTCGTGCCAGCCTTCTCAAGGGTGTTGACACTCTTGCTAAGGCTGTCACTTCCACACTCGGTCCCAAGGGTCGCAATGTGCTGATCGACTCCCCCTACGGCTCCCCCAAGATCACCAAGGGTAAGATTTCCGAGACAAACACATGGTCATTAGCAAAAAAACGACTAATCATTCCCCAGACGGTGTAAGTGTCGCCAGGGCCATCCAGCTTCAGGACAAGTTCGAGAACCTCGGTGCCCGCCTTATCCAGGATGTTGCCTCCAAGACCAACGAGGTCGCTGGTGACGGTACCACTACCGCCACTGTCCTCTCCCGCGCCATCTTCTCCGAGACCGTCAAGAACGTTGCCGCTGGCTGCAACCCTATGGATCTGCGCCGCGGTATCCAGGCTGCTGTTGAGGCCGCTGTTGAATACCTTCAGGCTAACTCCCGCCCTATCACCACCGGCGAGGAGATCGCCCAGGTAGCCACCATCTCCGCCAATGGTGACACCCACGTTGGCAAGCTCATCTCCACCGCCATGGAGCGTGTTGGCAAGGAGGGTGTTATCACCGTGAAGGAGGGTAAGACCCTGGAGGATGAGCTCGAGGTCACCGAGGGTATGCGCTTCGACCGTGGCTACACCTCCCCCTACTTCATCACCGACCCCAAGTCCCAGAAGGTCGAATTCGAGAAGCCCCTCATCCTGCTCTCCGAGAAGAAGATCTCCGCCGTCCAAGATATTCTCCCCGCCCTTGAGGCATCTACCACCCTCCGCCGCCCTCTGGTCATCATTGCCGAGGACATTGAGGGAGAGGCTCTCGCCGTCTGCATTCTGAACAAGCTCCGTGGTCAGCTCCAGGTCGCCGCCGTCAAGGCCCCCGGCTTCGGTGACAACCGCAAGAGCATCCTCGGTGATCTCGCTGTCCTTACCAACGGTACTGTCTTCACCGATGAGCTCGACATCAAGCTTGAGAAGCTCACCCCTGAGATGCTCGGCTCCACTGGTGCCATCACCATCACCAAGGAGGACACCATTATCCTCAACGGTGAGGGCAGCAAGGACAACATCTCCCAGCGCTGCGAGCAGATCCGCGGTGTCATGGCTGACCCCACCACCTCCGAGTACGAGAAGGAGAAGCTGCAGGAGCGTCTCGCCAAGCTGTCCGGTGGTGTTGCCGTCATCAAGGTTGGCGGTGCCTCCGAGGTTGAGGTCGGTGAGAAGAAGGACCGTGTTGTGGATGCCCTCAACGCCACCCGCGCTGCCGTTGAGGAGGGTATCCTCCCCGGTGGTGGTACCGCTCTGCTTAAGGCCTCTGCCAACGGCCTTGGTGGCGTCAAGCCCGCCAACTTCGATCAGCAGCTCGGTGTCAGCATCGTCAAGAGCGCCATCTGCCGCCCTGCCCGCACCATTGTTGAGAACGCCGGACTTGAGGGCTCCGTCATTGTCGGCAAGTTGACCGACGAGTACGCCAAGGACTTCAACCGCGGATACGACAGTGCCACCAGCCAATACGTTGACATGATTGCCGCCGGTATCGTCGACCCCCTGAAGGTTGTCCGCACCGCTCTGGTTGATGCCAGCGGTGTCGCCTCCCTCCTCGGTACTACTGAGGTCGCCATTGTCGATGCTCCCGAGGAGAAGGGCCCTGCCGCTCCCGGTGGTGGCATGGGAGGTATGGGCGGTATGGGTGGTATGGGCGGCGGCATGTTCTAAAGCCCCTGACCATCTCCCCTCTCAAGAATTACCTCGAGCGCTCTTCTTTGCATCGTAGCCTGTTCTGATACTCGGATATCTGTGTAATGTCTTTTCTTTGTGTGTCTATTTGGTGTTTATCTTTTTTTTTTCATGTTTCTTTCCATACCTGTATTCTTTTGGACTTGTCTGATCTCTGGCTCTCTCTCTCCCCTCTCCTCTCCTCCTGGGACTCAACACAAAAGGTTCCACTGTACTATATCATGTATTCCAATAAAGTCCCATTTGATACAGCATACTGGATTAAGTCTTTTTCCCTTGTCCTTTAGATTTTTCGGGTAAAGTTGTAGTTTCCACGTACTTTAGCTCGGGATCGACAATGTCCCCTTACAGAGTTCAAACGTACAAATGTACTCGATAGATCTATTGAAGCTTTGGGTCTCGGCAGAAGGGACTAGCACTGTGAAACATTCCATATCACGTACATTAGCCAACTGATTGGCTACTCGGGTCGGCTGTTTTGTGCTGTTTCTAGAGCCCATGGCCCAAGAAGGGTCTAGACTGAGGACAAATACAACTTCAGGGCATAGTTGGGGAATGAATATATGCAATGAGGATTAATAGGCAAAATGTAAGCGGGTGGAAACAGCAAATCACCATCTTTACTTCCTCCTTTTCCTCTCTACTCTTCTCTCTACTCTCCAGCTTCACTCCGCTGATTTCCCTCCGTCTGGTCCCTTTTCCTTTCGTGTCACCAGACAGATCATTACGGCATTCCGGTCTTGCATTTCCGTGCATTTTTTGCACCTGACTTGGATTCACTCTTTCAATCTGAATTTCGTTATTATCGTGGAATACCTGGGCTATCGGGAGATGCATAGAGCGCTTGCGGGGAACACATCGTGTTGGCACCGTTGCCTGTCAACGTAGGTACGGCCATGACCTTCTGATATTCCTATTCCATCGCCAACTTGCCTCTAGAGTCCCTGCGTGCCTTAGAAATCCCCCAGCCGATTTGTATTGAGGATAGACCCTGATTTTGCCGCCGACAATGGCTGCCATGATGGATACCGCTCGGCCAGCCCTAGTCAGCGATGCAGATCTCATGCAAGCACGAGCAGCTCTCCAGCATCAGCAGAGTCCAGAAGTCTCAGTTCCTCGCGAGTTTATCTCTCTCATTGTGGATGAACTTATTTACCGCCGCGAGTCGCATTCTTCCACAGCGGAAATCGAACACGAACGCTCAAACCTTCAGAAGGAGCTCTGCAAACAAACCCACATCAATGAAGCATTCCAGAAAGAACTGCGGGAGATTGGCGAGATCATTACCCAGGTCGCCCATGGCGATCTATCACAGCGGGCCCGCATGCACCCCCTCGAAATGTCGCCTGACATTGCTACCTTCAAGCAGACCATCAATACCATGATGGATCAGTTACAGGTTTTCAGCCAGGAGGTGTCGAAGGTGGCCAGGGAAGTCGGCACGGAGGGTGTGTTAGGTGGCCAGGCAAAGATTGAGGGCATTCAGGGAATTTGGCATGAGTTGACCGTCAACGTGAATGCCATGGCCAACAATCTCACCACGCAGGTCCGCGACATCACCACCGTGACGACCGCGGTTGCCAAGGGTGATTTACAGCGCAAGGTGCAGGCAGATTGTAAGGGTGAGATCTTACTCTTGAAGAATATCATCAACTCGATGGTCGATCAGTTACGGGAATTTGCATTCGAGGTTAGCCGTGTTGCCCGCGAGGTCGGGTCAGACGGTGTGCTCGGCGGCCAGGCTGTTGTGCACGGTGTCGAGGGTACCTGGAAGAATCTGACTGACAATGTCAACCGCATGGCCTCGAATCTTACGCAGCAGGTCCGCGAAATTGCCGATGTGACGACCGCCGTTGCCCGTGGCGATCTTACGAAGAAAGTGACTGCGGACGTGAAAGGCGAGATTTTGGATCTTAAGCTTACGATCAATGCAATGGTTGATCGGCTGAATCAGTTTGCGTTTGAGGTCAGCCGAGTCGCGCGGGAAGTGGGAACCGACGGCACGCTGGGCGGGCAAGCCCAAGTCGAGAATGTCGAAGGTCGCTGGCGCGATTTGACGGATAATGTTAATACTATGGCCCAAAACCTCACTCTGCAAGTCCGTCAAATCTCCAACGTGACCCAGGCCATCGCGCGCGGCGATCTTAGTACCAAAATCGAGGTTCACGCACAGGGTGAGATCTTGACTCTGAAAGAAACAATCAATAGTATGATGGACGGGTTGGGGAAATTCGCGGGGGAAGTTAAAGGCGTGGCAAGGGACGTGGGTGTCCGGGGTAAACTCGGCGGCCAGGCCAACGTTGCGGGATCTCACGGGATTTGGAGATCGATCAGTGAAGATGTCAACACGATGGCGGACAATCTAACCTCTCAAGTTCGTGCCTTTGGTGAGATCACCGAGGCGGCGATGAGTGGTGATTTCACAAAATTGATCACTGTGTCTGCCTCTGGGGAAATGGACGATTTAAAACAAAAGATCAATAAGATGATCTCGAGTCTGCGCGATAGCATTCAGCGCAATACCGCTGCTCGTGAAGCAGCAGAGCTGGCAAATCAGAGTAAGTCTGACTTTTTGGCTAACATGAGGTATGTTAATCTGTTACTCAATTGCGCAATGGTTGACAATTTGTATTTTTGTGCTAACTGAATATAGCCACGAGATCAGAACCCCGATGAATGGGATAATTGGGCTCTCGAGCCTGGCACTCGACACTGACGACCTCCAGGCTCCGGCGAGAGAGACTCTGAATATGGTACACAATCTTGCCATTAGTCTCTTAACTATTATTGACGATATCCTTGACATCTCCAAGATCGAGGCTAACCATATGATAATTGAAAAGACACCGTTCAGCCTTGGTGCAACAGTGTTCAGTGTGCTGAAAGCCCTCTCGGTGGAAACCAACGAGAAAGCATTGGGTCTCAGTCTACACAGTAGATGGAGAAGTACCGGATTATCTGATCGGAGATGCATATCGACTACGGCAAGTCATGTTAAATCTAGTCGGCAATGCCATCAAGTTCACAGACCACGGCGAGATCAGAGTGACGGTAAAGCATGCACACGACGACAAGTGCGCTTCAGATGAAACGGCATTCCAGTTCTCAGTCTCAGACCCTGGAATCGGCATTGACGAAAGCAAAATTGGCTTGATCTTTGACAAGTTCCAGCAAGCTGACGGATCGATGACTCGTCGCTTTGGCGGGACAGGTTTGGGCCTCGCAATCTCAAAAAGGCTTGTTTCTCTCATGGGCGGTGATATCTGGGTGACCTCGAATGTGGGAGAAGGCAGCACATTCTCATTTACCTGCCGAGTGAAGCTAGCCCAGCCGCCGATGAGCTTTGCAGACCAGCTTGCCCCCCACCGCGGCCGACGGGTTCTCTTCTTCGACCACGGTCTTGCGCGTAGCTTCCCAATAGCTTCGGTTCTCATTGAGCTCGGATTAGAGCCAGTCATTGTCAGAGAGGAGGAGTTACGAGGTGGCCAGTTCAAAAGTAACTGGGGCTGTACTTTCGACGCAATCCTCATCGAAAACTTGGACATCGCCGCAAGACTCCGAGCCTGCCCGGACCTCCAACCAATCCCACTAGTCATTACATCATACACCGTATCACTGGCGTTGAGAGCTGCCGGTGAACTCGGCATAGCATCCTATATTACAGTGCCATGTCGACCCATCGATCTGTGGAACGGCATTCTTCCTGCCCTGGGCAACCGCACAACCCGCACCCCATCGGGGTATACACGCTCGTTAGCAATCCTTCTAGCAGAAGACAATGATGTGAATCGAAAGGTCGCCGTCCGAATTCTGGAGAAATTCAATCACAACGTCACTGTCGTGGAAAATGGCCTCCAAGCCGTGAAAGAGGCTAAACGCCACCGTTATGATGTGGTCCTCATGGACGTTCAGATGCCCGTTATGGGTGGATTTGAAGCCACAGAAAATATCAGACAGTACGAGAAGATGAATGGGCTTCCTCGCACGCCGATTGTTGCCCTCACCGCGCATGCTATGCTTGGAGATCGAGATAAGTGCATAGAGGCTGGGATGGACGATTACTTGTCTAAACCGTTGGACTCTAATCGCATGATGCAGACTATATTGAAGTGCTCTGCTATGAATCTTGCCTCGCTCCCTGCTGTTGAGGGCTGATGACCACTGGTATACGGGATGAAACTCTGCCGAGAACAGGGTTCATTGCCAGTTATTCCACCATCGACTCCACCTTTAAGCCTTCATCCAACACATGCTTAATGCGAATAAGCCTTTTATGGATATCCAGTCAAGTCCATTTCTCCGATTGAGCTTCCCGCACCCCAAAGGGGGCCCTTCCCTGTCCCCTTTATTCTCGCATTCTGAATACATACATATATAGGCTGGTTATACAAACCCCAATATTTTGTGATGGAAGCGCAGACATTTTGAATTTTCATGTTTTCGAAATACCCCATGTCGACCAGTCTGTTAGCAATTTTCTTTCAATATGATCGGATTCTGTTTCTCTGTCCACGGTGTTTGGCTGTTTGGCACGCAAGGTGAAATGAATCTAAATGATCGCTAACGGTGTCTGTGGTGGATGTGCGCTTGAAGGTTAGAAGACTAAGTTAGTCGTATTAATTCAGCTTTTTCTAATTGAATTAGACCACATATTTCCCGGGCTATACTTTTCTCGGAACAGGTACTGTACTCTTTTTCGCATAGAGACATGAACATACGCCACATCTATTTCCTTCAAACACTGCAAGTCCTAGTACAGCACGGGCTTCATTATGGAGGAACCTAGTGACGTTCTGCTAGCTCAGTCCAGGCTCGGGGTCCTCACGTTGAAGCGCCGTGGCTGCATCCTGTATTGAATCTCTATGCAGTGAGACCCGAGTGACGTGGCAGTCCAGCAGTATACCGGTAGTATCAGACTGTTACAGCCTTGGTTCGTACACGGATGGCCTACCTTTACATCTGTTCAACTATGTCAACCTCCAAGGCCAGGGTCAAAGTACAGCTGCAATGCCGTATCACGATAGTGACGAAAGGAGTATTTGTTGCATCCGTCCAGTCCAGCTCGAACATTGTACTAAGAAATTGTAGACTTCACCTTTCTCCTCCACTACCCCTCAACGAATTCCAGTCACACCCACACGCGTGCGACGGCTCTGGATTTTGAAGACAAAAACATCGGCTTTCAAGGATTGGCGGCATTGATACTCCCATCATCCAGGCTGGATGAATCTAGAAGTCCCGATGAGCCCTTGGTTATCCTATACATGGCCAACACCGCCATGCTGCCTCTTCTTGAGACCCATTGAAGTTGAGTAGAAAACACATGGAGAATGAATCGCCTTCTTCGGTGCCCGCTTTGGTTATACATTGACCTGCTCCAAGCATGTGGATTATGCATACTCCCAAAAGGAAAATATAGGATACAAAATGCAAGACGCAAGGGTATCAAACATCCAAAAGCACAAAACCAAAAGGATATACAAAACATACAAACTAAACCTCCCCCCCGACCTCTCCGACCCAATCCGACATCTACGTCGTACTTCCCCTTCTTAACCTCTTTCCCGCCAGAAATCCGGCCCCCCTGCCACCGCTGCCAGATATCCTCATCACGCTGCATATTCCTCCTCCCATAACCAAGGTACTCATCAAAGCGTTTCCGAAGCCCGGAATCCTCCGGGACAACATGGACAGGCATTTTACTTGTAGCGGAATCCCACAAGAGTGATTTAATTGGATGGAAGATGAATTCTTTCAGGAGGCCCGCGCCGATCTTGTGCGTTTTGAATACTATATCGCGCAGCGTATTGCTGAATGCTGCAAAGAGGGAGAGAAAAATGATGGCGAAGGATGTAGGGGCTGGAAAATGTTAGTTGTAGTACTGATAGACTTCTCGGACGAAACGGACCTGCTATCTCGAACATTTCTCCTAGGGTTGGGTTTGTTTGTTCGCCGCTCCATTCTCGGGCGTTGATTCCGAAGAGGGAGGTGAAGAAGGATAGAGGGAGGAAGCTTGAATTGTCAGGCATGATTATTGAGGTAGTTGTGGAGAGAGTATGTAGACTTACACGACACTGAATATGGTGAAGACCATCACTGCTCGCGATTGTGTCTGAGCTACTTCAGCTTGCCATCGAGTCATTTTGGCTTCGTCTACATTCGCCTGTTTCTGCTTGAGATCGAGGAGGGTTTCGACCTGCCTAGTCAGTGTATGCAAACAGCACACAGGGAAGAGTGGAAACTTACTGCTTTCTGTGTTGTATGGCTATTTTCTTTCATGTCGTTGATTTGCGAACGATATTCGTCAATCCGCTCCTGTGCTGTATCAAGGAATGATTTACCGCACCCCTTGCTGTCAAAGTATTTGACCATACTTTTGATGACGGTGTCTTGTTGATCGAGGAGCTTTAGAATGGTCGATAGTTCGTCCTCGATGTCGCGCAGCTCGAGCAGAACGGAGAGATCTTCACGGTTTCGACGAGCAGCCTGCAACTCTTTGTAATCTTGCTGCGCGGCTGTCATAATCTTGCCATCTGCGGTGCGATCATGATCCGCTGGGCGGTTGGTGAAGCCTCTATTTCGGAACCGCTTGAAAGACTTGGTGACGGACTCGGTCTGATTTTGTTAATATAGGTTACTTCGGGAGTCGAATAGAAGGGATAACTCTTACCAAGATGCTAATTGACTCCTCAAATATCCGCAATACCTGCAGATCATGATGGAGAGTCTTATCCAGGAGCACAGTGACAGCATGCAGCATAATGAGAGCAGCCAAGTCACCGGCCGTCTCAAAGCGACGCGAGAGATCCCCATTCAACTCATTGTAAATACTGCTATGCAAGTTAGACTGTTCAAAAAGCTTTCCCTCAGAGGTCGTAGCCTCCTGATTTGGAAAGAACGTGACAACAGTCTTCTGATCAACAATCCAAAGCCAGAGCTGATCAACCATCAGGACATTCCCATCCATAAATTCGCCCACATTCTCCTCAGGATCGGGATCATCCTGTGCAGACTGCAGGTATTGCTTTAGCTGCTCGTCAATGCGCGCGGGTCTGCGAGTGCGTTTCCAGAGCATCTGGTCGTCGTCACGAGCCATAGTCGAGCGCAGATTCGGATATCCGTACTGGTCCAATGTGCGGCGAAAGTGCACTGGAGGCTCGCAGCCCAGATAGGTCCAAATAAGTTGAGCTTCCAGGCTTGCTTTTGAGATTCGGCCTGGGACGGGTCTGGATCGGCCTTGATTGAGTCGGTCTTCGACTACTTTGCGCCGTTGGATCAAGTTGCGGTACGTATCCCAATGGAGCTGGTGTGGGTTAGCACAGTGTGTATGACGGATATCCAGTTAACCGGAAGTACTAACATAGGGAGCCTGGAATAAGTAGAGTCAGCGCTGATATGCATATAGGGTGGTTGAAACATACATATAAAGCGAGTTGTGGGTCCTCCAAGGCATCAGCAGGGCTTTGTAGAACATCCATTTGCCTTGAGTGAAGACATGCGGGTTTGACGAAACGTGCATGGGGCTCGAGATGACGAGCTCTATTAAGCCGACGGTACCAATTTTCGTCGTTTATAAATTTCCGAACACTGCAAAGGTAGTCAGTACTGTGGTAAATCTTGTATAGTTAATATTCCCTACAAATCCGGCTCATGTCTATCCTGACATGCTCGGCGGATGACTTGCGATACCCAACCAGTATGGGTATAGGGCACATGAATCCACATCAGTTTCTCGGTATCAGCCTCAGGTCGATCGAAACGTGGAACTGCTCGAGGTATATCCGGCCTGTCGGCATTCTGGTTGATACGATCACGAGTAGACTTGGGTATTTCTAGGAAGGGTGATTGTACTGGTTGCGATGTAAAAGAGCTCCTGTTCTCCATTAGCTTATGGTTACGACTCTAACATCGGAGTGTGGCTCTTACGAGGGTGGCCGTTCAACACTTCCCTGGGAGCTGCTGTCAGAAGCACTCCGGCGGTGGGTTCGCTTTAATGGAATTAATCCTAGCGCCTTAGAGAGTGAGGTCTTTCGTTTCCGCTCCTGTGGCGGAGGTGGACTTTCACTTGGAGGGTCATTAAAGTAGCCTTCCCTTTCTGCTTGGGTGATCTGGATCTTCGGAGAAGCACCAGATGGATTATCGAAGCTTTGCCTATAGGGTAGAGGGGCTCGTAGGGGCCTTGGTTTCTCATCATGGTGGTCATGATGATGGTCATGTGGATCGGGGCTAGGAGCAATGTAGGATGACCGAGGACTATCAAAACTGCTGATTGAGGAATCATCCAAGCCTCGCGGCTGAACTCGACCTAGTCTCTCCCGAAGGCAGGCTGATGGACCCCGAGAGAGGTATTCTTCCAAGGGCACCGTGCTTGACCATAGCTTAAGTGGGGTTTCGTCACTGAGACCCAGTGCAGTATCTTCGAAGAAGCCATTAATTTGAACCAGGACTTTCTGTTCTACGCCCAATGGCGTATCCTCGCGCTTTGAAATTTCAACCGCAGTGTCAACGGCACCACCAAGCTCATGCAGAAATCTATCTCGTGTGGACTCTTGGCCGTGGAACGTTGCCGTCCCCGCATGGTCTGTTGCCATGGGCAGTTCTTGTTCGTGCTCAATATCCAGCAAACCCGACCGAATCGAAGTGATAGGAACATGGAACTCCAATATGTTATTTGTCTCCGCGTCGATAACATGCATGGTTGAATCCACAGTTTCGAGGAAAGACCAAACCCTCATGTCGGCTGAAAGAGTGTTGAACTGGTTCGATAGATGCCATAGCCGCTCTTGGCGCGGACGCAATTGCTTCCTGAGCGCTTCTGGGGTGTCATGCTCCAGGTGCAGGATATGGCGAATACTAGCAGTGTACTCATCGGCGGAGAGATAAGTCGAGCCTTGGTGGGGAGTTGCAAAGAAGGCGATGCCATGACAGCTGGTTAAGATGGATTGGCTCGGTTCTCGCGATGCCAGGGCTAGAGCTGCTTTCACGACGAGACCACCAGTGCTGTGGCAGATGAAAAAGATGGGCCGTCGAGTTGACTGCGCAACTGTTGGTGAATCCTTCCTTGAAAAGCGAACAGGACAACAAACCTCATTTTTCCTCTCATTACGTAGTTGGTTCAATAGTCGTTCACCCAGGGTGTCGATTTTATCGTCACGCAGGTCTCCGTAATTATACAGCAAGACTCGTGCTTGGATAATACGAGATAGTAGTTTGGTATCAAGCCAGGACGATTGCTCGCCATGTGCTGTCCATGTCTTTCTATGTTGGGCCCCGATGGGCGGGACAGCGACAATGCTGAGAAATGAGTTATTATACGAATGCGATAATACAGCATATGGACTCACTCGGCATTTGTATCTTTCGCAACAGCAATGTGCTCAAACCATGGGCGCGTCTGGTCGGTCAGGGGTGGCCGGGAAGTCATGATGCCGAGCCCAGTTGAACCTGGGATGATTATAGACCTGGAAAAAGTAGGAAATAGGGAAAAGTCGGAATCTGTCCATTCTTAAATCTCACCAGCCAGGGGGAACTTCAGCCTCATCTTCGTGGGGTCCGGATGATCACGCCCGGACCTAATTTGCCCGCTGATCGTCTGGGCTGTGCTGTGAGTCAAAGCGATGTCTTTGGGGTTAAATTGCTTTTTTATATGCCCAGAGAGAGATTTCCATTAATATATATACAACATCCAAATTCCAAAATGCTAATGCACCACTCTATATAACTCGGCTCATGCGGTATCATCAGAAACGCCATAACAAAAAAAGCGGGGAGCACATATGCAGTATAATGTACAAAAGGGGCGATCATGCGTCAGAGTGTCGCCGTTCGTTGGCTTCCCGGGCCATGCGCTTTCCAAGCTCATAGGTTGAGATCATGATGGCACAGGCCGGAGCAACTTTTAGACATCGTGCCGTCCAACCACGGAATAGGCCGGCGGTACCTTCTTCACGGAAGATGTGCATAAGGAATTTTGGTAAGGATAGTTGTTCTGGCGCCAAGATGCCGGGGGGTAATCCCGTGCGGGGGGCCCCAGTGAGAGGAACGTCGTCCAAATGTCGGAAAACTTGCTGTCGTGTCTTGCCGACATCGAATGGGGTAGTAACAAGTGCTGCTAAGGATCCTGAAACACCGCCGGAGATGAAGCTATCGAGGAAAGATTGGAGACTTGACTCTTGAGCCTCAAGATCAGAACCCGCGAGATGAGGGGCCTTCTGCCGCGCCGCGATCAGGGCCTTTCTCACCTCCTCATATCCCCACCAGTAGAGTCCGGAGAAAGGAACGTCGCGCCACATAGTAAGAGTGAATCCTCGCCAGAGCGAGCTATATCCCTTTGCCTGCGTCATATGGTACAGATCCTGCACAGTAGCTTTGAAATGTCCCGCCCCCGTCCCCGGAGTTGCCTGGAGACGCGTCCTAAACATCTCCAGTGGGCTGGTTGCTGCGGCGGCTGCTACGCGAGCAAAGGACCCAGCTATCAAGGGCGCATAGCCTTCAGATACCCGCTGCTTGATGGGACTCCGATCATCTGTGCGCAGCCAGTCGTATCCAGCAAAGTAGATGACATTGGCCGGGATTCCCATCATCAGGGTCGGGCTTAACCCTCGCCACAGTGTCAAAGTTCCTTCATTACGCGCGATCTTCCGTAGCCCGTCTATAGTTGATGTGAATGTTCGCCGCTGCGATTCTTCAACCGCGCAATCAATCGCCGTGTGTGGATGGGTTCCGACCGCGGTCGCTTGAGGCCCCAGCATGCACATCTGTGCATCATTTCCGACCCAGAATACTTCGCGACAGCATGAGGTGATACCGAGGTTTGGAGGGAGGTTTTTCAGGGTCTGGGTGGTGTGAGAGGTAAAGGGTGAGGTGTTGTGGACCTGGGATTGTGACTGGAGACGGACTCGTACGACATCCAAGGGTGTCACTGGAGCTGTTAGTGCTAGGTTTCCAAGGATCGGGAGCTCTTCCCGACTCACCCAGAAGTCCGGTCAAGACATTGCCGGCGGTCGCAGACACCATCCGCTGTCCGGGAGTAATATTATCTGCTGTGACAGGGGACTTGGGCGCGGGAGGAGACCCTGTCCCTGGTGTGGTGGCCATTGTAGAATCTTCAAACTGTGCGGTCCATGACGTCCCTAGAGAGGCGTTTGATTCTGTGTGAAACTGATGGCCAGTGCCGTGGCCTGAAGAGAATTCCACTTGCGGCATTCAATTAGTTCAATGTGGAAATGATGTCGAGTTCTCTGCGCCCGAGTTGAAAAGAAAAAGGATGCGTCACCGGGAAAAGGAAGTTTTTCGGGGTTTCGCGGGTGGCGGTGGGCGGAGATAAGCGTTGGGGGAGATTTTGGGCGATTTGGAGAGACTTGGAGGGACCGGAGGGGATAGAGGGGCTGGAGAGGACCTGATTTTAACAACTTCTAATATTATTTATCTTTAATGATTTCCAGTCCGTGATAGCCGGATCTGGCTGATTCTTTTTTAAGCCTTTTTTTTTCAAGGCTTATCAATCTGATCTGATCTCCGAGGTCGGGCATGAGGCAAAACAGGTTATTCCGGCTCGACCAAAGGGAAGATCGATAGTGGGCCTATTCTGTGGGGTTTCGATAGATATTAAAGGGTTGGAGTATCCATATTTTGTAGATTAATAGGCGTTGGCAACACTCGAGGTGTATACTGGTATGCTGGATGCTGGGTATAAAAATTGAAGTATAAAATTTGAGCCCGTGCGTAGCCGACTATAAGCAAGCCCATATACTACGAGTACTAACCATGCCCACATTTATGATGCCTAGTGGAAAAACCATTGTCCACTAATGGACAAGCGACCGAGAATATGAATACTGTTCTCGGTATCATGGCCCTTCACTAAGTGGGAGATCCCGCAGACCCGACAACTTTTATCATATATTGCCCTCAATGTAAGGTAAAAGTATTAATATGGCTGTATCTTACAGAAGACACATGGATCGTAAAGTATCTGGGTATCCCGAAAACGACGCAATTTCTACATCGGAAGAGTCAACAGGCAGCGTGAATGGGTACTAGGGAAGCCACAACAGTGCACTCGGCAGACTGCCTTGCGTCTAAGTCGATGACTTTGGAGTCCATCAACATCCATCAACAGACGACTGGAAAATCCCGACATGCTAGGCACGCCGTAGACTTGCATAACGTACCGTCCGGCCCGTGGCGCAGTATTGGTCGCGGTGAATCTTAACCAAAGTGTAATCATCAGGGACGAGTTTGGGCAAAACTTGTGCTCTGACAATAGCATCCACGAGAATATTAGGCACGGCGAACTTGGTCTCTTGCGTCGAACGCAATGCGGCACCGACACCGAGCTTATCTAGCAGATACTGATAGGGTATAAGCCCCCCTTGTAAACCGAGATTACGAAAACCATTCCAACACTAGATGTTTAGTCATTGTAGCCCAGTAACCTGATTCATAAAGTGGTTCACAACGACTTCCTGCCTGGAAGTGAAAGAAAGCATCATGGTCAGCTGTACGAAATATTACTCAGACGTAAGGGAACATACAGCGCGGGATCCACTCCGTCAATGTGTGCCATTTCAAGGGTAGGCCACATAAGTGGATAGAGGTTTGTGATCTGAGTCTCCGGTGATTCTTGGATCGGACCCTGCCAACCGTCCATCCGGGGTGGAGATAGAAACTGCATAAAGAATGTATGGTCCTCAAGAAACGATGTGAATTAGCGTTCGATGGCGTCATCGACTCGAGCGTCTGAATCGCTAGAAAGATCTGTGCCCGCCAGTCATCGGCAGCCGGAACGGAAGGGCTGTTGCGCAAGCAAATCACAGGGATCAAGATCGCTTGGAATAAGAAGTATAGACCATACCAACAGGCCATTGTTGTTTTCTGATCTTGACCCCAAAATGATGAGATTAGTTCGACCGATTCTTTGGCAGCATCGAGGCACCTTTGAATAGCAAGTTCAACGTGAGGTTCGTCTTTATCGCCTGTACCGCTCAGACCAATCTCAGAACCTAGCATCAATCGCCCCACCAAGAACGGCCGATACATCAATATACGAAGATTGCGGTACCGCCATTTCAAGATCGCGTGGCAGAGGGTGAATCTGGTCGATTGGACGGCATCCTCATTGAAGCAGGGCGGAAGGGAGTGCAACCATTCTCCAATGACGAGGTTGTCTAACTCAATGATCTCTGACGCGGATGGAAGGGGAGTCGAAATGATTTTAGAATAGATGATGTTTGTCTTTAGATGAAATGTCGCTTGGGCCCTCAGGTGCGTGTAGACTGTTGTTTCCGGTACCGGAGATGGAACAACCTGTGTGCCAGGGGTGATGCTCTACGGCAGAGTCAGTGTCATCAGAATTTGGTATGAGCCCGAAGGGACTTACACTCTCGTGGATATTCAGCGGCAGATGAGTCTCAATTCCCTGCTCCGGTAAATCAAGAGGCCGGGATAAAGTAATCACTGCCCCCACATCAAAGATATACAGACAATACCACACCCTTCTTCTCATCTCCAGCGCAAGAAGGGAAAGCTTTGATGCAGGAAACTCTTTGTGCAGGCCAATTCCAATGGCCATTCTTCTGGCGAGGCCGAGATAGTTATACCCAGAGTTTGGCTTATTCCGCTTTTGCAGATAATTTGAGCCTAGGGTCAATGCTTGCACCAGAGTCAAGTTGCCAGTTTCCAAGACATCTATCGTCAGCCGAGCCTTGGCAGCTTTGAATAAAGCGAAGTCAACATCAGTTGGAGTCACAGCAGCTGTAAATGCACCTAAGGCGGCTACCACATATAATAATACTTGCCAGGCAGTCTTTGCCGGTCGTGGGATCACTTCCATGAACTGAGCGCGGAATGTTGCTTCGTGAATGATTGGATACGAGCAATGGTAGAGGGAGAAGTATGCATCGATGAAAGGTTCCAGCTGGGACAGCGAGGTTAAAGAGAAGGCTACACGCGTCCGCTGATGAGAGTATGCTGTTTCGCATCGTTGATCGGACGCGGACATGTCAGGCCACTCAGAGTCTTGACTTTCCGTCAAACGGATGAGCGCAGCACCGGATGCGGTCCCTTCAAGAACTCGGTCAGAAAGAAGATGACGGAAGAAATACATGAATATGGTCCATACCCAAATATCCTCCACCATTGACCCTGCTTGGTAGGATAGCCATCCCGTCGACGAAATCATCCTCGCCTTGGTCTTCTAACCTTTCATCCCATTCAAACCCCGTAATTGACGGTGGTGTTTCCAACGAAGCCACCACAGTCTCTCGCCTGTGTATAGTCTCCTGGGCCCAAGAATTTGGTCGGTGGGAGGCCGACGACGCCCTGCTGTCATGGGAAGGGAAAGGCTGCCCGCTCCTGGAGGGAGATCCCGTTGAAGCATTTAACAAGGTCTGGTTGCTGATGATGGAAGGAGGTCCGTTCGTGGTTCCCATATTATCATGTGCAGTTTGAACTCCGTCATGTTGGAATGAAGATTCTCCGTCAGGGACAACTGGAGGTAGTTGGTGATCGCTCGTCACGGTAGGGCTCTGGTAGCGGGATTGGTCAACCCCATGATTATCGGGAGTTGACCGCGGCAAATGTTTGGAGAGCAGGGCCTTTGTGCGAGCCAGCTCCTCCTCTACTTGGGTTAAGTGTTGCCTGGTCAATGGTGTTTTGGCTAGTAGTTCGTAGGTACACCTTCGACCAAATTTAATGCACAAAGAGCAATTGGGAAGTCGGCGGTCACACTACCAAGAAGTTAGACAACTATATAGGGCGAAAAATAACATTTGACGGGTGCACGCGAAGATAAGGGGAAGCAACACTTTAGTGTGAAGTACGTACTTTCGACTTGCGTCGTCGGCATTCCCGACATGCGTATTTACCCAGCCTGCTGCTGGCCACACGCGAAGGATTCACACTCGAAGTTTGACGGGCTCGTACTCCAGCATCCGTCATGTGTACGAAACCCGAATCTTGTGGCAGATGATCAGATCATATATGAAACACGACAGATCTGCTATTGTCCCTATTCCCTTTAAGCAGATTTTGAATGTCTCCCCGCTGACGTCCGATGACAACTATAGACTGAATGTTGTGGACGAGTTCTCAGATTCCCAGCAACATCCATCCCCAGGGCGGTGACAAAATACCATAAACATAAATGCGGGGTTGCGGGTGAAAGCGTCCGCGGGGGTCAGGCCCGTGGTTCGTGAGCCCAGCAGGTACATTCCAAGGTTACTCCCGAGGTTGCAACTCTGACCAGTCGCCATCTTACCCTAAAATATAGGTTTCACAACCGGAACCATATTACCCTAAGAACTGAAGTAAATCTATGGCATGGGATCCCGAGTAAGTCCATGAGGATGCCCAAATGGTGCCATTTGCACCAAGACAAATAAAAACCAAAAAAAGAGAAAGAAATGAATGACTACCTAGGTAGGTGAAAAATATATTCTCTATATGTCGTCCTAACCATCTGCCAGGTCCAAAAGCCATGCTATGTTGAGAGCAGTTGGCACCAGTGGTATCACCTATGGAAGGGTATAACCACCATCAATAACCAGATTCGCTCCTGTCATATAACTTGACGAATCCGAAGCGCAGAACACGTAGGCCTATATATTGTCTTGAAGTCAGCCTTTTTCGAGGCCCTAAGCAACCACTCAACCACTTCAAGATTGCCTACCCCTTTGAGTTCATACGTTGCTGCCATTCTGCGTGCGGGGACCATGCTGAGCCATCTCTCCCGCAGCTCTGGAGGATGATGATCCAGAATTTCTGTCGCCACAAAGCCAGGGGATATGCAATTCACCCGGCAAAAGTCTACCCATTCCACCGACAGACACCGGGCTAACTGCACCACTCCAGCTTTGGACGCATTGTACTATTCGTGAAGGCCTTCAGTACTTTTTATCTCGAATTATGTCACACCTTCTCGTCCTGCTCGTGAAGATCATACTTACAGCAGCTTGCTTTTGTGGAATATTGACCAAACTAGCGCTCACGGAGGCGGTAAAAAATGACGTTTCCGGACCCCTGTGTTTTGAACAATCTCGCAGCAGCCTGGGCGCTATAGAAAGCACCATCGAGATTCACTTTCATGATCTCTTGCCATTCCTCTGGCTTGTAATCCTCTGCTGAAATTGCCGTGGCAATGCCAGAATTGGCCACAAGGATATCTACCTTGCCAAAATCGCGTGCAATTTGTTGAATGGCCGCTTCAATATCTTTCTGGTCGGAAACGTTTGCTTTATATGCCGCGGCTGTGGTACCGTGGGCTTTCCCAATTTGGGATGCAATGCCCTCTGCATCTTTCGATGAATGATAAATGATCGCTACCTATAGTTTGAACCATCGATTAGAGATGGGCAGCTTAGGAACCCACCGCCTAAGAGCAACATACATTGGCCCCTGCCTCCGCCAGTGCATTTGAGATCTCTAGCCCAATACCACGAGAACCACCTGCAAATCCAAATGCTCTTATTAACTTCACAGTCATTTTATATTATGGGCGAGGGAAAATTCTTGGTCACCTGTTATAACAGCCACCTTGCCCTTCAGGCTGAAGGCTTCCATCACATGTTTGTTTGGCGGTTGATAAAGGACCATTGTGGTAATTTTCGGTCAAAATCGTCTTCTGTTCAAAAATTATGTGGAATTACTTTCTTGTCGTGTTTGCATGTGCTCTTAAACAGAAAAAAAAGGTAGGTTGGTTCATCGTGACAACGATATATATAATTTCGTTTGACAAACGAGCGCTGTAACGGACTGCAGATACCACAAAGGCCATTGGATAATTCAGACTTCTCCCGGTAAAAGGGCGGAGTTCAAAATCCGACTCAGATTTTGTGAAACCGAAGGTTCCCTGCGCAGAGCCGACTAGTCCGCCCGATCACCGTCAATGCAAGGTTGACGGAGCACAGTCCACGTCACTGGTCCCAGGCAGATATTGTTTCACATCCGGTGTTTTGCTGCATTATTCTCACAGTCCACTTATGATGACCGTCCATGAACTCCGCCTGTCCTGCAGGTATGGGATTTCTTAGCGCCGATATCATCGATTCCCCAATCCTCCAACAATCCCGAGCAACAAGTTTCCACATCTCTGCACTAGCTCCCCGAAACGGACGTCGTGGTCCGTTGACCGGACATAGGCATCCGCGCGGGGAAACCTTAAAGGTGAGGTGCACCATGTCGGCGTCATGTCGCAGCTATTAGCGCCATTACCCCACGGGGTTCGCTTTCCAAAGCCCCACAGTGATGTACCCCAGACCTACTCCACTTTCCATCCAAGGGTGAGGTCTTTGATAACATCATCGTGGCTACCCCTTTGTACTTTCCGAGTCATGGACAAGGGCGGATATATTAGATACGCTCTCCCAGCTATGACCATACTGGAGTTCTTATACTACTTCTTATGATTTTTCTATACTACAGCTAAATGAAGGACCAAGATATCGTCGGCAAGGCTCTGGCCTCTGTTCTACCTCAATATGACCGTCCCTGGTTCAGAGTACCTCATCTCTTGCAACTGAATCTCATTCTCATGATCCCATTGCTGTCGTCAGCCGTGGCTGGATATGATGGTAGGCTTTCTGCTGCCGCTTTTTCAAGAAGATAGCTAATAACCTGATCGTTTCTAGGGTCTCTCATGAACGGTCTTCAATCTATTGCTCAATGGAAAGAGTATTTTGGGAATCCCTCCGGTTCAGTACTCGGCATCGTCAATGCAGCACAGTCTATTGGCAGTGTTGTTTCATTACCCGTTGTAGGAATCCTATCCGACTACATGGGAAGACGCCTGACATTGCTGTCAGGTGCCATCGTAGTTGTGATCGCGTCCATTATCCAGGCTGCTTCGGTACAGTATGGAATGTTTGTCTTTTCTCGTGTGCTTGTTGGGGTTGGTTCCATGTTGGTCGTGCAGCCCTCCCCTATGCTGATTACCGAGCTTGCATACCCGACCCATCGAGGCAAGTACACTAGCGCCTTCTGGACTATGTACTACCTCGGTGCTATCCTGGCTTCTTGGGCTTCTTACGGTACGCAGAAGCATTTGAATACTTCAGAGTGGAGCTGGAGGGTTCCATCAATTATCCAAGCTGGGCTTCCCATTGTCCAGATATTGCTTTGGTGGTTGGTCCCTGAGTCACCCCGGTGAGTGTCATCTGTGCCACTGTCGATATAATATACACTGATGAAGGGCGTTTTAGCTGGTTAGTTGCAAAGGGACGGATACAGGAAGCCGAAGAGCTGCTCGCTCGATTCCATACTGCTGGAGATACATCACACCCTCTGATTCAATTCGAAATGAGTGAAATTGTCAGTACCATTGAGTTGGAAAGCCGAGCTGCGGAAACGAAATGGTCTACTTTGGTTAAGACCCCAGGTAACAGAAAACGGACTTTCATTGCAGTCTGCGTCGGTGCATTTGCCCAATGGAATGTAAGTTGAATTTCAAGCGCATAAGATGATGCACATAGGCTTATCTGGTAGTCCAGGGTGTTGCGGTCGTGTCATACTATCTCACCCTCGTTCTCGACACGGTTGGAATCAAAGACCCAGATACGCAGACCCTCATCAATGGCCTGCTACAGATCTTCAACTTTATTGCAGCGGGAGGTGCGGCTCTGCTTGTTGATCGACTTGGTCGCCGAACACTGTTCTTGTGGTCGGCAGCAGGCATGCTGGCTTCTTTCGTTATCTGGACTGCCTGCTCCGCCGTTTTCGACAGCACACAAGCCAACGCACTAGGGAAGACAGTGATTGCGTTCGTTTTCATCTTTTACTTCCACTACGACATTGCCTATACTCCACTGTTGCTCGGCTACCCCACCGAGATCTTCCCGTACTCCATCCGCAGCAAGGGTTTGACCGTTGAGCTGTTAAGCGTCTACAGTTCATTGATTGTACTGGCGTTTGTCAACCCGATCGCGCTTGATACTATCGGATGGCACTATTATATTTTCTTCTGCTGCTTTGATGTTCTGGTACTAGCTGTTACTTGGTTCGCATTTCCGGAGACAAAGGGCTATTCTCTTGAGGAGATTGCTCAGGTGTTTGACGGACCTTCACCCGCAACCATTGGAGTGATGTTCGATAAGGGACAGGAAATGGACGGGAAAGGGGAGCATGTCGAGCATGTCGGCTAGATGCTTGTAGTGCCACTCATTATATATATATTGTACATTAACCTATTTGAAATCAAAGTTTGAATATGCTGCAAGTGATAAATATATGTGTTGACCGGACACTCATCCCAAGCCAACCAACCTTCGATTGCTCCATCCAAATACTGAACAAATGCGCCTTTGCCACGACCTGGAATCAATTTCCATGCCGTTGAATGGCGGGGTCGCGATTACTACAGCAGAATCTGCTTTAAGCTTGAGATGCCCAAGGGCCATGCGTCCCATATCTGCACCTACCTGGTCACCAGGCCACCAAGCATTTGGTACGGAGGTCAAAGCCGAGGTCCATCTCATACCAAATGGACTTCTTCCGCCCGCAGTACTAAAGCAAGTTAGACGATTCATGCGCAATTTTAGGCCAGGGCGAACCCCCCCAACGGGGTCGCATGAATCTCAATGGCCGGAGTGGGCCATCCGGTGCGGAGTGTGTGGTCCGCATCCGCAGCGCCCGGCGGGGAAGTCACATAGTACCACAATGAAGAATAGAAAGCCCGTGGATTATTCTTAAACAGTGAGAGCTTCAGCCTCGACTTGATATAATCTGAGAATTGTAAGGACATTTCGTCTGTCAAAACGATATGAGTGTAAATATAGTCCACACCTCTATCAGAATCCGGACCTAACCATCTACAGGAAACAAACCGTTCCTTTTGTCCTACGGGCTGTGAAAGATGTGCTCCTCGAGGACAGGCCAGTTCCGTCGCTCAAAGACCCTTGGGATGTGCGAGTTCATGTGGCGCAGACTGGTATTTGCGGAAGTGACGTGCACTATTGGCAGCGAGGACGGATCGGAGGTAAATAAAAACCAGGCGGGATTCCAAGCGTGGGAACGCAACTTACGCTATTCGTGAATAGACTTCATCCTAAACTCGCCCATTGTCCTCGGCCACGAGAGCTCTGGCACCGTCGTCGAGGTCGGTTCTGCAGTCAAAAACCTTAAAGTGGGCGATAAGGTAGCAATCGAGCCTGGCGTGCCATGCAGACAGTATGTTTCGATTTGCAAAAACAGGAGATGTGTGGCTGACATCACCCCAGCTGCGATTACTGCCGCAGCGGATCTTACAACCTCTGCCCTGACACCGTCTTCGCTGCGACCCCTCCACACGACGGCACGCTCTCCAAGTATTATATCACCCAAGCAGATTACTGCTACCCGGTACCAGCACGTATGAACTTAGAAGAAGCTGCACTGGTGGAGCCAGTCGCGGTAGCAGTGCAGATCACCAAGGTCGGCAAGGTGAGGCCAAATCAGACCGTTGTGGTCTTCGGGTGCGGGCCCATCGGGTTGCTTTGCCAGGCTGTGTGCAAGGCATACTCGACAAAGAAGGTAATTGGAGTGGACATCAGCCAGTCACGGGCGGACTTCGCCAAGACATTCGGCGCAGACGATGTATTCGTCCCTCCCTCGAGACCGGAGGGAACAGACGATAGCGCATGGAACGAAGCGGTGGCAAGAATGATGAAGGAGCAGTTCAAACTAGGCGAAGGGCCTGATGTAGTTTTGGAGGCCACTGGAGCGCAGTCGTGCATTCAGACTGGAATCCACTTGACCAAGAAGGGCGGAACCTATGTGCAAGCAGGCATGGGACGCGAGGTGAGTTAGCATTCCTGCAATCCCGAAAGAACAAAACTGAGTTCCTAATCAGAATGTTATCTTTCCCATCACAACTGCGTGCATCCGCGACTTGCACATCCGAGGCTCTATTCGCTACACTGCCGGTTGCTATCCGACAGCCGTGGATCTGATCGCCAGCGGTAAAATTGATGTCAAGCGGCTGATCACGAATCGCTTCAAGTTCGAGCAAGCAGAGGAGGCTTTCGATCTCGTACGGCAGGGTAATGAAAGCGTTATCAAAGTAATCATCGAAGGTGTTCCTTGATAAACCAACATTATACGTGCCAAATATGGTGGAATCCATACCTACATCCAGTACTTGGTATTGAAGACAAAGGATAGATGCTCGAATAACGCAAACTAACTAATCAAATCTTGCATTGTCATTGTCAATGGGGCCATAGTGCCCAGTATTCCTTCATAGACACATGCTATATATCCGGAACAAGTGCCCGTTAACTCCGACTATTCTAGTTACGCATAACCCCCTAAGATCAAACTTACCATGCATGAGGAAAACACAGAACATATTCAGTGAAATTAGACCGAAAGAAAAGGTCATGATTGTAAAATTGTATATATATGGATAAATGAAAAATAAAGAAAGAAAAGAAAAGAAAATAACCAATGGGTCCGAAGTGAAAGTGAATGTAAGCTGTTCAGAGAAGAGGTATAGAAGAAAAGAATCGAAGTTTAGTCGGTGCGTGTGAGCTTCGTTTGAATGCAACTTGCATTTCTAATGAAGTACTGCGCTTGAAGCAGTAGCCACTGTACGAGAAGTCTTTGTATTTAGTGTCCCCGCATCGCATGATACTGTCGGTGGCTTCGTCTGCGGTGAGACGGGGTCGGGGTGGCAGACGACGATTGCGGCGTGGAAGATGAGGTGGTGGTGGGGTTTGACGAGGTGTGTTGTGTAGTTGAAGGAGTGGGTGTATATTTGACGGAAGAAATAGGAGAAGCCTTTCTGGTTGAAGTTGGGTGCTTCTTGCCAGCACCCAAGCTTACGGAACCGCCGGGACCAAAATTGAAACAAGACGGTGACATTGGCGCCGTGACCTCCTGTACGGAAGTTAGTAGTCATTTCACGGATCTATTCGCAGACTTAAAATGACATACCGCAATTGTCTTCTCCATCACAGGGTCTTCAGGTGTATCAACCTCCGCAATATCCACGTTAAGGCTGACTCCAGCCCTTGGGTGAGACAGGCCTTGGTGCCTAACTTCGTTAGGGAATACCCAAACCCATTGTTGAGAATTAACTTACCACCAGCCGCAATGTGAGCACCAAGATCGGCTCCCAGATTGACATCGACTCCCAGGCCCTTATCTAGACGACATTAGTACATTGGAGTGATGGACTCATGTTGAGCAAATGACCCACCGGTAGAGACTGCTATATTGGCCCCGAGATAGGGTTTCAGATTGACACCGGCTTCATAGCCCTGGTCTAGATGGTGTTAGCACGTCCAAAAAGTGCTGGAACTGTTATACATACCAAGGATTGACGCAGAAAATTGAACCTCCGCTTTGGTGTAAATCTCAGCTCCGGCCTCAATTTTAGCATCGATCTTCATCGGTTGAGTCTCAACTTGAGGAGTCCAGCCCCCAGCGGACACATCCGGAGCCAGAAAATCAATTTCGAGCTCTGCAGAATCCTCCAGACTGAGAGTCACCCCGGATGAAATGCCTGCGGAACCTCTGACAGGACCAATTTGATATCCAAAGCTGAAGACAACTTCCGGCCCAAGCTCAAGAACACCCCCTGGGATTGAGATACCCTGGACAGGGATGCTTACGAGCTCGAACTCGTCGGAGATCTCATTTGTGATGTTTCCACTCAGTCCTAGGCGTGGCGTCAAGCTTGCAGAGACGCCATTGGGCGAGAGTGTTATGGAGGCAGACTCGGGGGTGCCATAGCTTGTCTTGATGTGGACACCAAAATCAAACGATCCTTTTGTTTCACACTCCTCACAGGAAATGTCCACGGAGAGATCGCCGCCGGGAATAGGTATCGATTGGCTGAGGGGTATTTTATGGTTGAAGCTTAGGGAAGCCTCCGAGTCCCAGTCTCGCCTGCTTGTGGATGATTCTGGAGCCTTGCCCACCGTGATCTCGTAGTTACGGAAGAGTCGTTTCCAGTCCGATGCCACGCCACTCAACTTGGCCTTTAGCGATGGCTTGTCGAACGCAATTGATGAGACGATAAATGGTGTCCTGTGAGAGTTCCAGCTACACTGCTTACTACCCATCACAAGGATCAGTTTACGATCATCGTCATCATTGACCCATTGCCATCCACGCTGAGTGTATCCGAATGCACGAGTGTCTTCAAACTCCACGACCATGCCGTTATCGGTACAGTCAACGGATTTCAGCAGGTGTCGGAACTTCTCCATAGAGACGATGTTCGCTTCGTCGTCGCCGACGTCGACTGTGAGGTTCGCCAGGGTCTTATGACCATTCTGAGAAGCTGTTGTGCAATGTTAGTTAACTTGTCATGACTGGATGAACATTATATACCCAGGGGAAAGAAACTGTACCGCTCCAGTAGTAAGAGTCTTTGCTCAGTCGATCAAAAACAGAATAGGCAGCATCTTCGTTCGATGTGTCTCCTCTCTCGAGGAGGGGGTTGATGACCCCAGGGGCGTCTGTATCTTCAAAAACAATCGACAAACCTTGCTGAGCCAGAAGAGACAGGATCAGGCTGGAAGACAGCCAGAATCGCCGGATATTCACCATCATGAGTGTGAGGATGAAGTCTGCTTCCTGATACAACGGTTTCCAAGGCCCAGCCACGAGTGAGAGCCGCTACTGATCTGTTTTGTTCGAGAAACTAGGTTGCGGCTCCCGCGACTTATACTTATGTTGTGAAGGTGACAGTCATCTTCGTTCCGGTGATCGTCGTCTTCAACCCGCTGAGGATATTTCCCTATTGGACTTCTCCCAATTCATGACATGAGAAGCCATTCTTGGCGAGATCGAATCCATACTTCTGTCGCCAATGATAGGGCTCAATGCCTCAAATCTTGGCAGGGCAGAGGCTAAGACGCGGCACCGTTCGTGTTCTTATGCAGGTCGGCCTCGGGCTCCACTTTTTGGGGCTGTTCATTCAGCGATCATGTCCATTTGAAGATAACGAGTGTTTCCAAAGTTTGTTATCGCTCATCATAATCTTACAATTCGTATTGAGCCATCTGTTAACTGAAAGAAGATGGTTCTCGCGAGGGTCAACTCAATTTAAAATGTTCACTTCCACGTCTGTTTTATTATTAGTACACCTCCCCATAACCTGTGGACATTCAACCGGCCCAGGACAACCCAGCCCGTGGAGGCCTCGGACCTCCAAAGCTAAAAACGTTGACCTGTCACTGGTTAATCCGTATAAATTTATAGTAATTTTTGGTTATATAAGTGTAAAGCATTTCTTTCGTAGTTTAGCGCAGTGGTGGTTAAACCGATTGACTTAGCATGTGTAGGATATATCTTTATAACATGAGCAGAGAAGTGCTGAACAGTCCGTGCACGATCTCTACAGATCCTAATATGGACCTGACATGCCCACGGCTAGCGGGATGCTTAGTTGTCGTCTAGGATTTAAATAGGTTGAGGCTTGATTTTCTATAGGGTAACCTATTTTCGCTCAACACTCGCACCCCTACCCACCCTCACTACGATTTCGACAGCAGACCCCCGATTTTGTCCTCCCTCTTGGACATGTGAGACTGCGTACATTATCAATCCCTGGTTGTAGGGGCCACAGTAGAGAGTGCTAGGCATTACACATATGAGTGAAATGCATTTTATTAATCAAGCCATCCATTTGGTCATCGCAATCATCACCTGTGTAGGTCCTATAAAAATTCCTTAAAATATCTGCCGCTCTTCCTTTTACCGGCATGTGTATCCTCCATCGACGACGATATCCGATCCTGTTGTGTAGGTACTGGCGTCACTTGCAAGGTACAGATAGACACCCTTCAGCTCGCGTGGGTCAGCATCCCGTTTGAGTGGTGTGAGGTTATACCATTCCTCCTTCATCTCAAATGGACAACCTCCACTAATGGGTGTGTCGATATAACCAGGACTGACGGAGTTAACGCGGGCAAACCCAGCCCATTCCACAGCGAGCGACTTAGCCAGGTGGATAACTCCTGCCTTGCAAGCGTTGTAGCAAGCCTTTTTATGGTTAGCCGAGTTCTCCTTCCTTCCAAGTACCGAAATATAATAGCTAACCTGCTGCTGGGGAACATTTGCTGCGTGGCCCGACATGGACGCCGTGAAGATCATGTTACCTGACCCTTGTTTCCGGAAGATCGCACCAGCAACGCGGGCGCAGTAGTATGCACCCGAGAAATCCACATCCACCACCCGGTGCCAGTCTTCCAAGTTATCGTCCAAAGCGCCTGCTTTTGATGGGATGCCCGCGTTCGCAACCATGACATCCAGCCGGCCAAAGTCACGCACCACAGCGTCAGTTGCTGCTTGAACCTGCATACGTTCAAGTCAGTATCACTGCCTTATGAATCGGGTCGGAAGTAGAATTGGAAGTAGAACGACACACCTCGTCGAAGTTTTGCACAGAGCACTTGTACGCCTTTGCCTTGACACCAAAGTCTTTCTCCAGTGACGCTGCTAATTGCTCGCCTTGCGAAGACTTGTGAAACCAAATAGCAATGTTGGCACCGGCTTCCGCCAGGCCACGAGCAATCTGGTAGCCAATTCCACCAGTGCCACCTGTGATGATCACTACCTTGCCATGCATTTGGAACATTTTGAAAACGCTGTCCGACAATGTCGGATTAGGCCGCCGGATGCTTTCTTGCGAGACCATGTTGAACGTAGTTTCCGGGGCGGTAGCTCCTGAGAGACAAAGAACCTTGACAGTTGTGAAGGCAGGATTGCAGGGCATAAGGCGTTTTATACTGTACTTTACTCGGGCGCCATCGTCATTTCATTCATTTCATATATCCATCGATGCGAGGACCTCGGTATGTACCTGGCCACCTTCGCTGTGCAACGCAAACGGATGTCCGCGCAGCGCACCCACTTACAACGATGTAGGTCCACTGAGGCATGTTTGTTCGGTACCTCTAAAACTTCAGACTATCCGAGTAACCCCATGGGCGGACATTGCAGTCCGCCGGGCGGACGTAGTGGTCCGGGGAGGGGTTGTCAAAGCCTAAACTGCACTTCCCCATCTATCGGCAGCGAACCGAGCGAAAAATCTCCATGGGGCACTACTGGCCTTGCGGTGAGCCGAATCTCACGTGTGGTGCCATCTGCACGAGTCATTTCTGAGATTTCTGTCGCCACTGGCACTATACGTGCACGGCAGCCACATAGATCTGACATTCTCGGAGGACTGTCGGCCGATAATGTGCTACCAAGCCATCTTGTAGACTAATCATTTGTCCTACAAAAGGGAGCGGGCATGGATAATCTGACTACGTCCTTTTTCAAGTTAGTTGTATTTAACAACAACACTGCTTTCTTGGTAAACTCCCCAATTGTGAGTTCCAACTCATATCGAAGGTACGGATCTGCTGAATATATTGGTATATTTGCGCTAAGAGCGAGATATTTATGAAATGCAAAGTTGTTTTAGACCCCCATCGTACATCACTACAATTCCACCGCTCTCGTTTAATGGATGAAATATATACGCGAGTGGCTAAGTCCATCCATGGCCTTTCTTTGGCCCAGGGGGGAAAGCGATTCCTGGTGGCCATAGCCGGGATTCCAGGGTCAGGAAAGACCACGTTAGCTAAGGCGGTCGTGGAACGACTGAATGAGATGAACGGATCTGTCTGTCACCATGCAATGTGTATCCCAATGGATGGCTTTCACCTGCCTCGAGTTGCGTTGGACCAGTTTTCCAACCGAGAGCAAGCTTACGCTCGACGAGGTGCCCCGTGGACATTTGATGTGGCAGGGTTCACGGAATACGTACAGAGTCTGCGGATATGGGCTGACGGCAATTCGGCAAAGATTCTCTATGCGCCATCCTTCGATCACAAGCAGAAAGATCCGGTATCCGACAGTATTGTCCTTTCCCCCCGAGACATCCATAGTGATTGTCGAGGGAAACTATCTGCTCTTTGATGAACCATCTTGGCGAGATGTGGCCCCTCTATTTGACTATCGGCTGTTTGTTGACGCGGACTTAGAAGTCGCTAGAGAGCGAGTGGCAAAACGACACGTTCAGGCAGGAATTGAGCCAAACATTGAAAGTGGATTTCGTCGGGTGGACGAAAATGATTATTTGAATGCGCGGGCTATTTATGGGAAGCGCTTGAAGGCAGATTTGGTCATTTGTAGCATCGATGAAACTAAGATTTCCGGTTAGCGCACAAGCTAATACATAGAGCAATAACACAGATTTCCAATTCCATTAATTTGTTGTGTTGCCGTTGAGATCAATTGCGCATGTTGGGGACAACACAATCTCAGGCTCGAAATTCGCGCTGTGCCTCATATTGGTGTCGATAGCCAAGCAGCCGATTATTGACGTTGCGAGGCTCGAGGCTCCCACCCCGGCTCTTACGCCTCCCAAGGGTAATAGGATAGTCGGGTAATTTCAGCTAGATGTGTCGAATTCTTGGACAGCTTTTGCATGCCCCTATCTCGAGAATGTGATACAACCGTCAAGCGCATGAGACAGGACCTTCGTGGTCAGGTAAGGGACCAGGCTAATGGATGACATACAAATTGTTTTCAACAATTTATAATTTGAAGAACTATGCCCGATGTTAAAAGATGAAATAGCGATATAACGAAGAATTCTGTAAAAGACGAAGCCGAGTTCCAATGTGAGGTCATAGCTTGAAAAAGCCGGGGATGCCAAGCCACCCGAGATGGGCGTGTCATGGCCTTAGGTGAGAAATGTGTGGATGAGACAAGACTCCCTTCCTACCACCAACTCGCCATGGACGACAACGACGAACTCGAGTCGTTCCGCCAACAGTGGCGCGAGGAGGTCACTCGTCGATCAAAACCCAAGGCTACCGCTCCTACTCCTACGACTCCAGCTGCGACTGCCCCGCCACCCGCTCGTCTTCCGCCCACACGCCATGAGGCCTCTCACCGCAAAGCGATCGAAGAGGAGGGTCCCCCGTTGGCTTCCTTTGACCCCGATGAGATCGCCCAACAAGTTGGCCAGCTGAGCGTGGAACCACTCGAAGATGACTTCTCACGCCGAGAGGTAGCAGAACCAACGTCTGCGTTGGAGCACTTTGAACGAGCGGTCGAGAAGGAGGCCGAAGGCAACCTGGGTGACAGTCTTTCACATTACCGAAAGGCGTATAGGGTGAGTTTTGATCGCTACTTACCGCAATTACGATACCAATGCTCATTTCTGTGCAGCTAGATTCGTCTGTCGATAAGTCTTACCGGAATAAGCACTATGCCCATGTATGGAAGAGGCCAAATCAGCCCGCACCCACCACCCATGCCGCTGTGACCCAACAGACCGAAGAGAGCCCGACTCTCCCGACACCTGAGCTCATTGCGTCGTTTGCGCACGTGCCAATATCACCGGTAGAGCCCATCGTCGAAAACACACCACCGCCCCCTTGCCCAATTGCCACCGTGCCATCGGAAGTGCTAGTTGAGATTCTGCGACATGTGGCAATGGATGACCCATCAGCCTTCGGTCGGACGGCATTGGTGTGTAAGCGGATGGCCTACCATTTCGCTCATGAGCAACATATCTGGAGACGCATCTGTCAAAGCCGGGAATTTGGCTTCCAGGAATGCATTATGACTTTGCGTGCGACCTGCATGGCGAACCGATCTATACCCTTGCTCCGCGATACACTCCGTTTCCCAAGGACGGGCCTGTGGAGATCCCTCCGCCGCTGTCTTCGTGGAGCCAAGTGTTCCAGACCCTCCCTCGGATTCGTTTCACGGGCATCTACATCAGCACGGTCAACTACACTCGGGCTGGTGCTGCATCTGCGTACTCCAATTTGTCGTGGAACAGTCCCATTCATATCGTGACTTACTACCGCTACCTGCGGTTCTACCCCAGATGGCTCGGTAATCTCGCTGCTCACTTCAACGGAGCCAGTCGATGTGGTTCCTCACATCAGCAAGGAAAATGTGATGGCGGCGCGCACCCCAGCACACCGGAAGCATCAACGGCGTGCTTCTGATGCGGGTCATACACTCTCTGGCGCAACTGATTCCGTGCCACCTCTCGCCATGAATACATTGAAGCATGGCCTTCGGGGTCGGTGGCGTTTGGCTTCACCCGTTGACATATCTGAAATTTCAGAAGCCCCCGCCGAAATCTGGAAGCCCGGCTCAGCGTCCGACCAGAAATCGCTGCTTTCGGATGAGCGAGATCTCCTCATTGAAACAGAGGGTGTAGATCCCAAGTATGTTTACACGATGCATCTATCGCTACGTTCATCGACCGTACCGAAATCTTCTCAAGTTGGACCGGCTCCTCCCAACCCATCCAAGAACACCAAGCTAGCGTGGAAGGGTTTCTGGAGTTACAACAGACTCACGGACGACTGGGGCGAGTTCGGCCTTCGCAATGACCGGGCATATGTGTTCCGACGCGTACGCGGCTGGGGCCTGGATTGATACTATGCACGCATGATTGACGACTTGTACATAATGATCTAAATATACACATACATAAAAAAAGAGTGAATCAGGTTTCGGTCTATTAGAAATATGTCTCATGAATTCCTTACCCATTCATTTCTTTTTTGTAAAGGTTAACCTAAGTGCTTAGTTACGAAAACAAGACGATACTTATCAAGTCCATCAAATATTAAATTGAGAGAATAATTGTATACATTACATGGGGTTTTCATTCGTCCAAGTCTGCAAGTACAAGCCTTGTCTTAATGATAAGCTATACGATGTCTCACGAAGACCTCTCGAGAATGTTTTTTTCGTTGGATCGACGGCGATAACAAAGTGCACCACAAGACCTCGGTGACCTTAGTGCTATATACTTCGCGTCTAATAATCTAACCCCTCAGCTCTCCAAGCATGGCTGCTATTTCGGCATCGAAGTGGTTCAAAAAATCATCCAATCCTCGGAGCGTGCTCCAACCAAGTCGGTTCCGAGCGAAGTCAGCACGAGCCCTCGAACTACACGAAATGTTAGCTTATTGTTCCATTACAAAGAGATTTACTTACTTTGATGCCAGGGTGATCTCTGCAAGACTCTCATTCCCTCCTGTAATTTCCGCAGCTGCTTCTTTGAGGCTTATTGACTTCACTTCGTTCGTCGCCAGTAGACCACTCTTTTGCATAGTATCGGCGATACCCTGACTAACCTGGAGCCATGTATGCTCACCACTTTCAACGAAGAAGATAGCCTCTGGGCCGGAGGGAAGCCATGTCTTTTGCTCAATCACAGCACGGAAGAGAAGACCATAGAAAGCAGAAAGATCGGCAATGTGAACATGATTCCAAATCTATGAATTGTACTGCGTCAGTAAGTAGGTACCACAGATATGGGTATCATACGTACGCCCTTGCCATTTTCAATCACGGCTGCAAATCCGCGCTTCCGGGCCAAGCGCGCAAGGTTAGGTACCTGTTGACTCAACGTCGCAAATGGACCATCGCCTTGTCCGTCTGCTGGGTGTCAGCATAAGGATCACTTTCAGTAGTATTGGTTCCGCGTACAGATTGTGGGAGGGACGACAATGTACGTCTTGACACCAAGGCGCAAGCCTGTCTCAACAACTGTAACATCGGTGACACGTTGCCCGTAGCGCTCAGGGTGGTTCTTCTCCATCTCAAATATGTTATCTTTCTCATCAGACCAGATTTTCTGGTCCTGCGGCGTGCCGGTGTAGGGATGATCACCCAGAATTGAGGTGCCCGAAGTCTAAACTTTCCATCAGTTTGTCCGTAAGTCTATACCACAGGATAGACAAGCTCACATGAATGAGATAAGATTCCTTGCCCGTTGCCTTCTGTCTAAGTGCTAAACCTTCGATCAGCGCCTTGGCAGAACGGTCATGGGACGCAGATGCTGCGTTGATCACAACTGGGAAGGCATTGTCAGCAGATTGAGCAGAAATTTTTAAAGATATAGAATATCAGTACGATCGTGTTGGGAAGCTGCATTTATGCAAGCCTCCAGGTCATCTAGGCCATCAAACAGGATCGGCTTCACCCCCAGAGAGTCGAGCTTGGCCGCCTGTTCTGGACGACGGATCAATGCGGAAATGCTCAATTTGGACGCCTCCGGAAATCGCAGTAGCTCAGCAAGAATTGAGCCCCCGCTGGTAAAATCTAGGTCAGCTGATTGCAAGAAACTTGTTGGACGGAAACGATACTACAACATAGACTTCACGTACATGTATCCGGTTGCACCGAGAATAAGAACTTGTGTCTTACTGGTCATTTTTCTTATTCAGTGGAAGTGTTTAGATGAATGAAGGTCTGTCAATGAGCCGTAATTAGGGCACTCTGTCCAACTTATAGTTTTTCGTCATTTTCTCATCCACAACGTAAGGTTACAATGAGGACGTCGATTATTAATTCACCCGAAGTTGACGATAAGAAAGAAACTCGCCGGATGAGCAATCACTTTTTGGCAGGAAATTCTGTCTATATCACAGGAAAGATTACATTTAAAACTTGAAATTCGAAGGTTGGACCTTCCTCACCTTTCGTTCAGCGGATTGCTAATCAAGTAGGACCGCGCTCGCAACCTTGGAAGTTTCTAGGGCTTACGGCAGTGTATAGCCGCCAGTGCGCCATATGTTACTTTTTCATATTGAGTTTTGACTGTCATGCCGCCAGTTTACCATTACCTACAAATTGGGGGCTAACGGTTAATCCCTACAATATCGACTTCCATAGGGTCAATTTCCATAATATCCCAATTCCTATAATAAGAGTAATTGGCCGCTTATACGGCTCTAGTCTTATTGGTCTTCTTAGGTAGTCTTCTCCGATAGTCTTTTTAGTGGTCTTTTTAGTGGTCTTTTTTATAGGCTTTTTTGGTGGTCTCCTTAGACAGTCTCTCTAGATATCTAGTTATATAGATATATTCTCTGCCTCCTTGATTCATTTGGTGGATAGTAAAAAAGGGCTAAAAAAAGGGTTCAATTATAAAAGGGAAGTTTCCTATATATAACCTTGGTATCTCAAACTCTACAATATCTCAATTTCTATAGTGTCAATTTCTATCAACGTCTATAGTCAATTAAATACAAATGGACTAGTTTTATGAAATGTTCTGCTAGCAAAATACGATATGGCGCATTGGTAACTATACACTGCCGTATAGGGCTATCACGACCTCGGACAACAAACATTGGAAGTTAACGTCGGCCACCCTGCTAAGGCCTTAATGATGATCATGAATACATTAAAGGAATAAAGCCAGGAGGATGTCAATTTCCCGATATAAGCGATGTATCGAGTAAAGGAGTCAAGGTAGTGAAGTGTCTATGTTACAGGCTTTCCTTTGGCTAAAATATCCACCTGGTCCTGTAGAAATTGCAAAGTCGCTCTGGTTTCCATCCCTTTCTCCAGAATGTACTTTGAACAACCGGCGCTAAATTCAATTCTCCCAACCTGAGGCGCTAATGTGATACGCCAAGCCAACAAAAACCCCGCCACATTCCAAGCCACCTCCTCGGAAGTGGTTAGGAAAACATCAGCATAATAATTTTGAGTCTTATCGCGTCTTTCGCTGAAGTTATCCGTGTACGTGTCTACCCACGCATTGAATAACTCCAAGACGGATGAAGGGAATGTAGACAGTACCTCTCCAGCCTCTAACATACAGTCCCCTTCCTCAGGCCTAAGGTCATCGGGATCCCGCCAGATGAAAGCCGTGCCATAATCAGCAAAGATACGATAGTGCCGCGGAGGTTCAGTTGATGTAGATGGCCCGGTCGACAGAGGGGTTGCAAATGACTTAGTCGATAGAGATGGTTCAGATGAAACGGTCAACAGAGGTGTAGATGGCTCGTGAGCTGACATTTCGACAATGGATGGTTCTGACTGGCGTTGCTCTTCCAGTATATTCGTGATCTTCAAAACAAAGTCAAAGTTGGTTTCCACCAGGACAAAGTCTTTTTCAGACTCGGAAAGAGGCTTTTCAGCAAGGCTACGCCATGAATCGCCGAGATTCCTGGCAGCCTTTATGTATCGTTGAGACTGCGATTGACTGCAAAATACCGCCAGAGGTTCGAGAAGGCCAGAAGCCATGGTTGCGGAAGATGGTGTTGCGAGATAGAACGAGATATTAAGCGGAAAGAACTGTCGGTGCAGAAGAGTGGCGTGATAGAATATGGTATAGAAACGGGAGATGGTCGAGTTATAACACGCGCTTCGCAGAGCAAGTTGGAATACCCCCGGGCCCGGCCCACGGATCCTTGCTGTCAATTAGTAAGTTTCAGATGAGCGGGGCCCCTGAAACGCCCTAAGTATTCGGAAACACTCAGTCGAACAGTGGGCGCTTAATCGGAGGTCTAGTGGTGGATAGATGGCGAGAAGAAGCTTGACAGTCTTGACGTCGTACGATCATATCTTCGCCCCGTATCCTGTCCAATGGGGGCCATTTACTTTGGTAATGACTAGTATGTAGCCATCCGGGGATTTCGGTGAACGGTAGAATTTATATGTCAGTTGGACTGCTATATTGTGACGATATTGTGAAGCTTTTTTGATCATCCTACACTGTTACTCTCGGTTTAAAAATGTATGAGCCAAGTAACTTGAAGACCTAGAGTAATGCTAGATCGGTGCCATCCAGCCCATCCATGGTATATGGTTATAGTAAAATAGAAACAATATTTCCGTCTAATTACAACCATGGTGGTCCCCAAAGTCGGCAGCAATAGATCAACGCAGGTTTCTGAGGAACTGGTGGAACCGTCGAGGAATAGATGGGCGTGGACCAGGGGAGGATGTCCGTTCCGCGACTAAATGGTAAGCCTGCAAAGCATTGGTTTGGAATGCATGTGTGCCACCCCACAAGAACAATCGAAAGACACGATAATTCTGCTCTCCCCAACCCGCGATTAGATCGTCTTTAGCCAAGTCTAGACGCTTTGCCCATTCCAGCATGGTGAGCTCGTAGTCCCGAGTCTCATTGGCAACATCCAATACCGCAAATCCATGGTATAAAAACTCCGCAAGAACGTCCTGAAGAGTCATAAAAGTATGTGTCCCACGCCAAATATAGTCTCTGGTAAAAGAGCTAACAGCAAACTTCTCAACAGCCGCCGAGCCGTCCAGATACATGCGACCACCTGGTTTGAGCACATCCCACATCCTGCGTGTAAAACGACGATAATTGGGGATGTGTTCTATCAGCCCCAAATTGACAACATGGTCGTATGGCTCCTCCGGTACATGGTTAAGGAAGTCCTGCAGGAAGACCTGACCAGGGAGATTATTGTCCTCTATAACACGTTGGATATAGCGAGCACCATTGGGTGCGAGGGTCAACGTAGTGACATGCACGCCTCGAGTACCACAATACTGCGTCACACCACCCCATCCACCACCAATATCCAGTAGCCTCATGCCTGGTTTTAGATCGAGAGCAGCAAACATGGTCTCCATTTTGTGCTCAGAGGCCTCTTCGAGCGTCTCGTCAGGTTGTTGAAATAAACCCTGCGAATAGAACCGGAACCGTTTGTCGAGAAATGTGAGATAGAACCCATCATCAAGCCCATAGTGATCACCGATAGCCTGGGCGTTCATCTTGGTCGCCGTTCGGATGAAGTCGTATACGAATTGGAACTTCTGTCGCAGGGGCACTTTCTCCTGTAAATTCTGGCGGGCGTTGAAGAGGGCGCCGAAATCACCATCCACCTCGATATCGCCGGCTAGATAGGCTCGGCCAACGCCCATTTCTGTCATCGGTGTGCGGAGGGCACGCTCCGAGCGGAAGATGACTCGATAGACCGGTTCCCCGATGCCGACGGGTATAACTGCGCCATTGGGCAGCTGAATTTCTCCGGGCGTCTTCAATCCTGCTAGGAGTGCGGCGATACCTGTGCGTGGTAGACTGTTGCGGGATAGGCTGTTCCGGGATACTGCTACCGCCATCGCTGGATTGAAGATAGTGTTCGATTTTTTGCAATACTTCTGGTAGTGATGTATAGACCCTGGGGGATGAGGTTGGGTATGTCGAAGACTAGATTTGAAATATCAAGGGCAGCCGTCACAGTGTCTAAAAGCAAATACCAGGCAGATTTGACATGTCGCTTTTATTACAACTGTATGCACGACAACCTGCATTAGCAGCTCACGGAATCAGCCAATTCGCTCAATGCCTCACGAGCGATAGCATCTGCAGGTCCGTTGCGTCACATTCGTAACGCTCCTGGCAAATTAAAACCAAAGACACGGATCTACCATGCATTGTTGTGGGGGAAGTGGTATCTGTGCTTCAGCTGCGGCTGAGACGCACATGGAAAGAGATTTAATTAGGCTTCGGCAGTGCAGATCATACTCTGTGGGAAGCTGAACATGATACATATCTTGATCCATTCACAGAATAAAAAGGAAATATATACCCCGGGGGGGGGGGGTTTCTAGTCTAGACAATTAAACCACTTAGGCCAATTAAGTACCTGCTCGTCCCTGTCACCCATCAATTGATAGTTATTAAAAATTCATTCTAAGTCCATTGATGCAATTGATTTCACAAGTCCTCGATCACAAGCGTCCGGCCTCTCCAGTCCAACTAGCTGGCTTATATTTGTAGCGTATGAAGAGTTCCACCGGTGCCGTGTCATCGTGCTCGAAGCTCCACAGTTGGGAATACAGTAGAACCAAATTTTCTCCATCAAATGACGCCTGAATGATTCTTCCGTGCTGTCCGCCCATATAAGAGAGAACTAATAACTATCCATAGGTAGAGATAGGGGGGTTAGTACGATCTAAGAATATCACGCGTTACTTACTGGAAGGATAGGATATTTCCGAAGGGCGGTATATGCTCCCCTGAAAGCCGGGCCTGTATTCTGCCACGCTGCAAAGCAGGTGATGTTGGTGCCTGCCGGGCGGTGGGCACCCTATATTCCTCGTTTCAGTTTGCCCTCAAATTTTAAATAATAAAAAGAATCGAATAAAGCTCATCTTCAGCTAAGATAGAGCCCTGAGAAAGGAAAAGAAGGAGGATGCCGTCGTTGCTTGGCCTTCCCCTGGAACTCCTGGTGCAGATCGTACAAGAAACAATCCCGGTGGATTTCGAAGCCACTGCCCTCTCTTGTAAGACTCTCTTTGCTGCCAGCACTCCTTTTCGAGCGCAATATGCTACACGGCGGAAACGGTTTCGAAACTTCACATTTTCGCGAAAATCCGAAGAAAAACCACAAGGGGCAGAAGAATCTGACTCTGGCGAATATTGGGATGAGATTACCCAGGAAACAGGCATCCGCATCATGAGCACGCGGGAACTGTTGGAACATATCGCTCTGGACCACTCTGTGGCGCAATACATACAATCTATTGACCTCAGGGGGTCCGTAGGTGTAGATGAAGAGGAAGAGGAAGATGTGATAAACTTCCTGGAAGCTGAGGTACCTGAGACTCTAAGGAACTTCGTCCTTACGTCGCCCTTCATCGAAGCCGTGAGGGGAGATGTCGACGATTGGATTAAAGGAATCCGATGGTCCATGATACATGCAGATGTCTTCCTCCTGACCTTGTTATCGCAAGTACGAAAGGTGGCTCTACACCCACGGTGGGATGAACTGGATCCTCTTGGTACACATGACATGTGGCCGGGGACGAATGAACCTCTTTGGGCTGCACTCAAACTGATTACCCACCGGGCCAATCGCCCTGCGGAATTTCCGGACGCGCCATTATCCCTGCTCTCCGCCGTGCAGCCATCTCGTGATATCGGCTATGATGAGAAGTCCCCGTTGACACCATTTGTGCCATTCCTGGCAATCAATTCCGTGTCTGAAGTCTCCCTACGCAGTTGCATCTTGAAGGATGACGGGTACACTGGGATAGCGTTTGACCCAATGGTTGGATGTTATAGCACGAACCTACGAAAACTGACTTTGGAGTCAAGTGTCGCTGGCCCGGAGGAGCTGTCACAGTTACTCAAGCGAATTCCAAACCTGGAGATATTTGAGTTTTCGCACGAAACCAAGTGGCATGGCTGTGGCTATAACTGGAACATTGGTGCATTTCTGGACACGGTGCAGATTGTCTGCGCAGGGACACTCAGGGAATTGTCGGTGACAGTACTTAATAACTGGGGTAATAAGGGAGCCACACTGATGGATATGACTCGTTTTCAGAAATTGGCTGTTCTTGAATTGGACGTTGACATGCTGTGCGGTCCCGCATATGATCCCTCGATGAGAGATTTGGAATGGGATGAATTTGAGTCTGTTGGCAGTCCGGCCTGGCCTAGACTGACTGATATGTTGCCCGCATCCATTGAAAGGTTCAGCTTGTATCTCAACACATTTGATGGCGATCATCTGAGGTGCATCTCCTATTTAATTGAGGGCCTTTCAGATGTTCGGGCCACAAGGCTGCCCCATCTGAACAAACTATGCCTTTTTGTGCGTATGGATTCAGACTCGGTGATTCCGGACGTGGCACTAAAGGAATTAAATGCTGCGAAGAGCAGTGGATTTTCAATTCTGAAGCTTGGAACGTCCACCTCCATTTTATAAATGTCTTTTTTCCATCATTATGAGACGATGGTTATTATTGGCTTTGTACATAAAGATCCGGATCTCCCCGTGTACAATATTTGCACTGAAGACCGTTTGGGCATACAGCTGTTCGTTGATTTGGACAAAATATCGACACCGCAACAAAGCTCATTGAAGGTAAACGTTGGTTGGAAGAGAATACTTGCATGTGGACGGCGGCACAGTGAACACCCACTGCGATGCCTTTTGAAATATCGTTGTCGATATCATTGCGATGCCCTTTTGGATCCCGTGTTAGGATATTCGGTCGTAACTTAGGCATTAATGCACATGTGGGTTGGAAGACACAATTCCTGCGAAATTTCCTTTTGGCTATAAAACACTTGGATGCCCGGGTGCCTACCTAGGTAGAAGTGTTTATATAGGTAATAGGTATAGTTCCAAATCGGGTAGGTACGACCAGGAGTAGGCCCAATCCATGCATATACCCAGTGATCTCCTTGGGAAGTTCTCTCAGCCCCTCTACTTTCATCCACCTTTCACTTTTGCTTCATCGGATCTCTACCTAGGTAAAGTGCTCCCACTGTCCCTTGCCCAACAATGCTCCTCCTGTATGGAACCTTCTCCACTTGCTTGTCAGCTAGGTACTAACTTGGGTTTACTTAGTCGGGACGGCGGAGCGGATAACGTTTCAACCCTTTGGTCACCCATTGGCCCTGCAATCTGTTCCTTCCACCTATAACGAAATACAACCGCATGAAATCGGGACTCGCTGGTCAAGTATCCTCCCGCTACAACCCCATATCCGTCACCACGTAAGATCTGCGCTCGGTCACTCGCAAAAGGCAACGGACGCTAGAGTAACCAAGCAGTACATTCGGGGTATCCAAGAGGACTTCTGGTCGCTACATGCATTATACCATAACAGGGATATTCGCGCTCCGACGACTCCGGCAACCCCGTTCGGGTCACGAAGCCTGCAACCCGAGGAGGTCACACAATTCATACGACGAATTATATGAACGTACCAAATTCATATCAACGGGTGGTTGCATGACGGATGATCATGCAGTCCAGGCGAGAGTAGAGGATACCCCAGCAAACCAACCCCGAGATCCCTGTCGCCGATACGACCCAGGTGCTTGCTAACCTGGCGTCTTGATTGGTGGCCATGGACGCCGGGTTAGTCGTTCCGGCCCCCAGAACATGTACCCGGTGCCGATAACAAACCAGTCTTGATATCCGTCAAATGCAAACGACTAATTTCTATAAAGGTCAAGTGGGGAACAGATGAGAGACAACTGCACCGTCTATGACATTTTGTCTATCTACCGGTACTCTACCTAAGAGTCTTAAATGAATCCTCCTACCTCTCACAATGTTGACCACACATATAGGGCACTGATATTTTTATTGGCAGGCGGATCCCGCTCCAGACAGACAGTCATCAAGGAGAGATCAAGCCGAAGGGCCAATAACTCGGCGCGCTGTTTGCACCTCAGGCGATAGACGTTTCAAAGCCGAATCGAGCTCGTCGGCAGCTTGAGCCAGAACATCGTCGGTCAGCGGCTCTAGTGCATCTAGGATGAATAAAACGCGCGAGGTATCATCGGTCAAGGCGGTCCGCGGGCCCTGTCTCCAATTCCACCGACGGCAAGTAATGCCACTATTGTCACACCAAACAGGCTCCCCTGGAGATGCAAGTTCCGTTTGAGGCTCCCCGCCAGAAAAAGTTTCGAACTTCTCAGTACCCGTGGCGCGGACTAGGAAAGGCGATCCATCGTATTTGTCGAGGTCCTCGCCTCCAAATGGGATCTGATACTTGACGGAGATAGCATTGTAGATGTCGGTGAGCCGGTTGACTCGCGGCAAGCCATCCTGCGCGCGACGGGTCAGAGCCTCGAGGCTGTTGCGGGTTTTTTGTGGCTTTGCTCCAAAGGCTTTGTAGGCTTCGCGCCATGCAGCGATGTGTGGAAGTTCGGTAACAGGGCAATTGGAGAGCTTGTCCTTGACGGAATTTTCAGCCTCCCTCAAGAGGGCCTCGCTAAAATCATCACTTGGGCCTGGAGGAATACCCTCTACCACCATCAAGAGGGCGCGATAATCTGGGCGCAACTGGAAGATTTCCGGAGCTACATGTGCAGCCTGCAGTAACTTTTGTGCCACCTGTGTCCCGCCCATGACTGAGAATGAAGTAAAGACGCTGGGGATGTTCGTAGTTGTGGCGAATTGGGTGTAAGAGACTAACGTAGATGAGGAAATATTGCAATAATTTAAAGAGAATAAAGCAAAAAGAGCGTGAAGCGTAGCCTAATATACCTACACTAATTGTGGGGCAGGTCCTGAGGCGAACCAACTAGTATCCCTCCTTAATGTAGCCTTATTTTCCATAGGCAAAGATTGATTGTATGGATTCTCACAGCACGTTAGCCCCTCTCCGTTCAATTTCCTAAGGTGGGAAATAGTGGACACAATGTTGTTATAACAATATGGCTTCAGGGCTTTTGTGGCAATCGTGACTTCCCGAATGGGTAGTTGATGGAGTGGGTCGATCAAAACTAAATACCGGTATCCGATTGGTTGCCTTTTTTGCACCTTATTTGGTTCCATGGTTCGACCAGGTAATGACCGTGGCCGTGATGGATCGCTGTCTGGCTGTAAAGCATCACTCATCCATGCGACTGCCCGCATAATCCTTAAATATTGACCACTTCCCTTCACAATAATACTCAACATATCCTCGGAATAAGCATTCATTCAATTAATTATCCATCCATCTCATCGTTAATTAGTCGTATAGTACTATTAGCTATTACCAAGGACTTGTCTTTTCCATCCAAAAGCTCTTCCTCTTTTTCAACCCTTCCACGATAGAGTACAACAGCTGCGGAACCCAAGTATCCCCTGCTAAATTTGCAAGGCACCTGCCATCCTCTACTGAGGTCTCTCCGGGTAAGCATCATACAAACCATCAGAAACGCGAATGTTGCTGTAGGATGCCTCGCCCTCCCCGTTCTGGAAGAAGCGAATCTCAGTCGAGTTTGCGTACCAAGGACTGCCATAGAATTAGTTTACGTTCGGTGAAAAGTAGAAACCAAAGGATAAGAGAAACATACCGGACCCAGGTAGAGACAACAAAGCGGTTGTTGGCATAAACTTCCAGAACAGAGTTGTCGACGACAATAGTCAGGCTTAGAGTCTCAATACGGTCCTGTCCAACTCCACCGAACTCAGAAGTCTGCGCATTGCTTCCCCATGCAGTGCTGGGCTTGTAGCCGCTTGAACCGTGCTCGCCCTTGTGACCAAACCCGCCGCCGACGGCGTCGAGTCCGTCGAGGCCGTCGAGACCGGGGTGACCGCCATTGCCGCCCTGAGCACCACAACGATCATTGATGTCAAATAGACGAAGACGGCCAGATTCCGGTGACTCATCAATACCGGTGGTCGTGTCTGCAGCGGCACTTGTTTCGGAACGATCAATCATGATGGACTCGTTGGAGAACTGATAGTAGATGGTGGTCGACTCAAACTCGGATGCCAGAATCTGGAAGCCGGCCTGCAGGGTCGATGCACGTGCATTGAAGTCGATCTCAGCCTCGAGAACAAAGAACCGGCTTTCGGGGGATTGACCGAAGGGAATGACGCCCGCACTGGTAGTGGTCCGGTCCGGCTCGCTGAAGCTGGGGGCAGAAGTCATAGCGCCATAGGTCTCACGCGCGATATCAATTCCGAGTGTCTCGAGTTCAACACACCGGCCAGTTGAGCGGCCGTTATCGGCCACACGCCATGAGCCAGTCTCCTGCGCAAGCTCGTTGTTGACCACGTTGGGGATGGCTCTGATGTACAACTCGCGTGCCGTCAGCAAAGTGTTTTGCCATCCTTGCTGAGCAGCTGGGAAGCCAACAACACCTCCGAAAACATCGCCAGTCAACCAGACATAGCTGATGAAACGGTCGGGGGCCCCGCTGGCAGTAGACGCTTGAGAGGATGCAGGCAGGACTTTGCCGGCTGCTGCATAGGCGGCCAAGCCCCAGTCGAAGACACCAACCATATCAGGGGTGAATGTTACGTTTTCACCATCGGTGTTTGCAATTGCTCCTGCAGCCCAAATCATGGCATGTAGTGAGGAGACGGACTCCTGGATTGGCACATACGAGCTCTCAACTGCAATGGTCATGAACGGATCGCCGTTGTAACTGTATCCCTCTCGGGTGAGACCGACGACGTTGCTAGTCTCGAAATTGTAGCCAAACATCTTGGACCAGTCTCCATTTCCCCATGTCGAGTTGGCAGGCTCATTGTACCATTCTCCAAGGTACTCCCACTGCTCGAAGTCGGGGCTCGTATTCTGGTAGAGGAACATTCCAGGTCCGACGTCTTTGATGCCACCCGAAACAATTGTGTACCAAGTACCTGGGGCACTGCCAAGGGATTGGTCGAGTGCGGAATTTTGGAAAACGAAGGGGTCACGGAAAGCAGTAACCTCCAGACCTGCTGGGGGCTCGGGAATAACGGGTGGAATGTCAAGCTTGGTGAAGTTCTGGCCCCCGTCGTAAGTTACCGCCAGAGATTGCGATTCACTGCCTCGGACGTAAGGAAGGGTCCAATGGATTGGCAATGCCGAGACAGAGGTGTATAAGAGCGTCGGCTTGCCGTCGACTCCACTAGGGATGACAGAGCCATCAAACACAGCAAGGGGATCGTTGGCACCGCCAGCGACAATTGAATAGTTGCCGTTAGGCCTGACATCGTAATAGTGGACAAGATCATCCGTCAAAACCATAGCAATACCCGTACCATTGTGCAGGAAACCGACATGGAAGAGGCCTGTTTCAGGATCATTGTAGTGCGCGCATGGGTCACCGATCTGGCCGTGGGGTGGGAGGGACATGGGTATGCGGCCTCCAGGTGTCAAACAAAGAGAGTTCGGGGAGAGTCGAGAGATCTGGGGGTGGAGCATTGTAGTCTTGAGCAGTGGCACCCGCCAAGATCGAGGCCAAAACCGATGCTGTCGTTGTAACCTTCATGATGATGAGAGGGTTTGGTGAGTAGATGACCGCAAGGAATAGCTTAGTCTATACGAATCAAAGTGATATTTGTGCTTTATATACAATAGACCAATTTTCCCTCAAGCGCGTAGTGTTATTGCAACAGAAATGTTGCACATTCTAACCCCCCTAGAAGAGTGCATGCTAGGGTACCTCTAAAGAATTTCAAAACTAGGAACGAATCTTAAATTTAATTGGACTGAGAATACAAACTAATCCAGGGGTGGCTGATCATGGCATGCAACTTAGTTTTTCAACGCCTTCATTCTTCGGAGACATGAAACGAGTAGCCTGTAAAGCCTCGCCAAGACAACAACAATACTTAAATGTAACGGCGTCTATAGGCAAGCGCAAAAGGAATGCGAGCAAAGTTGGTCCGTGGGTATATCATATTCTTTTTGGAGCTTGTTATACATTTTTCTGACAGAATCGATTTGTCGTTTACCTTTCTATGTTGGATACCCTGGACGGGCCTACATAGGCAGTACCCAGGCCAATATCCCCCACGTGTAACTTATTTACTATGTATTGGTCAATTTTGTGCGTTTTTTCTCAGTGCCTGTTTAAATTGACATATGCATTCAACGAGATACCCATTTTCCCTGTATGTCGTGTGTAGACTCTTTTTTCTAGCCTTCGGAAACTCATTCGCCTCTGATATTCATACACATTCCTTTTCTATTTTCTTATAGGGTGATATAGGACTAGGTACTTCTGTTTTTATTAATTCCGTAGTAAATTAGAACCTATTTAGAACAAACAAAGTATAATATAGCCAAAATTTCATTGTATCTAGGTGGTCATCCAGACTCCGTCCGTGATATATATATCCGTTTTAGATACAAATTTGGTCCAATAACAATATCATAATATCGCTCTGCTTTTACACCCTTAATTTCCTCACTTCTAGTAAGCTGTTATATTTCGATAAAGCGTAATTACCACCTAATTTTCACTTCGAGACCAAGGGCTAGTGTCGCCGCTATTCTCAGCGAACGACCGCCTGAGGTAGACCAAGCTTCTATATGGTGGGCATCGATCGAAAAGAGGCATTTAGAAGAATGAGTTTTGGAGGACGGTTACCAGGTAAATTTGATTCTTATAGGTAGTCGTGTTGGCCAAGTTGTTAGGTACTTGCTTCGACGATGCTGACCTAACGGACACGAATTGTGAACGCTGAGGATGAAGTTTTGTTGAGTTTAGAGACCGAACCAAATTATTTCCCTCTTTCTAATGCAAATGTCAGCGATTTGACGTGCGAAAGTGTTGCGAAGAGAAATTGAAGTTCTATATCTAATACGCAAAGGCTCTAATGGAATCCACGGGTAGACGGCTAAGCCTATGGCTTATCTCAATTTCTTGTCCTGGTTGAAGTCACCCCATGCTCGCGCGGCAAATTCTTCGTCCAGCAGTATCTTTACTCCCGCTACAGCCATCCCCTTAGCCACGTTCATGGTAATGTCGTGAGCCTCTGGCGTCTTCGAAGCATCACGGAAACCCTCGGTATGCATTGCTGTTCCCTCGGGTGTCGGAATGAAGTAATGGCCGTGGAATGAAGGAACTTCATAGCTCACGTTACCTAGCCTTTTGATCAGTGTCAAATCTAATAATTCAGCCTTAAGACATACCCATATCTGTGCTGAATGCGCCAATATCTTTATGTTGGAGATCACAGACAAATTCTCTCCCGCAAGAATTCATGTATCGCTGGAACTCCACACAAATGCTTTCGTTGGGTCGGATATCTGCATAAGGCTCCATTCTATTCATTGTTTAGTTAGCCATTGCGCTTGTGGGATGATGCTATATGATGAAACAGAGAGGTAGAACCCTTACGCTTTCACCAGGTCAACCTTGCACCCCGTAGCCAAGGCTGCTCCGTTGCAACAGTTCTCCACACGCTTCCGCAAAACTTCCATTTCACTGAAAGTTTCGGATCGCACACTGCATCGTATGCGGCTCTTATCGGGTATAACGTTATGGGCCGTTCCTCCCTCCGGTAGAATGATATTGATACGGTCGCTGGGCCGGATGTGCTGTCTAAGCATACCCACCGCAGAATACGCCAGCGTTGCTGCATCGAGTGCGTTGACCCCAGCCCAGGGCATCTGGGCTGCATGCGCTGGCTTTCCGGTAAAATGCGCAGAAAAGCCCCCAGCAGCTAAACTTGTTCCATATGCGACGCCGGCAAGGGTAGCTGGTATATGGCCAAAATGGGGGGGTTGGGTGACTCATGAGGGCGGCATCAGTGTCAGAAAAGGCACCCAAGTTGATTAACTTCACTTTGCCTGCGCCACCTTCCTCAGCGGGACAACCTAAAAGGCGTACTCTTCCAGGCATCTTGGTATCCTTTAGAACGGCCACAACGCCTAAAAATGAGGCAATGGAGGAGATTGCAATCAGATTATGACCACATCCGTGTCCAATCTCGGGCAAAGCATCGTATTCTGCACAGAAAGTGACCAATCGTCCTCCCTGACCATATTCGGCCAAAAAGGAGGTTTCAATACCATAAGCTTGTGGGGTAACTTTCAGCCCAGCGGTGGTCAGAAAGTTGCATGCCTCACTATGCGCGCGGTATTCTGCATAACAAAGTTCGGGGTTTTCATGTATCTGTGGATTGAGTAGTCAATATCTGAATCAATGAAGCGAGTCGAAGTAACTGACTTTGAGGCTAAGATCACGTAGGCCAGAGGTTACTCGATCGATGGACTGGGAAATTACGTTCTCAACGTTGTCTGACTGTACTTCCATTGTGTTTTAGGTTTCGCTGATTGGAATAGGCAAAAAGATTGGATGAAGACCGTCGTAGGGCTCCTTCTTATGCTTTATCTCCGGCTACAAATACCGGGTCAGCGGCCACTGCCGGGCTTCCACGGCCGGGCTTCCACGGCCGTACGTCCGATGCAAACGCGCGCAGTCCACATAGATAGTGAATTCTATGTGGTGACAAAAGATAGCTGAGGGATGTACCGTGGTGCACAGATAGCGATATACCTGTAGACCCTTGATAGGAGATTATTTCTCCACTCAGACATAAACTACTGGCTCGGTGTTTGAAAACGGGTTAGCCGAGAACTAGCGAGGCCGTTGGTTTAGGGTTTCTTCCGCCTTCCCCGCAAAGAGGCGAGTACCGCCGGTTCAAGTGTATCGCTAACCGGGGAAGTAGACTGGCGATGTGATAGAGGTAAGTAGTCAATATGAATAGGGAACTGGCCTAATGGTCGGACAGAGCAACTCTTGGAGGAAGGTGATGAAGAGAGATCAGCGAGTATCTCGGAGAAAAGATAACAGAAAAGGACGTAACTACGCTATAATGCTAGCAAGTATGCGTCACGTGACCATATAGCCTGAAAAGGGTAAGACAACTAGACCGCGTTGGATATTGCATGAGCGAAGTTATTGGTAAGAGACTGACATTTCCCCACCTGGAAATAACTGATTGGCCCGGCATTTGAAAGTCGTCCGGCGATTGAAGCTTATAGGGTATAGTTAACTAGAACGAGGCTAAAAGGGCTATACGAGATGGTCCGAGCGCATCTATATGCGGAGACCGGGGAAGTGCCTTGTACACTTTGATACTAGTAAGCCTGTGAATGAGAGGAGGACTCGGTTGACTACTTTCAGTCACAAAGGAAGATCTGCCATAATTTAGTATAAGTAGCTGAACGAATCCTACAGAAAGTGTGCTGCTCATGTGCATCTTTATTTTTCTTAACAGTGGAAACGATGGCCGAACTACAGAAAGGCAAGATGGCAGATCTTGATCAAGAGAACCCAGAACAGATGGCATCTATCGACAAGGAAGAAGGTTATGTCAAGGTGGTGACAGAGAGAAGCCAGGAGAACAAAGACATCCTGCGAAAGATCGATTACAGGTATCATCCTCGCATTATGCCAATACGAGGCTCTTCATAGGCTAAATCTCTGTCAACCAGGATGCTACCGTTGCTCATATTCAGCTACATGCTGCAGTTTATGGACAAGGTGTCCTTGTCAAACGCGATGATCTTGGGCGTTGAGGAAGACCTAGTAAGTTTTTTCGAACAGGCCGAAGTCCCAACCAGAATACGTCCTCGCTGACACGCTTTGAAATATAGGGTCTGCATGGAACCCAATTTTCATGGTTGAGTAGCATATTTTACTTTGGATACCTGGCAGCCAGCTATCCCGTTTCCATCCTACTAGTCCGATTTCCCCTTGGCAAGACACTTTCAATTGCAGTGTGAGTTTACACCAGACCCAATTGCGTATATCCGAGCTAGTGAGTGTCTGACGCGTCGATTCTTGTAGAGTCATCTGGGGTATTATTCTTGCGTGCCATTCCGCCGGAGTAAGTTTCAGTCGTATGATGGTGTTGCGGACTCTCCTCGGAGTTTTTGAGAGCCCCATCAGCCCTGGATTCACGCTGATTACCAGCATTTGGTATAAACCCTCCCAGCATGCAGCTAGGCATGGTCTTTGGTTTGCAGGGAATGCGATGGGCGCCATGACCGGGGCACTGGTGGCCTATGGCTGTGCCTATATTGGGTATGAGAAGATTGCCCGTTGGCAGGTGCGTCTTTATACTACTTTTCTCCCACTTATTCCAGGTTGTATGTCACCGACCATAGCTGACCAGATCTGCCTTTAGGTACTTTTCCTCATACTGGGTTGCCTGACCATCGTATGGGGCATATTCCTTATCTACTTCCTCCCGGATTCTCCACTGCAAGCAAGATTCCTTGCCCCCGCCAAGCGGGCTGAGGTGCACGAGCAGATCCAGTCTCGGCAAAAGACTGCCAAGACTGGTACCTGGTCGTGGCCGCAATCTGGGAGGCTTTACGGGACCCTAAGTCTTGGTTCCTTTTCGCGATTGAAAGCACTGGTTGCCTAATAAATGGAGTGATATCAAATGTAAGTTGGGTGAAGGTGGTATGTGTGAGGCTTAGTGAAGACCTTGTTCTCTGACTAGACCTTCTATTCACAGTTTACCTCCTTGATTCTCTCTAGCTTCGGATACAGCACAGAGAACACGCTGTTGCTCAATATGCCGATCTACTTCTTCATGATGGTTGTAATACTGGTCTCGGTCTGGCTAGCGCATAGGATACGTCGATCGCGAATTATCCTGTGCATAGCTGGAAATGTGATCGCGCTCATAGCCACAGCCGTCCTCATAAAGCTACCCGCCGACAGCAAGGGGGCCAGGTACGCCTGTCTGTTGTTATCATGTGCTTCGATGAACGGTTTCCCACTTTATCTCAGCCTTATTTCCAGCAATATTGGTGGTTTCACGAAACGGGCAACTGTCAACGCTATTTTCTTTGTGGGTTATTGTGCTGGCAATATCGCCGGTCCTCAACTGTATGTCAAGTCTGAGGCGCCAACATACAAGGTGAGTCACCCCTATTTCTCTGCTAGATGGGGTAAAGAAAGACTTTTGACGGAATGATTATTTAATAGACTGCCTTTACGGGAATGCTAGTTGTCTACTGTGTTGACGTGGTCCTCCTTATTCTGTTCCGTGTCTATCTTCAGCAGGCTAACGCCAAACGTGATCGAGAGCAAGGTGTCCATATCGAGCCCGAGCCTCGCGATGGCGATGTCGCCATAGAGGTGAGAGGAGTAGAAGACGAATCTACTCAGGGGACAGAACCCCTCGAATCAAACAGATGGGGAGAACAGGAGCTTCCGGTACTATCTCTGAGCATGTTATACATTCTTCACTTGCGCCACAAATGTGAAACATCTTAGCTTACAGCATTTGATTCCCTACCTAGGTACTTGGGAGTATCTTAGCCTAGTCAGAAGAAATCGTGGTCAGACTATAACGGACGTCAGCGCGTGTATTTCACTATAGCGACCCTGTTTACATGGTACAAGGCAATGCCGAATAAAGGTAAGGTGAACGTACCTAGGTAGATCGTCAATGTCAATGGCGCGCATTATATCTCTTCCCAACCGTTGCCCCAATAATTGCCCGGCTGGAAATCTCTCTGAGATTTTCATTTGATATTATAGGCCACACATATTCATAAACGCGAAGTCTAATTATTTAATTACTGGCGACAAGGTCGTGACTATCTCGCTGGAATAAAAGTAAAAGCGTACGAGACTAGAGAAAGTAATTGACTCATCTCCAACCTCCTGCTCCAAGTTAAGCAGTCACAGAAGAAAGAATCCCCTGGTTTATTTTATTTACCACCCACCGCTCCCACGGTCCGTTGCCCTGCAGCCAGCGCCTGATTCTCAGCATCGGGCCTTGTCTGTCCGTTGTTGATGCTTTTCCATTCCAGAGTAGCCGCACCCAGTATGGTCAGACAAGAAATAATCAACCCTACCTGGAACACCTCCCGCAGCGCTTCATTGTAAGAGTGGACAACAGTGTCGTGTAGATGCGTCGGCATTGCATTTATCAGCTCCGTGACACCACCGGAGGTGACAAGACCGGTGTTGAACCCCGGAAGCCCAGAAAGTCTCTTCACAAGCTGATTAGCTAGGATATTTTCTCCGACGGAGACAAAGACGGCTGCACCGATGAGCTGACCGAACAACATGAGTGCTAGCCCAGACGGCACATCGGGCTTCGGGAGGACGGTCTGCGCGGCGAGATTGGGGACTTGGAAACACAGACCAAGGCCGATTCCGTAGATGAACTGATAGCCAATCCATTTTGCCTCGCCGGTGTCCACCTGGAAGGTAGTGAGGAGACCGGCCCCGACGGACATGACGCAGGATCCGATAATCGCTAATGGGGTGTAATATCCGATCTTGGAGTTTGTGATTCCACCACCGATTGAGCCGACGACCATTGATATCATCATTGGTAGCAGGCGGATGCCGGATTCTACAGCGGAACTCCCCTTGATGGATTGGAACCAGATTGGGAGGAAGTACACTGCGGATGAGGTCAGTAACAGGCAGCAATGATGAACGGGCCTGTCTTGATACCAAATATATAGTTTCCGGATCCGACGCAGAGTGTCTGCCAGAAGCCTGAAATGATGCTGCGCTGCGAAAGTATGCGCACTGGAAGCGTCGCTGTCCTTGGAAGGAAGACCTGGACGGCGATAAAAGAAAGAAGTAACACGCCCATGAGAACTAGGCAAGCCACGACGCGGCCACTGTTCCACTTCATATCGTCAGTTGGGGTTGGTTGAAATAATGGTGCATATGGCATACAGCATACGTCTGACCTCCCCACTGGAGCGCCAATATGAGACAGACCACGCCAGACATCAAAAGTGCAGTGCCGAGGAAATCCAGTTGTAGAAGCTTCTCGGCCCAGGAGACCTTTGCTCTATCTTGGTCGGGGACCCTGAGGCAGACACCAATGAACATCATCGCAGCACCACCGATTGGCAGATTAACGTAGAAGCACCACCTCCATGTCCCATTCGATGCAAATGCGCCGCCAATCAAAGGGCCAACAACAGAAGCAATCCCGAAAAGGGCGCCGAATAGTCCCTGAATTTGTGGACGCTTCTGGAGAGGCACGGAATGGATGATGCACATTATCTGCGACCAGTCCGTCAGAAATTGGCACAAAGAGCAGAGGCCTGGAGTCAACACACAGTCCCAGCAAGGATACCAGCCGCACCGACTCCGCAGATTGCTCGTCCGATTATAAAGGCCACTGAATTCGGAGCCGCTCCACAAATAGCAGAGGCAACCTCAAACACTAGAATACTGGCAAGGAAGACGACCTTGACAGAAAACAGCTTATACAGCTTGCCAAACAATAGTTGAAATGCGCAGCATGTCAACAAGTAGGCGCTTCCGTACCAGCCAACGTCATCGAAAGAGTCGAATTCATCGGTGATTTTGGGTATGGCCTATCAATTCGTATACATTAGCTCTATTGGGCCGAACTTAATGTGTGATATTCATACCGTCGAGATAATAGTTCTGTCCAGCGCGACCAGGAACATGGCGACAAAAGCTGAGACGATCAGACAGACAACCCTAAGAGTTGACTGGGTCTCGTCCTGGCCAGGAGGAGCTGGAGGGCCTTCAGCTTTGGATGGATCTTCGCCTTTGACTTCTGCATCAGTACTCCTCGCACGATGTTTGTTCATCGACTCTGGAAGATTTATCCTGGCCGATTGGCTGCTGTCAGAGGTGGAAGAGTGTGGAGGCATGGTGAGGTATTCGTTTCACTGGCCAAGATGCGACCAACCAGTATTTTTCCAGACCATAATGAATAGTCCCGGAAATCTTCCATCTTTAAATAGGCACGAGGAAAGACATGGTCGGGGAGTTCGCACGTTGCAAGGGAAAATCAACACGATGGTCGGGGGTTAGAAAGTGCGAGGGTTAGCAAGTAGCGTGGGTTTCGGACTTCATAAAACCCGACTTTCCCTTCCCTGCTTCCCCAACCAACCCGGGCTTTGGGGTCCGGGCTCTATCAAAAACATTTCTGCTGTACCAGGATCAATAGTTCGGTGCCATGGCGACGCCAATCTCTCCATCCGAACAGACGGCCACCGCCAAGGCACGGCGCGTGCTGGCGTGCGTGCTGTGTCAGCAACGCAAGATCAAGTGCGATCGTACATTCCCCTGCGCCAACTGTATACGCGCCGGTGAGCAGTGCAAGCAAGCAATCCGCCAGCGACGTCGGAGGTTTCCTGAGCGGGAGCTGTTGGTACGCCTACGACACTATGAGAGCCTGCTTCGGAAGCATAACATCAAGTTCGATCCTCTCCACACGCCTGCTACAGACTATAAGTCTCCCAGTGAGGATGAGCGAGACGAAATCACAGACAGTGCTCAATTTCAACGTGCACTTTCTGATACGGATTCCCGCCTGTCAAAAGAAAAGGCAGCAGGAAAATCCAAATCTTCGTATGAGACTCTGCCCTGTTCCTTTTGTCAAAGCGCCCGGGCATAATTCCCAACGACTAATCATGTAGCAGGGATCTTTGGCATGCCATGAGTCAAAAGGTACGTAGGCCGTTTGAGTGTCCGCAGGACTCACTGACAATTGGGAAAGACAGAAGACCCCGAGGGCGGCGAGGGAAATGATGGCGAAGACGACGAAAATGACATCGGATTTCTGCGCGACAACGATCACATGCGCCAGGCCGTGATCAAGAAGGCATGGAACCATATGTTTCAAGGCAAAAGCAATGACCACCTTTTATTCGGTTCACCGGTAGGGGATGTCGACGACCTTTCTGCTTCGCATCCGACCCAGGTACAGATCTTCAGGCTCTGGCAGATCTACTTGGACAACGTCAATCCTCTTCTGAAGGTCACGCATACACCTACCCTTCAAACACGTATCATTGATGCTGTGGGCGATATCGCTAATGTCAATCCCACATTGGAAGCATTGATGTTCAGTATCTACTGTGTATCCATTCTGAGTCTCACAGAGGATCAATGCAGTGCCTTGTTCGGATTCCCAAAAAAGGATCTCTTGACAGGCTATCAGTCCGCATGCCAGCATTCCCTACGGAGTTGTGGTATTCTACGCTCCAGTGACCGGGAGTGTTTGACCGCATTGTATCTGTACCTAGTAGGTAGTTCGGACCGATTTATGCCCACTCACTGATCTTTGCAGGTGTCGATCAGACCCGATACGGACCCTGCCTCTCTCTCATCAATGCTCGGCGTTGCTATCCGAATAGCGCAGCGGATAGGTATCCACAACGAGTCAATGTACGGGAAATGTTCCGCTTTAGAGGCGGAGTTGCGTCGAAGGTTATGGTGGTCGCTCATAATCTTTGACAATCGCATCTGCGAAATGTCCGATTATAAGACCGCGTCGCTGGCTCCTACTTGGGACTGCCGGGTTCCTCTCAATGTGAGTGATTTTGAGCTTCAACCAGATATCAAAGCCCCACCCGCAGCAAACAATAGACCCACAGAGATGCTGTTCGCTGTTGTGCGCAGCGAGCTCGCCAACTTTGTCCGTCACAGCGCCTTTCACCTCGATTTCACCAATCCGTTTTTGAACACGATTGCTCCTCGATCCACCGCTATAGACGAGGCGGAGCGGCTTGTGGCGCTGGAGAAGACAATGGAGGATAACTACTTGGCAATGTGCAATCCCGAAAACCCACTACACTTCATGACGATCTGGACAACGCGGGGATACCTGGCCAAAAATCGTCTGTTGCAACACTACTCTAAATACTCGGCGGCCTCTGTGAAGCAGACAGATACACAGCGCACCGTCGGCATCTCTCACGCGCTGCGAATGCTGGAGTGCGACTCCAACCTCATGAAGTCGCCTATCATAAAAGGATACCTGTGGCTTGTTGACTTCCACTTCCCCTTCCCCGCATATATTCACCTCCTGCAGGATTTGAAGCAGAGGCCCGCGGAAGGGAACGCAGACCAGGCGTGGGAGGTGATGAGCAAGAACTACGAGGCCCGCATCATGAATGCAAAGGAAGATGACCGCCCCTTCTTTATTGTATTCTCTCGGATTGTTTTGCAGGCTTGGGAGTCGCGTGAACAGGTAGCCAGGCGACAGGAGATACCCCTGGTGCCGCCACTAATTGTGTCCGACATCCGAAAAAGGGTGACGAAGATGGTGTCGAATTTTGGACAGGATGCGCACACCGTGCAGCCTGGTGGTGCCTCTGGTGTCAATACCAATGTGGATAACCTATCAACGCCTATGCAGATGGATTTAAATGTATCCGGGATTGCGTATGGCGCTAGAGGAGAGGTGTCCACGAGCTCGGGACAATGGGTATATCCTGAGATGTCAGGGCCGAGCTCCATTGACGTGGATGCGAGTCAGTTTCCTTGGGACACGATGGACTGGAATATGTTGTATGCACGAATGGATTGAGAGTATTCGTAGGCAGCAGCAATGGTATCTCGGTAGTGATGCCTGTTGCGACGTCTATTTGAGGTAGGAAATGACATACGTACTTTTGCTGGGACTTTGTAGAAATGTTAAGGTGCGGGCATCCACCTCTGGTGCCTGGGGTTCTTAGAAATGCTGGCTTTCTGGAGATATTTCGGGGATTGAGAAGGACTATGCTGATGAGTGTATTCCGTTTTGGAATAGCCTGAGCTAACTGTATTATTATCACGGATAGCAGCAGCATTTAGGCTGCATGGATATAACTCTACGACTCTGGCTGTATCTCAAGACGAATCTCAAGATGGACTCCAGTCGAAACCCCACTAGATTGTAATAGAATACATCGTGGATTATCTACCTACCTACCTAGCAAAACCTGCCCAAAGTCATTTTCCAATGTTTACAACAGCTTCAATTTTTCTTGATCGTTTGTCAACGCCTTACCAACGCCCCCTCCAACTTGCATTCTTCATCACTTCACGTCTTCGCCTCTTCATCACCTTCGCTTCATCCATTCTATCTGACTGACCCACATCTTCGCTATTACATGTTCTCGTGATTTCATGGATATTTGATACCAATTCTTTTTTTTAACTCAAAATGCTGGCCCCGCAGATCGCGAACTTGATCCAGTTCTTCTATCCTATCGGCAACACACCTGCTGTCTGCTTGACTCAAGATCTGCCACAAAAGAAGAACGCTGATCTACTGCTTCTCGGCTGCGGGGATGTTCGCCATATCCTCTTCACCATACACACGGAGCAACAAGCTCGCGACCCACGTCTTTTAGACGCTACATGCTGCGATGTAGACACCGCTGTGATTGGTATGACCGCTGATTCCAATTCCAGGCTCTAGGGGCTAATCCGAAAAAAACCCCACAGCTCGCAACATTGTGTTGCTGTCACTGATTCTGGATGATGTTGATGGCGCGAACGACCAATTCATTTGGAATCTTTTCTATCATTTCCGCATCGATGACAGTTCCCTTAACTTATTGCAAACCCAAACAACCAAACTGTTGTCTCACTCAACCTCGCTGCCAACCTGGCAACAGAGCCAGTATGGCCGCGTCATCAGAATCTCCGATTATATCTCTCTTGAACGGGTACGGGACATGTGGCGCTTCTATGGAGAAAAGAGAGACGGGGATGTGCTTAGCTGCTTTAAGAAGAAGGTCGATGATGGAATGAGAATGTCTCAACGGTTCCGAAAGTTGGTGGTTGGTGACAAGATGACTGTGGGAACGGGAATCCGAGCCGCTGCCCCTGCGTGCATGCAAGCTATCCTCGATCTCCCTACCTTGTACAAGAACTATTGGGCTTTTGGTACCACTGAGACTGATGAAGCAGCTCGTTCCCTCGCGGTTAATTCCAATCCCATGTTTGTGCCCAAGGATGGAAACATGTTCTTGCATTATGGGACCGACCCGGTGCTTGGTTTCCACATCAGTTCTTGCTATGCTCCTATTGAGCCAACATCGCCTCACTCGGGCTCTTCTTCCAAAAGACCTGAGCTGCATGAAATTGTCAAGTGCGCCAGGGCAGAGTTCGGCACCTGGACGAAGTCATTCAGGGCGCATTCCATGGCTGACTTGATAACACTACGGTTCTTTGTTGGAGATGCGGTGGCCTTTGTATACGCCCTCCAACAGTTGCGTATCACCGGTCCCTCAAAGTCGCCTCATTGCTACCGCGATCGTTATCATTTCGAGCCGCTGGTCTTGGATGACGAACACTACTCGGACGCCTCAGCACCACTCGTGTTCGATATTATTGACACATCTAACCTTATCGATCATTTCGGGGCTTTGAATCTGCTTGTCGCCACGTCGCCGCTTCTTCGCAACAGCTTTTCAGCCACTGTTTATTCGGAAAAGCTTGTGCGGACCCAGGAAACTCAGATATCCCTTCTTGAAACACTTCTGTGTGGAGACGTGACTACGGTTACCTCGCTTCTCGGCCTGGTGCCCGTGGAGGTCGCGACAAACACCGCATTCTCTTCTGCAGGTGATGAAGCACTATGTCTAAACTCGTCAGGACCCTCATCGAGGGCTGGACAAGTGTTTGCGAGAATTGCATGGAAGAGACCATTGAATCCGGCTGACGCAGGTGTCAACACACTAGGCCTTATTCACTTTGACTCCGCCGGCCTAGCACAGGTGCTCTACCGTGTTTTCTTGAGAATGTTCGCCGATGAGGATGTCTCAAAGTTGCTTGCCAGAATGCAAAGCGCACAAATACCATCTCTACCAACTTACAACCGGGCGAGCTTTGTCGCTTTTCTTTGCCTTGTCAAGACAAGGACCGGCACCGACTGGAATAATACAATGGAAGAATTGCTTAAGCTCGTGTATCAAGACACCAGTCTTGCATTTGCCAGTACCTACATTCAAGAGCTGAATCTGTGGATGCATTTGAAGGGGCTTTACTCCGTTGATATTTTGAAAGGCTCACCCAACAGCCTGGCTGGCCCTCCTAAATCTGGGACCTTGCAGGGCTGGCAGAACATGCCACCTATGGTCAGTGTCACCCTTCGGATTCCTCGAAACAAATTAGACGCATTTATCGCCCAAGCCATCAAGGTCGGTTTTACACCCCCGCTCCATGCTATCCTGCAATCCTCACCACGAGCAGCCAATCAGTGGAAAAATATGTTTGCGGAAACGCAGATTGGATTTGGTAACCTCAAAGCCAAAGGATCCAGATACAGCGACTCGTTTGAAGTGGAAATTGATGAAGACCAATTGGGATGGAAGGGAAAGTCGCCAATGTTTCTTTCTTTCTATGTGCCAAGTTGGATTCTGCTTCAAGAGCCACGTACCGCCACTGTCTCGTTGGCTATTCCGCACTCCCCTACAACAACCGTGGTATTTGCCAGTAGCTTGGGACACAACCTGAGCATCTTCACTGCGAAACAGGAGGAGGTTGAACATGTCTACATTACCAAGAACCAGCCACATCAGAGTGATGTTATGTCCATACATGCCTTTGGTTCGGGGGATGTCAAGAACGAAGTCCCTCCCGACGGAAACTCGGAAACAACCATCACTGCCACCGTCAATGAAAAAAGCGGCCAAATTTCGTCATTCACAGCCCGTGTCCAAATTCTATCTGAGCAATCAAAAGCTCTACTTCGAGATTGCTGCGAGATCAAGCGATCCTTACGATCACCGTTCAACTATGTCTTGTCTCTTGGAAAGGGACCAAGCTTCAAAGCCAATTTCCCTGCTCCTGTGTTGGACTCTACTGCCAGAGTGAGAATTGCTCGCAAGTCATCTTACCTTGAGCTCGTCGCAGACGTTGCAAAGTCTACCGACTGGTCAGCTTTGCACTCCTTCATGTATCCTGTATTCATGGATTCGGGATCGCCCGCTATGTGGAATATGCCGCACGTCAATCTCTCATCACTTCTCACCATAGGCCTAACCAATCCTTCCTGTGCACGTCTAGGATGGCTACGAATGCATCTTCCAACCATGTGGTCCGCACAAGAATATGCCCTGAAGTTTAACCCTTCATTGCCAGCTTCACCAAGTGCCCGGGCGAGAGTGGACTTCAAGGACGGTTTATTCCACATAATTCTAGGGTTCAGTGGAACAGAAGGTCCCCAGGCCTCTGTCTACGGTATCGACTGCCCCGAAGAGAAGGGCGTGCATATGCTGGTTTTCATATCCAAGATGTTACTCGATACGTCAAATCGCACCGTTGTTCTTGACGCCGCAGTTCTCTCTTTGTATACTAATCTCATGCCGCAAATCATCCCTGCTCTGCGAGCGATGGCGAACAGCAACCATGCTCCCAAATCCATCCGCACCTCCAAAGATGAGCTTTACCTATGGAAGGAAGCCCTGCCTGCCTGGACCGAGCGATGCCGATCCTGGTCTCACAAGCCCAATTGTGAGTACGCCGCGACGGGAAAGATTCCACTGTCGATCAAATTTGGGGAAAGAGTTCTGTGTTCGTGCGGCAACGGCAAGTTACCAACTGGCTTTATGCCCGAGTTTGCTGGCTGGAAAGATCTTGCAAAACACTCTGTGAGGATGGCCATTTCCCCAGCTTTTGCGTCAGCACTTGTCGACAAGCCCATTGATTTATCAGTACTTCAGTCGGCTAGCGATTCGATTGGTCAAGATTTGAACAGCTGCCAGGGCTGTGGTAAGGCCAAGGAACCCAATGGTTCGGGCTTGAGGGCTTGCTCGCGTTGTCATAAAGCAAAGTACTGTTCAAGAGACTGTCAGAAGGCCGATTGGAAGAAACATAAGAAGGTCTGCAAAGCGGATGGAAACTGAGTCGGAAGTAATACTATCTCAAACAATGGAATGACGACACCATCTCACTTATTCTTTGCGTACAGTAGATATGTAAAATGGATTCTCTAGCTGACTTTGTGAATTACCGGGAAAGAAAAAGACAACCCTATATAATCTTAGCGCCGTACCTGTGGATGCTCTCCCGAGGTCTGTTGTTGATGTTGATAAGGGGATCCTTATCACCTTATCGATAAGGCAAAAATTTCGGATTTGAGCTTCGTCCCGGTTTAACATTCTTTGCGATACACCTCAAAATGCCCGAAAAGGTGCGTACCGTGTTCGCAGACTCGGACGATGAGAAGATCGTAAAGCACAAGCTCTCGCCCCCACCGACAGAAGAGCCCGAGCGAAAGAAGAAGAGAAACAAGAAGCGCAAGCTCGATTCCACAACCTCCATACCCGCCGATCAAGATGAACCGAGGGAAATCGCTGCACCTGCCAAGCAGGTAGAAACAGCAGCATCCGTGCCGAAAAATCTGCCAGCGAAAGCATCTCAAACGAACGGGCCACCAGCAGCGAAACCGTACACGAAATCGAAGTCGAAACCTCTCACCGATACCAAGACCAACTTCATACCCTTACGAGAAAAGGCCAAAGCCCTGCTCGAGACGCGCCGAAAGCTTCCCGTATTCGAAAATGCCGATTTGATCCGCGATCTACTACGGGAACAAGATGTGATGCTTTTGGTCGGTGAGACGGGTAGCGGAAAGAGTACGCAGATCCCGCAGTTCCTAGTAGACGAATTCTGGTGTCGGCCCGTACCTACGCAAATTACACGGGACGGAAAGACAGAAAAGAAAGTGGTCGGAGGATGCATTGCTATCACACAGCCCAGACGAGTCGCTGCTATTTCGCTGGCACGCCGTGTAGCTGAGGAGATGGGAACACCGCTTGGATCGCATTCGCCTGCCAGCAAGGTTGGCTACTCCGTGCGTTTTGATACGTCAACGTCACCTAGTACGCGGGTTAAGTTCTTGACTGAGGGAATGCTGCTCCAGGAGATGTTGCACGACCCGAACTTGACTAAGTACAGCGCCATTGTTGTCGATGAGGTCCACGAACGAGGAATTAATGTGGATCTCACACTCGGATTCCTGCGTAATCTTGTATCTGGAAAGAAAGAGGGCCGGGGTGGTGTGCCGCTTAAGGTGGTTGTCATGAGTGCAACGGCCGATATGGAGAGTCTTACGGACTTCTTCAAACAGGGATTCAAACAAACGGAGCCAGCACAGAAGGCTATCCAAGCAGCCGAGGATGAAGCCGATAAAATGGATACTTCAACCCCGAAGGATATCTCGGTCTGCCACATTAAGGGTCGACAATTCCCTGTCAAAACTATCTACTCGCCCGCGCCAGTACATGATTTCGTGGATGCAGCGCTCAAAGTCATCTTTCAGATTCACCAGAAGGAACCGATGCCGGGTGATATCCTCGTCTTCCTTACTGGCCAGGAAACTGTCGAGGCCTTGGAACACCTGGTGAATGAGTATGCCATGGGCATGGACCCGTCGCTTCCCAAAATTCTTGTTCTACCTCTGTTCGCTGCGCTACCGCAGGCTGCCCAGCAACGGGTCTTCGCGCCTGCCCCGCCACGAACGCGCAAGATCGTTCTATCGACTAATATTGCTGAGACGTCCGTGACTGTGTCTGGTGTACGACACGTTGTTGACTGCGGTAAGGCCAAGGTCAAGCAGTTCCGCACTCGCCTCGGTCTTGACTCGCTCCTGGTGAAGCCTATCTCGAAGTCAGCCGCCATCCAGCGAAAAGGTCGAGCTGGTCGTGAGGCCCCTGGACAATGTTTCCGGCTATATACGGAGAAGGACTATCTGGCCTTGGATGAGACAAACACACCCGAGATTCTGCGTTGTGATCTGAGCCAAGCCCTGCTGAACATGAAGGCGCGTGGCGTTGATGACATTGTTGGATTCCCGTTCTTGACACGCCCACCACGCGAAGCGCTTGAGAAAGCTCTTCTGCAGCTATTGAACATTAATGCGCTTGAGGATGATGGCAAAATCAGCCCGGTCGGCCTACACATTGCCAAGCTGCCCTTGACTCCAACTCTAGGACGTGTCCTGCTGGCGGCTGCCGAGCACGGGTCTGAATGCTTGCTCGACGTCATTGATATTATCTCTTGTCTGAGTGTAGAGAACATTTTCCTGAATACCACCTCAGAAGAGAAGAAGGAAGCAGCAGAGGCAGCCCGCCGCGATTTATACCGGCGCGAGGGTGATCACCTCACAATGCTGACGACTGTACGCGTGTATGCTGCTGAACAAGCGGACCGTAAGGCATGGGCAGAGCGACACCTGGTATCACACCGAGCGATGCAATCAGTGATGGTGAGTAGTACATACCTCGTGGACGCTAGTAACATAAAACTAACCAAAACACACCAGGACGTCCGCAAACAACTCCGCACCCAATGCCGACAAGCCAAGTTGCTCACTAACGAAGCTTTGAACAATACCTCATTACACGACCCCTCGCCCATTCTGATCTTGCAGAGTTTCCTGGCCGGTTTCGCGACCAACACGGCTCGCCTTGTGCCGGATGGCAGCTACCGCACGATCGTTGGAAATCAAACCGTCGCCATTCACCCATCGAGTGTGCTTTACGGCAAGAAGCTCGAGGCGATAATGTACAACGAATTCGTGTTCACCAACCGCAGTTACGCGCGTGGCGTCAGTGCTGTGCAGATGGATTGGGTTGGAGAGGCTTTGGCCGGGAAGGATTGATCGTCGACTCGAGATGCTATATTATAGTAGACTAATATATACCCCATGAAGGATGATACCAGTTAGGTTGGCATCTTTCACTCCTTTAACTGTCTCCATCTGTCTCTCTCTCTTGCTGCGGTAAATATGCACAAGCATCTACCGACACGCCGAGTGTCAGGTACTTGGGCCAAACGTCATCGGCGACGGGAAGGAGGACACCTAGTCAGGGCACCGAGAGACACATCGTTGGCTAGGATTGAGGACATACTACATTAAACGGATTAACTGCATCATCCTATTGTCGCCTCTAGTTGCGTCAAATTTACGTTATAGTCGATCTGCAGATCTGCAACTTCGCAACTCTACAACCAAGCTGGAAATTACTCTACTCGAGCATCAGACATTGCAAAAAGACAATAACGCACCCATTCCACTTCAGTAGACGCAGTAATCGAACAGGATCGCCGGATGAGACTATAGGTAGGAATCAGACAATCCTCACAGCTCCCAGCTCCCTATTTGGAAGGTCGACCCTCGCGCTTCTTTCGAATCGATCAACAGTGTGGTATTGATGCTTCATTTGTTAATTTTCGACATTACACGGACTTTTCTCTAGGGGTCGTCGACGGTCATTCCACTGAGTATGCCATGTGTTGCTGGTCTGTCGCAACCTGTACAGGGCAGGTCCCATGAGGGGTATTAGCTAGCGTACAAGCGGAAACACGCCATCACAGTGGCCTTGTTGGCCATAGCATGGTTGCAAGACTGATATCAGAGTACGGTGTTGTAGCATTTCTCCAAAAGAACGATATTGTTGACAGTAAAATGTGACTGATGGCAAGTTCACACGTCACCGTGTCGATCCCGGTGACCGTCTGTCAGGTGATGAGATTCCCAGATGGGATTCAGGCATATCCACACAGGCACTAGTAGGATGTTGAACCACGTATTTGCCCCTCGAAACAGGCTAAAAGAGGGAAAAGAGCAACGGATAAACTACTTGAAAGGTGGTCTCACCATTTCCCACCACTTCTCACCATTCCGATACCGGTTGCATCATTGGAGGATCATTGGACGATCTCCCTTTCGGGCATCGCTTATCAGCTAATCTCTCACATCATCTCCAGGGCACTCTTCCAAGGTTGTCACTCTTGTCTTTCTTTGATTCTTGGACTTGAACTCTTTATACTCCTTTATTTTTCCTTGCTTACATCTTCCTTATATGCTCTAATGCATTTATTCCCCACTTGAACGCCCTGGACTCCCCTGTCATCTCCTGAACCTCGATCAAACCCTCTTATCGTACTATCTGTTTTAGCTACAACCAGATCAGCGAGATGGCTTTCCAGGTCCCAACACAAGTCCCCCGCCGCACAACCTCCTATTCAACCCCTCAGGCACCTACCCTCGATATCCCTTCCTCCTTGCCAGAACAGCGTGATGACGACACCACACAATGGGTCCTATTCTCCCCGACCGCTCGGACACACACGACTTCAACCGACCGTACGCGTACTGTAGGTGCTTCTCGACTCAGTGACTTCGGCTCCTTCGCTGCAACCCAGTCTGCATCTGGCGTTGAGGGCGAGGCAGACGACGAGAATGCCCTCGACGACCAACTGGACGAAGATGGAACCGAACTGGACAGCTTAGACGATGGACTGCACGCCTTTCGAGCACCAGAGCTGGCTCCGAGTTCCCCAATACGGTTTGATCAGGGGCCGCCCGCGATGCTCCCGGCCCATGACGGATTAGGCAGTTTCCAGGCCTCGAGTCAGGCAGTACAAGATCAACTATGGCGCCATGAGCAATACAACCGCCAACGGCCCTCGTATGGCCATCTCCATCACCGACGTAACTCAAGTGTGCAGAGGCATCTAGATACAGTCGAGGAGGGCGAGGCAAATGTCGAAAGAGAACGGTGGCAGCGAATCGAAGAATGGCGCATGGACCAGAGCCGGGCTCTGTTGGAGGAGATCGAACGTGAAACCCGACAGAGGCGGACTAGTCTGACCAGCCGATCGAGTTTCCATCGTTCCGGTGATCACAGTTCACAAGGTCGTGCATCTGAGGGGCTCTCACGGGATATATCACTGTCGAAAGACGTATCGGAGGATGAAGAGTCTTTCTGGCGCCGTATCACACGAACAGTGATCCGTGACCTGATCGGGATTGATGATTCCTTGCTTTCCGTGATCTTTGGTGAGTCGTTGCCGCTGGACGCGCAGCCTCAGACCCAAGAAGATCCACTAGACATGGAAACGGTACTGGCTCGTGAGCCAGAGCCGGAGTATAGCGATGCGCCGCTGTGGCGCACAAAGATGCTTCAGACGATCGCTCATGAGCTAGGGGTCCTTGTCCATCAACTTTGTGAACACCCCGGAGCATTTACAACATATTATCAAATGACTAAAGATATATCCGCCGAATATGCGGGGATGTCTCTCAACCGCCTAGCGGAAAGCGGAATCTCTCAGAAACCTGCCGAGTCCAGCACATCCACGATCGCGGATACAACTGGCGAGTCCATGCTATCCCCGCACTTCATGCCCACACTTCGAGACTCAAATCGAGAGCACGAAGCACAATGGGGCATTGAAGATGACGATCCAAAGCGATCTGACGAAATATCGGAATCAGCAAAACTCAAACATGAAGCCGAGTACTGGGAACGCGGACTCGATGTAATGATGGTCTTCCGCTATCTCCGCAACCGCTTCGGCCGCCGAGGTTACATGCCCAACGAAACCCACACACCAACCCCACCCCGCCGACCGCAAGATGCATCCCGGCGAGCAGCCATTATCCGGCAACACCACCCACTCGTAGCGCGAGCCCATTCCAGATCACAAACCCAGACCCGTCGCGCATCACAATTCTCCGGTGTATCGAACGCAGCGGGTGTCTCCTCACCACTCCTACGACCGCATCCCCGGCGACCTGGCTCCAGTTGCGCCAGCCAGAGTGCCAAGCTATCAGCTATCTCCAGTCGGCGGACGATGACAAGCTCTAGCCGGAACTACTGGGACATTGGCGGTAGCGAAAGCAATAGCGCCATTGGTGTTGGAGCTGGACTCGGCACTTGGGGTGAGGTGTGAGTGCATGGTGCATCCGCCGGAATGGCTAGATGGCAATATTATTTCGGGGTATCGCTGGCTATATTCGGGAGCGAACTGTTTCATGATCATTTAACGAGCAATTTCTGGTTTCATCGGCCTTTTGATTATACCTGTGGATTATGGTGTTGGGATTTCTTATTCTCGGTCTCTTCTCTTCATATATTGGAACTCCAACATACAACATACAATCTTGTCATCAACCTATATTTTAAATTAGAATGTCCCTTGACATTTCAGCAGATTGCTTATCTCGCTCTTATATTTGCCTTCCTTGAGGAAGTATTTCTCGGAGTCGACATCGTTGGAATCGATGCTAAGGATAAGCAGCAATGTGAGAAGTGCACCAAAGTCTTCAGGGTCATCCTCCAAGTTTGGCAGTAATGGCACATTTTCAAGGGCCGTATTTAGTCCCCGATGATTTTGAAGTCGCTTTCCAACGCGGATTCGGGCACGTTCTTCTCCAGGCTGAGAATATCGCCTCATAAGGTGTCTTGGTATGGCGGCCAGCCGGACACACTGCCCGGAGGGCTTGCTCGTATCAATACGTGTAAGGATTCTATCGACTATTCCAATGTTGAAGTCTAGTATCTGTTGGCCATGGCCATAGATCAGGTTTGCCCGCGCTCGTTTGTCGTAAGCTGCTCGCAGCTGCTGGACTTGTTCAGGTATCGGATCTTTGGGTGGTTTGTTCATGGTTGCTATTGGACCTTTTTGTGGGATTTGGGTTTGTGTATGAGAAAACACCAACATCTTGTTGGGGTCCTCACGTGTAGACATGGGTTGTCCGTGGACTTGTGAGCGGAGAGATAAGGCGATGTTGGGAAGACTGGCTTAATGGCAACCACAAATAGCAAAGAGATACCATCCCAGAACAACAAAGCACCTTCACGGACTCGAAGAGTGCTCAATCCCTGCCGTAATCCGTCTCTCGACAAGGTTCTTATACTTGCGATTCTCTACATAGGTTTAAACCAATTGGGAATAGTTATGAGTCGTATCTTTTAGAACGAGTACTTTATTCAAGATACTGAAGTTCAGAGACAAGCAAGATCTGGGTCCCTACCAGTAATGTAAAGTAACCATGCGACAACTTCCGCAGCTTCCTGCATTGATACAGAGGGCTCGTGGACTCTTCTGAAAGACCGTTTGGCCTCAACAAGGATGGGGAGGGAGCCATCTTTCCGTGTATAGTAGCCATCCACTTTCGCATTGAAGGGGACCGTAGGCTTGAATTCCGCTTCGAAAAACCGTTGATGTCGGGTCCATTGGCCCTTGATTAGCAGGTATTTCGTGTAACACATTGGACGTCGCAAACAATTTCATAAAGGATGTCCTCAAACCCCTGCCAGGCACAGCTTCCTGCAGCTGGTCGACCCTGGCCTCGCGTATTTCTTTTTTTTTTTGTGTTGCTCTTGGGCTTGAATCCTTTCTAGGATCGGCTTGGCTTCCTCCGGCTTCTTCCATTCACCATCTCGCCCCTCGAAACTCCCAATTGAGTGCTTCAGTTCGACTTCTGGCCTTTCTAGGCTGATGGGCTGCAGTGCGAAGGACGATCGGAAGAGCGAGGAAACCATTAGCGATAAATATGTTGCCGATACGTCGTATCCTGCTTCGAATTCGTCTTTCGAAACCCGTTCCCCTGTGATGATGTTCAGATAGGGCCCATGACACCAGCAGATCCCGAGGATCTAGAAGGTAGTACGGCTTTCCCTCTAGAGAAGCTCATCGATGGCTGACCAGTGGACGTTCGCTTCTAGCGGGTTGGTAGCGGTGGCTGGGGGGCGGTTGGCACCAGGAGGCTACTTAGCTGGGCTATCTGCTGGAAAGCCCACTCCTTCTTCCATTGTACCGCGAGGTACTCCAGTTGGAAGTCGGAACAGGCGTGAATCTCGACCAATCGTAGCTGTCGAAGTCCACGTTGAAGGTTGTGTCAGAGGCCGGGCGGAGCCTTCTCGGTGAGGCAGTGACCTCGCCCAGGTGCCATCCGGTGTGCTTCATTTTCGCATGAGCTTCTTGGTCAGAAGCCACATGTATTTGTGTAAGTGTGAGCCGACCAAGGCGTAGTAGTCTGCGTAGACAGGTATGAACGGAATGCCATGAGCCCATATGACGACAGGGTCGCCCTGTGGCCATCGGTCCGGGTTCAAGTCGCCGTCCGAGTTGAAGTCGGCGGGCCACTTTCCATGGCGGTTTCTTGCGACAACAAGGTTTTGGCCGACGATGAGGAAAACTAGAGCGTCCGACAAGCGATGGCCGGCGGGAGGGGTCACAAGCCAGCCGTCGTCATCGAGCTCTATTTCATTGTAGTATGGAAGGTTATGTTTGTCGGAGTATGCAGTCGGTGACGAAGCAAATGAAAGCAGGCAGTAATCTAGGGCCCTATTCCAGAGAGGGGTTGCTGTGAGACACCAGGTCAACTGCTGGTTAAGGAGGGCGACAGACTGGTGCTGCTGCGAGGATATGGTTTTCAGGCGGTCGTTGCTCCGAGAGCTCTTCAATTTCATGAATTGCCCCCTCGGTGCCGAGGAGGCTGGGGGTTATCGCACTTCCCGAGCTAGCTTCGTCGTGTGACTGATCGCTATCTCGAAGGGGGTTGCGTGGCAGGCCTATTGCTTCCGGCTCGTCGGAGGTTAATGACTCAAACGAGTCATTGGACGCAGAGAAGTATTTACCGACGACGACGTCGGTAGCGGTGAGATCGATCGCCATTCGGTCAATCTCCTTACGGGCGGGATGGCAGGTACGCTTCACGCCCTATTCGTGAATCTCGGATGAGGTACGCGAGGCTAGGTGTTATAGGACTACATAAAAAATGGTACGCACCGAGGAGAGATGGTGCTCTGGCAGTGGACCAGGAACGATGGAACCTGACTGAGAGACGCGAGCATAAGAGGCTTCCGCTCGGAACCGCCGCTGCGGGATTTCGCACCGTAGAATAGCCGAACGGCCAGGACATCGCCAATGGGCCTCTCAATCTCCAAGAGCCATGTGTCGATCAGTACCGAGAGCATCAGGATAAACGTGGGGCAGTATGGAGCCCGAGATTGGCGTGTGGATCAGGGTGAGGGCTGTCAGTGTCTTCCCAAGATCGCACGCATCAGCAAGGATACCGCCATGGAGTGGCCTAGCCTCCCGTTGCAGCATCCAGGACTCATCGGTAACCTGCCACGGTTTGAGGGTCGTGGAAGAGGCAGGGTATCAACGAGCAGGGGCCGAAACACGCTGTGCATAGGAATTTGCGGCAAGACGAGTATGCAGTGCTATCTAGGTAAGGCCGTATAGTGAGTAAAATTCAACATGACGGGGGAAAGGGGAAAGCCTTATTTAACGGTGGATTTCATTTTCACGCCAATGGAAAATTTCTTGTGTTCGCCTTGCCTTTTAGGATCCATTGTGCCTGCCTATTCATCGCCTCTGCATGCTGCGTGTCGTGAGAAATGCTGTTCTTCTCGCTGCAAAAGCCGTGTCGTGGCTTTGACGGACGGTCCGACCAAGCTGGCTTCGGCATGATGATGCGATGGGAAATTGCCGTATTGTTTCCCATGATAGGAATTCCCGCGCGTATCACCACAAAGTCGAGTGGGAGGATGCTGAGGAACATCTGAATGAGCCAGTGTAAGAGGCCAATGGCAAAAGGTCAGGAACTGCGATTGGGAGCTAGTAGGGTGGGATACGGCCTTGCTGGACAAGGATATGTAGGAGATATCGTAGACGGGGGTTCTGATGAGCGACACACCGGGTCATGCCGACGTGATCACGTAGGTATGGGAGGTTGACGAGCCATGAGATAGCCCAAATCCACCGTCATCGCCGCGCTCGGTAAAATGGGATACTTCAATCGAGAGGACACATATATATATGGGGAGCGTCGAAGGAACCGGCCCAGCTCAGTTGACAGAGCCAGGTGGCATATCATACCCAACGTGGCCCAGTTCATAGTTTTGCGGCTGGGCCAGCGCTCGGGCGGTAGAGTGTTTCGAGCAGAGAGTTAACGCAGCTCCATAAACTGATATTTATACCTCTGGGTAAACCGCTTTGATTATGTACCCTAAGACAGCCTCCAGGGCTTGAAACTAGAATCAAGTCTCTCTAGTTCAGAGAATGTGTTCAGTCAACATTTCCTAGTTTGTCTACCCGCATTTAAGGAAAGAATTACTATGTTGCTCTCACTTTACTCTCATCCTCGCCTCACTCTCTCCAATCTCATTTCGTTGCCGTAATTTCAATCAGTCTGGCGATTATTACAAGTAATAAGCTTTATTTCTTATCACGTCAAGCGCCATTTCTTCTGCACTTGACCCTGTCGTCACTTCGCAATTTCGTTTCCGCTGAGCCCGTCAGCCCCGCCATACCTGACTGCTTACCGACACCTACCTCCAATATGCCGAGACCACGTCGACCCACTTCCACACGGAAGTCAAAGCCACGATACGGCATGTGCGCGGACGAAGAGGCCCCCAATACCGCAAGACATCTGAATGTCATGAACAGAAATGCCCAGATGGAACTGGCGGAATACAATAGCAAGCATGATCTTCCCTACTACGACAAGCTTGAGTTTGACGACAACGGATGGCTTGTCACACCACCTACGGAGCATCGTCTATCTGACGCCCTTGTGTTTCTTATAATCGGGCAGAACTTGATCGTTACGAGGAACCGCCACGGAAAGTGGCCATCAGATTTCAACTCCGACGGAGATCTCTACCTAGATCGCTGGCCATAAGGGGACCCTATCATCATATAGGCCTATGGCATCCCCTTCATCCTAGTCTTCTCTGATTACTACGCATTGGTGGACTCACACCGTCGCAAGTACCTCTGGCTCGTATCGAAGAAGGTCAGTCATGCCAAGATTGCCCACCCCGGATGGCACATAGGCGAGATCGTCGTCTCCCCAAAGAAGCTCCGCCCACCGTCGGACACCACATTTAGCGTCGACTTCGAGACGTATGATTGGTCAAAGTTCACTCCCGTACCGACACTAAACTGCGCGACCAAACGCCTACTCCTAGCCTTCCAAGGCTCAAGCCTTCTTTGACAGACCTCCTACTCTTGATGTTGTAGTACACACATTGGTCTCGGCATCGTCCAAGTCTTCAAGTTGTCCATGATCTATGATAAGGAGAGGACGGAAAAGGAGTGACTGGACGTGAGAGATATTACGAGCTTAGTTCTGACCGAGGTAGGAAATTCTGTGTGGGCTTTATATATTGTTGTGCCTTCTTGATATATTCTTCGTGTATGTCTCCATATTCTTGTTACAACTCATTATTGTAGCCATTTCATATTTCTGATTACTCCAAGCAACGTACTACTATTCCGGGCAAATTCTAGAAACACGATTGATTAGGGACATCTATTGGCAACCGTGCCAAGCACCCAACACACCAGGTATTGGTGCGCCCCGGCGACCACTAGATGTTCACCAAGCACTATATCTAAAAATTAGGTATTCTTTTGTGTGGCTTGCCAATACAAAAGATATTTAGGCATCAATTATGCACGTTTACATCTATATAAATGTACGTAGGCAGTAGCTTTTATTAAACACCTGCGCCACAACCAGGAGTGAGTCCATTACGGTCTAGGACTGTGATCCACCTCAATATTTCCGAGTTCACATACAATATGAATTTTCCAAGAAAAAGCCCCTCTCAGGATATTATCCACCTAAAACATCAGACCCTGCCAAGATCAAGCTATGTAGTGTGAAGTTTGGATACGCGTATAGACCAGACCCACCTGCCCAGGTGGCTGCCACTAGTGGCTGTATCCGGCTGATCGTCGGAACTAGAGGTCTTGATTACATTGTCCTGGCACAATAATTACGTGCAATATACTATGTACAGACTTATGGTGTATAGTTCAAGCTGCCAAAAAAGCTCTAACGGTTTTGCTTCCCATATGTACCGTTAAGAAGATTCCAAATCTTCACTTCTGATACGGGGACTGCATACCAAAGTATCTTTCAATACATATACGATACACGGCTTTTACAACGTACTCGTATTCCGACTTTAACCATAAATAGGTCGGGGGGGGGCCTAAGGCTGGATCTTGGTATATATAAGGTTTTTTTCGAAATGACCTGGCCATCGAATAGCTAATGGCAACCTTGGAAGTTTTCTCTTGCGTTTAAAGCTCCTGGCTCATGTTGTCCCTCCCAACGGTATCTGTTCACCTGTAACTTTTGCTTTCCCGATTTTCTCTTTCTCTTTCTCCTTTGCTTGATATATATTGTTTGACCGATGGAACACCACCAAACGTACTCAAAGAAGGCCAACACGGCCCCTTACGACCAGCCTCACGACCAATCCCCACCACCGTACGAGGCTGTTCCGCAAGATTTGACCGAAGCTCAAGGGATCTCTGTGGATAGTACGTACTCTACAAGGTTATAGTTCGGTAAAGCAAATCTGACCTAGTAGATGACGGCCGTGTTGTTGTTGATGCTAGTTCTCGGCTCTGCAGATCTCTTTCTAAGCTATTGCCCCATGTTATCCCCCAGACCTTACCACCACCAGACTGCTCAGGAAGGGTACCAACGTTCAAGTTTCCTCTGAATATTGTCATTCAAATCGTCGGCAGCAGAGGAGACGTCCAGCCATTTGTTGCACTTGGGACGGAGCTACAAAAAACAGGCCATCGCGTGCGTATCGCAACACATAATGTCTTCGAGCAGTTCATCCTCGAAGCCGGGTTAGAATTTTACCCTATCGGCGGCGATCCGGCCGATCTGATGTCATACATGGTCAAGAATCCTGGGTTGATCCCCAGCCTAGACAGTGTTCGTGAAGGAGATATTCAAAAGAAGCGCTTGATGATGGCAGAGATCCTTCATGGTTGCTGGCAATCTTGTCTGATGCCGGATCCTATCACCAATGCCCCCTTTGTGGCCAATGCCATCATTGCCAATCCTCCGAGTTTCGCGCATGTTCATTGCGCCCAAGCCCTGGGGATCCCACTTCACTTGATGTTCACAATGCCGTGGAGTCCAACAAAGGCATTTTCGCACCCGTTAGCCAATTTGAAAAACATACCGGCTGATCAAGGGTGGCTTAATCACGTCTCTTATAGCGTCGTGGACTGGCTATCATGGCAGGGGTAAGCGCTGAGCAATCCTTTACGACGTGTACACTAAGGAAATAGCTGACTTATGTTCCATTTGAAACAGTCTAGGGGGCGTGATTAACGATTGGCGGAAGCATGAGCTAGAGCTCGAGCCTATCTCTCTTTCGGACGGTCCCTTCATTCTAAGCAAACTGAATGTTCCCTATACATATTGCTGGTCCCCTGGCCTAGTTCCCAAACCTGATGACTGGCCCCACAACTTTGGTGAGATATAGTCGTTTTCGTTGAATTCGCTGATGTCGCCGAATGGGCTAACTAACATGAATAGACGTCTGTGGGTTCTTCTTCCGCGATCCGCCCGACTATCAGCCTCCTCTTGAGATTGCAGAATTTCTTAACGCCGGGCCACCTCCGGTCTATTTTGGCTTCGGAAGCATTGTCCTGGACAACCCGGAAGAAATAACAAAAACGATTCTCCAGACGGTTAAGGAAACTGGGGTTCGGGCGATCATTTCACGTGGTTGGAGCAAGCTGGGAGGCGTGGACCCGGGAGAACTAAACAGGAATGATGTTCTGTTTATAGACGACTGCCCGCACGAATGGCTATTTGAACGTGTCAGTGCGGTTGTTCATCACGGAGGCGCCGGTACAACGGCGTGCGGGCTACGGAATGGCAAACCTACTATCATTGTACCATTCTTTGGAGAGTGAGTGACAGACTGTTCCTTGATTTACTTGAATTGCCCAACGACCTCAAGAAACCTTCTCTGACCTAGCTATAGCCAGCCATTTTGGGGAGAAATGGTTTCTGCAGCTGGTGCAGGACCAGACCCTATACCATACAAACAACTCAAGGTCGCAACATTAGCCCAAGCAGTGAAGTTTTGCTTAACGCCTGACGCAGTGCGTTCCGCACAGGGTATTGCCGCCAAAATGCAGCTAGACGAAGGAGTGAAAACAGCTGTGGCATCATTCCATCGCAATTTACCGCAAAGTCTGGTCGGATGCGATCTACTACCGGAATTCCCAGCCTGTTGGAGATATCGCCTAGGCAAGAAGAGATTTCGCCTGTCGAAAATCGCTGCAGAGATCCTCGTTGAAAACAATCTGTTAGACGTTAAGAAGCTGAAACCGTGAGCCCGAACCCTTCCACTTCAAAGCCATCCACCATGGGTTCCATGACTAACTTTTTTTGAACGCAAGATATCAACCAAACCCGATTACCATTGAGAACACGCGATGGGACCCAGTGACTGGTATCTCCTCTGCTGGAATGGGGCTCACATTTGATATGCTCAAAGCAGGAGGTGATATCTTCTATAAGCCGTACAAGGTATACCAAGATGGTCGTACCTCACCTCTTCCATCGCCAAGTGGATCAGAAAACAATACTACCCAGCTTTCGCCAGGAGACGGTGCAAAATTAGTTCGAAAGGCCCAATCGATGAACGATTTGGCAGCCCGCAGGGATGTCGAGCCTAAACAAAAGGGCAGAGCTGCCGCGATGGCTGCAGCATCGACGCACGCTTCTGGGAAGCTTCTAGGAAAGGTGGCTTCTGGGTTCATGGTTGATCTGCCTTTAGCGGCGGCTGAAGGTTTCCGCGTCCTCCCTGGTCTATACGGAGACAAGGTTCCGGAGTATGGAAAAGTAAAAGATTGGAAAACTGGCGCGGTTGCAGGTGCCAAAAGCTTTGCTATTGGCATGGGAGAAGCTGTGACGGGTGTGTTCTATCAGCCATATAAAGGTGCCAGAGACGGAGGTGCCGCAGGTTTTGCGGGTGGATTGCTCAAAGGCACTTTCGGGGTTATGGGCAAGATGGCACATGGTAAGGATATACTCTCCATTTATGAGCCCCTTCTGGTGCTCTTTTATCATTCACGTTCGCTGACTTCTTACCAACTAAAGGCTCACTCGGCCTTGTTGCCTACCCTAGCCAAGGTATTAAACAGAGTATTCATTCTGCGTTCCATAAGAGCACACGGAAGCTCATTATGGCGGCTCTTCACCTGGAGGGATACGATATGCTTCGGCAAGAGAGAGTTAGAGGGATTGAGGATCGCTTGGTCATCGAAAGGTTTACGGACATGACCCAAAATGACTTCGAAGATGATAGTGATTACATATAACTGGGTATATCAGTGCCGAAAATATAAATATTCATCACCAGCTTTAACTAAACTCGGCTTGTGGAAGGGAGCTTATACTTTGAGGTTTGATAGGAATTCTGTAGGATTCTATTTCCTAGGCTCAAGCTTGAGGTTCGGACCATGCCAATTCCAACTGATGCGACGAGCAAATTATATGCAAGCACTTGCTTCTAGTTTATCGAGTAGTGACCTTTGCCGTAAACGCACCTAATCACCAACTTCAATTCGATAGACGGAATACTTCGCAAAGCTGTGATCATGGTATTAGACAGTCTTCCCTATTACTCATAGTATATAAATCGATATGCCCAGTAGTCCTGAGTTTTAGGCTAATGTCTGTATAGTCTCCTGCTTTTCGTTCTCCGGTATCCCTTCAAAGAAGGCACCCTCGATCAACTTGACTTTTCTCCCCTCCCACCATGACATTATTCCTGCCAGAAGCGAACTGAAACAGCCCAAACCAATGAAAAGGCCAACTCCATAGGCCGGGCGAGTATGGCGGTTGTACGCCCACATGAATGCCGCCATTCCAACCTGGAACAAGCTATTCAACAACATATTTATCACCACAAAGTCCATTTTCCATGTTTTCGTCGGTGGAGCAACCTTGCCCGTTAGGGTCTCACGAGCCGCCATTTGGTCGTAACTCGACTCCTCGAAATTGGGATTCCGCATTCTATACCAACTCGAATTTCGCTTTGCAAGCTGGGTTATGGATTTGTTGGATGCTTTTGCCGAACCGAAATGCCACATCAGCAGCCAATAGGTGTCGCGAATCCGCCATGGCGCCAACCCCCACGAAGTCAGACAGAACAACGCATTGAGAATTTGGGAATCGATTTCAATCCATATTTCTTTGCGCTCCTTGCTCATCGAACCAACGTTCAGCAAGAGGAAAAATAACATGGCACCCCAAGCGACCACATTGAGACCATAAACCAGGATGAAAAGGCCCGTAGGCGTAAGAATGAATCTCCATGCGGCAACAGCAGCTTTCTTGAAGGCGTCGGCCCAGGATACTTTTGGAGCAATGTGGTCTTCATTGGTTTTATGATGTTCAAACCGAGGTTCAAGGGGGCCTTTGGCTGGTGCAGCTCTGTCCTTCTCATCATGCAAGCCTCCAGGTTCGACCGTAGGCGCCGTCGCTCTCCGAATTATCGCACCGCCAATTGTATCTTGCGTGCTGACTCGCCTTACACCTCGACCGTGTACATCGAAGAAAACATCATCGGGCGATCGTAGATCCGTCACATTTGGCGCGTGTGCAATAGCTGTCCCGGTTGCCTGCCACATCCCACCGGAGGGATTGTACTCTAGCAGTGTCGTGAGAGCGCTGACCGAGGCCGAGCGTAGCGTCCGTCCGGTTGCCTGGAAGAGTGGCATTGTGGTATTCGTAGTGAGGATATTCTGAGTTTCTGGCCGGGCTGATTGCCCTTCGGTCATGGTCTGGTCCATAGTTGTAACTTGTCAGTCGAGTGTTTCGAAAGGCACAATGTGTGGAGAATAGCCCTAGAAGTGATGGTGTTTTGTTGAAATATTAGGAATGTTGCAGATGCAATAACTAAGATGTTCAAATTATTCGGGGCTTGCTGAAGAGTTCTTACGAGGTCCAAAAAAAGACCAGACCTCCATGCTAACCTTGGAAGGAGCACAGCAGTGGGTCCAAGTGGATACGGTGGATCCGTGGCTTTTAGACTTTGCGGTAATTTATTCCTCAATACGATACGTACTGTTACATGTATCAATGGCAGCCTAAAACCTCGGTAGAACGCCGGGAAAAAGGACGGCGGAGCATCCATAAATAGTGACAAGATTTCAACGTGATGAAAGTAGACTGTACATGCGAAGAGATTTACCTCACATCATCATGCATTGGCTCCGGTAATGTTTTCGTAGAGCGGCATATTCCCGTGACACCCGTTTCGTTTTCTCGATCTTGATCTCCACTGCCCCTTCGCCATGCCACCATCGCAGATATTGAAGCTTGACTGTATGGAATTCCTGGAGGCAGATTTCCCATTCGCCTCCACTCACCGTAACCAAGGTATCTCCCATTGGAAAATGGAACTCGGGGAGGTATATTTCACTCGGGGTGTGAGTTGCAGCCTGGTTTGCAATCAATCTCATGGTGAATGTACACTTCTTCAAATCGAAAGTATAGTTCTCTAATCGCCCATTCGTGAAGACAGGAGCGGGACGGAGCCATGCCTCCACTGCCCTGTGGCCCCGTCGCGGCCGCATGGTAGCCTGGGAGAAATCAAACGAGGTGAAAAGGCGTTTCAAGGCTTTAAGCGAGCCAAATTCCTCTTCTTCGACATGGATAAGATGATCTTTAGAGCACTCTGTGGACCCTGACTCTGTTGAGTCGGAAGAGGTTTTGATTCGTAATTCCAAATCATCCTGTGAGTATAAGGAAAGATCCTCCCCATTCCACTGATCGCCCCATTGATGGTTATTCTAGGTGGAGTTAATTAAGGCTGTCTCTGCCAAAGGTAGACCCGCATACATACCTCTGCCACATAAACCCATAAGGTAAACCCGTTGGCTGTGCTGCCTTCTAACGCAAAATGGTTGGCATCCATTGCTCTGACCTGACTACTATAGTCTCCAGTCTTATATGCATGTTTATCATCCATGTCATACGGTATGCCAATCTCCGTAAAGATTAGGGGATGATGGCCCATGTGTTCGACGCTTTCATCGCGCAGGAACTTGAGCTGACGACGTAGGCTCTTTCGAATTAATGCCTCGCCGATTTTCATTGCGAAAGGTGGTGCAAGATACTTGCCCCGAAGCAGCCCGATAACATCCAAGTTGTAGAGTCGATTCCTATTGGGATCAATATTATGAATAACAGATGAGACTTTCATACTAACCAGTGCTTTGTTAAAAGAGTCAAGCCATCATAGAAGTGAGCCGCGTGAACCATGTTCGGATCATCATCGGCGGTACCCTTAAGGCTTGGTGGTAGCTCCATGACAGGTGGCTGGCAAAACATGATAGTACTTCCACACACGCTACGAATAGCGTCCTTATACGCTCGGTAGTGGTTCAGAAAGTAAGAGTTTGTAAAGGCTTCATAGTCAAGAAGCTCGCCAGTCAGTGGGTTGCGTGAGAAGTAGTCCTTTTGTAGCAGGGTGGCTTTGCTTTGAGATGGATCCCAAACACCATGCTGCGCCCAGAGACATTCACCGAGCCGCCAGCCCGGGTCGCGGTGCCAACCATATTGACAGTCGTCGTACTCAGTAGAAAGCCATGCCTGTTCACCCTTTGGGTCTATAACCTCCTTGCCTGTCTGGTATGGGCCGAATGTTCCGAAAGCCCAGGTTTTTACCTCACAGGACCGCCCAGAGCCAATTACCATGGCCTGAAACGCCGTTGGAGATGTCCCGAGCTGAAGGTGCTGCTCCGGTGGGATCGAGGAAATATCTTTATTGCCGATCAGTCCTTTGTGGGGTTCGTTCATACTTTCCCATCCAATGACCACATCTCCTTCGAGATCACCGGCGTCTTGGATTCTTCGTGCAAGGTATTTGCATGCTGCAATAAAGTGGCTTTGCAAATAATCCTGAATGTTCATCCCATCGATGATCGCCTTCGGTGCGAAATCTCGACCAGCCCAAAACAAAGTAAACATAGTCTGGCAGGCTAACCTAGTGTAGTTCGTACACCAAAGCATCTTGGGGAACTCTGCGGGATTGTCCCAAGTGTTGTGAACTATGGCAGCCTGTGTATTTTTGAAGTTTCTCGGATTAAGTCCCGCAGCATAGAGCGTCCATGTAGGTGCTCCGGATCCTCCTGATAATCGAGACCACTTAGAATAGTAAGTTCAGTACACAGACAATATATTCATTTGAGACTAGACTTACCACATCTTGGTGAGGATCCATAAAAATGTAGAACCCATATTTCTTAGCGACACGAAGTATTCCAATGGTGAAATCAATCCATTCCTCATCGTAGATCTTAGGACCAGCGTGTTCGATTGCCTCCCAGGTGAAGATGTATCGAATGGTGTTGTATCCCCATTTTCGGAGGCGTTGAAAATGTGTATCGGCATCTTCTAGGGAGAACGGCTTTCCCACAAACGATACATCCGCGTCGAAGAACCCCTGGGCGTTGTGCGATCTGAGATCTGGGATTTTCGGATATTTAGCGTCACCTGCCACATTTATTCCCCGCAAGGTGATTTCTCGATTCAAGAAATCTCTGAATGATTGTCCCTCGACGCGCACACGGAGTTGACTCATATTGTTGGGCGTGTTTTATGGACCCGGGGACCATTTAGTTGGTGAATGGAGGAAGCTGAATGCAAATGTCACTGTTGAACTGTTGAGCACTTCTGAAAAACGCATGGAAATGTCTAGCACAGGTACAACGGATAAAGGTCCTCGCAACATGGAGATAAAATCAGCTGATGTGTACAGGGTTACGTGATCGAACCGTCCAGCGCCGGTCTCTTCCTAAGGTCCGTATATGGCTGTGCTTCCTGGCCCCTGGGTCAGGTGGGCCACTATGTCCATGGAATGTGATTTTGAGTTGCCGTACCTAAATTAAGAGCCAATCAGCGGTATGTATTTGATACATACCGTTGGTGGGGCTACTACAACTGGATCGCTATACGAATACGCGTATTGTTCGTGGGCGGATTCTTCTCTCCCTTTTTTCCAAGATAAAGACTGAATTTTCTTCAACTGAACCGGGAGGCCCAGCTTAGTTCTCTGTGTCTGTTAATAGAGGTGGGTATCGATGTGCGTACCCAGGATTAGGATGGAAATTACCTAGCTACTACGCCGAATGTAGACCCTAGAGCTTCGCAGCTACTTCAAGAGATGGAAAGTGGCAAGAAAATTTCGGACAATTGCAAGAGCCAAGCCGTCTTGTGGGAAAGTAGAAAGGGGGCATAATCATGTGGAAGAGATGTAATCAGACATAAACCAGTGACCGCATGTCGCAAATCTACTGAACACGAGCCTAGACGCCAACTGCCAAACTGCTAAGCATGGGTTCTGACCAGGAACTATAATTGAGATACTATGTGCAACAGCTTCTGAACATGCTTGTACGGAGCCTTAGAGGTCAGCCAATCTAAGCACCACCCGCCCTGTTGCCCTGTTCGGCTCGCAATAATTGTTCTTCTTCTTCTTCTTCTTCTTCTTCTTCTTCTTCTTTCTTTCTTTCTTTTTTTTTGGTACTTGATGCCTTGCATATTTGGGGTAACAACCTCATTGAAAGCAACAACAAAGGAGGAAAGCGTCTGCGACACGTGACACGTAAAAAGCGGAGAAGATAAGGAAAACCGTGATGCCCTTTGGGGCCTAGTGCGGGCATGGCTACTGGCCTGATAAGGCCTCAACAGCTGCTCTGAGAAATTGCGTTGGCACATTCGAAGAGGAAGGTTACCGCGAAAGCCACCTGAGGGACTTTGTACCCTCGGAATGTTGTCCCACATGTGGCAGCTCCACTGGGAGCTGTGCTCTCACAATGTCAATCCTATAAAGATCATCTCGGAAGTCGCTGAAGACCTGGACGAACAAGGAGACTGAGATACCTGATCGCAATTGTTCCGTTGCCAATTTTACACTATGGGGTCCATCGAAATCAACGAACAGCAGTATGATGTCCTCATCATCGGCGCCGGTCTTTCAGGTATCTGCGCACTTCACAACTTCCGAAACCGCTTTCCATCTTGGCGCATTGCTGTTCTCGAGGCAGCCGACAATGTGGGAGGAACTTGGTACTGGAACCGCTACCCGGGAGCACGAGTCGATACTGAATCACTCTCCTACGCATACTCGTGGGACAAAGACCTTCTGAACGAATGGACCTGGAAGGAGTCCTTCTCCACCCAGCCAGACGTCCTCCATTATATTGAACATGTCTGCGATAAGCACAACCTCCACAAAAACATACAACTCAACACTCGAGTGAAGAAAGCCGTTTGGCAGGACAAGAATAATACTTGGCTGTTTCGCGACGAAGTCGGCACCTATCACCGGACCCGTTTCTTTATCAGCTGTATGGGTTTCCTGTCTACTCCTACACTCCCTGCCATCCCGGATATTGAACTGTTCCAAGGCAAATCTTTCCACACCTCCCGCTGGCCAAAGGACTTCGATATCTGTCGTGACCTGGCCAACAAGCGAGTCGGTGTTATCGGCACCGGCGCAACAGGAATTCAAACAATCACAGCGCTATCAAAGGAACCGAGCATCAAATCATTGAATGTTTTTCAACGCACGGCAAACTGGTCCGCACCCCTGCGCAACGAGTTGATCACCCCCGAGCAGATGGAACAGCACCGCAAGAACTATGATGCCCTTTTCCAACTATGCGCCAAGACACCCACCTGCTTTATGCACCAGGCCGACCCACGCAAGTCCCTAGAAGTGTCTGCGGAAGAGCGCTTGAAGCTTTGGGAAGATATATATGCGAAGCCCGGTTTTGCCAAATGGCTCGGCACATTCAGCGACACATATAACAACCGTGAAGCAAACAAGCTCTACTCCGACTTCATGGCCAGCAAGATTCGAGCCAGAATCAATAATCCCGAGGTTGCTAATAGCTTGATTCCCAAAAATCACGGCTTCGGCACACGACGAGTCCCTCTTGAGAGTGGATACTTCGAGGCGTTTAACCAGTCCAATGTGCACCTCGTTGACCTCAAGAAAACCCCAATTGAGAGAGTCGCGAAGGACGGCATTATTATGTCTGATGGCAAGGAGCATGAATTAGACGTTTTGATCTATGCGACGGGCTTTGATGCCATTACCGGTGCATTCAGCTCCATTGATTGGACAGGGAAGGACGGTCGACCCCTCCTCGGCTCCAGCAATACAAAGGAAGGGCAGCAGGCAATTTGGGTTGATCATCGGCCCCGTACATACTTGGGCATGACGGCTTGCTCCATGCCGAACATGTTCATGGTCCTGGGTCCACACCAACCATTCGGCAATGCTCCTCGGACCATCGAACACGCCGTGGAAGTTATTTCGGATCTCCTGCAGCACTGCAAAAACAACAACTACTCCTATGTAGAGCCTACAGGAGAAGCTGTGGATGCATGGACCGAACACGTCGTAGACAGCAGCAAAGGTGCTTTGTCAAACGAAATCGATAGCTGGATGACCGGGGTCAATACTAATGTGAAGGGCAAGACTATTCGGAGTGTTGCGAGGTACGCTGGCAGTGCGGTGGAATATCGCCGGATATGCGCCGAGTCTAAAGCAGCCGGTTGGAAGGGTCTGGCATTTGCTCAGCTCTCAAGTTCCAAGCTTTGATGTGGATAAATATTTATGAACTATTACTACTAAAATGCATTGTCACATCTAGTACATACATTGTCCAATATACGAAGCACGATCACAAAGGACCGACCTCAGTCAGACCCCAAACTAGCCAATAAACTAGCAGATGGAGCAAAGAACGTTGTCCCAGTAAGCGGCTTCGAGAAATCAAGGATGCGATCATGCAGACCAGGAGGATCTCCAACAAACATACGCTCCAACATTTTTTTCGATAACCCAGAGACGACGAGTATAGCCAATAAAGTAAGTCCCAAACTCGCCAGAACCAGGAGACCCAAACGGCATATTGTCGCGGAGAATCTCATGCTCGTTCCCACCCTCATCTTCAATGGTGTTGAGTGTCTTGTGAGAGCGTTGTCCAGACGTGGCATCGTCTAGTTCAACATTATCTATCTTAGTTCGGCCAATAATCCTCTCCTGCTGTTCGGTCGAGAGATCTTTCCATCCAGGTAGATCATGAGAGTACTTCTGTACAACGATATAACTTCCACCAGATGCAGATTCATCCTCCTCTGCAACCAGAACAGAACCCGGAACCGCCAATCCGACTGGGTTAGCCGTACCATCTACAAAGCCAAGAAGGTCCCGCACATCGAAGTAACGAAAACCGACTGTCTCGTCGATAACGGAGACGGAGTCACCCAGCTGGTCCAGGAGCTGACGCTCGAATTCGAAGCAGATATCTCTGCGCTCGGAGCGAATGTGGAAAAGCAGATCACCGGTTGTCGAGACCGCGGTGTGTTTTGCGCCTTTGATCTCGCGGAAGGGGTGCAGTTCTGAGGGTCGGGGAAGACCCGTGAGACGATCCCAGATGTCACTTCCAATGCCAACGGTGCATGCGAATTGAGCGTTGAGGTCACGGATAGATACATTTTTGGCTAGGCTGTCTACGCCTGCCAGAGTTGAGCGCGCGTTTTCAATGGCACCGGGCTTGCTGGTCACAGAGAGAACAAGAAAGGTAGCTGATTGCGTGAGCGGAGCATCCACGCGCTGGGGAGCTATTGGGACACGGTGGGTGCTCATATCTGCTTTTTGATACAGCTTGCAATTGTAAGAGGCAGGTATGCAGCCGGGGAGGATCGCTTGGTTGGTGAAATGGCGCTTTCTCTGGATTAAATTTTTCGAAGCACGAAAGAGATTTGAATAGACAAAACCAGAAGAAAAGGACGAGGAAACAGTGTTGAGAATATACGAGTTGACCAGTGACTTGTTCATTCTTTAGCTGCTGGCGGCCCGTGTTGGAGGAAAGTCCAGTTTTATTGACTCCAACGATGTGAGTCCATCAATTGCTTACATTAAAGGAAGGAATCATTGGACATGTTCAGGTTCTATGACTATTCAAAAGCGAAGAAGAAAAAGAGATATCGTCGATGCTACCTCGTAGGGTCATGACATCAGCTCGCGCCTGGCCGAACCGCCCAGGGGAAAATGTTACCGCGTGTCTCGACTGACACATAGGAACAATAACTTGGAGATTATAGATTTTATTTATATCTACATGTATAAATATGCTCATCGCTGAGTGTATCCGCCATCCACGAATAAAGCCGTTCCAGTAACAAAAGAAGCCCGTCCACCACTCAAATAAACAACTCCATCAGCAATCTCCTCCGGTCGACCCATACGCTCCATTGGAACCGCATTAGCGACCTTCTCCTGCATAGCTGCAAGGATCTGAGGCGACTTGGTCGTCAATGGGGTCTCGGTATACCCAGGACAGATAGCATTGATACGCAGCCCATCCTTAGCATAATCCTCAGAGGCAGTTCTCGTCAAACCAATAACCGCATGTTTGGTCGCAGTATACGCAGTCGACAGTGCAATCCCAGCGACGCCTTGAATAGACGAGAAATTGACAATTGAGCCACGCTGTAGTGGCCTGCCATCAATCGAGGACCGGAGAGGCTCCTGCTTCAACATGATTTTGGCAGCAGCGCGCAGAACAAAGAATGTTCCCGTGAGATTGACATTCAAGATGCGTTCCCAATCTGATGTTTCGCAGAATGCAGCTCCCCCCTGCGTGCTTCATTGCGATCCCGGCTGCATTGACGACGTAGTCGAGTCGGCCAAATGTCGTCGCGACTTCTTGGATGACTTGATTGACGCGGTTCTCGTCTGTTACATTGGTAGGGTAGGTCATGACTCGACACGGTTTTGATCCCTGTCTGTGTTGTTGCTCTTCGATCTCGGCTTTGACGGCTGCCAGGGCTTCAGGACTGATGTCCAGCAGGGCGATCCCTGAAGCGCCATCTCTAGCAAATGTCTTTGCGCAGGCGCGGCCAATTCCTGAGGCAGCGCCTGTGATAAGTGCAATTCCAGATACGTCCATTTGGGATAGGTTGTGGGGTTCTGGCGTAGTTCGTTGATGTTAGTCTCTTGATGGACGTAGCAGGAATGGGGATGGTGGGTGAAAGGAACAGAGCAATTGGATATTGATGGCTTATGTAGTTTTTCACGGAAAGGCTTGAATAACAACTTATGGCAGCTCCGTCTCTCTCTCCGAAGAGGAGATATACTTCCCACTTTGGCGCATGTGGGGTTGTCGCGGAGACTTGCCTAACTCGCGTCTGACGATAACCGTGCAACCCACGTATGACAGCGCACCTTGCACTTGCTTTCCTATCTATGTAGACTATCTGATGGACTGACACGTACTGCCGCTAGTGCATATTCCCAGTGCGGGGGCGTTGCAGCTGATTGTCACCTTGGTCTTGAGGGAGCATTCCTCGGGCAGAGAGGCCACGGAAATACTCACATTACATCTGCACACAATATAGATGAAAGTGATGGTTCAAAAATACAAAACTTAGGCTATCCTGCTCTACAGACACAAGGAAGAATATCAATATCCATATTCACTGTAATAGTAGGTGATCATGAACATGCAAGTTTATAGATTGACTTCTTGTCCAGAGAATCATATTAGAAATTAAAATAGCTGCTGTAACGGCATAGTGCTTTTCATCAGATCCAGCCAAGTTACACTCTTCCCATTAGCACAAGTCTTCTCTTGCCAAATTCGCTGAATATTGGCCAATGTCTCAGTAAAGCAAGACAAACCACTGCGGCGTGCCGAATTGACAAACCAGTCAGAGAACGATACCTGAACCAATGGATCCTCAGCTTCACAAGCCGCAATAAACGCAGGCCAGATAAAGCCTGCTGAGCCATGGACCACGGTGGAGTCTGTGTCCTCGCAACGTAGTAGATGGTCCAACACGCCCGCGACCTTTTGCTGTAGCAAGGAAGAGTCCACGTCATGGATTCGACGGTAAAAGTATATCGCCAGTGCATTCTGCATGGCATTGAGCATATTCTTTATAATTTCACGGTCCAGTCCAGAATGGATATGGTCCAGGCTAGGTAGTGGCAGCTTGTTGATATAGTCTTCGAGAGTCTTCGCCCGGCCGCTAAACTCTTTCAAGCTGATGCAGTTTGATGCATTATCCCCTTCCGCTGTATCCTTTTCTTTCCCTAATCGAATAATCTGGGATAGAAGGATAACCCAAGGCTCAGGGATACCAAATATCTCCGGGTAGAGAGTGTTAGACCAGAAGCCAGGCCTTTCCAGGTGTAGATCATTCTCGCCTTCCTCTTGCCCACGCACTCTCATCATCTCTTGATCCAGATTCTTCCAACCCGATAGGCGAAAAAGATAGACTGTCAAGGCTATAGTTTCCTAGCCCGCTCGTTTCAATGGCGGCGTGGACATGATGACGCTGTCTTGAGTTCACTCCACAAATGAAGATACTCTCATGGATGATGCGCTCAAATACATAGCAGTGATGCAGTAATCGTACTTTTCTAGACTTTTTGCGTGGAAGTCCCCTTAAACGAATGAACTTCTCTGCTTCCACAAAATAATATTCCGATTCTCTTCGGTTCCCCGAGAGCATCGTCACCTGGACCATGGTGAGCAATGCCATCAATATTGACTTGTATTTGGTCACTTTGGGGACATTGTAGGCGGTCGTCAGCATCATCTTTGCATGTCGCTGGGCTTTATGCTTATATATGATGGCCTTCTCGCTCCACGTTCGGGATCCAGAGACTCCGCCGAGGCTGAATGCACTTATGGCCAATGTTCCGTAAAATGCACACAAACTGGCATCACTCATATAATCGCCCAGGACCAAACCAGCGAGGCAGCTCTTAACGTGAGGTATGAAAAGAACATGCCAGGGGGGTTTTGGAGTGTCGCAGGGGAGTCATCAGGCTAATCACAGCCGAAGCATAGTGCTTGAGAAGAAACACGGCATCTTGGGGTACGGCTTTCGTGGTACCCATAGAAGTCAAAGCGGTCGGTGATGTGAAATGATTGTGAGCTTGATCTAGAAAGTATGATGTGGGTAAATATTCATGGGCTGCTGAATTGTCTTCCAGGGAATCCTGATCCATCACGGCATCTAAATATCCCGGGGGAGGCGGACTGGGAACATTCTCTTGTCCATCTAAAGTGAAGTGCAACAAGGCTTGTGACCAAGGCGATAGAGGCATATCTGACGAGGCCAAGTAAGGATCCCTGAGTGGGATCACATCTTCCGGCGAACTGGAATGTGTCTGTTCACGGTCGTTCACGGCTGGTTTGTAAGGCAGGATGTCTCGATCTTGGTTCAATCTAAACGCCCCGAATGGCCCTTGGTGTATCTCGACATCATCCGAGATAGTCGTTCGTTCGCATTCCTCATCAATGTGGGATATAATCCGAAGAGTTGTCTTTGGGGGAGCACTCGAGACAAGCCATTGACTCATCCGTTCTCTTTCCTTTACTGAGAATAATGGTCGGCGAAACCGCACCCCAAGATTGCGAGGTGAGCTCTCGAAGTCAAAGAAGATATCTTTCTCGTATCCCCCACAGTCCAGGCCAAGATATTGACACATTGAACATTCTGGGCGTCCTTCGTCGCATTTCACATGTCGGCTTCGACACTATATTCTGGGTGAGAAATGCAATATTATAACTCAGTGAGACGGCCAAACCTACTGTGGCACATCCTGTGAATGACCGGGTATGAGTAATTGACTCGTGCACAGCGTCTGGAAGTGAATCTGTCATGTTTTGGTAATTGAACAAGGCAAGTGTTGCAGAGGAGTCTGCGGGGAAGTGGATCGGGGGATCGACGGATCGGTGGATCGCCGATAGCGCAAACCTGCCTGTTTTGACGGTGCGCGGTCACTTGCCTATTACAGCGGATAATCCATGCGGGTTGTACATGAAAAATGTACGTCTATTTTATAGGCGATATCCAGATTCCCTTATAAATGTGTATCTGATAATGTGTAATCCCCTTCAGGGCAATTTTATTCCCCGCTCGTTGTATCATTATCAGTGAAGCTACAACGGGTGAACGTTTAGTGTAGAGCAATGACATCTTTCGAGGATAAAGTGGTAATTACTGGTCATCGCTCTCTATCAAGAGATATGCTGACCTAACCATGTCTCCCCTAGATTGCTATCACCGGTGCAGCCTCCGGAATGGGGTTAGCCACAGCGCAGCTCCTCGCAAATCGCGGCGCAAGAATCTCTCTTGCCGATATCAACGAAAAGGCCCTGGAGGAAGCTATCAAGTTCCTCCCAAATAGGGAGAAGCATATGTCCACAGTTATCGATGTGCGCAACAGCAAATCAGTGGATGGGTGGATCCAGTCGACTGTCGACAGGTTAGGCAAGCTGGACGGTGCTGTAAATATGGCCGGGGTGATCACGCCTGCTGCGCCAATCACTGAGGAGACAGACGACAATTGGGATTTTACATTTGCTGTGAATACACGCGGTGTGTTCTTCTGCCTGAGGGCTCAGCTGAAAGCTATGAAGGCCGGTGGTAGCATCGTGAGTCTCATCTCAGTGTCGAATCGGAGGGATACAATGCTGAATCCCTTTTGGAATAGGTTTCTGCTGCAAGTGTGTTCGGACAAATGGGTGCCCCCGGTGTCTCGGCCTATTGCGCCAGCAAAGCAGCTGTTATTGGGTTGACACAAACGGCAGCAAAAGAGAACCAGCATATTCGAGTCAACTGTGTTTCTCCCGGTAGGTCTAACATCTGATACACGTTTGTATGTTAGTTAACCAACCGTTTAGGGTCCGTCAATACGCCTCTCTCCGCCAGTGAGGATCCTGAAGATGTAAAGCGTGGCTTGCAAAAGACGGCACAAAAGCGACAGGCAGAACCAGGGGAAATCGCAACTGTTATCGCATTCCTTCTTAGTGAAGAGGCGAGCTTTGTGACTGGAGCTGTGTACAATGTAGATGGAGGTTGGATGTGCTGATGTGAAGATGAAGAAGATGAAGGTCGCATATCGAGAAGGGAATAGATACGTTGGTCTTGTCTTTAGGTTGTTTACTCGTAGACTATTGTTTCTGGCTCAGCATGTGACCAAGTACCACATTTTGTTTTCACCTCCGACTTCCATTTTCGACTCTCTGTTCTTCTGCTTGCTAACGATTTCATGATTTCCCAATTCAATCATGGAAGTTCCAAGATCCTGATTCCCTAGTGGACTGGATGAAGGCGACACGGTCACCCTCAATAAGCCCACCCGCTCGGAATGGGTAATCGACAAAATGGTCAATACGCACAGCTATCAATGCGAACTGCAGTCTGCCGACTCGTACGCATGTGTTCTGTTCACTTGTCACGATGCTGCCAATGGACAAGAGGCCTTTATGCGCGTTTATTTCCAAGTTCCACATACCGGTTACGAGCACGCGGACCAAGCTACCCGCGCGCGAGAAGCAACCGACTTCACACCCCCGAGTTAAAGGCATACGAATTTCTCACTAAAAAAGGCTCGGAAAATACGCCTCAATTGCTCGCGTACAAGAGAGGGACTCAAGATCGCTCAGGGGTAGTTCCTAGGGGCCATATTACATGGATTGCGTGGGAGAAAGTGCCTGGGAAACGCCTCGGAGATTACAGGTCCGCCTTTGTGTTCTGGGATATGGACCGTCAGCAGCGAGACCGTGTCCGGGAAGTCTTTCTTCGGGAGTTCCCGTGAGTGGAACACCCTTCAACTACGGAAGTGAATGCTAACATGAAGATTATTACTAGTGCGGCTAAGAAAATGGGGTATTTTCCAAACGCCGCCAGGCCTCGTAATCTAGTCTGGGATGAGGAAGCCGGTGCCCTGTATGCCACTCATTATGCTTATGATCCTGGGACTTTGACTGACGTACCGCTACAGTTATTTTGTTGGTTTCCGGAATGCAATGCCTTTCAAGGCTAGAGGCACTTTCGGCGAAGAATGGTTCCCACGTTTTGATCTTGCTAAGCCCCCTCAGAGTCATTATAGATCAGACAAAGATTACAATGGTGATATCTCGGGCTGGCAACTCTGAGTTCGGTTGATTATCTTAATTCATTGCTGCCAGAGATCCAAGAGAGAGAGACATCCCACATTATGCGCTCTGTATGATCATATTTAGGTAGACTATTGGTTTCTTAATATCTTTTAGAACAGATTTTGTAGTATCTTTTTACGACTCTTCTTAAATGTCTTTTTAGCTGCCTGTATATGCCTGTTTAGAAGTAATTAGCAACCAATTATATATTTAGCACGGGTGAAGATCATAATACACAATAGCTTTTCTATATATGTCACTAGAAGTGCTTATATTAATTATTGCACTTTAATAACCGACAAAATCATGTAGATAGCCAATAGGACCGAAGCACCCAATGGGTTCTGCGCTAGCACATGTACGATTCCCCGCCCTAAATGTCTTGGAATGTTTGGCGAATTTCAATGTCAGCGCACCAAATCCCACTCTCTCTTCCCTTCACCTGGGTAGTACACTCCATGAATCAAGCCGGGGAGGATATTAGGCATGTCGCAATTGAGCTCGGCCCCACGCTTGAAGCCCGATGTCCGCCTCGCCCAGGCTGTATCACAGTTCGAGGCCGAACTGTCCAATGAGCAAAAAGCAAGTTTCCGTGCCTGGAGAACTAAATCAATTGAGTCTCCCCCTGGTATCCAAGATGTCATGCAACTCACAGCCGAGATTGATCGTGTCTCCGAGAAGCGACGCCGGTGCTTGGGACCGCGACTTATGAACGTCCTACAAGCTACTCAGCAATTCGCTGCTTTAGGGGATGTCATAGTCGGTGGATCTCAGAATCTGCTTGCGTGTGGTGTCTGGTCAGTAGTGCGAATATCGCTCCAACTAGTCCTCGACTTTTCCTCCTATCTTGAGCAATTATCGAATATATTCATGACTGTTGGGCGTCTTGCCCCTCGTTATGAGAAGATGGCTTTACTTTATCCTCGGTCAAAAGATTTACAATCTTGCCTCTGTGAATATTTTATATTGATCGTACGTCTTTGCCATGAGACGATCACTTTTACACGCAAGTCAATCTTTGGGAAATTGAGGGCATCCGCGCTTGGTGACTCGGACCTGAAGACATACCAATCAGAGCTTGAGTCCTGGGGAAAGACTATCAAAGCCGAAGTCGGCTTCTTGATGGCCAAGGGAATTGAGGACGAGGCAGAAAACAACTCGCGGTTTAGAACAGTCTCATCGATATTCCAGAAATCAACCGCGTATCAGCAAGCCATTCAAACGAAACAGCGAGTTCTTGATTTCTGCTCGCAGTACGACTGCACAGTATCCTGGAAACAGGCTCGAAAATCCGGCAACACTAATCTGTTCCGGGAGAGCGCCCAGTATCAAAATTGGAAAAGTATGCCTCTTTCTTCCACGCTCGTCTATACTGGGAAGTTAGGCTCCGGGAAGTCTGTGCTTCTCGCCAATATAGTGGACGATCTCCACATCCAGAATGAAACGCCCCATGTGGCATATTTCTTTTGCCGACATGATGCGTCTGAGACTCTTAAAGCGCGGGAAGTCATTGGCTCCTTAGCTCGTCAGTTGTTATACCCTATATCAGACTTCACGGCTGCCGCGGAATACTTGGACAGGACGCATCGGCGCGAACCGATAGAAAGGATAATGGGACTTCTTACAAGTTTTCTTACTCCTCTTCGTAAGACAAGGAGGTTCTTCGTTATTGTCGATGGGCTAGACGAGCTCGACGTGCATGAAAGAAACATCGTGATCCAGCAGCTATCAGATCTTCAAAATGAAACATTTGCAATGCTACTTTGCATTTCTCTTCGTGAGGATCCAAACGAGAGCCCCCTCAAAACTAACTTCGCGCGACTTGCTGCGCCGGTTGTTACACCCATTCCGAACAATACACCTGACATCGAGCATTTCATCGAGACAGAATTGGAACATCGTATCGAATCTGGACAGCTCACGATTGGCAGTCCTCTTCTGATCCTCGAAATCCAAGACGCTCTCTTGAAAGGATCACAAGGGATGTTCCTTTGGGTAGCTCTCCAAATTGAATCTTTATGCGCAATGGAAAGTGATGAAGAGATTCGTCAAGCTCTTGCAGACCTACCGAAGGATCTCTCAGAGACATTTTCTCGCACTTTACGGTCAAAATCCAAACATACACGTCAAAAGGAGATATTGGCCATTCTAACCGTGGCCCAAACCCCGCTCACTCTCCAGCAACTGCGCGAGGCGCTATGTGTTGTGCCCGGTGATTTGAACTGGAATCCGGATAGACTGCTCAACAATATGCACAACACTCTGGCTTCTTGTGGCAGTCTTGTCGCCGTTGATGAGGAGGAGCTTACTATACACCTTGTTCACCACAGTGTGAAACAGTTCCTCCTCGGTGAATTCAAAGATTCGACCGAAACCCTAGTCAACGTGGATGACGCTCATCAATTGATGGCAAGTATCATTCTCACCTACCTCAACTACGGCGTGTTTGAAACTCAAGTTTCAAAAAATGTAATACCGCAGCTGCGAACTGGCTCTGTACCTTCTGAGGTGATTCTCTCAACACTCAAACCATCAACTGGAGTCCGGAACATGGCAATCAAACTCCTCAGATCCCGAAAAGGGGCTGGCTTTGATATTGGAAAAGTCATCGCAGAGACGAAGCTCCAGAACCATTCGACAGAGGAGCAGTTCTACTTCCACAAATACGCCGTATCATTCTGGTTATACCACGTCGTGCACGCCTTTAACCTCCCCGAAGTCATACACAAGTTATTACTCCGACTCCTGGATCGAAGGTTATCCTTGAGGCTCAATATCACTGACGAAGAAATCAACAAAGTATTATCGTGGTCCGCGAAAAAGAAACAATACGCATCCTTGATCAACAGCTTGCTCGATCCCGAAAACATGACATCAACGGAACGGGACATGTCACTTGATGCACTGCATATCGCTGCGGGCGAAGGACACGGCGCAATGATTAAGGTCCTCTTAGAGCGCGCAAAGATGTATGACATGATGACGTTCGAGGGCTCCCACCCGCAGCGACTACATCTATCCGCTCAAAACAACATTGAGACGTCACTTGATCGTGACAAGGTCGATGTCAGCTCGAGGGATTCCCTGCGTTGGACACCCTTGCATCGAGCAGCAATGAACGGAGACACGTCGGCCGTGATCTTTCTACTTACAGTCGTCAATGCAAATCCTAGGACGCCCGATATGATGGGCCTCACCCCTTTGCATCTGGCTAGTATGAATGGTCACTTTGAGGTTGTGAAGGCACTCCTTGATCACGGAAATGCGGACCCAAATGCTAGTGATAAAGAGGGTCGAACTCCCGGGGATCTTGCTTTGGAAAAACTCGATGAAGAAAGCATTTCAAAATTAGATACCCGGCTTTTCGTTTCTTCGAGAGAAATAAATGATGTTGACGCCGCCGAAGACAGACCTGTTAGTCCACTTGGTTGACTCGATTGATATCAGGCGAATGGTCAACTAGCGGACATTGTGTCCTAAGATACTGTGGTGCACAAATTCAAGAGAGAAGGCCCCTGGTACAGGCTCCAGGCGCAATGAGCATCTCCAGAAATGACGAGGTTATTGATTTTCTCATTGCACATATTAAGTCTCTCGAACATAGGATCATGAATTATGCGGTGCCCCGGCCCAACATTGTCAATATCGAACATAACACAATGATGTAGCCAAGACCTTTTGTAAGATGCTAGAATGAAAAGGAACAGGTCTATGTCATCGATGCCTGGAAACAACCAAGTCGGGCAGACGGAAAAAAGGAAAAGCCATAACGCGCCAGGACCAGCCAGGAAGAAAAGCGGGTGGAAAAAAACAATCAAGAAATGCTCCAATGAGGAAACGCATCGTAACCCTCCAACGCAAGACAACAATCGGAGTCCCATTTACATCTGTCGCAACCCCTCTGCAAGACGCCGCTTGCCGAACTCCCAGGCGTTCATTAGACCCTGTTCCGTGAGGTCGATATTCTTCATGTTGGGTGCATCTGCAGCCGGTGCGCGGCTGACACGCGAAGCGATCATAACCGGGTCCGTCTCGAGAATGATTCCGTCGTCGATGGTCTCGTCAATAGCCAAGGAGACGAGATCGTAGTTCTCGACGATAGTACGCTTGTCGGTTGCGCCCCTGATGAACGATCTTGTTAGCATTGATGAAATTCCCCGCTTCAGATCGAATAACGTACTTGAATAAAATTCCCAGAGCATCTCGTAGTGACAATACAACATTGTAGAGCAGCACCTCGTTCTCGTCGGCGCTTCCAACAACATAAATCATGACGTCGCTCTCCATCTTGAAGACCACGATGCGGTTATCGTAAAGGATCACATCACTTGAGGACTTGTTGGTCTTCTCAAGGAGACCCTTCTCGAAAGCACGCTGTTCCTTCACGGTGGGGTAGGGGTTGGCACCGGGGTAGTCAGTTGAGTTCGGTGCAGCGCCGGCGGGGGGTGTGGTGCCGAGAAGTACTTTGCGTAGATTCGGGAGCCATCGTCAGCGGACATGACAAGGACCGCATTGACGGAGAAGAGGGACAGAGAGCCGGGCATGGTGATTATTGTTGTGTTGGGGAGCAATTGGGGAAATACTGTCCTTGTGATTGTTGATGCTCAACCGCCAATCTGGCCGGAGGCGGAGACGCACTAATATTATTCCGTGGTAAAGCTCCATACACTATACAGGTGAACTGTAGACCACAGCGTACGTGATTGGGAATAAATCCAAACTTATTCCACTCTGGCTTGAAACTAGTACTCAGTTGGCTTCCAATCACTTATTTCTGGTCATTTTCTGTGTTCTCGGTGTGACAGTGGGAAGGTGTAGAGATATAACCAGCCATTCGTTGGCCCTTGTCCTCAATTGAAATACCACAAGGTGGAATAAGGTATACAACCTAAGATTGGGATATGACATAAAATGAGTGGAAAGACATCATCGTGAACGATACATGGGGAATAATATATATCAAGATAAACAAAAACCATGATATGATGTATGAGACTCCTTTCGAAGTCACATCGCATGAACATCATGATCAGATCGCGTCAAAGGAAACATGAGAAATCGGGGCCCTTGAAATATAGGCAGACATTTCAAGACATGAGTTGCGTTATGTGCATCATAGGGGTATGGGTATGTTAAAAATATGGTCAAAGATCAGTTCAAGATCACATCAAATCATACTGCCCGGAGAACAACGCCTACTGCGGCGCTGGTTCATCGGTGCTGGCGCGATTCAACCACGGGATCCAGCTCGCGCGGTTCGCCTTCTTGCGAGCCGCTTCCTCCTCCTCCTTGATTCTAGCGGTTTCGCTGACAAGACGTAGAGGGCGCAACTTGTCCTGTTGCATCACCGCTCCAGTGTAGTTGTTCATGCCACCACTGGATCGAGGAGGGCTGGAGGTAGCCCCGGTGGAAGCTGTATCTCCGTGAGGATCGCTTGTGACACTAGGGGAGCTGCTGCGACCGGTCCGATCGGGCTGGCTGGACATGGAGGGTGCGCGACTCATGCTAGATATATAACTTGCTGCTCCGGAGAACATGCTCTGGCGGGATCCGGGGCCCATTGCAGTCGGGCTGATGGGTCCGCCCGAGTTACGTCCCCCGCGGTACATGTGACCAACCACACTCGCGGCACTTGGGTCGACTTGTTCCGAGCGGCTGCGCCGGTGGCTGGCTCTCACAGACTGCGTACGGAAGGGAATGCTTGGTGCAGTGTTGGGGTTCTCGTTGGGGTTGTTTTGAGAGGGGTGCGGTGGAGGCAGCATGCTGGTTGGACGCGACCGGGGTTGGGTTGAAGGGCGGGAATTTGGAACACCGACAACTGACTTCGCTCGTTGTATGAAACTTTGCGACGAACCATCATCTTTCTCCGGGGGAGTTGGGGGAAGCTCCTTTTCACTCCCCCCGGTCTTTGTGGTAGAGGTTTCCTCATCCTCGTTCCGGTCCAGAATATGCTCAAATCCATCATGCATAAGCAGTCTACTGATAATGCGCTCTATGTAGAGTGTCAGAGCTTTGTTCTGATCTTTGAGAGCCTTCACCTCTCCGTCCGGTTGTTGTGCGGCATCGGTTTCGGGCGACTCGTCCACAGATTCAAGCTCATCTGCCAAGGACCCCAGTCCAGCTGCCGACTCCTTTGTGGGGTTGGCATCCCGCATGAACTCGCCCTTGGCAAAGTCGCCAGTAAGAGTCTTCTCGCTGAGAAGAAGTTGATAGCTTTCATTGTCTTCCATCAAGCGGGCGTTGGCGACGCGGGCCTCGAGCAAGTCTTTCTCTAGTTCTTGCTGACGGCCGCCACCGGCGTTCTCCATCTCGACGAGTTTGATCTGTGACTCGGCCAGTTCGAGGCGTAATGACTCGATGAGTTTGTCTTTCTGGAGGAGAAGTGTAGAGTTGTTGCGGGATGGACTCCGCTCGATGTGGGGGGAGGGCGCGAATTGACCATCCACGTCCGGGGAAGATCGATTGCGGAAGCTCGCTATACCGGTGGTCAGTCTCTGAATGTAATCATCAGGGGTTGTAGGAGCATGAGTGTCTTACAAGATCGGGAGACTTGGTGGCGATCCCCTTCTGCGTTCATGCGCATGTCCTTCTGTGCTATCGAGTCCTTCAAGCGTTGAATGGTCGCCTGCATCTCTTCCTCCCGACTAGTCTGTTGTTCTTTCTCTTGGAGCATAGCATTCCGCTCGGCCTCGTGGTTTTGTTCCAGATCCCGGATCTGACGACCCTGGTCCCGAATTTCACTGTTGAGGGCCTCGATCCGACTGTCTCGCTCATGAGCCTGGTCCTCCAACTTGGTTTGCTCACTGATCGCCTCGTCGAGGCGCATTTGCAGAACGCCGAGCTGTTTTTGATATTGTTCGGAGGCACTTTCGGCCTTTTGCAGCTGTTCCCGCAGTTCCTCGATGAGGGCGGCATTCTGAGCCCGCGCCTCTTCTTCAGAAGGGTCGTTGGAAACTCGTGGTACGTTTGACATGCTGAGATTGGAACGGCCAGGTTTTCTTGCAGCTGCGCGCGCGGAAACAGGAGTCGAACCTCTTAAGGAGGGGGAACGGTTGAGACCGTTGGTTGCGCTGGGCGAGCGTGCATGCCCTCGTGTGGACCCGTTGTTGGAGTGCGGATCTGCGGTTGATGATTTGCTGGAACTGCCGGGAGTTCCAGGCTTTCGAGGCGTTGCTGACATGGTGAAAGGGCCCAAGTCCGACGCTGGTGAATGTATAAGAAAAGTAAAATGTATATAAACCCCCGTATTATACCTCAATGGGGGGAAGAAAAGAAGATTTCAGGGTTGCAAGTGTAATTAAGAGCGGTCAAAACTTAGTGGACACCTTGTGGAGAGCGCTTGTATGGGAAAATTGAAGGCGAGGAATGCGGATGAAAGCTGTCACAGATTGATTGCGTGCCACATGGTTGATCGAAATTGGAAATTCATCGGAAACAATGGTATGAGAGTCGGAATGAGAAAGGCATTGAGAAGAGTGATGGTTGCAGACCTTAAAATCAAAGTTGTTCTTGAGAATGCGGATCCCCTTACTGTATCTAAAAATACGCAACGGCTTTGGGGGCTGGAGCAATACGAGGGGACTTTCTGGAAGAGGAAAAGATAAATCACGGAGTGAAATAAGGAGACCGTATAGCTCCCTTGGGTTTATTATCAGTTCTACAACTGGGGACTGTTGACATGGCACCATGGGAGGACCAATACAAGCGCATTTGGCCCGTTTCGGAAAAGGATACTGATGCCTCAGGCGGCACACCTGGAATAATGTATTTCCATCTCTCCACAATTATGTAATTAAGATCTACGGAAATCCGACCCACTCGGCCGCCTCTGATCTTCGGAATTATGTTGATGGGCCTTGAGATGAAATTCTCTATAAGAAGGGAGTAGGATGGATATGATTCTCTATACACGGTAGGTATGTACTGAGTATGAACTACTATGAATAACCTGGTTAGGCGGAACGCCTTCCCGATTCACCACCTATCTTCTGGCAGAATACTCAGTGATAGTTAATGTGACAATACGGGCCGCAATGGTGCAAAATACATGTAGGAGAAAGCAGAATCTTCCTCATCAAATTATTGCAGTATATGGCATCCATCTTAACATTGTCAACAGTGTTTGACTACATCATAAAGGGGTAGGTGGAAAGGAAACGAAGAGATGGACTAAAATTTATGTCTTTCTTGTCCCATTATAAACATGAAGGACTGTGAGAATAGTGCCTACTAGGTACATGTACCTACCTATATAGGTACATATATGTCGGGTATGTAGGGATTATATACTGACGCAGAATCACATGACCTCTGTTTGCTACCTAAACCTCGGATGGGAAGTTGGGTAGCCCCTCCTATCTTGCAGTCAGTTCCATCACAAATTATTGAAACTGTCTTCAGCAATTTCTACCTAGAAAGGCAACATTCGAAGGCAAGTATACCATAACACTGCCGATCCTCGAGTTGAGCAACCTGAACATCGCTGACGCGCTCGCTGAGATTAGGTGACCGTCATAAACGAAATCAACGGCTCTGTATTTCAAAAGACAAGGGCACAAGATGATAAAGACCTGGAAGAGGAAGCGAAATCCTTATTGGTTAGAATCCTGTGTGTTTTGCGTGCTTTAACTGCTTACCTTTCTCCTTATAGAATGGGAAGGCCGTGGTCCTTGAAACAGAGTATTTCAACGGGAGAATTCTAGATTCAAGTATTGCCCCTGCGGTTCTAATACACGGAGACGAGGGAAAGGGCTTCATCCACTCGCGCCTTGCTGAGGGCAGTATTGACATACTTGCAACAGGCCTTACACCAGGGACTGGTCGAAGAATTATCGTTCTCAGTGATAGACGTACTGGCCTCGTTTTTAGAAATGTAGTAATGCGACGTTTCCTTTTCCGAGATGCCTGACGTCTAGAGCCAAAGATACTGAATGAAGGAATAACACAATTCCCTCGTATCTCGATGTTGATATTTAGACCGGGAGGTAGTTGAAGATTGGTATGGATATATGGAGGTGCCGAATTGTCGAGAGAGTATGAAAGATGTAGGTTAGGCCCACTAATTCGAAGTAGCCCGCTACCGGCTTGTAAATGAGGGAAATGGGCTTAATACGCATAGAGGAAGCCAATGAGCTGTGAAGGAAGGAAGGATATCGGCTCTTTATCAGTAATATTTGCAGTAAAGGCTCCGAGCGAACCTTTGACATATTAGCATGTTTATGAAACTACGCTTATATATAGACAAACCTGAACCCCCGGAAACTGGTAACTGCGCACCGAGGCCGTTCTCGGTCCTATCATTATCTGCAATTCTGTCAGCACAATCCTAATAAAGCAAAGAATGGAGACATATTACCAAACTTTAAGAGGGCATCTTGGAATTGGGAGGGTTGGTCAACTGGGCTCCTTTGTAGTGTTGTTGGCTCTGAAGGAGAGGCGCGCACCTTCTATTTGACACCTCGCGGCATCCTAAAAGTCCGACTTTTTGTACGCTCTTTTGGGCGGAAAGAAGCAAAATTTAGTTATAGCGCGTTCAGCAAGTGGAAGGAATATTTACGTTGTACATGCACAAGACCTCCTCTTTCTCTTTCGTCGGCCAGCTCGTGAATGAGCTCAATCGCGTGTGATTCGAACTTTTGGGAGGGTGCATTGTTCTTCTGCCAGTTTCCAGGACGAGGAAATACTTTCCGATAGTCTAATAATGCTAATAATGCCAGACCAGTGATAGAGATTGTAACAGTAACAAGGACAAACAGGGGCTTCGCTATGGAGTATATATTCTTAAGGTGTTGTCGTGCTTTATCATGTCTGTTTTGCGACTGCCGCGATCCTGGGGGTTTGACTATGTTGCGCAGAAGGCGATAAGACGATTCTAGTCCTCTCTGGCTGTTCGCATCTAGAAATGGGCTACTATCAAGTATGCTTTTTTTGTCAATAAGAGAGTCGAAGAAATTCTCAGTCGACGACATGGTGCTGACACTTGTAACTATTTTACCACTATGCCCAAACAATTACCTAGGTATTACTTCGGTACATTTTTGTCAAAATATTGCAGGCTACGACTATGTACAATTACACGTGTCGTGGTTCACCAGGAGTTTCCACTACACTATATAAGTAACTATCTTCTTAATAGGAACTTCACCTTAAAACTGACTGATTTTAGTCGTGCTACCACTATCAGACAGCCACTCGAAGGTACCTTACCTCCTCGGGCCTAACTAATACTTACTAGACTATTAAAAGGCACGTACAGACTCTATTCTGCTAGAACTAAACAGTGTATAGTTGGAACGCTTCTATACTTTATAGTATATAGCTATAAACTCTATAACGACGTTATCCTTAGCGCCACGGCATAGGATCGCTGATTTAGAGAAATAGAATTTCTAGAACTTAACTGTAATAAAGTTTTTGAAAGTCTTATCTCTACTTGTTAGCACAATGTCTATCCTATAATAGCCTTAGTAGCGTACGAGTTCAAGCGCAAAACCAAGGATATGACCCGGGATATAAAGAACATCTTTATCGACTCTATAAAGGAGATAAAGACCTATAAAGGATTGGTTCGCAAAGGTTTGCTAGGCCCTAAATTGGCTCTCCCCTTTCACCCGGCCTGGCGAAGATACCTACATGCTGTTATGACCAGAGACATTTCTATTTGGTAATTCCTTCTACAGAGAACATTCTGGATCTCCTCTTGATGACCGGGCGGGGCTTGTGCCGTTTGACAAGCTGAGGTGCTTGGACTCATAGTCTTCAACCAAAAAGAGAATACTTTATCGTATGGCTGTTTGATGGACACCCACTTAGTTGCATCTTGGTTAGCAATTTAGATCCGAAAAGGCGAAGATATTCCCCCCGCTCTTATCATTATTTCAACAGACCTCGACGCTAAGTTCGTATAATGGTCTGCAGCAAGCACCAATAAAGGTGTGGAGAGCCGGCAAAAGTTGTCGCAGCTCAACTGTATCGATCTGTCGAGATAATATCAACCAACTCAACCTTCGTACGACGGCAGCGTATAGCCGCTAGTGGGCCATATGGTATGTTTCCATATTAAATTTTGACTGTCATACCGCCAGTTTACTATTACCTACAAACTGGGGTCTATATGATTAATTCCTACAATATCAACTTCTACAGTGCCATTTCTACAATATCCTAATTCCTATAATAAGAATAATTGGCCGCTTATACGGCTGTGGTCTCCTTAGTGGTCTTCTTAGGTAGTCTTTTTTGTAGTCTTTTTTGTAGTCTTTTTTGTAGTCTTTTTTGTAGTCTTTTTTGTAGTCTTTTTTGTAGTCTTTTTTGTAGTCTTTTTTGTAGTCTTTTTTGTAGTCTTTTTTGTAGTCTTTTTTGTAGTCTTTTTTGTAGTCTTTTTTGTAGTCTTTTTTGTAGTCTTTTTTGTAGTCTTTTTTGTAGTCTTTTTTGTAGTCTTTTTTTGTAGTCTTTTTTGTAGTCTTTTTTGTAGTCTTTTTTGTAGTCTTTTTTGTAGTCTTTTTTGTAGTCTTTTTTGTAGTCTTTTTTTGTAGTCTTTTTTAGTAACGGGAGGGGACTGCCCAGGTGGCAGCGATTATGGAGGACTAATGGAAGCACTGGTGTATGTTGTATAGGCGAGGAGGTGATGTCATTAAGATGTAGCCCCGTATACTTGTTCTTTTGCTCAACTCCATCAATTCATGAACATCAGAAACAAGAGCAATGTATGGGAAACGTCCGCTATGTGTGAACGTAGGAATATCGTGTCGGACACGGATGTAGAGGATGGATTTCTGCCACACCTTCCTCCTGACACGCCAGTCTTTCACTACAATCCCCAATGCGATCTAGAAAGTCCCATGCCTTCCGTATCACCACACGACTGCTTTGTTGTTATTAAAGCGTTTCCATCAAAAGCACTCGATGAACTTGACGAACAGCTGCCCGGCCGTCTTGATTACTCCTTATCACTTCAAACCCTCATCCTCAAATTGCCCAGCCACCCCCACGAAGAAGCTGCTTCCCGGTTCGAATACTTGATTTATGCGTCTCGCCCATCAAATGAAGGTCTCTCGTCGAATCTCCTGTCTAGGAGCCACCCGTATCGATGGCGAGGATCGAAAAAAACAAGCGGACCGGGCATGGAGTCCAATACGGCAAGGACATCAATTTCCAACATTAGTTCTTGAAGTCGAATATTCAGAGACCGCTGAAAAACTGCAAAGAGACATTGCTTGGTGGTTGCGTGAATCAAAAGGACGGATGATAATGGGCATCACCATCGACATCAAACGAGGTTCAGGAAACATCGAAATCAAATCTTGGGTTCCTGCAATGTCATTTCCACAGCACGCCAGTACAGCACCGCAAGTTGCGCAGAGGATCTTGATAGAACGAGGGGGAAATGGCCAGGAACCCACTATCCAGGGCGGAGATTTGATTATTCCATTTCAGCATTTGTTATTGAATGAACCACGAGAAGGAGATTGGGATTTTGTTATTACCCAAGATATGTTGCTCCACGAATTTGCAGAGCTCATCTGGGCTGCAATTGAGGAGGGAAACGCCTAGCCCTGGAAGACATCCTGTGCAGCTCCAACGACCTTATTTATGATGGTTCATATATTTCACGGACACTTCCGGCTTGCACATTGCTCATTCTTCTCTATGCCACATCGAGGACAACGTTTATCTGCTCAAAGGGGGGCTCACTCTCCAGTCCATGTGGCCTGTCACATCGTCCTTTAGCTTTAGTCCCAGGTTGAATGAACCTTCCTTCGGGGTCTAGCTTTTGCTGTTACAGATCATCCTCGGATGCTCCCTTGATGGGCATGATGTTTTCTTCGCTACTGGCAACATATTTGGCTATTAGACTGACTCCATCACCCAGGCCAGCAAAGGGCAACTCTTAAGTTCAAATTCCACTTAATATAATTGTTTAATTATGTAATTGTTGAGTAGTGCACTATTCCCAGCTGATATCGGCTACATCTGTATTTAGAAGTAGACCTCATTATAGTGTCTTCTAGTTTTTTTGCTCACTACATATGATACATTCGGGGGAAGGAATCGGACCCAAAAGGTCCTCCGTGTATCATTCCAAGTTCATCTAGGTTGCAAATCTATGTAAAAGTTCCTGGTCATATGAATGTACATGTCTATGCCTCATTCCTGCTATCTAGAAGAGGATCGCGCACTGATAGTCCTGGCTTATTCTCTGCCAATCGTTCGCGATACAGGCCAAAGTGCTGAAAGATGAAGATTAGATCAAATAGAACGCTGATGTTGCCCAGCAGGAGTTTGGCAATGTTGCCAACGGCGCCCGACCAGTCCGCCTGCAACGAGGAATCCAGCACCAGCTGCATCAGCGACAGAACCGCACCGGACAGATCTAGCAAGATTGCCCCGATGGAAAACCCAGTTGTTGACTGCCGCCGATAATTCATCGCTGCCTGGGGTGTGTATTTGACGGCCGTGAGGAACACCTTGATCATGCCGACCACGTACACCTTAAGGAATAGTTCCGTCAGCGTATGTTAACTCCAGGATAGTTAGTAATTTCATGGAGCAGGTTTCCTCTTACCACATCAATCCATTCCCAAGACATCGACACCATAACCCACAGAACGGTCAGAGGGACCACCCCCAGGCAGCCCCAAAAGAGCACGAGAGCTAGCGTACTCGCCCGCTGCTGCTTGGAATTAAAGTTCCAAAACCGTGCACATAGGAAGTGGCTGCTGGTCCAGCAACAGATCAGTGCCCCGTGAAGGGCGTAGACGAAATCGTTCCATTGGACGGTTGGTTCAGGGCTCTGCGGATGTCGCTGGGCATACTGAGCGCGCACAACCGGGGAAAAGAGGAAGCACGCGTTGAAAACGGTGTACGCAGATAGTCCGAGCACGTTGAGCAGAGCAAAGTCAATAGAGAAGCCGTCTGTTGAGCGGCGGCCGTGGTTCTGCAGGACTTGCGGATAGAATGACAGTGACCACAGGACGAAATAGCCCCAGCCCAGGATTTGAGAGATGCTTTCTGTCCAGGTGTCATTCATCATGAAAATGGCAAGGTGGACAGAAAATTATCAATGGAAATTAAAGGATCATCCGCATTCCAGCCTTCGGAATAGACCCCGGAGTTCGGGGTAGGTATCCAGAGTTCAACCTCAAAAGAGCCTCAACGGCGATGACATCGACATGAATGTCATTACAGGTACCTAGATAACCTTTGAAGTACTATATCTACGGAGTCATGCCTCTCGTCCCCTGTGGAAGACCCCAAGGAAAGCCATTTATCATGGCGCTCGTGGGATGGCTTTTGTCAGGGCTATTGGAATTGAAATCATGTATCTTAGAATATCAGAACATAGAATTACAACTAAAGCTACGTTTGAATACTTCTTCGTCATGTTGGACAAGCTTGCCTTCGCAACGGTTTGAAGCTCTTCAACCTCATGCTGGGTCCCTCGCATACAACGCTTGGATGGTAGAATCCAAATCCTGATATAAGTCATAGGCATTTCCTGATGCGCTGAACAGCTGGGTAGTTCCCGTATAGAACACTGTCACATTTCCCTTCAACAACCCCGGCATGGAGGGGGTCTCCTGGGTGTAAGGGAGTTCGGCAACATTTACAGCCGCATTATTAATCTTGAATAAGCACCGCCCAATGGTGACGTCCAGCTGACCAATTTTGTCACTTCTACCTAGGTAGCCCACAGTAATCGTATGCCATAAGCACATGTTGGCCCTCGAGGGGGGCAAGGCCGCGTGGGTGATATTGGCGTCGGAGATAGCATCGCGACGTCAACGGTCCATAGATCCACATACCATCAGTTCAAAGTCATCGCTCCACAATTGGGGATTGAGTATGTATTTGTGACCTGTAATGACCCTAAGGACTTTCGAACCTTGATTGATAATCGGGAAGAGCAAGTTCCTTATGCCCACCGGTAACTAGGTCGGCATGCAGATCCCAACCCATAGGTTGTTTTAGTTTCTTAGTTATGCCTAGCAAAGGACTTGCCGTTTATTGCTTTGTGTTGAGCTCACTTGTTTTTAGCTCCTTACGCAAGCTAGGATACGACTCGAAGTATACGTGAAAATCGAATGGTAATAACCTAGGGAGTAGACATCCATGAATCCCTCGGGAAAGCCGGGTGCTCCATTTATCAGCACGATAAAAGTGGACCAAAACGGGATTAGTGGAGAAAGCTTTGGACCAATCAAAGTCTGTAACTGTAACTTGGGTTGAGGCCTGAGCGCTCAGGCATTAATAGGGTTAAACCCTTTTGCCACAGAGTTGCTTGGAAATCAAGACCCGTGACCACAGCGAAACCCTCTTTTCTCTTTCTCCTTCCGAACCCTCGACAACCACCGACAAATACCCAGTTCGCAGGAAGTGCCATCACCACCCTTCGAACACTCAAAATGGCCCGTCGTCCCGCGAGATGTTACCGCTACTGCAAGAACAAGGTGCGTGCCGATTTCGATTTTCGCGAGCTTTTGAAGATTTGTGCGGGTTATCTTAGTGGTGGGGAGTGCATCAATACATCGCCAACGGACCACCTCGCCATGACCGGAATGTTACCTTTGCTATGAGGAGTGACGCTTGTGGCACTGTGCTTCTGCATTTTTTTGGATCTTTTTTTTTTAAGACGGGCCGGTTTCGCTGACATCAGACCTCGACATCCAGCCTTACCCAAGTCCCGGTTCAACCGTGGTGTTCCCGACCCTAAGATTCGTATCTTCGATCTTGGTCGTAAGAAGGCTAACGTGGATGACTTCCCTACCTGCATCCACTTGGTTTCCAACGAGTACGAGCAGCTGTCCTCCGAGGCTCTCGAAGCCGCCCGTATTTGCGCCAACAAGTACGTTACTCGATCCGCTCCCACATCTGTCGCGTGATATCCATGGACACAATCTCATAGATTTCAATAGGTACCTTGTGAAGATCGCCGGTAAGGAAGGTTTCCACCTGCGCGTCCGTGTGCACCCCTTCCACGTCGTCCGTATCAACAAGATGTTGTCTTGCGCTGGTGCCGATCGTCTGCAGACCGGTATGCGTGGTGCCTTCGGTAAGCCCCAGGGTCTCGTCGCCCGTGTGAACATTGGCCAGATCATTCTGTCCGTCCGCACCCGTGACGCCCACCGTGCTACCGCTCTCGAGGCCCTCCGCCGCTCTCAGTACAAGTTCCCCGGTCGCCAAAAGATCATTGTCTCCAAGAACTGGGGCTTCACCCCCGTCCGCCGCGAGGAGTACGTCCAGCTCCGCCAGGAGGGCAAGCTCCTCCAGGACGGTGCCTACGTTCAGTTCCCTCCGTGGCCACGGTCCCGTTGAGCAGAACATGAAGCGCTTCCCTACTGCCTTCGAGAACGTTGCTTAAATGTGATGGGTTGATCAGAATATGAAGTTCAGAACGAAAATACTTGAATGTTCTTATTGTCTTTAACTTGTCCCATTCATTGATATCAATATCGTGCAATCGCAATGATGGAGTTCTTCCAGGGGTCTTTTCATTTGCTCGCCTATATTGCACTGTAGAGCTGTCCATCTATCTGGCAGTACCGTAAATACATAATTTTTCGTTGCAGCCCTGGAGTGGGCAACACGAGCTTTTCCGACCATGCACAGATCAATGCGAGGTGCAGACATTATATCTACGAGGTAGCGAAACTGTCAGGAGTCTAGACCCAACTCCATAATGGGGGTTTTTCCTCGATGATCAGAGCAGACAAAAAGGGCTAAAATATGGGTCACATCGGAAGGCTGCAGCACCATCCATCGCATAACATTGTCCTGCAGGCTGCATTGCTTTTTCCCTCGAGTTTTCAGTAGTTACATGCACGCGTATTATTAAAGAAACTGGCGCTAATTCGAGTGCAAAATAAAAACGGACCGACGTTAGACTTACATTATTGGGTATATAGGTGATATCCGTAGGATATCACATATTCTACACTACATCTACCAACAACATTCGAGACTAATCAGATTTACACTTGCTATTAGGAAGTAAACTAAGGCCCATTCATTCTTTAGCCCATTGCTATGTCCGTTCACTCGAAAAAAATAAAAGATCAGATGGACATCAAAGTATATATAACCTCCAGGGCTCCTTATTGAGGCGGCGACCCACCACAACGTTCCTTATGCAATTCACCGGCGACTAAAAGTAAGTCAATTAGCCCAAGTCTCCAAATAGTTCCAATATGGTGCGAGGCCAATTGAAAGGTATAGCAAGAAGACTGGAATGGGCGAGGGGAATATACCTTCGAAGTCTTCCGGGCTACCAGTAGCGTCCAAACAGACACCGAGCGCATCCTTGAACGCTGGGCTTGGGCAAGTGCACTCGTAATCAACAGAGGAAATACAGCCTGATACTGCAGTGGCTTCATTGATACACCGAATCTGTTCGAGATAAGACAAGGTGGTTAGTCCTCCGAATCGAATTATACACCCAGATAGGGACAGCATACAAGGCCAGGACTGGCGTCATCCAGAGGATCAGCGATAGTCAAAGACAGGAAAGCAGCCAGAGGGAAGAAGATAGTAAGCTTCATTTTGGATTGGTGTTGAACGTGGGCTTAATAGTGGTATAGCGATAGAAGACTAGGAGTATGAAAGTGGAAGAGTTGAGAAACACAGGACGCCCTTGATTTATCAACAGTCAATCTATTTGCCGAGTGCTAGGAGAGACAATGCATTCTTTATAATATGGATATCTCAACATCAACAAACCCGCTGTCTGGGTGATCTGTGGAATGGTATTTCGTTGGAATGTGAGATCATCCAAGCTTTTGGAAATGTCAAGGTTACAGCGCCAGATAATGGATTGAATACTACATCTATCTATTGCACAGTACATAATATAATAATAATTTGGCTCAATTGGGAGTCCCAAGCAAAAATTGACTTTGTGATATGACTTGAGCACTCGTTGTTGCCCAGGTGGCCACCGAGGGAGAGAGAGCTTTCCACCCACCACATACCTCAATAACACAATACTGTTGATCCGTCAAATTGCCAGCCAACGTACAACAATTCGATTGAGTGCAGAGCTCCGATACTGCATGTGCACGCATGTTACTTTATTGCTCGGAGCCGCTTATAACCGGCACCACTACTAGCCTGGAGCCTACATCGTACTTCGAAGGTATTTGCCTAGTCATTTCTCAATGGGTCTCTTTTTTCTCAGTTGAAGATTCCCATGGCGTAATACTAAAATGAGAGGAGACACCTAGTGGTGCTGTGCACCTTGAAGAACAACCTGGGGCATCCATCCATATCAAGAAACCGCAATTTAGTCAGATACATCTGTCCGTAACACAGGCCTTCCAGCGCGACATAGAGTGGAAATCTAGATGCCCATCGTTGGGGTGTCGAGATGACACCCCTCAATTCGATAGTTGCAGATTGCTCCATGCATTCCAGAGAGCTCCCAAAAGGAACTTTCTTGTAAAATGGAAAACCTTCAATTTAGAGATCGTGAAGTGGACACCGTCAAGGCAGGTGACACCTAATAGAGAACATGTCCACCGATATGTATACGTAGATATATACGGGGAGGAAAAGTCGCTCAGGTTATGAGGCGAGGATATGAGAGTTTTTGGTATAACTGTGCCGGCCTATACATACATGTAACTCTCTAGGATCATTTACAAGTATATCTCCTTGCAAACCAAAGAAATCTGTATAGGCAGTAGTTTCAAGGTGATAGAGGGCTGAAGTATACAAAATAACACGCGATGGCCGCTATTCTTACTATTCCGGATTAGGACCCCGAGTAGAAATACCTTTTATTGGTTGCGGTATGCACCGCCCTTTTGTTCCGCCTTGATCAAATCTGAAAAGATGACCAACTTTATATCTCTTTTCCTATTACACACCACTTTCCTTTAATCCTATACACTGAGATATTCCAGTTCAACAGATCTAGGCACAAGTTCCATATTTACGCGGTGTTCAGGATCTACATACTACGCAGGTGAGTGGGGTAAATGATTGGTTTTCTGCCAGGCAGTATTAACTCGCATGGTAGATTTCCTCGTACAGCTAGTTCCAGCCCCGCATACGTCACCCTCAAAAAAATTCCCCTCTCTTCACAAACACAGCTATGAAGCAAAGATTCTCTTCTTTGGATGTCAAGGTATCTTCAAATTAACTGCAAAGAAGATGTCACGCTAACATCCCCAGGTCATCACGCAGGAATTGGCATCGGAGTGTGTCAACCTCCGAGTGTCCAACATCTACGATCTGTCCTCGGTACGCTCAATTCTTTTCTATGCCATCAAGGTTACCGAGCTGATTTAGTATGTTATTAGCGTATATTCCTTTTCAAGCTCGCCAAGCCAGACCACCGACGCCAACTCATTATTGACTCCGGCTTTCGCACTCATGTTACCCAATATTCGCGAACCGCGGCAACAACACCTTCACCCTTTGTGACCCGTCTTCGAAAGTACCTCAAGTCTCGTCGGATTACAGGTATCTCCCAAATTGGAACCGATCGCATCATCGACTTCTCTTTCAGCGATGGCGCATACCATATCTTCCTCGAATTTTTTGCCGGTGGCAACATTATCTTGACGGACCGCGAATACAACATTCTTGCCGTCTTCCGCCAAGTTGCCGCCAGTGTGGGCCAGGAAGAGATCAAGGTCGGACTTAAGTACACTGTATCTAATAAACAGAACTATGATGGGGTTCCGGACATCACAGCGGATCGAGTTCTGCAGACACTGGAAAACGCACAGGCGCTTTTCGCCCTAGAGGGAAATGCACCCAAAAAGTCCAAGAAAAAGGGAACGGATGTTCTGCGCAAGGCACTGTCGCAAGGCTTTCCTGAATACCCTCCCTTGCTTCTAGACCACGTCTTTGCGATCAAGGAATTTGATACTACAACTCCACTGGAGCAAGTCTTGGGGAGCCAAGATAAGTTGCAGGCCGTGAAAGAAGTGCTAGAAGAATCGAGGCGAATTTCCAACACCTTTGATTCTGGGGAAAGCCATCCGGGCTACATTGTTGCGAAAGAAGACACGCGACCCATCCCAGAAGGAGAGACTGCGTCAAAGGCCCCGGCTCTGCTGTACGAAGACTTCCACCCTTTCAAACCTCGACAGTTTGAAAACAAACCAGGAACAAAGATCCTGGAGTTCGAACGCTTCAATGCCACGGTCGACGAGTATTTCTCATCCCTTGAATCTCAACGCCTCGAGTCGCGATTGACGGAGCGTGAGGAAGCGGCCAAGAAGAAGCTCGAATCCGTGCGGTCGGAGCACAAAAAGCGGATCGATGAGCTCAAAAACGTGCAGGAACTTCACATCCGCAAAGCGGATGCTATCCAGGACAACGTTTACCGAGTCCAGGAGGCAATGGATGCTGTCAACGGATTAGTGGCCCAGGAATGGACTGGGGTGAAATTGCGCGCCTGATTGAGATGGAACAGGGTCGCGGCAATCCAGTGGCGCAGACCATCAAGCTGCCCCTCAAACTGTACGAAAACACAGTCACCCTAGTTCTTGGGGAAGCCGGCGACGACGAGGATGAAGACGAGGAGTTTTCTAGCAGCGATGAATCAGACTCGGACTCGGAGAACGAGGCAGAGCAAGAGACAGCCCGTGCGGAACGAGAGTCTAAGCTATTGACAATAGACATTGACCTTGGCCTGAGCCCATGGGCGAACGCATCGCAATACTACGACCAGAAGAAGCAAGCCTCGGAGAAGGAACAAAGGACAACCCAGTCGTCTGCGAAGGCATTGAAGAGTCACGAGAAGAAGGTGACAACCGACCTCAAGCGAGGCTTGAAGAAAGAGAAGCAAGTGCTTCGACAGGCTCGGACGCCATTCTGGTTCGAGAAATTTATCTTTTTCATTTCTTCAGAGGGATATTTGGTCATAGGGTACGTGGCCCCATTCAGCACTGGGTTGTGATATCTACTAACATTAATAGTGCACGGGATGCTATGCAAAGCGAATTGCTCTACCGACGTTATCTGTCTAAGGGCGATATCTTTGTGCACGCTGACCTTGAAGGTGCGACGCCGATCGTGGTGAAGAACCGAGCCGGTAGTGCAGATGCACCGATCTCCCCAAGCACGCTATCCCAAGCCGGCAACCTTTGCGTCGCGACGTCAAGTGCTTGGGATTCTAAGGCTGTCATGTCTGCTTGGTGGGCGCATGCTCATCAGGTATCGAAAATCGCAGAGAATGGTAGCGGAATCATGCCCACAGGTGTTTTCCAAATCAAGGGAGAGAAGAACTTCTTGGCCCCATCGCAACTGGTTCTTGGATTTTGTATTATGTTCCAAATCAGCCAGGAAAGCGTTCGGAACCACAAGCAGCGATTTGACACATCTGACGTTCCGCAAGCCGCTATAACTACTACAGATGAGACAGAGGCTTCTGAGGCGAAGGATGCCGTAGAGCCAGAAACCCCAGAGCAGACAGAGACCGCCGAACAGGGCCCTGGAGAGATTACCGAAGAGGCCACCGAAGAGGCAGAGAAGGAAGATGCGGGATCTGAAGATGAGGATGAAGATGAGAAAGTCGCCACCAGAAACCCTCTCCAGCGAGGCAACTCGGAGCCCCTGACCTCTCAGCCAAGTCAAGAATCGGACCCTGAGTCTGAGCCGGAAGAAGAATCGAAGGATGAGCCGGAGCAAGAAGTTGCAGAAGATCAGCCGGAGGGCGAAGAAACCACAACGACAGCAGGAACAGCAGGTCAAAATTCTGTGCTCGAACAAAATGAAGAACCGAATTTGAACGCTCGAGAGCGACGTACCTTGCGACAGGGCAAGCCTCTTGACCGTCCCGCTGAGGAAAAACCAGCTGCACCACGTATCGCTCCCACTCGCGGCAAGCGGGCGAAAGACAAGCGCGCTGCTGCCAAGTATGCTCATCAAGACGAAGATGAGCGGGAACTTGCTCTTCGTTTAGTGGGTGCCAACAAAGGCAAAGCAGCTAAGGCGGCCAAGGCAGCTGAAGCCAAGGAACAGCGTGAGCGAGAGGCCGAGGCGCAAAGGCAGCGACGCCGGGCCCAGCATGAGCGTGCCGCCGAGGCCGAGCGGAAACGCCAGGCTCAATTCACGGAAAATGGAACGGACGACTACAACGAGGAGACAGCTGCCGCAGAAGCTGCAGATCTCACTTGGATTCCAGCCCTTGTGGGCACACCGACTCCGGATGACGAAATTATTGCTGCTATTCCAGTATGCGCCCCATGGGCTGCCCTTGGACGCTACAAATACAAAGTTAAGCTGCAGCCTGGCTCAGTGAAGAAGGGCAAGGCCGTCAAGGAGATCATTGGTCGGTGGGTGTCCGAGACCACGACCGGGAAGGTCAAGAAGGAGCACGCCGAAGATGTCGGGATCTCTCGTGCTGATGCTGAACGCCTCCGGGAACGGGAGGGAGAGCTCATCAAGGGTTGGAAGGACACAGAGATTATCAACACTATGGTTGTGGGCAAGGTGCGCATCATGACTGCAGGAGTTGGAAGCGGAGGAGGTGGTGAGAAGGGTAAGGGCAAAGGTGGAAAAGGTGGAGGTGGAGGTGGCAAAGGAGGTAGTAAGGGCAAGAAGAAATGATTGAGTCTTGTGTATACATTAGAGAGCACATAGATTAGAGCTTTGGATTCAATTCAACGAGGTTATACAAGATGCCTAGGTGGTACCTTTGGTGTCAAGCCGATGTATACCAAACCTGGTCTCTTTATGCCAGCTGATCGACCACAACCCCGCTTCGACTAGTTTATCTACACTTATTTCAACCTCATGCAATCATGAATAACCCCTATTCTTCCAAATCTATTGCCAATCATAATACCGTTGTCGGTGTTGATGAGCTGAGTCATCCGACGTCATGACCCGAACCGATTTTCTCGCGATCTTCAATATAGGGCCTCTTATCGCTTCTGACGGTATTGTGCAGAATGATAGTCAATGTACGCTAGAGACGACTTCTGATTCTACGCCGACGAGCAAAAAGAAGACTTTGCCCCGCGCAACCAGAACCCGGCCTCTCGGGCATCATTTCGCCCCTCATCTGATAGCGTGTGCGCCCGAATGGTGCGTCATTGAGTCTTCTCAAACATCACGTTGTTTTTCACTCGCGCTTTTGCCGGCCACTGTCAGCGCAGTTGTGCCAGACTCTTGAACACAATGTCTACAAAAACGCGAGTTGTCCCCGTCCAACGGCTCAGCGAAGGGCCCGGCGATTTATCTCTGGCGGAATGGTGGGAGAAGGAGCGCAAGCAAAAAACGCCCGAGTCGCAAGCCATCGAAGAAGCTGCCAAACTCCTCCGGTCTAGTGACATTCCAGTTGCCTTTCCTACCGAGACAGTATATGGTTTAGGAGCCGATGCCACGCGCAGTTCTTCGGTCCAGGGAATCTACCGCGCCAAACAGCGGCCCTCAGACAACCCGTTAATCGTTCATGTCGACTCACTCGACATGCTTGAGCGTCTCCTAAATCCCACCTCTCAAGGCAGCCCTAGCTCAACCAAGACGCCGCCAATCGCCCTCCCCCCCGATCTACAAGCCTCTGATCGATAGATTCTGGCCCGGCGCACTGACAATTATTCTACCTAACCCATCCGGATCCATACTGGCGTCAGAGGTCACCTCTAGCCTGACCACCTTCGGCGTCCGCATGCCCTCTTCACCACTGGCACGCCTACTCATCCACGCAGCCGACCGTCCCCTCGCCGCGCCATCTGCAAATGCATCCACCAAACCATCCCCAACAACCGCGCAGCACGTATACCACGATCTCAAAGACCGCATCGACCTGATTCTTGACGGCGGCGCATCTGGCGTTGGCGTCGAAAGCACCGTGGTCGACGGGTTATGTGACCCACCAGTGGTTCTTCGCCCCGGCGGCATCGGCATCGACGAAATACGGAAATGCGAAGGGTGGGAAAGTGTAGCAGTCGGCTACAAAGACGGCACGCTAGACGTGAAGGAGGTTCCACGCGCACCGGGCATGAAGTACCGCCATTACTCGCCAAAAGCACGGGTTGTTCTCTTCGAGCCGACATCAAACCCGGCCGGAGTGATGAAACATGTCCTAAAGGACTTGAAAGATACAGCCATTGGCGCACACAAAATTGGTATTATTCGCACGCGGAACTGGGAGCTCGGCTTGGGGCTCGCTTCGGAAGATGACATCGCCACGACCATGAACCCCGTGCCTTCTCCCATTGGGAACGTTGTCAGTTTCCCGGTTCCCGTGCTACAGGATGGAAACTCAAGTAGCTGCACGAAGGTCGCATATGATTACCATCTTGGCTCGGATGCAGTTTCCATCGCGCATGGTCTCTTTGCCGCCCTACGCGGGCTGGATGAGCTTGATGTGGATGTTATCTACGTGGAAGGTGTGTCAGATCGCGAGGGTGACCTGGCTGCAGCTGTCATGAACCGGCTACGAAAGGCTGCTGGTGCCGAACTGCGAGTTTAGTCCTGAAGATGGGCTACGATTACGTATATTTTCTTTTATTCCAAGACTTGGGTGTTTTTCGGGGTTTAGATAGAGGCTTTGAAAAGTGTGAATATTAGATTCAAATATATTTGAACATACAATATTACGTATAATCAATGTCTTATATGCACGGAGTGTCAAGAGGAGCTGTGATTGGAGCCTCTTGGACTTACTCGTTTGGTGAATCCTGTTGATCTCTTTATTCGACGTGGACTTCGGAGACCTCCGGGGAAAAGCTTATCGATCGGCCTAATGTTGGGATTAAAAGTCTGCGGGTGATAAAAGACAGCTGTGTCACGAAAATGAAGGGCCGTGATAGCCTGAGATACCAGCGGGGGAAAAAGGAAACTCGTCCGGCACTTATATCTCCGCATTGATGTAGAAAATCCTCACCCCCGAATAAACTTACTCACTGCAACCCACAACAATGTGTCAATCTCCTTTGCACGAGTTCCTAGAGGGCCTCCCTAAATGTGAACACCACGTCCATCTCGAGGGCACCCTTGAGCCAGAACTCATCTTCGATCTCGCGACGCGCAATGGTATCACCTTGCCGACCGACCCAGTATATACCTCGGTCGAGACACTCAAGCAACGCTACGAGCACTTCAGTAATCTGGACGACTTCCTACACTTTTACTTCGAAGGCATGGCCGTCCTTCGCAAGGAACAGGATTTTGCCGACCTAGCCTGGGCATATTTCCAAAAGGCGCACGCAGACGGCGTCCACCACGCCGAGGTCTTCTTCGACCCGCAAGTACATGAAAGCCGCGGTGTACCATATGACACCATTGTGACAGGTTTCTCGAATGGGTGCAAGCGTGCCGAGACCGAGCTCGGCTAAGCACACGACTGATCCTGTGCTTCGTGCGACATCTCCCCGTCTCATCGGCCAAGGAAGTCTACGACGAGATTGTGGCTCACAATCACTTCGAGTCTGGTCTTGTACACGGACTCGGCTGGTCTTCTTCAGAAGTCGGCCCGCCGAAAGATATGTTCCGCGAGATCTATGCGTCAGCCGCGCAGAAGAATATCCCGCTCACGGCGCATGCCGGCGAAGAAGGTGATCCGACTTATATCAGCACTGCGCTTGAGCTTGGTGCCCAGCGTATTGATCACGGTATTCGGCTAGTTGAAGACGAGGAGCTGATGCGGCGTGTGGCGCGTGAGAGTATCCTGCTTACCGTCTGTCCGTTGTCGAATGTGCGGTTGCGCTGTGTCACTTCTGTGAAGGAGCTGCCTATTCGGCGGTTCTTGGAGGCTGGAGTCAAGTTCTCGATCAACAGTGATGATCCTGCTTATTTTGGTGGTTATATTCTTGATAACTACTGCGCTGTGCAGGAGGCTTTCAACCTGAATGTGCTGGAGTGGAGGATCATTGCGGAGAATAGTGTCCAGGAGAGCTGGATCGAGGATTCTCGCAAGGCGGAGATGCTGGCAAGTATTGAGGAGCATGTCAGCAAGTATACACGCATGCACACTATTACTGTGTAAATTCTGGTTTGTTGGTGTATGTGTATTGGTTCCTGTTCGAAGTTGGGGCTGTGGTGGGCGTGAGCGATGCATTTGATACCCTGTGTTTCAACACTCTTGTATACTATTTTTTCAACTGAAGTATATACCAGGAGAATGGCAAGTTACATATTCATTCGCGTTCACTTCTCGATCGAAGTACCTTGGAAGATAGTTATTTGGAGTTGCTTCGGGAATAGTTGATGCCTTGTAAACAAGGCCGCATTTGTTAGTTAGTTACCATGACTCCTCACTACTACCTCCTCACTTGGGCACTTGTTGTCTGACAGTCAACACTGCTGCACGACACAGTATTTCATGCCCCGAAACATCCTTTGTGGTACCTGGAGCCTCACGAGGTCTACTTTCCGGCCGCAACTACCCTCCCAGACACTTTATACCCTACGTCGTGCATCGTGCTTCGCAACCAACCCAAGAATAAATCCGCAGCAAAGCGCAGGACTACTTAGCCTTTCTCAACGAAGCCGCAGACAGAGCTATACCCATTCAAAGCACCAAATGTCCACCTCCACTCCAGACCGTTACAAGCTCGTCTTCTTCGTCCCGACCGCCAACGTGGAGGCCTGTAAAGAAGCTATCTTCGCCACGGGCGCAGGGTCATTCCCAGGTGGAAAGTATACCAAATGCTGTTTCCAGACTATTGGCACAGGCCAGTTTCTACCCAACGAGGGGGCGAACCCGGCGGTCGGAGCTGTCGGTGCTTTGGAACGGTGCGAGGAGGTCAGGGTTGAGATTATGTGTCTTGGCAGGGGCATTATGCTGAATGCAGTCGATGCTTTGGTCTCGGCGCATCCATATGAGGAGGTTGCTTATGAGGTTTATAAGATGGAGAATGTTTAGTTGGTTGACTGCAGATGTGGTTGATGAGTACGGCACAATAATGTGATGCAATCGGGTCGGTATTCATCCATCTAGTTCTGCATTTGTTAGTCACCCGGTATACATCCATCAATATCAAGTAATATCAAGTTCGTTAAAACAATCCATTCGAGAGTATCACTGTCTCGTAAGCTGAGCGTTATGTTGATTGCATTGAAGGGCAACTGTATGGCAGGGGATTGGTAAGGCGGTAGTAATCCCTGGATGCTGATTTGCCCAGGGCCCGCCCCGAGTAAAACGCCTCGTCAACTTGACTTCTCCTCCAACCTCCAACCTCATCTCCCCCCAATTGACCCTCAATCATCGCCCGCGATGGCCTCTAAACTCTTCTCAGTCCCGCGGGTCGGCCGCCAGTTGCTGCACCAGCTCCCCAAACCCCAATACAGAGCCTTCTCCGCCGGTTCGCAACGGTTCAGCGACTCCCTTGCGGTGGTGCGTATTCCTTTCGACCCCTCCCGTGCTTCAGGCGCCGATTGCGTCCTGGGATTGGCACATCAAAGACTCATATACTGACTGCGATTGCCTCCGATAGCACCGCAACAAGCCCAACAACAACCCGACCCTCCCGTTCAAGTTTTCCGAGCAGAACCTCAAACTCGCCGATGAGATCCTTAAGCGCTACCCTCCCCAGTACAAGAAGGCTGCTGTCATGCCCCTGCTTGACCTCGGTCAGCGTCAGCACGGCTTCACCAGCATCAGCGTCATGAACGAAGTCGCTCGCATGCTCGAGATGCCCCCAATGCGTGTCTACGAGGTCGCGACCTTCTACACCATGTACAACCGCGAGCCGGTTGGCAAGTACTTCGTGCAGATCTGCACCACTGTAAGCACCTGAAAACAGCATTATTCCCTGCTCTTCCTAATTCGCATCCTACAGACCCCCTGCCAGCTCGGCGGCTGCGGTAGTACCGCCATCGTCAAGGCCATTACCGAACACCTCGGAATCACCCCCGGCCACACCACCGAAGATGGCCTCTTCACATTCATCGAGGTCGAATGCCTGGGTGCTTGTGTTAACGCCCCCATGGTCCAGATTAACGATGACTACTACGAGGATTTGACCCCGGAGTCGGTCAAGACCATCCTGACAGCCCTTAAGGACTCCGCCACCGCTACCGGTGCCGGCTCCAAGATTCCCGCCCCTGGCCCGCTGAGCGGGCGCGATACCTGCGAGAACAGCGCCGGTCTGACCAACCTGACTGACGTGCCAGAGTGGAACCCGGAGACGATGATGCGCAAGGACAATGCATTGGACGCCGCGCCCCAGCAATAGAAAGGCACAAAGGAAAATGATTAAAAAGAGCCCTTCATTGCCGAGGGTCAATTCCGGATGGAGAGGATATTATAATGGTTGTGTTTCTATTTCGAATGGACGAGCAAAAGCCGCCTGGGGGCACTGCGGTCAACCCAGGGAATGATTAGAGGCCACTGCGCCCTTCACCCCGAGGCGCTATGAATCATAACCACTTTTGAGGCGTCCTATTTTTTTTTTTCTGTCTACAACATACCATGTACAGTACGTTTGTTCCTGGTTCTTATTTGTGTGATCGGAGCCCGGATACAGATCTGGCCCAGTCGCTGTGGGATATCGGCAGGACCAATCGCAGATTTTTTTTTCCATTTCCTCCTTTTTCTTATGGCTATTGAGTTTGTAGACAGGTGAGTGTACTGTAAAAGACATTGTACATTCCTCCTAGTTATATGAGGGTAACGGAGTGCATTGCAATATCACTTGAGATATCCACTTCGACATCTATCCGCTGGCTGAGTTGGGCTATGTACATCCTGACTTGTATAGCGTGTCTTTTCGAAATGCCCAACTGCCTAGTCTTTGCGGTGTTCGTGTTCATCGACCCGTCTAGCTAGTCTATGCACTCATGTCACAACAGGTGCTCCAGTCCATAAAGTTCTTCCTCGGTAGACAGGCGACAAGTGTTGGACAACGGGTTATATCCTCATGCCTTTGGCTGTTAGGCGGCACGTAGCCATAGTTAGCCATAACTAGTTGACCAACCGTTAGCTTGCATGACTTTTCTCGGGAAGTTGGAACCCTTCTTCTCTTCTCTCACACTCTCGTGGACTGTACGCTTAGCAATGAGCAACTCCCGCCTCTACTATTGAGCCCTGGATATAGTAGGAGAGTCTCTTTCTTGTTGAGATTGAAACATTGAGATAATGTAACTACCACTATACAGGAGCTAACAGTATACAATTTATTAGCTTTCTCGAGTAGTGCATTGTCATTGTCAGGGTAAGAAACGATAGCTTAGAGGCCGCTTTTGGTATAAAGACCGGACCCTCCAAAATTCCCGACAAATGGGCACCATCTCAACACTCTTCAGATGCCAAAGTCGGCAACAAATAGCAGGCAAAGGGGCATTGCTCTAGCTAGCATCGCTCGGAGCATACATATTGATCGAGTCAAATGGCTGGATCGTCTTGTTACTACATCTGCCCGTTGGACATGCCGCCATCAAAACGATTGTCAATCCACTGAAGGAAACTAGGTGCCGAAGCGGGATCACTGGGTCATGGTCGATGCCATGATAGGTTTGTATGTGACCTTCGTTCCCCGATTTACAACTAGCATTGTATGCGGTCTCGACCACTTGGGAAAGCACCGAAACGTCGGAAAATGGGGATGATAAAGGACCCTGAGACGTGGTGAGCAAAGATCCTAGGATGTGGGCAAAGACCGCTGAGGTGTGGACAAGGACCTTAAGATCATCAGTGTATCTAGATATGTCGATCTTTTGATGTTGAAGCTCATAGGAGAAAACATCAAAAATATTTGTCTATATTCAACAAAGAGAACGAGGAGGAAGAGGAGTAGAGCTAGAACACTTCAATTTTGTAGAACGGAAAAGTATGTATTGCACACACTATGTACAACATTCACCCGTGTCCACCTTGTCGACCGGCGAATTTTAATATGAAGAAAAAAAACGTCACCGTGACAGTGACGGCAACCGGCGAGTCAAAAATCGAACCGCACAAATGGCACCTGAGGCAGCCTTAGACCGATTAGGGCTACTCTGGCAGCTCTTCTCCTTCGTATGCGACGTCGTCTGGTAATACCGATTCCTCTGGAACCAAACCTGGGACACCTTGACGCTCAACGAGTTTGCTTGACTGAGCCTTCTGGAAGATGTTGACATCGTATGTATTCTTTACCAGCAAATGGTAGGCATGGACTTCGCGTTCCTGTCCGAATCGCCGGGCACGTCCGATTGCCTGGGTCATGCCTGAGTTATAGTCATGGTGAGAGGCGGTGAAATACGGTGACAAGAAGATGACGTGATTTGCGCATTGGAGGTTCCTTTATATCAGACCAGATTAGTAATGTTTCAAACAAAGAATAACAGATAACAGCAGAGAGAAATAACTTACAATCCAGCTGCCATGGAGGTTCCGAGATTCAAGATCAAAGCCTTCGGTCTGGAAGGTGGTTGGGTGGTGCCCTTCTTTGGTTTGGGCGAGTCTTTGAACTCATCGATTCCCTTCAAGTTGGTCTGTGTGACCATGCGGTGGTCGATGTTCGCTGCTTTAAGGGCATTCGATGCCACGGGCAATAGGTGGTTTATTTGCACGAAGATGATGACAAGCTCGTCCTCTGGGACATTGCGGATGATCTCAACAAGCTTGTCGAGCTTGGTGCTCTGGATTGCTTGGTCTTCACTGACGAGGATTTCACCAGGAACGATCTTGGATTGGACAATGTGACCACTGCATCCAATAATGGGACAAGGCTTGTGTGTTTGTGTGATCGCGGCTGCAATACAAGTTTTGCAGAGGGCGTGGCCGCAGGTTTTGAGAACGGTGACATCTTCTTTTTCTTGCAAATCAGTCTCACACCCTTGACATGGTGGGATTCCAGTGGTTTGGATCTCCACTAGGTGTTCGTAGAATCGGTATTCCCGGTCAATCTCGAGGACTTGCTTTAAGAGAGATGTGACATCAGCGGACAAGGCTTTTTCCACAGCCGTCCAAACCGAACTTGAAGACGTATCATTGGCCCCTCCATGTTCTGTGGCTCTGGGAGGACGTCTCCCAGTGGCTGTGTTGCCGGTCTTCGCGTTCTGAATCTTTTGGAATCGCTGCTGGAGCAAATCTTCAATTGGTCGGTGTTGTTCGGTGAGTTTCCACTCGCTGTACGAGCGGATGGTGCCCTCTAAGAGGTCGTTGAATCTTTCGTTGAGTTCCGCGTCCCCGAAATCAACCTTGGCGATGCCATTCAGGGCGTTTTGCCAGTTGTTAGGATCAGTATTGTTCATTTCGCGATACCAAACAGTCACTGCCTGTCGAGTGATTGAGTCCACTTTAGTCCAGATCTCAGCGGATTTCTTTTTGTCGTTCCGCGAGCCTTTGCGGCACTTCTCGAGGTTCCATGGAGGCTGTCCTATTTGACTTGTGACGCAGGACATGATGAGAGCCTCTTGAGGAAACTGGCTCTTGGACAAAATGGAGTTCAGGGGACCAGGAATTCGTCTCTTGTTTTCTTTGACGGCTCGGAACAACGTATCGTACGCTGTCTTTTCAGCGGGTGACTGTTCGGTGATGACAAGGTTGGTTGTCAAGGGAATTTGTATGATGCGTGCAATGTTCCTACGCACAAATTGATCCAGGAACCTTTGAGCATGTTCTCGGCGGTTTTGATACCAGGCGTTGCTGTGGGGTGCCTGGTAATACTGGAATGCCTCAACAGCTGTGTGGTTCTTCCGGATGTTCCGTACTCTGCTGTTCTGCGTTGGTCTGTCGCAATCGCCATCGTCGTCCACACCAAGGTGTAGACCAAGGTAACGCGCAATACTCTTGATGTCGGCAAATTCACGAAGAGCTGGCGTTCCAGAAAGGATCCATTTGGAGCGTGCCTGCAATGACAGCAGGGAAGCCTGTCTTTCTTCCCCGGCATATGTGTATTCGTCGATAACCAAACGGTTGAAGTTGAAAGCGTGAAGGAATGCGGCTTTGACATCGCGCCAGTCTTGCCTGGGGTTCTTTTTGATATCAAAGTCCTTACGGTCATCTTTCACAGCTTTTGACTTGGCTTCACGTTTCTTTTTGTCATCGGCCACTTCTGCCAGGTCCGTCGATGGGCGTTTTTGTCGCTTTCCTTCTGAACCTTCCAATGACTTCCTACTGTGCCTCCGCTTCCGCTGGCCCGCAGAACTCGCTGCTCCGGTCGAGTATCCCGCATCAGATGCATCAAAGTCCTCGAAACCCGAGTCAGAATCAGAATCCAGATCCTCTTCCGCTCCTGCATTGGACTTGTCACGACCATTATTAGCGTCAGCAAATGCCTGGCCACGGAGGCGTCGAGAGGGCACGTAGGTGAAGTCGGCCTGTGTCTCTTGAACTCGGCGACGTCTGGCCTCCAATTGCTGGAGCATCGCCTCAGGCCCTTCTGTTTTCAATATTTCAACAGACTCCCGCAAGGAAGCACGAGCGTCGTGGAACCAGCTATCGAAATTTCGACCTATTCCTCCGCTCGATTTTGCGGGAGCCTGGGGTGTTCCGGTAAATTGTTGAAGTCGGCTGTAGTATGCATCGTTCGCCAGGATACTCCATGACAAAATCACGATATCTGCATCTTGGACTTCCCGGATGGTGATCTTGCTGATTGACGAAATCGCCAAAGCTTTGTATTTGCCTTTGAGGAACTTCTCGGTTTCCGAAACCCACTGTTTGAAGACGTTGCTGGGAACGATGATCAAGGTTGCTTTTGTTGGAATAAGCCCGTTGTCTTCAGGGGGTTTGCAGTCGCTTTCATACTGCGCGTCGATGAGACCAAGAATAACAGCCGTCTTGCCATATCCAACCTCGTCAGCTAGCACACCACCGCGAACAATTTTTGGCATTGTTGCTTTGACTTCGGCGCGCCATGGCATCAAGGGGAGGATGGATTCTTCAACTTCCTCTTCCATGAATGGTTCCATGTCTTTTGCTTCTTGTGAAATCATCCAGCTCAATGATCGAAGCTGTTCAACACGCAACTCGAATTTGAAGTTAGGAGGTTGTGGCGAAGGACTGTCGTTGTCGTTGCTCTTCAAATTAAACATTTCGGTTTCTTGGCCAGGGGTTTCTTGGCCAGGAGTTCTTTGAGCCATGTCGTACGCATGAGGGAGAAGTCGCCAGCGAGATGTTATTTTCTCACGGCTTGATGTGCCAACCAATTTTCCATGTGCCTGGTGCGTCAGAGCTTGAACATTGAGGGTGAAACGCAATTCAGCGTCTCCATGTTCGTTGATTCGTCTGAAGACCAAAAATGGCGAA